GATACAAAAAGTGGTGTGTGGCCCCACAGGGCCACCAAAAACACCATTTTGGGGTGTGACTGGCATCAGACCACAGGGAAAAGCGGCAGACACCACTGTGATGTGAGACAAAGGCCCATGTCGTGGAGACGACGAGACCCCTATATTTTTCCGCATTTTTCCTTATTTTCTACGGCCATTTGAACGACACTTAGACTTAGAACCAGTAGTTAGAAGCATGTGACCAGTCACCTGACCCCCACCTGCAGACTGGCACTAATGTGCGCACAGACCACCTTTACGTTTGTACATGTTTGGCTCCCCTGACTCAGTATATAAACCCCACCTGTAGCGACCCTAGCCCTCATCTTGACCTCTTGGTCCTTGGGCTAGGTAAGCCGTCCTTTGTATTCTCTTAGTCAGCATAATATTAACTTGGTCCTTGGGCTAGATTTGACTTGAAAGTCTACGCTCGGCGTTAGCAAGCCTTCGCGCTTGCCGCCCTTGGGTTAGATCGTATTAGTTTCTTTGTTGTAGGTGTTGCCTGGTCGCGTCGAGTCTAGCTCCGCGACAGCCCAAATGCAGGACGGCAGGGGTCGTTGTGACCTGTGACCTGCCACTTTGGTCTGGAAGGTACATGTAAACTGTCATACCGGAAGTATGTCTAATATGGCATCGCAATTGCAGGTTGCACAGGCTCTTCCCTAGGAGGTTGACCAACCTTGTCGGCACCCCAGTCACCATGGTTGAGGTCACTACTACGTACTCATATGTGCCCATGACTCCGTACCCGCCTTTGCCACCTCCATTTCTTGCCGAGGATGTAGACAAGAGCACAGATGACACAGTCAACAGCAAAGGTGACAGTGACATGAAAACGCACCTGCAGAGTGTTGTGGACAAGGCCATTGACAGTATGTGATTGTACACATGTGTTTTTGTTTTGTCCCGTGGTCATGCTTTCCCCCCTCTCCTTTGCATGTGATCTTCTACGCACCTGACTCTATCTATCTGCTATTGTTCGTGTCTGCTATTGTTCTATTTGTCATTGTTCTTTTTACCGCTATTGTTCCTCCACGCTATTTTTCTCATCTGCTATTGTTCACTCCTTATTGTTCATCTCAAAATAAACCACATACTCTTGCCAAGCATATTTCTTATTGTCTCACCAGAACAATTACTCTGTCTCCACTTTATTGTTCTCTTGCGTACTACTATTTTGAATCCTTCCCGCACATATGTTATATAAGGCTGTGAAGCCACCCCAAAATGGAATAAGCCCCTTTCACCTGAACTGTCACCTGCACATTTTGATCTTAGCGTTAAGTCTAAGTTTGTACTCGCACTGCAAAAGGCAGGATCTAGTTTTGTGTATAAGGGACCTAACGAATGGGTCTACGACTTATTGCGCTGCTTAGCTTTGACACTGATCTCATTATTACCTGGTCACTACCCATTCTATTCACCACTCACCGTGCTATACATTGTGCTCACATACACACACACATCTACACACACAAACAAATATAAATAACCCTTCACACTACTTCCCAAACAATCAAATTGATACCTGACTGCGTCCCAGACCGGTACATTCAGGTGGAGGTTATTCTAGTGAATTAACTTTCATGCACGTCAAAACTAATTTCATCTTACCAAAGTAGTTACCTTCCAAAAACTGTCAGAGTCCACAACAGTGTTGTTTTGTGCCAGTAACATAAGTCTAGATGCTCCAGATGAGCTGTACGGTCCCCCGAGCAAGAGGGAGCAGGTATCAAAGCTGAGCCTCTGAGCACTTTTGGGGCACCTCTTTCCGGTCCAGGTAGACTTTGTAACTCCGGGGTGACCCATGTTGGAATGCCGTGAGCGCCGGATAAGCGCCCGTAGATAACGTAGATAGTGCACATACTATATCCGGACTTACTTACATAAGCAAGCACAGCCACTGCCAGCATGGCATCTTGCTGGCCTCTCCCTCTCTCCTTTCCCTCAGTCAGTCTGCCATACAGACTGCTGAGGTGTGTCATTCATTGCTCTACTGTACTCCAGGTAATGCTCACATCTAGTGTAGACTTTCCTACAGGTACAGTTAATATATTCTCAGTCAGTCTGCCATACAGACTGCTGAGACTTTCCTACAGATTCTGACAACCCAGCACCCTCAGAGAGCACCAGCACATGCACTCACTCTTGTCTTTGTTCCTTCACCATCTCATCCCTTCTCTTGGTTGCCTCCCCCAGACGAGCTGAACTCACTTACTTCTTCCTTTCAACCTCACCACTGTAGTAATCAGACCATAGCGGGGCATCATACGTCACAAAGGCTCCCCACCCTGCTATTTCTCAGCGTATTTTTAGTCACAAACACTGCCGCCAGCTGTGACAGACAAAACTTGGCCCTAAAGGGGGTAAGCACCCAATTTTTCTGCTCCCACCACCTCTCCGCTACGGCAGACCACTGTCACAGCCCTCTCCCCCAGGGCCCTGGGGCCCCACTATGTAAATTGGGTGTCACCCATCACACCCAGGCCCAATATGGTCTGATCAGGACAGTACTGTATAAGCTATCTTTATCTAGTCCTGTCTCTGTTGCTGCGGGCCTTCCTCAATGGTGGCTTTGTATGGTGCATGTAGTGGCTGATGGTGTGTCAATGCCAGCGCCACAGAAGGTGCATCAACTGAAGGTGAGTTTTTGTCTGGGATATTAAGCATGGTAAGTCACCCACCGCTTTAAGGCTGAACACGGATTGATTTGTGGATCATCTGGACCCAGACCTACGGGTTTTGCGCGGATTTGAGCCCCAACCCAGATCTGGGCCTGACCGGGACCCCAGATCACCTGGATCCACAGATCCGGATCCAGGTAACCTGTGGGTCTACCTGTGAAAACATCAAAAATAGAAAGTGGATATTTTACGACAGAAATGCAGGGGTAGATAGAGAATGTAAATACAATTGAACGTCAGAAGGAACGAACAAGAACGGACCAGAAATAGCGCAGATATAAACAAAATAAGGGGGAAGGGGGAGGAGGAGCACTTGTGTGAGGCATCCTCCACTATGTTGTACATCTTGCGCATTGCCGTACCCCTTGCTCTACCACCCCATCTCCTCCGTGCTGACCTTCACATTTGGCACCCGTATATATAAACTCATGGTGCTCACCGACCCTCCACTTGTTATGAGACTCGACCCCATGGACTGCAAGCTGTGTGATGCACATCCATTCACTCATCCGTCTCGAGCACCTCCCACCGCACTACTCTCACTAGTACGTACTATCTGACATAGGGCGTCGCCCTCCAGCGGATAATAAACTCGGATTATAATAATATAATAATTCACTCATCTATCTTCTTGACCCTCTCCTACCTCAGTTGGAAGTCTGTGTACATGGTATGTTCTCATTTTCCCTGTGCAGTCCATGCTAATGCTCTCATATAGGCAAAGCCCATGGCCACTAGGGCCCCGCGTACTGACAATGGTCGAGCCTCATATGAGAGTCCTTACAGGTATGCCATGGTCGCTAAACATGCTGGGTACGGTGCTGACTGCTTTCTATGTAGGTCATCTACCTGGCTGCTAACTTTGGGTTAGCTCTACCTGACAGGTATCACAAGTATGCATTTGAATGGTAGAGCAGTTACAGTATGGTGTAGTACATAGAGGTCATGTCTGTAGTAGTAGGATCAAGTGAATATACACTTCTTTTCATCATCTCTGATCTATTGTGAGTGTGTGCAAGGGAAATGACTTCATATAAAGGGATCTATTCATGATCTTATGGGCATCTAATCATCTAATGAGGAGAGGACTAAAATTCTGAGGACCATTTCACTTTTTGATCTTTTTAGAGTAAATAGTTTCAATCACACTAAAATATGTCTGATTCAGAGTGGTGGATTTCCCTGATGTGGACTAACTATAGGGAGGTCTACCTATATTTAGGCTCTGGTCGGCTGCCCGTGATCTGGAGATCACACCCAGCCAAAATCTAATCACGGTGACCAGGGGATCACAGTTGTGATGATTTTGAAAATGGAACCACAAAGAACATTTGGTGAACATGTGATTGTGGGTGCTTAGACCGTCACACTGCGGGACCGTCGCGTCAGCACATCAGGCGATCACGTGGTGCCCACTTCTCTTCTCCCTCACTGCACGCGCACACAACATACACTATCTGAGCTGCTTTTCTACTTAATATTACTCCAATGCCTGCCGAAGGTGACGCTGTGGCAACTGGTTTGGCCACAGAAGATCCAGTTGGCTCCGACAATGAGCCCCCGAAGCACAGTGCTACTGGCACAAAACGGCGTGTTGCAGCATGTTGGTCCAATGTGAGTGATGAGACCATGGTCTCCATTCTCAAGAAGAACAAGACCGAGCGCCCACGTGCGGCAATAGTTACGAGCGGTGGTCACTGTGTTATGGTGTGTGACACCGCATTACAGTGTGAACGTGAGCTGCCCGGGCATGTCAGGCATGGATCATATCAGCTGTGATCCCCAGATCACAGGCAGCCGACCCAGGCCTTAGCTAATCCGCTGACATTATACATAGTCATGTAGTACACCCATGGCACTTGGCAATGTACAGCAGGTCTCTGTAGTGACTTCATGGCATGATGTGTTCTGTGACCAGGTCCTTGTGCAGGACTTTGCTCCACAGTGTTCTGCAGGCATCTGCCTGCCATTTACTATTTGGTGCTATGAGGTGCCCACGGTGTGCTGCACACCTCGTGGCACCATGCGTTGCCATGCATGTAGCTTGCACTTTTACTGATGTAGTTGTCCTGAAGGCCCGGGGACCTGTCCAGGTGGGCACAAAAGCCTGAGGCCTGAGGCCACTCAGACACACCTTACATACCTAGGCCGGAGAGGCAACAGCACACGGACACAGGTCACCCTGCCATAGAGGGCCACCGTCGGGCAACTTGTCGACACAAATGAGTACGACATGCAAATGATGCTTGTCTGTGTATGCAATCATGTAACATCATGCTGAAAACTTGAATTCATCGGCAAGCTAGCAACAACGTTGAGAGACCTGGTAGTGAACCGGGAGTCGTCTCCCCTCGTACATCTGCTCATCCGTGCGGCACACACACGGACGACGCATACCAGTCCGAGAGATCATTAGCATTACAACCGACCCATGTACGGTCGAGAACTAACAGCACACGAAAACATCAAAACCCAGCGACATCACAGTCATCACAGTATCATATCATGTCCCAAACACCCCATCGTGTCTCTGTGTCCCAAACCCCTACACGTCTACACCTGCTCCTTCTCGTCGACCTCGTGGTGCACGCTCGCGCCCTTGCCGACCTCGTCCGACACATGCACGTCGCGCGCAATGAGCTCGCGGCGGTAGCGCGCGCTCGTGATCGGGGTCGAGTTCTGGTAGAGCAGGTCGACCTGCTCGAGCGAGAGGCCCTTCGTCTCCGGGATGCAGAAGAACGTGAAGAGGATGCAGCCCGCGCACGTCGAGCCCCAGATGAAGAACACCTTCACGCCGAGCCCCGCGTTCCCCGCGCCCGTGTTCACGAGGTACGGCGTCGCGTACGAGATCGCCCAGTTCCACAGCCTGCACATACACGCGCGTCAGCATTGACATCCCATATGCGTATGCGAGAAAAAGGAGGGACGCACCAGTTGGACGCGACGGAGAGCGACATGGCCTTGGCGCGGACGTTGAGCGGGAAGATCTCGCCGACGATGACCCACGCGATGGGGCCCCAGGTCGACGCGAACGCGGCGATGTAGATGCACACGAGCGCGATGAGCGCGTTCTGGCCGGACTTGTTGTTCGTCGAGATCGTGACGCCGATGATCGCGACGAGGTACTCGCACACGCACATCACGACCGCGCCCCAGAGCAGCAGCGAGCGGCGCCCGAAGCGCTCGACGCCCCACATGCCGGGGAGCGTCATGAAGACGTTCACGATGTTCGTCGCGACGGACGTGAGGAACGGGTTCGCGATGCCCGCGTTCTTGAAGAACGTCGTGCCGACTGCGCACTGAGCGTCAGCGCGTCGATCCGAGCGGGAAACAGGGGGGACTCACAGTAGAAGATGAAGTTGATCCCGGTGAGCTGCTGCCACGCCTGGATGAAGATGCCGGAGAGGGTGCGGAAGGCGATCTTGCTCTTGTTGAACTTGAAGCAGTCGAGGTAGGAGCTCTCGCCGCGCTCCTGCTCCTCACGAAGGGCCGCGCGGATGTCCTCGATTTCGGCGAGGAGCTCCGGGTCATCGGGCGGTAGGGAGGTGAGGCGCGACAGCGATCTCGCAGCATCGTCGATGCGGTCGTTCTTGATGAGCCAACGCGGGGTCTATGGAAGGATTTAGCTTACGGCGCCAAAACGAAGCCGAAGAACGCCATGACGCATACCTCGGGAAGCCAGAACATGCCGACAAAGAGGATGAACGCCCAGATAAACTGAATGGAGATCGGAATGCGCCAAGCAGAGTGGTCTGCACGGCCCTTCGTGGCGTTGTTGATCACGGACGCGAGAAGAAGGCCGATGGTGATCGCCCACTGGTATCCGGAGACGATGGCGCCGCGGATCCATTTGGGGGCGCACTCGGACTGGTACATGGGGACGAGGGTGGAGACGAGGCCGACACCGAAGCCGGCGAAGAAACGGCCGACGATGAAGGTGGCCCAGTTGGAGGAGCCGGTCTGGAGGGCGATACCGAGGGCGAAGACGACGCATGAGAGGATGAGGCCGATGCGGCGACCGAGGATGTCCGCGACGGGGGCACCGCCGAGAGCGCCTGGAAGAAGGATGAGGGATAACGAAGGTGAAAGGTAAGATTGGACATACCGAAGAAGGTACCGGCGGAGAGGATGGATACGACGAGGGACTCGTTTCCGGTGGACTGGGACCTACCCTCGGGGTTGATGGCGGTCTTGTCCCCTTGGAACTCGTTACCGAATGTCGCGAGCCAGTCGTCCATGGCGATGATACCGGAGATGGTGCCGGTGTCGTAGCCGTAGAGGATACCACCGAAGGCGGCGAAGGCAGTCATGAGGATGCCCGAGAGTCTGCTCTTGGGGGCGGAGGCAGGGCCAATGCCGCCGCCGGAGGATGCTGGACCACCGGCCATGTTGAGAGCGAAGCGTTTAGCGTGAGCTGGGGAGGGGGAGCGACGCGAACGCGAAAGCGCGATGGTGGTGGGAAGAGCGGGGAGGGCAAGCGCGGGGAAAGAAGGCTGCGGGGAAGATGGGGAACTTATATAGACGGGCGGGGGTGGGGCGGGGGCGACAGGGGGGTTGCCTGTTTGAAGCGAAGCACATGGACATGGTGATGGTGCTGTCTGGCCGGGACATCGAAAGCTCCCGCAGCGAGCGCGGGGGTGGTGAAATGGAGGGCCATCGCGCGGAGCAGGCAAAGGCGCGAAGGGCGAGAATGAGGGAGACGCTGCGGGCGGCGCGTGATAGAGGCTCATCACGCCCTCTGACAGAACTCTCCCGCTCCCGTGTCAACCGTGGGAGGACATCAGCCGCGAAGAACATGTTCCTGCTCGCCAACGCTGCCAACAGTGAGCGAGAGCAGCAAGTCTCCAGGCTGGGGGCACATGCAGATTGCCGACTTGGCCGAGCGGGCGTTTCGGCGGGCGGGGAGGTCACAAGCGAAGGCCAGGCACGGAGATTGGAACGCTAAATCGGGGACGGCGGGCAAGGATTCGTGGGCGTCGGACGGCGCTTTGTCTGGTCGCCGGCTGTTCGGTCCCGATTCCGACCCATAAGTCCTCCTTCGAGCACGGCCAGGACACCCCAGACCGGCGTACGACACAGCCGGAGCACTCCTCGCCGCGAAACATTCTCTGCTCTCGGATCTCAGACTGTGGCAGAGGGCAAGAGGATTTAGAGGATGACAGGAACATTTGGGCGGTCGAACATACTGCACCGCTTTCCTTCCACCCGTCTCGACACAACTCGTCCATCAGAAGGTCTAGACGGTGGTTGACTTCACGCCAGCTTTGCGGAGATCATCATCCGCTCAAAATCGGAGAGACCCATCGTCTTGTCCGGCGCACTCGAGAACGCCTCGAGCATCTCCACCGTCTGCGCCTGTCAGCACACCTCTACCCGCGAGCAACGAACGAACTTACCTCCTCCGCAGTGACCTTCTCCTTGAGCAGCTTGGCCACGCGTGTGATGTCCTTGATTGCTATCCGCTGCTTTCCGAGCTCGCCCTCGCTCACGTCCGGGAAGAAGAGCGCGAACGCCGCACGGCACTCAGCCTTCTGTCGCGCACTCAGCCCCGCGCGTGCTTCCCCGTCTTCATTGACCGCTGTTGATCGTGTCTTGCGCGCCGCCTGTCGCTCCGTCGCCACCTTCCCGCCCTTCTTCGCCCCCTTTGACCGCACAAAGCCCCCGCCGCCCTCTTCGTAGTCGTCGTCTGACCCATCCGCACTCTCTTCCGCCCCAGACTCGGACTGCACGAACTCTTCGCCCGAGTCGGACGCGGCCTCCTCCAGCCCGTCCTCCGCTGCTTCTTCTGACCGATCGTCCATGTCCACATCTCCATCTTCGTCGCTCCCACCAGAATCCAGAAGTGCGGCACAGACCGCACGCCAGTCCTTCCGGCTCACCCGCGCGTCTTCATCTTCCCCTTCAGAGCCGCCGCCGCCCCAGCCAGTAGCAGCGTTCCTAAACACAGCGAGCACGTCCTCATCGTCCGGTTGTAGATCTAGAAGTTGCAGCGCAGTCGGAATGAGGGAGAACGGGATGTGAGTTTGCCTCTCGCCCGCGTCCGTGATGAAACCGCCCGCGGCCGGGGATTCGTCCCGCACAAAGCCTCCGCCAGAGTTAGGTTCGTCGACAATGAATCCTCCTGCGGCCTGTTCTTCTGGAATGAACCCGCCGGCAATGAAACCTCCGGGTGCAGGAGGGTGGTCGAGCTTGCGGCGCTTGTGAGCGGGCTCCGCGTCGGTGGCTGAGTCCTGGAGAGCCTCGTCGAACGCATCGTCGATGCGCGCCTGCAGCTCCTGAGGCAAGGCAGCGTACCCGGGGTCGAGCTCGTCGTCCGCCATCCCGTCCTCGTCGTTCTGCACAACGTTTGACTCCAGATTCGAGACCGGAGCCGCGGCGCGCGACGCGAAAGGAAGGCTGAGCTAAGCACGGGTCACGTGGGACGCGTTGAACGCGGTTGAACGCGCCCCTTCCTTCTTTGTCCTCCCCCACCTCCTCCTCAGCCTCCGCCGCCCCCGCCATGCCCACAACGCGCCCCCGCGCAGCGGCCGACGCCTCCCGCTCGCTCTACGCCGACTCCGACTCCGGCGGCGACACCGAACGCGAACAAACGCCCAAGCCCGCCGCGCGCCCCACCTCCAAGAAGCGGCTCAGCGAACGCCTCTACGACCCCGACGCGGGCGACGGCAGCTTCTCGCTCGACGGCGCACCCGGCCCCGCAAACGGCGCGCGCCCCCCGCTCAAGAGCGTGAACATCAACGACGATGCGGCTGAGAAACGGAGACGCAGGAAGAGCGCGAAGGTTACGATCCAGCTCGACGACGACAACGCCGAGGCGGGCCCGTCCAGCGGCGCCGGCACCTCTGAGGCCGCGAATGGCTCCTCCGACCCTGCTCGAGCGACGACGCTGGGCCGCACGAAGAGCCAGATGCTGAACGTGCCCCAGGCACCGGTCATCAACGTCCCTATGGACGTCATGAGCTCCAATTTCGACCAGTGGATGAAGATGGCGACCGACAACGTGAGTCTTGCCTCTCTTCCCCTCCCTCACCCCCTCTCCGCCATGCCCGATGGTCATTCCGGAGCAGGGGATGCGCACCCCGTCGCCTACCCCGCGCCGGGAGCCTCCCCACCCGTCCATCCTGACGCCTCCCCCCACAGAAAATCAACGCCGCCAACTCCTGGAACTTCGCGCTCATCGACTACTTCCACGACATGTCCCTCCTCCGCAACGACGCCGACAACTCCATCAACTTCCAGCGCGCCTCCTGCACGCTCGACGGCTGCGTCAAGATCTGGACGTCCCGCGTCGACTCCGTCGGCACCGAGACCGGCAAGCTCCTCTCCAACCTCGCCAACGAGGGCGGCGCGGACGACGACGACGACGGCGCCGGGTCCGACAACCCGGACGGCGGCGACCCCTCGCAGTCCCAGCGCAAGCGCAAGGCGTACCGCCCCGAGTCGACGCTCGCAAAGTCCGCCGCACAGCTCCGGAGCAAGAAGCTCGATCTGGAGTTTAGCGTGGACCCGCTGTTTAGGAAGACGTGTGCGGACTTTGACGAGGGCGGCGCGCAGGGCCTGCTCATGAACCATCTCGGCCTCACCATCACCCCCGACGGAAGTTTGCGCGTCGTTTTCGACGCCAGTGATTCGGTCGCCAAGGGCGAAGAAGAGGAACAGCCTCTTGAAGAGCCCATCGACTTAGTCGACCTCAGCTATCTGCGAGGTAGGCACCCATCAAATTCCCTTAAACTCTGTGAACTAACCATCTGCACAGAACACTTCCTACCGGACATCGAGGCCATCGACTCGCAAGAAATCTCGCACGAGCTCGAGGGCTTCTCCTTCGGCAAAGACAACTTCTCCGCCGACGACACCTTCTTCCGCGACGGCACGCACGCCCCGCACCTCGACGACGACGACGATGACGACGACGGCATCGGTGGCTTCAACGAAGACCCCGCCGACTTCGGCAACCCCATGGACGTCGACCCCAGCAGCAGCGCCGCCGCGCCGCTCGACTTCTTCGTCGGGGAGAACGCCGTCACCGACGACTACCAGCAGGCGGACTACCAGGCGGAGTACGCCGCTGGGGGCGACAACGCGTCGAACAACGGGTCCGACGACGCGGGGGGCGAGCCAAGGGCGGGCGGGGCGTTCATGCCGTTCGACCCAAGGAAGGCCCCGAACGAGCGGGATCTTGTTCTGGCGATGACCGATGCGGACGCGGACGGCGGCGTGATGATGGACTACTTCGACTCCAACTTCCTCAAGAACTGGGCGGGCCCCGAGCACTGGAAGCTGCGCAAGGTCGTCCGACGCCGTCAGTCCCTTTGATTTCTCTCAAGCTCATCCTCATCGCTAATATTGCCTTCCTTGCAGCCGACGCAGCGGAAGCTGCCAAAGACCGGCCAAAGCGCGAGAAGAAGGAAGCCTTCAAGATCGACTTCCTCACGCCCGCAGAGGACGACGTGAAGACACGCGCGAAGACGCTCTTCGCGCCCGTCACGCGCGGGGCGGGCATCAACCTGCCCGGGCCGTCAACAAGCAAGAGCGCGGCGTCGCGCAAGACGGGGCGCGGGAAGAAGGCGAAGGAGCGCGAGAAGGAGAAGCGGGCGGAGCAGACGCTGCCGGACGACATGCACTTCTCGAGCAAGTCGCTCGTCACGCTCTTCCTCAAGCCGAAGTTCTCAGTGCGTCTCTTTCGTTGCGGCTCCGTAGATCTCGGGATGGGGACGCTGACCACTTGGTGATTATAGTTGAAGATGCGCGGGTACCAGGTGCGGCCGGACGGCCGCGTCGACGGCGAAATCGACGAGGCGTTCTGGGCGCAAGCGGCCGCAAATCAGGCAGCAGGCGCAGGCAACGGCGACGACAGTGCGTCCCATTTCGATCTATGGACTTGCTTTTTACTCATGCTGATGTCTGTCCCCAGCACTCGACCCCGACGCCGTGCCCTTTGCAACACAATTCTTCCACGACGACGACTACGACGACGGAGGCGGGTTCGACGATGGTTTCGACGCCGGTGCGCCTGTCGAGGCGGGCGAGCAGGACTTGCTCGCAGCGACACAAGGGCAGACCCGACGCGTGAAAGTCGAGACCGTCAACTACGCGAGACGGGCGAAGCGTGTCGACGTGCGCAAGCTCAAGGACAACATCTGGAAAGGGCTCGACATCACGATAGCTCCCGCGGAAGACGCCGAGGATGCCATGGTCAGTCCCCCAACCCACTGCCTCTCCCCAAATCTGTGTACAGATACTAAATAATTGATACAGGAGACGGATGACGCACGCCCACTGACAGACCCATCCGACGGGCGCGAGTTCACGTCGGTGATCACGGACCTGCGAAAGACGTACCCGAAGGACAAGATGGAGGAGATCAGCACGAGCTTCTGTTTCATCTGCCTGCTGCACCTCGCGAACGAGCGCGGGCTCAAGCTCGAGGTCGACAACAAGGTCGAGGACGACATGGAGGACGACGACGCCGACGCGGAGGCCAGCAAGGTCGGGAACCTGTGGGATCTCAAGGTACGTTTCCCCCTGCCTCGACTACAGCGGTGGGCACATGCTGACGTTTTGCCGTTTTGCAGGTATACCGGGATCCCAACGCGACGCAGTCCGCATAGCGACACGCCTGCTTTCTCTTTCTATTTTACACGCTGTCCGTACACTTATTTTACTCGTCTCGTTATTCGGTGGTCTGGTCTGCGCTGTTCCTGTCTGTCTTGAGTACGCTCTGAAGCCTGAAGATGTATGTTTGTGTCATGCGTGATGTGATATACACGTCAAAACCCAATTTCTGCCGTCTGATCTGCAAGCATGAGGAACGGATATCATTGCGGCGATACAACGAGGGTGTGGGTATGCGTGTACGGATACATAACGTGGAGACGAAGCCTATGTGCTATTGATACAAACGGTGAGCCGGAACCGGGGCAGGGGGGCTATCGATACAGTAACGGGAGACCAGAGAGAGGGAGAGAAAAGAGACCACGGAACCTCGGGACGACTCCAGACGGACGCCGTTCACCACAACCCCCTCGCCTTGGCCTTCATCTTCCCCGCGCCCAACCTGCCCTCAAAGAGCTGCTCGCAGCGCTTCTGCCCGCGCGCGCTGAGCTCCATGTACTCCCAGAACGCCTGCGGCGGCAGCTCGAGCATGCCCGCGGCGGGCACGCGCGCGCCCTCCGCGTCGTCCGCGGGGAAGATCGTGAGGATGTCGCGCGCGGCGATGCGCGCCTGCGGGACCGCGGACGCGAGGAACACGCGCTCGCCGAAGGGCGTGTATGTGTACACGTCGACCCAGCGCTCGCGCTGGTCGTGCGGGCGTGCGGCTGTGCGTGGGAACGGGTGGTTAGAGAGTGAACTTGGGGTGTAGGGAGGAGGGAGGGGACTCGGCCCACCTTGCACGAGCATGACTTGCCGCTGGACGACGGCGACAGCGAGGGAGCCGTTGTTCAACATGTTCATGAGATGGGTGTGGTAATGACTTAGGGAAGGATGAGGGCTCGGACGTTTGAAGCGGGCACGAAGGGCGGGACGACTAGGTGGATGAGGGTGGTGGTGTGTAGTGCGGTGAAGGAGCTCGCTCGCGTTCAAGCGGGCATTTATCCTCACGCACACTACAGCCTGCTATTGTTCCACATCCTCCGCTCTTAGGCCACGCATGCCAGCGCCCCCCATTGTCGAAGCCGGCTTAAGCTCTCGCAGAAGGGTACGCAACAATAGGAGTCCTTAGCCGGGGTGGACGACATTGTACGCGGCAGGGCATGAGGCGGGGGCAGACAATAAGGACAGTGCTTGGACGCCCTAGCCGACAAACGCTGCCCCGCTTGCGGCACGGCCCAGCTGGTAGAAGTACAAGGACTTCCTTTTTCGGACGAAGAAACTACACTCTGCCACGATGTCCCGATTTGGCAGGTCTAGTATTCGTCCACCGGGGGAACGCACCGGAAGACCGAGCACCGTTCCCAGAGACCTCGACGGGCGCAGCCTTTGGCCGACCCTGCATGTCTCGCAGATAGATATGAGGGCTATTTCTATTCGGTATGTGACAGTTCGAGAGGTCTCATGGACCACCGGTGGGCAGACCGATCGGTCCTGGCTGTCTTTTTACGACGGACACGAGGTCCGCACGCAAGACGCAAACTCAACCTGACGGCAGGCGAAGCGCTGCGAAAAGGTGATACGGGACGAGATTTCTACCCCTGTCTCTCTGTTAATTCAAACACAAAAATACCATTAGCTCTGGGAGAGCGGCGCGTGCAGTAAAACGATCGGACGCCGTCGGTCGGCGCCTGCAAACGGCGCCAGTGGCCGCAGTGCACGCCACAAGCGACAGAGGCACAAAATAAGCCAGAGACGATCCTCCAGCTAGTAAGTCCTTACGTCTACATTCCCCAGAGAACACGTTTGGGGCTCCACATCGCCCATCAAGCGCAAACTCCCGGCTCGCAGGTCGGACCGACTCCCCTCTAGGAAGTACCCACCCAATCTCTGCCACACTTCCGCGCCCCGGGATCTTACCGATAGCCATATCGGGATAAAAACCACAACCTTCGGGCTTTCGTGCTTTCGTGAGGGTGTCCGCATCTGACGACCGTTTGCCACACACGGACTTCCGTCGGGAAGGAAATCCTAGATATCCTAGGACATCCACCCCTAACCGGCAGAGCCCGCTGTCACCTAAAAAGCGGGATCTGTTAACTAGAGGCCTGCGGAGGGGGATAGGCGCGGCGAAGGGTGGGTTCCTAGTTCTTCCATGGAATATCCGACCGCGTTCTTTCCACGGTGTTGCCCAAGACAAGACAGACGGGTGCCATATCGGGCTGTCCCAACATACCACATGCGCGTCTCCCCATCGCTGGGTTGTGAATCCACCCCTTTGCCCTTTCCTTACGCAACCGGTCAGCTGGTATACGTCGGACACCGAGAGGTGTGAAGTGTGATGATAGACCGATGATTTCCCAAGCCTTGCTGCGTGCGGCAGCTTGCGCAATGAGCGGCAAAGCAGTAGATTGGGGAAACGCGGTTCACCTCCATTGTGACATCTCGTACCCCATTACTTTCCGACCACCATGCTGACAGAGACCCTAGTAGCTACCTCGCACTCCTCTCACGCACACGCTGTCGTAGATGGCATGCTGCCTAGGAGCGCACTACACGTACATTCATGCTCACCCGTGTTCAAGCGGAACGGCAAAACGCCAATGCTCAAATACGTCAGAAGCACGTACGATCTGCCAGGAACTACCCGGGCGGATGTAGATGCACACCGCACGAGCGCTCCGGCTTCAAGGTTCGCACTACACCCCGACGTGCACCCGGGTAAACAGCCCCGACAGCACATGCGGCCAGTGCATGAGAACGAACCACGAGCATGAAACGGAACCCACGCACGGTCGCTCAGGCTGACAGTGTGCAGTAGCGTTCCAAGTACACGAGACAGTGGGGCCCGGGGTTTCAATGCAAAAACAGCCACGCACCTTTGCCCCTTAGCCGATGCACCCGACCCGCGGAGTCGACGTCAGACACCGACGAATGTCGCGCGACACCGCCGTGCTCTTCCGGGCGTGCACCCATGACTTCGAGAGAGACGAAGCCGGCAGCGCGCCGTTATCGCGTACCCCACGAGCGACCCCGTGGAACCCCATGTTCGTCTCAGGTCCGCAAGTCTGACCATAGTTGCCGGAGGTTCCGTCGACGGAGTCGCCGACCATCGATCTTCCGAGAACAATGGGGCGACGTGTGCCTGATCCCAGAACCGGCGCGAACCTTGAGGCTACGTAGTGAGCGGCGCACGAGAGACACACCGCTTGGGCGACATACCACCTGAGCAGAACGTCACCCATCCAGCGTGGCCGGACATAGCACGGCTCCCCGCATTCGCCTTCTCCCGCCCACGGTGCCTCCGATTACGCGTCGCCCGAGCCACGATGGACGTCTCCGATGAGGAACGATACGGGCGCTCCGTTAACCATTGACTACTACCACCGCAAGCGCTCGGGCATCCCCGTAATCTGCGTTCGCATCCCCCCCTCGTCAATTGCGTCCGCCCACGCGCCCCGCACCCGGGGCCTGAGGGCGTGCCTTTTCAATTCGCCACCAGGTCCCGCTCGAGCCGCGCCGTCGTCATCCGCCTCGAGGACGTCCGTGCTATCGAGCACCCGTAATAGCTGCTCAGTCACGTCAACGGTCAAACCACCACGCGCCGCCCACGCTGCCACCAGTCCATTGCGAGCACGTCCGCCTACGTACTCATCCCGCTGCGTTTCAGCGCAGATCCTCATGACCCGCCCGCCGTTATCGTTCGCCGCCTGCGGACTCGCGCATGCGGCGCCGCGTCCGTAGTACGCGGGGGTCAGTCAGAAGACGCGTTCCCCCCTCCGCCCGGCGCCGAAGACAGCGCAATGTCACCCACAGCTCTGGAGACTGTGATCAGAAGCCTCCGTCCGCGGCAGCACCAGTAGGCTTATCGCGTGGATATCCTGAGCTCCGTCAGGCTCCGTCCTCGCGATAGCACAACTTCGACATAGTTACGTGGGACGGTGGACGCGAGGCCGTGCGCGGCGCAGCGCCAAACGATCGGACGTGCACAGACTCGTATCCCGTGCACACCCCCAGCCCGCCCTTCTATCGGCGAACGCGATATATTGTGTGGCGTGGCGCAGCTGGCGGCGGCATGCACAATACGTTGGCTGCTTGAGAAGCCGGACCCGGATGCCATCCTCGCGCGTCCGCCGCGCTCGCACTCCGGTACCGTCGGAGCCAGGTCTGTATCGAGACGCGATCTACGATGGCTCCCGCGCGGAAAGCACTCCCTCTCTTCTGCAGGCGCGCACGGCGGCGCACGGGCACGCTGCTCGCCCACAGCCCGCCGTCACCTGCCCAGTTGGCGGTGCAAGTATCTGCACCGCCAGTCCTCCCATCCTCCCCCTTGACGTTCTCGAAAATCGGATAAGCCGTGGCGGTGGCCGCCTTCCACGCCTCCTCCGCCCGGGGCCGCGGGTGACGGATGGAACGAAGTCCCTCGAAATTGGACACGAGTCTGCACCGTCACGCAGACGGAACCCCAGAAACCGCCTCTGCACCCGGTGAGCGGCGAGCGACCAAACTGAGACGGCACGGGGACGCACCAGCTTCCTCCGCGCCCGTGCGCCCGTGCGCGAAGCTAGCACGCACGCCTTGAGGCGACTCCTTCGTAGCCTCGAGGCCCGCGCGGGACCCACGCTCGCGAGGCACCCGCACAGCCGTCGAGCGTTTGGCGCGTCTGCACGTCTATCGATGGGCGTCGATGCAACACCGCTGCGCCCTGAGACCCCCCGTGTGGGCGCGTGCACACAGATCGGACGGGGTGGCGATGAATGAGCGCGACTATGGCTCGCGCGCGCGGGGCGGTGGGGTGTCGTTGGAGGAGCTTCTAGTCGAACGTCCTGCACCGGCCCAAGGCTGTTGGTGTCAACTTGGACTTGGGCGTGGGCGTGGTCTTGCATAGGAAATCCGGATATTCGCACGCGATGTCTGTGACTTGTAATCTTCGCCCCAATTTCGTTTCTAGACGCTTGACAAGTTAATGAGTTGGGGTGAAGCGCTGTGTGGGGGGGACAACTTGTTGGTCATTGGGTGCGCAGAGCGAGTTATTGTAACAGGGGTATCGTGATTGAGCGTGAGCAGCACTGTATGGAGACAGCCGAAATTCATTGTAGCAGCTAAGAGCACGATCGCGAGCGGGGGACGAGGCATGACAAGAGGGAGAGGAAGAGCCATACTGGGGTGAGAGATACAGTGAAACATGGGTCTACAGATTGCGTTCTTCGTTAGCACACAGACGAAAGGGGAAAGCATAGTAAGACAAGAAGGAAAGAGAGGAAAGAGAAGAGACCGAAAGCGAAAAAGAGACGGCCGCGCTCTCGCGGGTCGCGTCGAAAAGGGCAAGCATAGGCGTATCCAGACATCACCGAGCCATCAGGGGTATTCCGAGGGCGACCAGGCGCAGGCCCCAGCCGCCTCAGCCCCACAAGGTAGGTCATACAATGAGGGGGGAGCGAGCGAGAAAATCCGAGTATGTCCGTTATCCCGGATAAATGAGAAAGGGTAGTGCTGTCCATCCTATGCGCCAGCGCCGACTGAACAGCACGCGAAGGGCCGCACGCCGCGCGTGCAGAAGCGGCGGGCCCCCGGCCAGCGCACGATTAATGCGGCAGTGGGGTATAGGTATGCAGACCAGCGATTGTGTTGATTGAGAGCGAGCCGAGCGTTTGAGGGGAGAGAGAGATTGAGCGGAGAAGCGTAGGAAGGTGGAACGGGGCTGTGGTCGCCAGTGTCGAGAGTGCTTCCGGCGGAGGCAGGAGTCATAGGACACCTAGCGCCTAGGGTGCACGAGCCGAACGTGTGCCTGCCACGAGCCCATCGAGACGTGCTGCAGGCCGACGAGCATCAGGTCGTCGAGCTTGATGTGGTGGGCACCCACGCGCCATCTGGCCTGCGAGCTGTCCTCCATCCGGCGACCGTTCATCTCCTATGGACGGGCGTTTAGCACATGGTAGAGGGAACACGGCGAGAAACCGACCTCGATGAAGCGCTTGATCGTCTTCGCGACGTTGCGCGCTAATTTGGCGCGGGTGACAGGGTGCGGCGGGCTACGGAAGTCCCTGGTGGGGATCTGGCGAGACCAAGGAGCGTAGCCCGGCCACTGAATCGCATAGCATCGTCGTCGGATTGAAAGGAAAGAGCAGATCGAGACCACCACAGTCAGATAACATGGACATCAGAGATAGGCATGAAGTACTGACGTTGAGCCGGATAGACACCGACGGTCCGCGCTCCTTGAACATGGGGTCGTCCCGGCCCTGCAGGTGCATGAACCGGCTACTAATGGCATCCGCAAGTGGGATGCCCATCGTGTCGCGCGAAAAGAATAGGATCGGGGCCTCCAGATCCACCTGCTCTACGTAGCGGCGACGGTCGCTCTGGGTGTGAGGTCTGTAGGTGGGCTGCGGGACGAGGTCGCCGGCCCAAGAGGGGCTGAACCGCTGGGCAATCACAAGGACGTGCTGGTACTCCTGCTTGTGCTCGCCCTGAGCGGCCGACTCGGCGTTGTCCTGGCGGCAAGTGGTCAGATGGAGTTCACGTAATGAGACAACCGACTCACCTGCTCAAGAGCACCAGGCTGGATGGTGAGCTCCGGTTGCGGGTAGTGAGGCGAGCCCGAAGCGGAACGGATCGAAGGGGTGTGAGGAAATATGTTGAATGGGGTCTGGGGCGTAGCAAGCTGAAGCGAACTGGAGGGACTTGAGTGGGAGTAGGTGGGGGTGGGCATAAGCGAAGTGGGGGAACGGTCAAATGAGGAAGTGTCAATGGAGGACATAGACATGGCACCGGAAGAAAACTCTGTCTCGACGTGGATGCGGGGGACGGCCTTGTGTGCCTGTGCGGGCGCGTGTGGGTTATCGAAAGAAGGGGCAGTGTCGTAGTAGGAGTCGTGCAGGGGGTGTCCAGTGCGGTCGAAAGTGATCGAGGAGGATGCTGGCGCGGGACCGACGAGGAGGAGGGAGTTGGAGTGCCAGGGCGAGGGCGAGGAAAAGTCGGAGCTGGAGAAAGAATTGTCGAGGGAGTCTGGGATCATGTCGCGGTCATCAGAGTAGGAGAAGCCATATTGCTAGAGGACGAAGGTGAGACAGTGACTAGACAAGCAAGAGGCAAGCGTACGGGAGAGAACATGCCGAGTTCCTGGAGCTGATCGTCCTGGGACGCGATGCCCAAGAAGTCAGGGTGCTGCGGCCCGGCGCCGAACTCGGTGGGGCTGCGGGGAGAGTGGCTGCGAAAGGGTAGGGGTCAGTGAGGACGACGGAGGTGGAGGTGACGAGGACATACTTGGGAGAGGAGGGGTTCATGGTGGGCGAAGGCGAAGACAGGCGGATTGGTGGCGGAGGCGAGCAATGGGGAAGACGATATACTTGAGGAGGGGGATATGTCTGGAGGGAGAGACAGGACGCGCCGTATTTGAAGGGGGGCGCGAGCGTCTGTATGATCGTACGAAAGAGGAAAGTAAGAGGGACAGCCTGCAGCCGGCGAGGAGGCAGGACAGGGCTTTGGGAAATGGGGGGAGACCTCCCTCGCAAAGCGCCGCGTCCCCGGGAAATCGGGCGGAGAGCGAACAGGTCCGGGCGGCGCGTGTTGGCGCGTCCCCCCGACCGCTCAATGTCGGGCGCGATGGAGGGGGCGTAGACGATTCTGGTGGATGTGCCGTCCTCGGAACGCAAAGGCACCTGTAAGAGTACTCCCACACGACGCTCCCATGCGCACCGCCGAGGGTGAGCAAGACCGGCGAGACCAGTCACAGCACCTCTGGACGGAGTGACATGATAACTCGATTGGGGAGACTCACCGCAGGACGAGTCAGAGGGAAGGGCGAAGACGCGCGGGACCGCAGGGTCGCGCGCAGGACTCTGCAATCCCCCACCCCCCACCCCCTCGGCCCTTCCCGGCCGGAGGCGATGCGTCCAAGTTCGTTCGCTCAATCCAACGAACCCTCAAGGCGCACACAGACGCAAGAAGGCACTGCATAGAGCAAGCTTCGCAGATAGCCCATCTTGGAGATTTCATGGACAGACGTGCATACCAGGTGCAGACGAGAAAGCCGAGAGGCCCAAGGACAACGAGCATCCCCTCCGCGTTCACACACGCTCGGCAAGCGAGTTACAAGATGGTATACAGCACTCGGCAGCTCAAGGACTACATGATAGCGTGACACAGAAAGAACAGTGCGTGATCCAAGTCTACAGCGTACAAGACGAGGTGGGAGAGCGATGTGACCGAAGAGGGTGTTGGATCGATGGCAGGAGGATGGGGGTCGGAGATAGACAAGTGGACATGTCGACATGTGCAGAGGGAGCAGGCGGCAGGCAATGTGTTGCAAAGAGGGACCCTGAGCTGTAGTCGGCTGCACAAAGAGCCGAATTCCGCGCAGGGTCTGAGGACGAGCGGGAGGGGTGGCAGGTCGGAGGAGAAGGAGCGCACGAGCGCAACGCTGCTCGCCGTCGCACCAGCGTTTCGCGCTTAGCCACATTTGGTAGGTCTGCTCCGGTTACAGCTACCGGGTACTATCCCTCCAAATTCGCTCAGATATTCCCCATATCTCATCCACATATCATTGTTTATACCAAAAATCATCACATATCGCCAGATTGGCCGCAGGTTGCCGTCGTGGGCCGGGCGAAGAGTCGACGGTCCCCGTATGTTGGGCCCACGTGGAATGGGCGTCTGGCCTCGAGTGCGCGCGAAGGAGTAAGCGCCGAGCGCGTCGCTGTGGTTCGCGCTCTCTCCGCCCACCATGTCCTCCCTCGCAGGAGCACTGCTCTCCCCCCAGACTAAACATGACCCTCTACATGCCAGCGGCTCCGCGTCCCCCAAGGAGGAAGACGCTGACATGGAAAACATAGACTATATCAAGCCCAGCTTGCCAGGCGAACACACCGACGATGACGGCAAGGACGAAGACGAGCAGGAGGAGCTGAACGACCTCTTCGGTGGAGACGAGGACGTGAACATGGTCGAGCACCAGTACGCGCGTCTCTCCCTATCTCGCGCACCATCCTAAACCGGCTCGTATGACCCCAGGAGGCCCGCTTCTTCCGCACCCTCAGAGCACGCGGACCAGGACGACGGACTGTCGTCCCCGGAACGCCACCGCAGAGAACTCTTGGAATATGCCGAAGAAGACGAGCCAGAGCAGGTTTTGGAACAGCGTCTCGAGGCCGATGTGGCCATTCCCGACATCCCAGCGCCGAGGAGCTCGGATGGCAGCGTAAGTGGCCCTCCTACTCCTCCGCCCGCCCGCCCGCTCGCCTGCCTTCTCCCGCGCCGCCACGCAGCTACTGACCTCTCGCGCTTAGCATTGGGTTATCCGCATGCCAAACTTCGTCAAACTCGACTCCAAGCCCTTCCATCCCGACACCTACGCCGGCCCGGAGGAGGACGACGATGCACAGCAGGCCGAGTCCCTGCGCGAAAAGAGCATGTCAATTAAGCTGAAAGTAGAGAACACCGTGCGCTGGCGGTGGGCAAAAGACGAGTTCGGCCAGGACGTGAGTGATTCATTAACCACCCCCCGCACCTTCTCCGTCCTCGCGTAGCCCACCCACTGACGCCCGGCTTCTCTCCCCCGCTCCCGTCTCCCCCGCACGGCATCTCCCGCTCCCATATCTCATCCTCGCCATGCGCTTCTTCCCCCAGCGGAGGCAATCAAACAGCCGCATAGTCAGATGGTCGGACGGCTCCCTCAGCCTCCAGCTCGGAAAGGAACTATTCGACGTCTCCCAGTCCATAGACACCTCCGGCGCCGTCCCGCGACAAGCCCTCGGCGGCGCCAGCCTCTCCCAAGCATCCTTCTCCCAGTCCCAATCCCAGTCCCAGTCCCTCGCCCAGTCCCAGTCCGCCCCCGGGACCACCGCCGGCCAGGGCCTCACCTACCTCGTCGCGCAGCACAAGCGCGCCGAGATCCTGCAGTGCGAGGCCGTCGTCACCGGCTACCTCTCCCTGCGCCCCACCGGCATGCAGTCCGAGACGCACCGCATGCTCGTCCGCGCCGTCGGCCAGAAGCACAACCGCGTCGCGCGCCTCCGCATGGCGCCCGAGCCCACCACCGACCCCGAGCGCGAGCGCCTCGAGCTCGAGAAGGCCGCCGCGCGCAAGCCGCGCAAGTCCCGCGGCGCCCTCGACGACGACGGTTTCGGGGGCGGCGGTGGCGGCGGGCGCAGCGGGGGCCGCCGCCGCTCCGGGTACGCGCGCAAGCGCAACGGGGACGACATGTGGTCCGACGACGATGACGACGACGACGGCGGGTTCGGGCGCGGCGGGTCCGAGGATGAGTACGGGGACGAGGGCGGCAGCGGGCGCAAGGGCAAGCGCGTCGGCAAGCCGTCCGCAGGTGGGGACGAGTCCGGGCGCAAAGGGCCGGGCGAGTACCAGACGGACGACTTCGTGGTCGCGGACACGGACGAGGACGAGGACTTCGCCGAGGAAGAGACGCGGCGCCGGAAGCGCAAGCGGGCCGCGCGCGACGCGGAGGACGGGGACGCGGAAGAAGACGATCTCGAGCGCCTCGAGGCGCAGATCTCGCAGAACGAGGCGGCGGAGCGCAAGCGGCGCCAGCGCGACGGCGACGCGGGCGCCGGAGGGGGCGCCGGGGGAGGCTCCGCGGACAAGGACGGCGGCGAAGACGCGATGGACGTCGAGAGCGAAGAGGAGGAAGACGACGACTTCGCGCCGCACCGGTCCCGGGCGTCCGGGCCCCGCAAGCGACGCGCGCTCGGGCTCGAGGAGGAGGAAGAGGACGACGAGTAAACCTAGTCCTGCGGCCCGCCGCTCACACGCTTGCTAGCTTCCATCTCCGTCACCGTGTACCGTACTGCTATCGTGTACCGCCCCTGCTGCTATCGGAAAATGTACTGTAATCACCACCCCGCGAGTATTGTCACGCGTGAGCCATTTTTGCGCTTGCAGCGTCATGTCATGCATGAGAAGCAGCCGGCCAAGGCCACCACCCTAAATCCAATGTCTCCGGTGCGCATGCACACAGACGCGCGCTGTCACCGCTTGGGCTTAGATTGCATTGCAAAGCACGGCGGACATGGACGGGGTCTGGCCACGGCGACGGCTATCGCTGGGGACATTCACTCACGGACGCGGCATCGCTAGCCGAAGCACCTTCGCGCTGGTAGATGGACATACGACTGGCTGGTTATCCCGAACGCTAACTAAGGTCCACCGTGACCACCGCCTCGGATGTCCCGCAGAACCTTCTCTTCGTCCCACTTCCCCACCGGCTTGATCGCGTCCACCACCGCCTGGTTCTCCGCATTGGCGTGCAGCAGGTTCCGGAGCGCGAATATCGCGTGTTCCCGCAAGTCTATGAAATGGGGAGGAGTCACGAAGAACCCAGTCAGTCCCGCCCCGGGTCTCGCCCCGCGCCCCACCGCAGATAGACGAAGGGGCGCGAGGACCAATAGAGAAGACGGTCCAGACTCACATGGGTTGTAATCATCCACTACACACAGGTTCATGACGACAGAGATGCCACCGCATTCCCGAACGCGCTCCTGCACCGAACGGTTCTCCGCCGCCAGGATCCCAAGCAAGCGGACCAGGTCCCGCCGGACCAGCGCGAACGCCTGTGCTGCACTAGCGTCCTCTGCAGACGGTCCAGTCAGGCCCGCCCCACCTGCGTCCTCGGTGGTGCTTCCGGAAGAGGTTTCATGGCCCTGCCCCAACACATCCGCTCCTTCCGGCACTACCGGGCGCTTCGCCACCCTGCCGTACGTAATGCGCGGCACAAACACGTCGACGAGCCGGAGTGTTTCTGCGCGTCCCAAACCCAAACGCAGCGAGCGATACCGCGGTGTACATGTGCGGGGTCAGCAGACACCGCAAGCAGACGCACGAAAATGGCGCACCAATCAGGCTCTCGACGAGCCGCGGGCCAGACCGTTCCGCCGTGGCGGCGACGAGGAGGTCTTTGGGTGACAAGTGCTTGGGCTGCGTGTCCCCGGGACGCGTCGCGGCGGCCGCGGCTTCCTCAGCCCGCAACGCCACCGTCGTCAGGCATTGGGTGACGAGCACCAGGGCCTCGCAGACCTTCGGAAGGAGCAAATCGAGGTTCTGCAGCGGCGGTGGGGCCGCGTCTGGCTGCTCTTCTCCTGCGACCTCCGTGCTCGGCGGAGGATTGGAGTGCGCTTCGCGGGGCGGTGACGTGCGGCCGGACCCAAGGGCGCGTTGAATTGCGTCCTGCGCGTACTTGGAGAGCGCGAAGAAGGCTTCTGTGAGCACGTCGAAGAGGGAGCGGCCCCTGTCTGCCGCGTGTCGCCTTGACAACGCGACCTCATGGGCCTGTTGCGAGGCGTGCAGGTACGAGTCGACGAGCTTGAGAAGCGTCGTCTGGTGCGCCGTGACCACCTCGTCTTCGCTGCAAAGCGGGCAGTGGTCAGAACTCGCCGACGGCGCAAACGTAACACACAAAGTTTGATGATGGGCGTGTCAATCGCACGGGCGGAGGTGGGTAGATTGCTTACACAGTCAGACGAGCGTACAGCTCCGCCACCAGGCCCGCTTCAATTATGCGTTCAATTATCTCGTACCTGTGCGGACGTATTTTCGGTTAGTAGTCAAGATGCCGCAGCAGCCGCAGGCGGCCCGCCCCATGCTTACGCACCCGATGACAAAGGCGCGCCCCTCCTCGCTTTCTTCATCCGCCTCGAATAAGGAAGCGATACGGTCGAGCATCGTAAGGCATATTCGGGGTCCGCGTGGGCTTCTAACAAGTAGTTCCCTACAGAACGTCGTCAAAGATGGTTGTCGGCCAGCTGGTGTACTCGGGGGCGGCGGGTACATACGCCCTGTGCGCGTTATCGTGGACGCAATTGAGTACGAGCACGAATGCCGAGGAGACCGTGCGTGCATCTGGTGATGCAAAGAGACGGCTAGGCGGAGAACGTCGGCGCAGAATATCAGGGCGGGACGCAGAAGAGGAACTGGGGCGCACATACGTGAGTATGAGCTGCTCTTCCGGTAGGTTCACATAGGTCGACCATAAGCTTTGTGTTAATGCATCATTGCCCGTGACAATATTTGACAACGCCTGTGAGAGCATCCGTGTGGCCGGGAACGCTGCAGAGTTTTTAGACATGGGCAGGCATGATTAATGGCAGACATAGACCGACAGCTTGCGTCTTGAGTTGCATTAAAGGTAGTGTAGTGATAGATTAGACGTCTAATGGCGCTTTCATTTGCGCTGTTTGAGCAAGAAGCTTCATTATGAGATAAGACTGCGCAGAGGCGGGAGAACACGCGAACATACAAAGCATTTTCCTGATTGGCCGGGGTGGCGGCTACGAGATTACGCGTAAACCTGGCCAAACTGACGGAGAGCTGGATGAGGCGCGGGGCGTCATCGGCCTCAGAATCTGCGTGGGCGTCGGCGGCGGCGTCCCAGAGAGAGCGTAGGACAGGCCAGATAGAGGGGTTGGTGGCATTGCCAATATCCTGTCTAGAACGCGGACACATGATCAGGCACTGGCACTGACGGGTGCTGCGAACGGCTTGGGCTTACCTCGCATCCTGGTTCGCGGCGAGAATGGCGGCGTATTCATCCAGTGTCTCCGTGAGGATGCGTACTCGTTCCGCGATATCGGGATCGAATCCATCCGCCACAAGCCGGATTCTCCGCACATCGGCGTAGACGCTGTCAGGCCTGGATTTGCTCATCTTTCCGAGCCGGAAATGAATTAGTCGAGAGGTGTGGGATTGGGGCTGGAGTTCATTCTCCTCGGCGCGAACGAAGTTGTGGTCGTCGTGGTTGGTGAACAAACTGCTCAACACGATCGATCTTGCGATCGGTGCGCTGTTGGCGCCCACAGACGCCCATTCTGCCACCGCGCGCTGCCCAGCCACAGTCACGGCCACTGCCTCCGCCTCCGTCTCCGTCTCCGTCGTGGACACCCACAAGCTCGAGAGGCGAGCATCGCACTCAGCACGGCTGATATCCCCGTCATCTTCATCATCATCATTAACGTCGCCCACAGACAATAATGTCAGGAGACAACGGTCCGGCGACCCTGGCAGTGTCACTCGAGGATCACCTCGCGGATACTCTCCGCCCGCTCGTGCCCCTCCTGCCCAAACCCCTTGCCGCAGAACTGGACAGCATCCTCACCGCCGCCCCGCCTCCCAACTATTCCGACGGCGACTCTATTGACACAGCGCCGCCGCCTGTCAAAGTCGTCCCATACGACCTCCTCGCCGCCCTGTCCAAATGGTCCAGAACCCCAGAGGGCGAACAGGCACTCGTCCGTCACGAGCCGCCGCTGCGCGCCCGGGATTATACCATGCTGGCCCTTCTCGCCGGCACGCGCACCTCCCCAGATCGCCGATTCCCCTCCGTGCCCGTCCCAGGTACGACCGCCGACTCGCAGGCGGCGCGTCGGCGCGAGCTGAGCGACCGACGCGCCGTGACTGCGGTGCTCAATGCGCTCCTCACCATTGGCGGCTCGGCCATCGCGGCTTTCTACGCCTCCGGCCGCCTTGCATGGAAGGACGAATGGGTGAGTGGCCGAACTTCCTCCTGCGGGGGCTCGTGTCGGTAGACTTCGTCGGCTGCGCCCCGCTCGCGGAGCATAACGGGCAGCTGTGCACGCTTAAGCCTGATGCGGTGTTCATCTTGGGGGAACCCCCATACCACAGAGACCACAGAACCCCCGTGCCTATGGGCCAGGCCAGCCCGCCCAGCTGCCCATTGGCACTTTCACGCGCGAAACACCCCCAGTCTGCCGGCATGAGCCCCCGTTCGTTCCTCTGCGCACAACCGCGCCCTGCGGGCGTGCCTGGGGCATTCACTGCTCAAACGTCTGACTCACGCCTTCCCCCCGTCAGAGAGTGCTTCTAGCGCTATCGGTGGCTATCGTCGTCGCATCCTCCGAGGCCGTCCTCTATCTGATATGGTCCTCCCGCCGGAAGGACCGAAGACCACGCACGGGCGCAGCACGACGCCGCGCGCCCGGCGACAAAAAGTCAGAGCCGACTTCCCCTTCTGGACACGACGGCGGACCGCAGGACCTCGCAGTCTCATCTTCACGCGCTCCAGGCACCGACTCCGGGTTACGAGAGCGTGCCCCGACCAAGAATGTACATACTGAATGAATTGCGTTCCCCCCCCCGCTTCTCCCGCGGGCGCCGGCTGCCTTCCCTTCCCCGCGCGCTATCATCGTCCGACTGCGCGCCTGCGCCTGGCCATGCCATGCTTTCGAAGTGCTACGCCTTCTTGTTTCAAACACGCCGACGCTGTCTCCGACAGCCGTTTCGGCCCCACCTGCCCATTCTGCACGCATTTCAAACCGCCCCGCAGCCCACCACCCACGGGATGCCGAGATAAACGTCAGGATTCGAAGCGGCCGCGACTGCGCGGCGCCGCCGTCGGACAAACTCATGTTTCGGCCAAGGACGTTCGGAGGACGATGTGCAGAATACCCGGCATGCGGACGTCATGTCGGCGCTCGAGCTGGCGTAGTAGTATCCGGATATCTGTACAAGGGATGGCAGCCCCGACGTACCGGGCTCACTGTCGCCGTCAAGAAGGATATCGGTTCATCAAGCAAATTGTAGCCCGAGCGTCACCCACCAACGAGCGCGCACCTGTCCCTGTTGCCGCGGAGTGGACAGATCTCTTCCGGAGTCTGAGTCCGTTCCCGTGCAGCTCCGACCTCCGGCCCAGCACCACTGGCAGCTGTCAATCCGCCACCCCTGCGCGCGCGCACGACTCTCATGTGCCCTCATGCTCTATCACTGCGGCAGATCACCCAAAATTATTCGTACACGCCTAGGATGCGCATGAGCGAGCAGAGATACCACCCCGTGAGCCCCCACACCTCCAGCCGCCCCTCCCTCCCTCCGCCGATCTCGTCGCGCTGCGCCGGGTCGTTCGTCCACTGCACCACGGGGTCCCCATCGTCCGAGTGCACCGCGTGCGGGCCGCCTACCAGGTCCGCGACGCTGATCGCGTAGTACGGGCGCGCGCCGCGGAAGAGGTACGAGTGCATGCGGGTCGGGGACAGCAGCGCGGAGAGCGGGAGGTGGAACGCGTGCGCCACCTCCCGGGGAGACAGCGCCAGGGTCGCGAGTGACAGAGACGGCAGGGGTGCGTCCAAGTCTTCGGGCGTGGGCGCGGTCGCTCCTGTGCCGGCGGGACGCACGAACGCCTGGGGGAGTGACGTGAGCGGTGCGCGGGAAGGGGTGGGTGAACGCTCGCCCGAGAGAGCGTAACAGTAGTATAACTGGCGTGTTTGGAAGGGCACGTACGACACAGGGCCAGACCCGCAGGCCCTTGAGCGACGTCTCGGGAGGCCCGAAGCGTCCGAGTATCTCCACTTGCTCAGGGCGAATGCCAACTTCTTCTTCCGTCTCCCGAAGTGCAGCAGCTAGTGTACTTGGGTCTGTCTTTGTACGCCCAATGTACGACATATGTCAATGCATGCGACGCGAGCCATGCCGCACCCTTGCTCGGGTAGAGCGGGCGGGCGGGGGGCGTACCTCATCGACCTTGCCGCCGGGAAAGCTGTCGCACCGCGCGCGGGGTCTGTTGTAGTTTCACAGTCACAGAGTGCTGCTGCAGCGTACCTGACTTCTCCCGAGTGCGTTCTCAGTTTCCCGCGTACCTCGAGCAGGACGCCCGGCCTCCCGTCCACGTTGCAGAGCGGGACGAGCACCGCGGCGTGTGCCTCCGCCGGATCAAGCGCGTGCTCCGACGCCTGCCCATAAGCAGCCTCCAAGGCGTGCCGTATCGCGATACACGACCGCCGCGTGAGGGGCTCCGTGAGCGAGACGACAGACTTGCTGGACGACGAGCCAGCAGCAGAGAGGGCAGCGGGGGAGGCGGAGGACATGAGTGTTCGGAACATGGGGCACGACCCCGGGCGCTCCGCCCAGTGCGCGCAGGTGCGCGCACCTTCGCCTCCGACCGCCATCTGCCACAGCCGGGAAGGATGCCCGCGCGATGAGAGGCTACCATATCCGCATCTCCCTCGTCGCTGCCTCTGCATCCGCTTCGAGCTCTACCGCAACCTCAGGCTCATACAAGCAGGCTTCGGCCATCGCATCTGCAGCATCTGGCAGCCGCAGCGACACCTTTGTCCCTCGGTACCTCTTTCAGCAGCTCCCCTCGCACAACCCAAAGTCTAGCGCGCGGCGCAACACGCTCTCAGTTCATAGTACGGGCGCACATCCACACGTTCAAAGCCAGAAACGGACAGACTACCGGCACGGGCCCATCCGCGTAGACTGGGTGGACTTCTCACACATGGATGAGGCAGGCGGCTTCAAGAAGGTCAGCGCGGGCAAGGAACGCGAAACGTCCGGTCTGCGCAGAGGTAAATCGCTCACCGCCTTCAAACGCACGCACAGCTAGCCAAGTAGCCTAAGAGACTAATCATCATGTGTGCAGGGGAGCCAGCCACCGCGACATTCGTGCCACACAGCAAGTCCGGCTCGGCCAATTTACCCGAGGGCGTAGTGCACATATTCCGTGACTACCCACATGCATCCCCGGCGGATGGCCATACCTCCGGTCCCAGGGATGCCTCCGCGGCCGCAGCTTCTGTGCCAGATGGAGAAACCGAAGGCACGTCTATGAAGAACATTGAGGCGGACGATGTCACGCTTGCCGTTCTGGCGGTACCTTCGTGGATGACACCCTCCGACTTCCTCGCGTTCGTTGCGCCTGCGGCAGACGGTATTGCACATTTGCGAATGATCAGGCGCGCGTTTCTCGTATTGCTCCCGCAGCCATATGCATGTGCTCATATGTTCGTATGTCGGATATGTCAACAGGGACTCGGCACCGAACCGCTCGGTCGTCGTGATGAAATTCCGGGACCCTGCAAACGCGGCAGAGTTCGTGGAGGCGTACAATGGAAAACCGTTCAACAGCATGGAGGTCCGTGGCATATCTGTCTCACTATTTTTCGCCAAGCAACCACACTAAACGTTCGTTACACTGCACAGCCAGAGGCGTGCCATGTGGTGCGCGTGCTCTCCATAGCAATTGACAGCGACGACCCCATCTCCGAGAGCATAACGCGCATCGGCTCCGCTCGCGTCTCCGGAGCATACGAGCTGCCCACTTGCCCAGTCTGCCTCGAGCGCATGGACGCCGCGGTAACGGGGCTCGTTACCGTCCCCTGCTCGCACACCTTCCACTGCGCGTGTCTCAGCAAATGGGGCGACAGCAGGTCAGTTCCTCCGGGCGCATTACGCTAAACACAGCCTCAAACGCGTTTCACGCAGGTGCCCCGTCTGCCGCTACTCCCAGACGCTCCTCTCCTCGCACCCGTCCTCGCCCAACACCTCACGCACCCCGCGCGCCGTCCCGTTCGCGCCCTCCGCGTCCCCGAACGAGCGCTCGCACTGCGCCGACTGCGCCTCCACGACGAACCTCTGGATCTGCCTCATCTGCGGAAACATCGGCTGCGGCCGCTACGGCCGCGCGCACGCGCACGCGCACTACGCCGCCACCACGCACCTCTACGCGCTCGAGCTCGAGACGCAGCGCGTGTGGGACTACGCCGGGGACGGTTACGTGCACCGGCTCATCCAGAACAAGGCCGACGGCAAGCTCGTCGAGCTCCCCTCCGCAGCGGCCGGGGTCGGCGCGCGCAGCGACGGTGGCGTCGGCGGCGGCGGGCCCACGGCCGCGGACGCGCTCACGGCGGAGAAGATCGAGGCGATCGGGATCGAGTACTCGTATCTGCTCACGTCGCAGCTCGACTCGCAGCGCACGTTCTACGAGGAGCAGACTGCGGAGCTGCGCGGGCAGGTCGAGTCCATGCGCTCGCTCGTGGAGCAGCTCGGGGCGGAGGTTGAGCTGCACAAGCAGCGCGCGCACCAGGAGGCCGAGCGCCGTGCCCAGGACGAGGCGGCACGCGTCGCCGAGCTCGAGCGGGAGAAGATCAAGGCTGAGAAACGGGCCGAGAAGGCGACGGAGCTCGCACGCACGCTGGCCAAGGAACTCCGGGAGGAGCGAGCCGTGAGCGAGGGCCTGATGAAGAATCTGGCTGTGGCGAAGGAGAACACGGACGCGGCATCACGCGAGACCGATAACCTGCGGACGCAAGTGCAGGAGCTCCAGGACCAAGTGCGGGACGTGATGTTCTTCCTCGAGGCGAAGAACAAGATCGAGAGCGGCGAGGGCGTCGCTGCGGAAGCAGCGGGTGGATCGCTCGAGATTACTGAACAGCCTGATACGAGACGTAGCGGAGGCAAGAAGCGCAACAAGCATTAATCCTCCGTACGCGCTATCATCCGACCGGCGACCGATACGTTTTGCTCATGCTCAAGGTAGGAGATGTCCGAGTGTGTACGATAACCTCACACAGACAGGGTGTTGCATTGATCTGCTCAATGGACCAGAGCCTCGATTCCGACGGCTGAATGTCTGCCCAAAAACAACAATTCCGTCGCCATAAATTGTACCACATGGTGTGCCCTAAATAACAGTCATAATGACCGAACCTTCATGTCCGTTATGCTAATAAGTACACTACTTAATCTTCGCCGTATCTACGGTAAGCAGCGAAGCGGGTCAAAGTGTATCGGACAGATGCTGCTCTATGCACCCACACTGCACGGAAGCCCGACGGCGATCATACGAAGTTGCGGGAGCGTACCAAAGTAGCTACCGAAGCGAAGTGCCTGTGGTCGCAGACATCGAACCCGTCCGCTTCGGGTTCGGATTCACCTTCACCCTCATCATGAACATAGGGCGACCGGGGCGCCGCCGCACCACCTGTTGCTGTTGCTGCTGGTGCGTCCACGCCCCCGGGCACGACTTGAACTCGATTTGCACGGTCGTCGCCCCCCGCTTAAACGCCTTCGTCCCGCCCTCCCAGTTATCGACGTGGTCCATCCAGCAAGCCTCCTGGTGCGGGTCACCGTACTCGTCCTCCTCCCGCTCCCGAATGACCAGTTTCGGCCCAGGCAAGAAGACGACCATGACGCAAAGCGCGGGATATATCTGAGTGCCGTGTGGGGTCCGCGTGCCGGTGTGCCAGGAGGATCCAGCCTGTCGTGGTGTGCTCGCTCTTATTGCTTGTACAGGTGGCTCAAACGCGGGACACGGTCCGATGTGGACGAGGATGACCTCGGTAGAGCTGCACAGCGCAAGGGTGTGGATCTCCGGGGAGGTGGGAAAGCCGACCTGAAGGGCGAGTGCACGACAGCGATGGTTCGGCCAGAGCCACACCGAGTATCCTTTCTGCTCGATCTGGGTGATGGTCCAGCCGGGCACAATGACTTCGCACGGACACTCGTAGCTCATCGGTATGAGTGAATAGTCGCTGCTGCTCCGCACGAGTCCAGCTCCAGGGTAGATCTCCCATGCGTCCAGCCTAGAGGCAGAGTCAAAGCGGGAGCGGTGTGCAATGCAGAGGCGGGCCCACTCCGCCTTCGTCAGGCCCCCGATTTCGTAGCCGGGGGAGGCAGGACGGTAGAAGAGCACCGGTTGCTCATGCTGGCTCCGAGGTAGAACCACCGCGCGATACAACATGTCGTCCGTGAGAGTGAGAGGGGTGGAGCTGCTGGTTCGGCCGCCAGAAGAGGACCGTGAAGAGCGGATCCTCACCCCAGTTACGCCATCGCTCGGAAGATGGCTTAAGGCTTCCATGTCTTCAAACAACCAAGAGGGAATTTGTGAGCCTCGTGCTCCCACCACAAAGCGACCAGACTGTTCGGAAGTATTGGGCTGCTGGGTCAGGAGAAGTGCGATTAACTTTCCCTGGGAAGCAGTGTCAGGCCCCTCGACCAGACAACCCAGCACAGCCAGCCGCAAAGCAGAGGTGGAAGAACTGTTGATGACGATAGAGGGGAAGGACGAGCGGACACCATAGCTAGTGATGGTGTAGTCCGGCACCTCCCCAAGTATCCCAAGGCGCTCCTCGAGCCGGTCAAGAGGTACCGGTGCTATGTGGCCGGAGTACTGAAACTCGGCAGGAGAGCGAGCAAACAGCACAGAGGGGTCGAAGCCGTCCCGGTACTCGAACTGCCATCTGAGCGAGCTTCCATATGTCGATACGCCGAATATGGACCCCCACGCAAAGATGGACTGGTCGCGGATGTGTTTCAGGATCTCCTCCTGGAGCCGCAGGAACGCAGCGCGGCCCTCGCCATATATCGTGGGCATCTTCACGCCGAAAATGCCCATGAGCGAATACGCCTCGTCCTCGGGCCGCTTGGTCTCCCGCCGCGACGCCCACGACATCCGCCTCGCCACGCTGACGGAGTCCAGTGGCCGTTCGTGGGTGAGGATATCCCTCTGTATCCCAGTGACCTGTTCGACAACGTCCGCCAGGCTCGCCTTCGTCCCGATGAAGCGCCATTCCTTGGAGACGAACTCGAGCGACCGCGGCGCGATGAGCTCCTGCAGGGTCCACCCGCGTCTGAACCACCTGCTCCGGCGGAACGACGCGTGCGTCTTCCGCGGGTTCTCCGCGTCGCTGACGTCGTACAGGTACGCGAAGCACACGTCCGCCGCGCCGTACCACTCGTACATGGAGTTGATCGCCTCAGACAGTTCCGAGCTGCTGCTCTTGTCGATGCAGCACGTGTCGATCCAGATCTTCTTGAACCCGCGCCGCCGTGCGTATTCGCAGCAGTCCCGGATCTTCGCGGACGCCCGGGGCAGGATGGAGACGCGCTCGGAGCGACGCGCCCTGAACAGTGACGAAAGTTGGCGGGTGAGGCCGCGGTTGAGGTCCCGGATCTCCTGGAAGGTCTGTTCGCCGTCGTGCTGCCATACATGGGATAGGATTGCGTAGCGTTCCTTTCCGGGGCCGTCAACGAGCTCGAGTTCCCCGGTAGTAGTGTCGAGGAGGTACATCGCGACACGGGGCGAGCAAGATCACTACGCAGCACAACGGCATCAGCCTAATGGTCATTGGACTTGATTCGAAGCACCCACCAGAGTCTTGAGCCGCGACGACCCTGCGGTTAGGGCTGGGTGTGGTGAGTAGCAACAAGGAAAACGACGGAGAACACACAACAAATTCTCCGTGAGAAGTCGAGATCTGTCAAGCTGATGCACCGAACGGAAGCTTGCCCTGATACGTATTTATGCGATGTCAACTTTCCGGCGTTGGTAAAAGTCCCACGGAACCGCACGAGCCGCTCGTACGTACGGGGTGCAATACTGCAATAGCGATCTAGTAACACGAAAACAATGCGACAATTATTCGCTAGTATGAGTACACGAGAGAGGCATATGCAAGCGTCCATCCTGGTCACACAACTCACAACTCGAACGCAGTCATCACAAAACGCTCGTCCAGCCTCGACGCCAAAAGCGCGTCTAGTATCCCAATTCCCGTCTTTTGTGCTTCAACTCTCGTCCCATTTCACCATGACATGGAGGCTGAGGATCCCGATTACCTCTGTGCCCTTGCCTTTTCTCTCAACGATCGCAACCCAGATCGCCGCAACGTCGTAGATCGCCCTCTCAAGAATGGCGAATCGAAAAGAGCGGCGGTCCTGGATGCACTCGCCCGACTCCTCGTTCACAAGGGCAGGGACCAAGTGGTGGCAGTCGGCGCCGGATTGAACGCTGGCCACGTTGAATTCTACGTCACAGAGAATACGGCGGTCTCCCCTCTGACCGTCCCACATCTGCACAACATCTGCACGCGGCTCATCGACATCCGAGCCACTATCCAGGCCTCTCCCGACCACGCCGCCATCCTCCGCACGATCTCCTCCCCAGTTCATCTCAAGGCGGATACCGCGGAGTCTGCCTTCGCCTCTCTCCGCGGCCTCCAACTGTCTCTAGTCAGCCATTCCATCGAACGCATACAGGCCCGGTTCACGAAATTACACTGGCCCAACAAGGTCGACCATGTCCTCACATGCATCATAGGTCCTCCCGCGAAAACTCGAGTTGACCTCTCCGAACGCGAGCGACGTGCTCTGGAGGAGCTTCAAGCGTCTACTATTGTACAGCTGTCTGTCAGACAGCTCGGTGATGCTGTTCAGCTCATACGGGAGTCCATCGATCAGGGATCCAACTACGACGTGGACAAAGTACGCCGAGCGTGCATAGCGCTGGCCACCGTTGTTAATACCATACCTGCCCACACGATGGTCTCCTTCGATCAGTTTATTTTCGGTTCGTGGTCTTACTCTGAATGATGTTCGCTTTTCGGCTAACGTCGATCTCCTTCAGCATATGTCAACCGCATACATGAACCTCCCAGAAAGTCACCCAACATGGCCAAATGGCTGAAGAAGGTTTCCTTCGTGATCGCGGAGTATCGGAGCCTACTCAAAATTCTCACTACGCCCTCTCTCTCCGCCCTGTTCGGCGATCATGTCGTCATTCATTCCGTTGTCAACAGGCCGCCGAGGAGAGCTTTTGTCACGAACCTCGAGATCGGTAACATCACGACGACGTTCGACGACCTTGGATTCAATGCACGTAACTTCAAGAATATCCAGGACCTCGTTGTCGAAGTCGCACATCTAGCCAACCACAGTACGTCGTTAACCTACGGCTTTCTTCGAGGTGCTCTACTGACCGATTGGCCGTGTGCAGCCAAGGTGAAGCTTGTTCACTGCGAGTGCGCTTTACTCTGCCATCTCGACCAGCTTGGACAAGCGATGCTGCCATACATTGGGGTTTCGAAACTGTCTTGTGCGTTCTGCGATATGTACTTCGACTGCTACCGGCGCAACAAGGAATCCGAGGTGCGCACTCGTGGAACCTACGGGCAGACCACCGCGTGGATGTGGCCCGACCTCCCCGACGACGGCCCTATCAGGACGATGTTTTGCAGGAAGCTCCGCCTATATCTCCAGGAGAGGCTTGAGGACGCGAAGGCACAGAGTAGGGCATCAATGGACTCTCAAAGCACGTCGGCCTCCGACGACATCGGTAAGTCTTCGTGTGCTCGCTGTGTGTGACGGAAGCTTTGCTGACTATCCAAGCAGAAGGCGTAAACGATTGGATGAGACTTTATGAAGATTGACCGAGTAACAGACAGAGTTTAGGGTGATGTGCATAGCGACGTTGTGAAGTGAATTGGATTGATTTGTACAGTATGTAGTATGTTTTGGGTGTTTCTTTTTTCTCTGAAATATGTATACTGTGATCTGTGTTCTAACTAGAGATACAGATGTATCCTTATAACAACATCTTGTGAGGGCTGGGCGTAGTAGTGCTGATGCACCGAATCGAAGCTTGCCTCGATAAGTACGTACTTACGCCATGTCAGTCCGGCGTTCGTGCAGATTCCACGGAACCGCATGAAGCGGCTCGTGCGTACGGGTACTGGCATTAGCGGTCTAGTAACACAACGGTTAAGAAAACAATGCGACAATTATCGGCTAGTATGAGTACACGAGAGGCATATGCAAGCGTCCATCCTGGTCACACGACTCACAACTCGAACGCAATCACCACAAAACGCCCGTCCAGCTTCGACGCCAAAAGAGCGTCTACCACAGCTCGCCCTCGAAGCGATCCAGAACCGAACTCGCGTCCTCCACGTCCTTCTGCGCCTTCTTGCGCATATAGAAGATCGGGCAGTCTCGACTGGAACACAGGACATCCTATCCGACTTCGGCTCAGTAACTTCGACATGCAGAAACACCGACATTTTGAAACGTACCTGATGCAACGAGCCCTGGCATCGTTGACACTGCGTCCACAAGCGCGAGAACCGCACTTGCAGCTCTGACGTGGTGGTGATCTGTTTCTGGTAGAACTCCCCGAGTCTCGGTCGACAGTTGTTGCATACAGCGCCGTCTAAAATAGCGGCTCGTTAGCCCCGAATTTAGAATACCGGATCGCACGGGCAAGCGACTTACTCTTGACACTGTTGTTCGCCCGTAACGGTGTTTTGCACCCTAGACAAGTCGCAGTCTTCACCGCAAACTTCATGAGCCCCCCAACCGTTGGCGTTGCCACTTGGATTGTGCGCGTATGATCGCCAGACACTGCAGCACGCTAGTCAGTCTGGCAAACATCGTCATGTCTGGTGAATTCTCACATAGTGAAGAAGCCTTATCCCCTAGAATAGGCTCGAAGATACGCATAAGGGGATTCGAAAGCTGGTTTTCGAGGTAGTACTTGGTGTCGATAGGAATGCTGTTCTCCAGCACAAAAATCGGGTCTTCCGACTTCTCATACGCCGCAGCACCTAGCGGAGTGTATTAGTTGAGCAGCCACGCTTCGTTCTGGTTCTACCTACCCTTGGCACCCTTGATAATGACGTATGCCACTCGATCGCCCAGGGCGGGAGCTGAACCCGCGTCGCGCTTCTTCATCCGCTCGGCAAGTTCAACGTGTGCCTGCTTGCTAGCATAATCTGCAGAGCTTGTCAGTGTGCGCACGGCAAGCGTATGCTCCCAGGGACACTCACCCGTCTTTGAGAGCGCCTTCGTGATCACCAGCTGGGACATGTCGACCTTGTTCTGTAAAAGATCCGAGATGGTCTGCTTCACATAGCTGCCCACGCCGTCAACCTCCTGTTAATCAAAGTGTAGAAAGGGTGTTACTTACTCCTCTGCGCCCCCCACATCGCGGTCGATGAGCATCTTGTGTAAGCACGTCTCGATGACCGTAGACACAAGCCGACAGTTGTCACGACGAACAGTCTACAGCCCCGTCAGCCCCACGGCACGTCGCCCACCACACACCACTGCGCTCACCTCAATCCCCTTCGTGTCCATCTTGTCGTACTTCTCCGGGCGCGTCCAATACAGGCCCGCATACCGCTTCTTGCTGATCAGCAGATACGGAAAGTACACCTTCTCGAACTCGAGCTTGATCGGCTTGATGAACTTCGCGGTCACAAAGTCCGCCGCCTCGCTCCCCATGCGCATCACCGTCGGCAGGTCCGTCGGCCCAAACCGCACCATCACCGAGTCCGTGTCGCCGTAGATGACCGTCGCGTCGTGGCTGTGCCCGTTCGCGATGCAGTACTCCGCCTCGACCTCCTGCTTCGTCTTCTCGATCATCTGCCGCCCGTACGACGTCGTACTAGAGGAGATCGGTAGACAAGGTAGCTTGCCGATCGTCGCACCCGTAAAGCCGTACACGGAGTTGGCACTGATCTGTGCTAGGTGTAAGCGAGGTTCCTGTGACCCGTCGGGGTTGTGCATACCTTCAACGCAAGCTGGCGACCGTCGAGCACGGCACGCTTGAAAGGATCCGTCTCCTTCTTCAAGTCCGCCTTCGCACGCTTACGAGCACCGATCAGCTCTTCGAGAATGGTCGGGAGCAGACCCTTGCGCCTGGTCGACTTCACGAATAGATCTGCAGAACAATCAGTCAGGGTACACAATTGCTGCAAAGAGCCTAATTAACGTACCGTTGTTGGGTGTTTGGATGTAGTCCACATCTTTGACTAGTTTCAGCCGTTCCACAGTCGACTTGTCGAGCAACGTCGTATAGCAGAGATTGTGCGCCATCATGATGGATGGGTACAGCGAACTGAAATCGAGCGTCGCAATCGGTACATCGTAGTAGCCCTTTTTGGGCTCGATGACCGTTGCACCCTCGTACTGCTCGTCGGACCCTGTCAAGGTGTCAGAGATGTAGGACGAAGGGACCAGGTTAAATTTACTCACCTTCGCCCCTCAGCGCGGGCACGATGTAACCGTCGTCGTTCGCCTTCCGGAACAGCTGCGACAATACCTTGATAGACTGTCCGCGGGAGAGCAGGAAGTTGAACGGGACACCCGTCACACGCGCCATCTCGGTGTAGTTAATGAAGCACATGAGCTTGTCCATTAGCCGTTGTGGAAGATACGCATCCTGGACGAGTCTGTCAGTCCTCCTCACAAACACGAAAGCGTAGTGACCGTACCTTCAAGCAGTACACCGCCAACCGCCTTCTCGACTCCGGCGTACCATTCTGCAGATCCGTGATGACCGAGTGGTGCACATCTTCCTTCTGCTCGCCCAGGAACTGCGCGCAGACGGAGTTGAGCGTGTAACTTCGGAGCTTGTACTCCCGCTGCATGTACTGCAAGATATCGATCTGTAGCCGACCATCCAGGGCAGTCTCCTTCGAGTCACGCTGTCCGAACGCTTTGGATGAGAAGTGAGTGTCCTTCGTCACCGTCTGCTTGTCTGTCGCCACTCTGTCAGAGCTATCCCCGTGAGCAATGCGTAAAGAAGGCGACGTACTGGTCATCCGGCCCAGGTATGGGAACTTCTGGGCCTTGAGAGCTTTTGCGCGGTCAATCAAGTACGGCAAATCGAAGCCGGAGATGTTATAGCCGATGACAACGTCGGGGTCCACCTCTTCGACGAACTCGCGCCACTTCAACAGCAGCTCTGCCTCGTTCTGGAACGAGATGACTTGTGACCCAACGATATGCGCACAGGTGTTCAGTGTGAACACGTTCCGGATGAATGGCTTGCTTTCGCCTAGAGGAAGGTCAATGCGAATATGGATTGCGTTTCCGAAGTCTCTCACCCTGCCGTGTCACCATGTTCGCGATCTGAATGACGGGATCGACTTGCGCCTCTGGGAAGATACCCTTGCGGCCAGCACACTCAATATCGAAACTGAGGATACGCAATGGCGCAGTCTTTGACCATTGCCCGTCGGGCGCATGCGAGATGAACTTGTTCCATCTGGCGGCGTCCGTTGTCAGACAAGTTCTAATCATGTAAGCGAGAGCCTCACTTGACGCTGAGCTCGAGTTGGCAGTGTGAACGCTTGTCCTTGCCTTCGAGGATGATATATTGGCCGGCAGGGACTTCAATCCAGTTCATGCCAACCACCTGAGTGCGTCATCTTAGTAACGCGACGGCGAAGTGGTGTATGCATCTAGACATACCCGTGTATCAATCATGAAGCGCAGAGTGTAGGCGATATTGCTCTCGAAAGTGGCAACCTCACCGTTGAACAAGTCGTTGAACCTGCACTCGCCTCTCTCTAGGAGCCGTGGAGAGTCCGCTTGGTAAGGCCGCGAGAAAAGCCGGAATGGGTGAAACAGGACTTATCTCTAACTTTGGGCAGACTTCTCTGGTCCGCGACAGTGATCTTGATGAAGCTCACCCAGTCGTCTCCCTTGTAACCCCATAGACTACGCTTCTTGGTGAGTTCCATATCGCGTACAAGGCCACCTGGGACAGCATTCTGCGAAGAGTCAGGCCCGCTTCATTAAAGAGAGAAGTTTGAACGCACGTTCAGATACCGCATGAAAGGACCAACGTCCTCATTGCCGAAACCTCGTGGGGTGGCAATGTAGAAGTACGGAAGAAAGTCTGTGATATGCGCAAGGACACTGTGACCGTCCTATAGCCGTAGGTGAGTATCGCACGCATTCCTTCACGAAAGGGACTCACTTGTGTCACACCGAACATCCTGAGAGTTGTACCGCCAGTCTGCTGCTCTACTGAATCCTCGATATCTATCTGCTGGAAGACTAGAGAGAGGCTAAGGACGTGCCCTACGCAAGAGGTAGTTGAGTGCTCACTGATACTGTCCCGCTTAGGGTTTATTGGTGGAAGAGCGGGACGCGCCCAAGCATCCGCACCGCCCTCCGCATCTGCGCAATATTGCAACTGTGTGAATAGATGCACAGAGTATACACTTAACGCGACTTACCCCGCGTTTCGTTCGCGTCTTCCTTCAGTCGCTGCAGGACGTCTGCGAATGACGACTGCAAAGGCTGGGTGGAAGCAGCGCCTGACGCGTTGATCCTGCGTTTCTTGGTAGCTGGCTGTGAGTCCATGTCGGGCTTGAAGCTCGTATCGCTGAAACGCGACAAAACTCCAAAGTGAGCGGGGCAAGACGCGTCTCGCAAACAGAGGTGCTGACCCGCCGTGGATTGGCACGTTTTCCTTTGATGATGGTGAGACAGTAGCCATGTTTCGAGTCACTTCTTAGTCAAGCCAATCCAAGAGTTTACGGTCGTGCAGCAGTCGCGTGAAGAGGAGCAGGTGAGAGTGCGACGCGTCGTGGCTGGCTTTGGCTGAGAGGAGAGACGCGTGAATGACATGAGCGCGACTGCGACGCGCTTGCTCCTGTTTGGTTGGTGGCGCGAGCCTTCCGGGCCGCACGGCTCCGGCTGAGGTCATTGAGATCTGCCCCAGATCTCTCGCGTCTCTCTCGCGATCGCTCACCCGGCCGGAGCGCTGCCACTCTGCAACCCTCCATCGCTCTTCCATCTCTCACTCGCATTCTGCTCTCGACACCGAGTTGAGTGACAAACAGGAACCCGTACGTTGAACAACGCACGCGCACACGCTTAGTCAGGCTGAGCAGCCGCATCCACCGTCAGAGTGAGTCCATCCTCCGAGTTCCGTGCGGCGATGCTGACGGAGACAAGAGTCACCTCCCTGCTATATCTCGCGGCTCTGCACCTCCGGACACATCCCACTGCAACCTCCAACCTCCGACTGTATCGATAGCCATGGCTCAATCTCAATACCACCTCTTCTCTCTTCCTCAAGAGATTCTCGATACCCTTGTCCCGCGCAACATCGCCAATCAAACTACTGCCCCACCTCCGCCTCGAACGGACTCTGCCACACCCGCCCCGCAACCTACAGCAGGCTCGCGCGCATGTAATATCTGCCTAGGCGCGACGTTCGTCGACGTCGATGATCAGCGCGCACACTTTCGCTCCGACTGGCACCGCTACAATGTGAAGATACGCCTTGGCGGCGGCGAACCTGTCTCTGAAGCGCGTTTCGCGCAATTAGTTGACGGTGCGTATGGAGATGTGCCTTGAATTTACCAGAATACTCACAGTGTACAGGCTTGGAGGACTCGATCTCGGGCTCCGCGTCCTCATCCGAAGGCGAGTCGGAAGACTCCGACGCCGTCTCCGCGCTCGTCCAAAAGACCCGCAAACTGGCGCGACCATCATCTCCAGACGACTCCCACAACCCCTCAATACCACAAACACCGGTAGTATGGTTTCACTCCCCGCCCTCCACACAGATCGGAGTCTACAAAGCCACCTTCCCCGCCGCTACATCTCCCGAGGACTACCTCTCTGAGCTGAAGGAGATGCAGCATGGTGGAGAATACGGCCGGACGTGGGCTCTGTTCATGACCGCTGGAGGACACTTTGCCGGGGCTATCGTGCGTGTGAAGCGGCCAGACGGGGACGACGAGGACGGCGCACCCACAAAGAAGGGAAAGGCAAAACGCCCTAAGCCAGAGATTGAGGTACTGAAACATAAGACCTTCCACCGCTACACAAGTGAGCCGCCTCGCATATCGCAGTGGCATAAACGACTTATGCATAAACAGCGCGTCGGAAGCAGGGTGGTTCTCAATCACTCAACGACAATACTAAGAGCAAGGCCGTCAGTGCCGGCGCAATGCTCCGGCGGTATGGGGAAGTAGCTCTACGAGACGTACGTATTGACGCGCACCTTCCGTCCACGCGCTGACCCCTAAAACAGGACATCCGCAATCTGCTCACGGAGTGGGCGGAAGAAATCCATGACTGTGAACGCATCTGGATTCGGGCGAGCGTGTCAAACCGCCGCATATTTCTCGACTACGAGGGCGCCGTCATCGAGAAAGGTGCGTCTTTTTGTCTTCTCTGCAATAACCGACCGTAACCTTCCTATAGGCGACGAACGGCTGCGCACCTTTCCCTTCCCTACACGGCGACCAGTACGTGTCCCCAATCTAGTATTCTATGTCACAGCCACTAATACACCCTCAGACACAAGCCGAACTCACCCGCTGTCTCCAAGAGCTCACCCGCGTCAAGGTCTCGCACCTCACAGAAGACGCACTCCGCGCCCAAGACGAAGCCGCCATCGCCGCCCTCCCCAAACCCAGAGCGCTCCCCACCCCCGCCTCGCTCGAAACCCCAAGACCCAAAGAAAAGCCCTCACAGCCACAGCTCTCCCCAGCCGAGGAAGCCCTGCGCGACAAATGGACCCGCCTCCTCGACATGGTCAAGCGCGGGCGACTCGACACGCTCAGAGGCTTCTGGGAGCGCGAAGGCGCCGCCCTCGGTGGCGTCGACGCACCCGTTCCCGAATGGGCCGACGAGCGCGGCGGCACGCTCCTCCAAGTCGCCGTGCACGCGAACCAGGAGGACGTCGTGCGCTTCCTCCTCGAGGACCTTCGCGCAGACCCCACACTCGACGTCCCCGCCCCGCGCCTCACCTCCAGCGTCCCCGCCGAGGCCGAGGACAGCGGCGCAGAGTCCGACGCGGACGCCGGCGCCGAGACACAACGTCTCCCCCGCGCCCGCGGCGGCCGACGCACCGCATACGACCTCGCGCGCACGAAGGAGGTGCGGAACGTCTTCCGACGTGCCGCGGCCGCGCACAGCGACTGGTGGGACTGGCTCGGGGCCGCGCGCGTCCCGAGTGTGCTGAGCGCGGAGATGGAGGAGGGCCGCGAGGAGAAGAAGAAGGCGCGCCGGAAGGGGCTGAAGGACAAGGTGCGCGAGCGCGAGGCGCGCGAGAAGGAGGTCGTCGTGGAGGCTCCTCCGCCTCCGCCAGTTGAGGTGCCGCGGGTGGGGCGGAACGTGAAGGAGGCGAATGCGAGTGGGCCGAGGAAGTTGGGCGGGAGTGCGTCTGCGGTGGAGAGCGTTGCTGGGCTCACTCCGGAGATGAGGGCGAAGATCGAGCGGGAGCGGAGAGCGCGCGCGGCGGAGGCACGCATGAAGGCTCTCCAAGGTGGACGTTCATAAGGCCTTCTAAACTGCATTCTAGCCTGGCCTGATGTTGTATTGTATCCATCCGCGAGATGCAGGCTGCACATACACTATATACTAGTGGACTGCTCTGGTGACTGCCATGTTCAGGAGATACTGGCGTGACTGTACAACAAGTGTCTGGTATCCCATTCCGAGCCTGGGGTTTGTTACAAGTACTCGTCGCAGTTCAAGATGAACTTCGTATAAAATCGCACCGACTCCAGCCAGCCCTCTGCACGGATAGCTACACCCAAAGCAACACCGACAACAGCTTCTTAGTCAAATTGCCAAAGAACACTCGCAGCAGTTGCGCACCTTCGTTCACCGTGTGGAAGCCATTATACCTATCTCCCTCGCGTACGTGGGAATACCGCACAATGCTTCGCGTCAAGTTCCAATACCGCGACGTGTCTGTAGCCTCGTCAGCGCCTACTAGCAGTACACACCGCACAAACGAGTGGCATTTTTGACGAAGACGCACCCGTGTTTCCTTTCTCAATCTGTGGTACGACTACCACCGCCCTACCGCCGTTCCTCTCGGAGTCCCCAATCGCGCCTCTGATAGTCCCAGCAAGAATTTGATACGGGTCTTCCGGACCTGTAGGTGTAACCGGCGATGGTTCCAGCTTGTTCCCGAAGGCGACAGATACCTCGAGATGTCCCGTGTCCGTCCCTTCTGCGAGTACGGGATGGCCAAACGCGCCCATGGTAAGATTGAAGCGCATCGCGAGCGGCCGCAGAAGCTTGGTGATACGCGTCTGCACCTCCAGTACCGAGCTAAGGAGGGAAGTCAAGCCAAGCCGGAAAACTACTCCCTCCACAGCCGAGCACTCACCTACGCTCGACAATGCGGTGGTTCACAATCGCCGCGGCGCGCTCGGGCAGCGCATTGACTTTGACGCCTCCCTCGATGATGTCGACAGCCTGCGTCGTGCGCAGCAGCGCATCGTACTCCGGGAACGTATCCAGCAGTGCATCCTTGAGCTCTGCAAGCGCCGCGTCGCTGTGCACGGCCGCGCGTGCGAGCTCACGCAGTCCAGCGGGGTATTCTGGAGCGTACGCGGCCGCACACTGCGTCGAGTTGTATGCACTGCTCTGCCGTGTGAGAACAGGTTCGTACGGGTGTTCTTCAAGCTCGACGATCATGGCGGCAAGCATTCCTATGGCCTATAATAGTGTACTAAATTAGCGGCTACTCAGGTAAGGGACATACGGAACAGTACGGACCGTATGTCTCGGAGGGACACTAGAATGTCCGCCTGGGGTGGTAACCTTGATCTGGACATCGAGATACCCCTTCTCAGACAGCGCTGGGAAGGCGAAAAGAATATCGCCGCCGTACGCGGCCCCATATGCCTCGCCTATAAAAGGGTGGCATGTCAGAATCTTGAACCCTTGGTCGGTGGCATCTTCTCACCCCCTTCGTCTAACAGGAGCGCGAAGCCATTCGTCCCGTATTTCTTCTCAAGATAGGGCGCGAGGTGACCCGCTCCCTGCAATCGGCCACGGTCAACACGGCTTATTCTCTGACAGGTACGTAATAAGGGTCTTTCACCTGTGTGCCAGAAGACTCTTCGTCGAAGCCGAACGCCCATACAAACGTCCTCTGTGGCTCGAAGCCTTTCTCCAGGAGGGCATCGATAGCTTGCCTATATTATCAGACAAACCCGACATATCTGTTAGACAGCTAATTACACCGAGTGAGAACTAGCGCAGCTTACAGGGAGGCGACCAGGTCTGACTTGTCGTCGCAGGAGCCACGGCCCCAGATCCATGTCCCTGCAGCAACGATTGTAGCCCAGTCAAATAAATAGAACGAGATGCGCGATGCCCTACCGTCGTAGATACCCGAATACGGCGGGTTTGACCAGTCGTCGAACGATGCCGGATCGACGGGAACGACGTCTAGTATATCTGTAAGCGAAAGCACACTGATAGCACTGACCTGGTATACATGCCTTGGTGTGCGGTCATCAGCACAGGTAGAGCGGTCTCATTCGAGCCCTGCCAGTGCAGAACAATGCCGTACGTGTTGACTTTTATCACGTTGAGCGTCGTGAAGCTGCCCGGGTCCAAGAGGACTACGATTGAGTTTGACATCCCCGGTGCCAGAAGAAATGACCGAGTAACTTGGAAGGCTCACACTCGAGGGAAGGTCTCTTCGAGGTATCGATGTAGCTCCCTGAAGATGTCCCACCGGCTGTCTTCCCCTACTGGGCGCATGTCGTCGTACGATTCGGTCCTGTGCGCGACTACTGGTCAGATCGGATACTGAAAAGCCATAAACAGCGGAGTGGAACGGTGAAACACCTACGGGATCTGAATTGCACCGCCGAACGCCTTGTAGGCGTCCAACTTGTACGTGTCCTCCGCGAAGAGTCTGGAGAGCTCATCGTCTAAGGCGCGAAGCCTGGTGGGAGAAAGAGGTTTTGCCTGAGGACAGACGCTTGATGCATACTCATCTAGTTCTGGCGGTGATATGCCGGGCGTAACCGGCCGCTGGACCAGAGTATGCCCTGCCACGGATACGGGATATTGTGAGAGCCGTAGTCGCGAAAAAGAAGGAGCCGACGAACCATAGTGGTACCGAGTGGTACCGAAGAAACCGGTGAAGCGTAAGTACATGAACGTCGCTAGCAGTACTAGTACGACGCCCATGCGAGCCTTCCCGCTACTGCGAGCAATGATTCCTGCGCGTTTCCTATGGAAGGCACCAGCTGGAAATGCCTCAGAAGCGCAGAATTTGACTTGCGCCGCTGGAGAATCCGACGTCAACCTGGGAGGAGTTGTAGACATGTCTCGTGGGTGATAATCCACTACTCCACAGAAGTGTTATCACGGAGAGGATATAGACCTAGAAGCCGACAAGAAGCAGAGGTCAACGTTGAGGCCTAAGAGGAGGTGCTTCAAGTACACTGTGTGTTCAGCGAGCCGACACAGCACACCAGAGTGGCTTTCGGTGAGCTGCTAGATCAGCGCACAATGATTGAATAGGGCCTGGATGTAATGCTGTCGTCGGATACGCGGCTGCGGACAAAGTGAGGGTATAGAACACAGCGACGAGCGTCATGCTCGAGACCGTAGCGTCGTCGTAGTACGAAAGCAAGAGACGCTCTCTCATGCGCTAAGCGCGCGCGCTGTACACAAGGGAGACGAGTCGGACACGCCTATCGGTGGAACGATTCGAAAGCGACGACGTAGGTACCTGCGGCGGTAGAAGTCAAGCTAGAAGTACGGGATTGCTCGCAGCAACTGATCACGGAAGGTACACTAGGTTCCGATGCACGCTCATATGAACAGGAGATCTCTATATTTCCGTCGGCGGTAGCAAGGTACACTGTGCCAAACCGTCTTTCCATGCAGAATCCAGGAACCGCTCAAACAGCGAATGCGAATGCACCGTATCATGGCTGTATATATAACTAAGTGTACAGTACGAAGCGTAACGTGCGACGATGCGATGCTCACAGCAACGAGCGAAGGAACGTATGTATGTGTGTATCCCCATGGCACAGCGGGCGAGCGGGCGAACGAACGGAAATCCAGGTTACTACGAGGTACACGCGGCGACAAAGTAGATACAGACAAGAACGAAGAGGCGGGGCGGAGAGTACGGAGCTCGGGGCAGCGGGCGCGATTAGCATGCCGGATGTGCGGAAGGAAGCCTAATAACATTAAGGAGTGGCTTGATGGGGAGACGGGTAAGAGAGGATATATGCGCGGGGAGAGATATTCAGGGAGGGAATGAGTGGTCAACCAGACGATGATCTGGTGTCAAAGAAGGATGAACGTGAATGAATGCAGGTCGTGAGAGGTCGTGACGATACAATGGAGGCGACGAAAGAGGTCCGAAAGCGTAGAGAAGGCGCGCGGGGCAGCGACGAGAACCTGGCTCATACGACTGCCGCTGTTCGCGACTGAATGGGTGGGAACGCAGACGACATTGGCGACACCTGCGCCTGCTGAGTCGCGGAGAGGTCGCCGTATCGGGAGTCCTGGTCGTTGACCGAGAGGTTCGGGGCGTTGGCAACACTGGGCGTCGCCGGGGTCCCTGATGATGAAGGGACCTTGCCAATGAACCATGACTGCAGCGGGACACATTCAGAACGAGTACATGATGACTTGGGAAAGAAAGACATACCGGTACCCATCCGCGATCTCCCGACTCTTCCTTGACAGCCTGATCACGACGTCATTAGGGTTGGGACGGAACAGCAATATAGAAGAGCGAACTCACGTATGACCAATGATTGTACCTCTTGAACACCCTTAGAGAGTCGTCCTTCTGTAAATCCAGCTCTTCCTCGCCCTTCTTCTTGTAGTCCATCAACGCGATGCCAGGGAAGCTCGTTGATAGGATGCTCAATGGTAGGATCGGCGTCGTGCCTGGCGGGGAAGATGGCGGTGTCCCGACCATGCCTCCACGCGCGGTGGCTTCCGCGATTGCGGCAGCGACGGGGACTTTGGTTTCGAGTAGACAGCCTGCAGGGACCCAACCTTGCTTCGATGGATCTTGGTCCACATAGCCGGTTCCTGCGGGGTCGCGCTGAACGACCCACCACCCCCTTGCTCGTGAAACGATGATGAACGTATCGCCACTGCACGCGGTACGTGAGCGGCAGTCAACGGCAAGAAGCGAAGTACGCACACTATGACATCGAACTCGTCTTCCTGCTCCGCCATGTAGGGATAGATCGCGACGGCGTATGATACCTCCGATGCTGGCGGCATTTCCCTCAGGATGGGAGGAGTCCCGCTTTCCGACGCCTCTGGAGCACCGGCTGCATCGCCCTGCGCCTTCGATGCGTCCGCACCGAAGTCCACCTTGTGTTCGACCATTGGTGACATGAGTTCTGGCCACCCAGACTGTCCGTTTGGCACCGCGGTCATGATACCCGGGGCTTGGTTTGGCAAGTGGCTGTTTACTTGCAGCTTGGGTGGACGTCCACGTCCATCCTGAGAAGGGGATTGGCCGAGGTGCTGGCCGTGGGACTGTGCGTGCCCGGACGCGCCTGGCGTGGGTGTGGACTTGGCGGAACCACCGTCAGTAGCCGACGCCTTCCGGGCGGCTTGCTTCTGCTGCGCGACGGCAATGGGAGAACGTATGTCCTTGATATGCTTGAGCATGAAGACAGGGTTCTTCTTCGCGTCCTTGAGTTTCTGGAAGAGTAGCAACGGCTTCTCATCGTAGCTAAGGCAGCGCTCGATACGACTCCCTGGTGGTCGTATAGACTGTCAGGACAAGCAACATTACGGCAACTAACGGCATACCAGGAGCGCCATAGCATATGAACATAGCGTAGTTCTGCCAGTCGTCGTTGTTGATCTTGTACTTCTTTAACGCGGCCGGGAGCACCTTCCACGCTGGATCGTCCAAGCTGACTTTGAAGCTCTTGAGGTTATCTTGGCTATCCTGCCGCTGAGGACGGGGCGGCGGAGGATTCGGCTGCAGTGTGTTCGTACTTGAGTAGGATGTATGCTGGCTAGAGCCGGCTTCGCTTCCAACAACCGTAGTACCAGATGCTCTTGATCTGTCAGTGAGGACTGAGGACGTCTGGCGGGAAGAACTGCCGTGAATGTCGTGCTCCATTCGTTGGGGGGATGGTTGAGGGGATTCGACGTCTGTGGTCGAGGCTTTCGTGGGGGATTTGGCAGGTTTGACAAAGGAGCCCCATTTAAATGAATGCGAGCGCTGGACTGGGCTCTCGGACTCCACCTGCGCACTGCGTTGAGATAATCACCAAGAAACAATCACCGCACTCACGAGTTGGGGGCGCGCAGAAATGCCGCGCAGTTGGCCGAGGTCCTCCAAACAGCTGCTCAGGGTATCACTCAACCTTCTGTTGTCGTCCTCCAATGACCGAAGACGCTCGCCTGTGGAATCTATTAGACGATACAGTATGTGGCTATGAAAGGGTCGCGTACTTTGGTCCTTTAACAAGTCATATAGCCGTCCCACACTGACTTCTTGGCGCTCCTCTGCCTCCGCTGCGGAAGATGTCAAGAAGGATCGGAGGAAGGAAGGGGTCAACGTACAAGGCGGTACGTAGTGTTCGGGTTCAATAGGGATGTTCTGGGCCAGCTTGACATTGTAGACGGCCTTGAGGATCGTGAGACGTTGGCCGATGGTCGAAATGCCCATTTCCTTCAGGCTTTCGGGGTCGAGAAGGCAGAGGACATCGCCGGATATGTTGTGCTCTGGAATGCCATGGGCGACTGGTCGTATCGACGAGACGAATAGAAGAACACACCTTTGACCTGCTGCTCATATTGTGGGAAGCCGAGTTTGGAGAGCCAGTTGTGTACGTCGTTCTCGTCCCAGTCTAGGATGCTCGTTCTGAGCTCGTTGGACGACGCGTCCATGGCGGAGGATGGGGGTAAGAGCGAAGCCAGGATGATTCGCGGTGTAGGCTGAATTCGAGAGGCGACAGCAACACCGCCGAATATCCCTCCACTCGGCCCGCGCGGTGCCCGGGGCCGTCCCCCGCCAAGCGGGACCCTGGCCACTCCACGAATATTGGCGGACGGGCGTCTGTGGCTGCGCGTCTCCCGCTGCCAGTGCCGGCTGCTGTCGGACTCGGACAGCCCGTGTACCATCTTCCACGCTTCCCCCTCCCTCTCGACCTCGACCTCGTCGTGGCGACCGATGATCTACGCTAGTGACGCCCATGGACGACGACCTCTACCAGAATGCCTGGAGTGAAACGACTAATTCGATACCCCCCGCGTTGAAGGACGACCCCGCGCCGTCATGGACGTCAACGAAGCTCACTAGTTCCTATGGCGAGGAGGCAGATCTCGCCGCTCCTTCTTGGTCAACTGGGGCTGGCATACACTGGAACGAGCCCAGCAGCCCAGGCTTCTCTTGGTCGCAGACCGAACCCGACCTGGCTTGGGGTACTAGTTCATATGCCGGGATTTCAATTGGCAAGACACCCGAGGCGGAATCTATTGCAGACCCTCTTGACGCGAAGAGTCCCACCGGAGACATCCCCGATGCAGATGAACCCGAAGACGAAGACGCAGGTTCTGTCTCGACGGATGTTCCTACGTCTGAGCGCGCAAAATCTCCCTCTCCCTCTCCACCACCTCCCGAATCTACCTCGTTTGGGTCTCAAGAGACAACACCGGAACTTGCAGCACCTCCAAGTCCGGATGGCTTCGGTTCCTTTGAAACTGCCTTTACAGAGGACACAGCGCAATCTCCGGGATTCGCTTTGGACGAAGCGGTCGCGGACCCATGGGGTTCTTCCGCCTGGTCTGAGACTCAGCCAGAGCAGGAAGAAGAGCCCGTAGACGAGTGGGAAAGAGCTCGCCAAGAGAAAGCGAAGCAAGATCGCCGCGTGGTCAGCTACGTTCGACCACATACTGCTGCTTAGGCTAACTAGAGTATATGCTGTAGCCGCCAGAATTACTGGCGCAATTTCTCCAGCAATGCGAGGAACTTGGTCGCGAATTCTGTCCTGACACTGGAAAGGAAGCAGCGACGGAGTCATGGAGCGGTAATTGGCGCAGCGGAATGGATGGCGTCCCAGGCCTGTGAGTATGCCGTCACATTCCAATTATCGCCGTGCTCAAGTTGCATGTATTGCATTTCCTGTCGGAACAATAGAAACGCCTTAATGGACTCGTTTCTGCCACCTCTCACTTTGAAAGCGTCGGTGCGCTTCCCCCAAACGGTGGTAGCGAAGAGGTTGGCTTCCTCCGTAAAGCTGACGAAGAACCTGCCCCTCACGAAGGGGAGCCCCATGTCTCACTATCTAGCGGCCAAAGGGTCCACAGCATGGGAGACATCGGTGAAAGAGCAGAAGGAGATCGTCGAGGACGACATCCCAGTGGGATGGCGCATCATGGAGAAGACCATGGCTGCATCGTCCGCAGACGCTGCCAATCAGAAGAAGCCCACCGGTCGTCTCTTTTCTTTCTGGGGTCGTCGCCAGTCTCAGGCCTCGCCTCAGTCTACGAGCACGGACGGAGCTGCCACAGAGAGCCGCCCATCTTCTGTGGACAAGCCGCGCAGTCCCGTTGTAGAGGAGGTGAAAGCGGATTCCCGGCCTCCTAGCCAAAATAGCATACGATCCTCCACGGCAAGCAACCGCGCTCCGGTCTCTCCCCTCGCCGCAGAGTCAGCGTCAGCGAGCTCTTCGCACGTTCCTATGGCTTTTGCAGCCACCGTAACACCGGCCGCGGCGGGCGCACCCACCATGTCGTCGTATGCTTCCTCGCCCGACCCCGTACCGGAACGGTCGGCATCTCCACCTGCACCCACCGTTATGTCTCGCTTCCTGAACAGGTTCTCCCGTCGCGGCAGTGGGATTGGCGGAAGTCCACGCAGCTCTCTCGCACTGTCTTCAGACGATCTCGAGTTCCTTTCGGATATCATCCCCAGTGCTAGCGACGATGCCGACGAAGACCCTACTGACGCGCTGGAGAAGTTCGTCAATGATAGACGTGGGTCTGTGGCGTCTGCTCTGCCGCCTGCGTTGGCCCCTCCGCCCAGGGCATCCGCAATCAAACCAATGGGTGTGGCAAGTGGACCGCCTTCCGCTGGTAGTGACCGAGGCGTCGCTAGCGACGGCTTCGCCGGAATGACGGGCTTCTGGGGTGCGAATGAACCCGCGGTAGCATCCCGCGCCGCCCCTGCTGGAGGTCAAACGTCAATTCCTACATTGCCGCCGCCACTCGTTCCGTCACGGCCAATCACGCCGTCGGCTACGCCTGGTGCGGGTCCCTCGAGGGTTTCTATTCCTGTCGTGCCCACGTCGTTTGTGCCTTCTTCCCGCCCTCCATCTCGACTGCAAACGTCAACGCCTCCGCTGTCGGGCTTCGCCTTGCCTCCACCGCCTTCGTTCCAACGCTCTGCTTCCTCGAATACGTCCACAATGACGAACAAGCCGAAGCTATCTTCTCCATTCCCTTTGCCTATACCGCCACCGTCGCACACCGTCGAACGGGAACCGTCGTCTGCATCGACTTCCTCGTCTCGAGCCTCATTCGAGACAGCCGCGGAGGCATCACCATCCCCCACATCCCCTACCTCCTCTCTGCCCTTAGGGTCTCTGTACCCTCATTTAGTAACGCCAACCAGCCCACCTCTAGCGTCGTCGCAGCCGATGTTGCCTGCTCAGTCCTCATCGAGTGGTTCATCGTCCCCATATGGTCTGGCCACCCCTATGGCGAGCACGTTCTCCGCTGCGGCGCCACCACCGAACCCTTCTACTGTGACCTTAGTTCCACCACAGCAGAGCCGTCCTATGGCACCGCCGTCGGCCGTACCATTGACCACAAACTTCTTTGACGACGACGATTTCGCCGACTTCCAGTCGCCGGTTGATAAGAGCCTGTCGCCTCCTGTACCTCCGCCTATAGCTAAGTCACCTCAGACGCGCGTTCCCGCAATGTCCCTCGCCGGCAAGTCCAAGACAGTCGCACCCAATTCGTCCCCATTCTCCTTCCCTGGGCCCCCACCCCCGCAGGTCAAGCACGAGCAGCCTCCGCCGCGCCCACTACCAGCTTCACCTTCGATGACGACGACTTTGCGGACTTCCAGGCATCTCCCTCGTCTGCGACTGCGCTCAAGCCGGCTTCCCTCGCGTCGTCCACCTCCTCCCTCTTCCCCACGAGCGTGTCCAACCAGGCGCTGCTCACACCGAAGCATAACTCCGGCTTCGACGACATGGGTGACTTCTTCGCGTCCACTCTCCGAACGCCCTCGCCGCCCCGCGTACCGTCGAAGTCCCCAGCTGCCAAACCCCAGATCGCCCCACTCCCGCCCTCCGCGTCGTCCGTGTCCTCGATGCCGTCCGCATCGTCGAGCTCATCTCTGCTCTCACGGAGAAAGCCAAACGCTGCGCAGCATCTCCACACCCTCAGCTTGGTCGAGGCTGCTGCGGCGCGCAAAGGACAGTGGCCCGCGCCCGCGTCCCCACTGCCGCAAGCCATTCCCGGGCCGTTCGTAGGCTCCGCGAAGGCGTCACAGATGAACCTCATGGACGCCGACGAGACGCCCCTACCCGTTGCCGGACTCGGGATCACGTCTTCGTTTTCGTCGCCGGCGATGCTCAATCCCACGCGGCCATCGAGTGGCATGGGTGTTGCGAACGGCACGGGTTTGCCGACCTCCGTATCATCGAACTCGTCGCTGTCGGGCGCGCTGCTGCAGGGATGGGACTTCCAGGGCAGCGGCGCCTCGCAACCCGCGCCCGATATTTTCGGCGGGGCGGCGAAGCCTGCGAATGGGAAACCAGCAGCGGGTGGGTTATCCGCCCAGGATCTGTCGTTCTTCGAGGGGCTATAGCTATAGCTACATTTTTATGTTTCGAAGCCATTCCGCTGTCACGTAACTTATCATCATCGTCCCGGGTTAATCGCATCGCATCTTCTCTTCGTCCATATCTTTGGCATGAGTTCGGGGACGGGGTTGGTGGGAGTGGCGTCCTAGAGCGCCTTCTGCATCTGCTGAGGATGAATTTGGAGGCCGCCCCCATAAATGGGGGGCTATACATAGGTATGTTCCTATACTTCATGTGCTAAAGCCTAAACGACAGTATCAGGCTACTCCGAAATAAATTGCCGGGCCACTTGAATCAGCCCAGACTAAGCCCCATCCCATCCTAATTTTACAGGTGCTCGTCGCAGTTCAAGATAAACATGGTGAAGAACCGGATCGACTCAATCCACCCTTCGGCCCGGACAGCTATAGTGGACATACGCATGCGTGAGCACGCGTTTCTAATGGCGTAGTGTGAAATCACCGACCTTCGTTCACAGTATGCGCGCCGTTGTACCGGTCAGCGTCGCGCAGGTGCTTGTAGCGCACGATGTTGCGGGACAGGTTCCAGTAGTACCGCGTATCTGTCTCTGAATCAGCACTCGCGCCTTCGGCACAACCAACAGGAAAAGACCGACCCGTGTTGCCGATCTGGAGCAAAGGAGCGACCACCACTCCGCTAGCATTGTACCCGCTAGCGCTCTCAATTGTCGCCTTAATAGATCCCGCGAGAACCTGGTAAGGGTCATCCTTGCCCATCGGGGTAACAGGAGACGGCTCGAGCCCGGTGCCAAACGCATCCGAGAGCACGATGTGCCCTGCGCTGCCCGCAGACACGTTCTTCCCAAACGCCTCCACCGACAAGTTGAAGCGTGCCGCTACCGGAAGCACGATGCTCGTGAACTCCTCCTTGAGCTCCGCAACAGAACTACAACCAACAGGCGTCAGCTCAAACACCAGAACGCAACGGGTGGCCACGGCGCACCTGTGCTCCGCAATCCGGTGGTTCACGACCGCCGAGACCTTCTCCGGCAGCGCATTCACCTTCACGCCGCCCTGCACGAGGTCGACCGCCTGCGTCGTGCGCAGGATCGCCTCGAACCGCGGGAACTCGTCCAGAAGTGCATCGCGGAGCTCCGCGAGCGCGCCGTCGTCGTGCACGGCGTCGTGCGCGAGCTGCCGGAGTTTAGCCGGGTACTCGGGGCCGTACGTCGCCGCGCATTGCGTGGCGTTGTACGGACCGCCCCCGCGGACGAGGGCGGCCTCGTGCGGCTCGGTCTCGATGGCGACGACTAGGGCTGAGAGAAGGCCGATGGCCTTTGAGGGCGGCATGTGAACATCGGCGTGCACATGAGTGGGCTCTGATACACGTACAGTATGCTTCGGTGGGACGCTGGAGTGGCCTCCTTGAGCGGTAAGTTCAATGCGGACATCCAGGTATCCCTTTTCAGACAGAGACGGTACTGCGAAGATGACGTCGCCACCGTACTGAGTGCCGTATGCGCCTCCTATCAAACGAATTCTTGAGTTTCAGGCGGAAATGCAGTCTTCGAGAGGATACCTACCACCCTCATCAAGGACAAGTGCGACCCCGTTCGTGCCGTACGTCTCCTCGAGATAGGTCGCGAGGTGGCCCGCGCCCTGCAGCTCCCGTGAGTCGGTGTTCTACATTGCAGTCACGGCGTCTTACCTGTCTGCCGGAAGCCTCCTCATCGAAACCAAATGCCCAGACAAATGTGCGTTCAGGCTCAAAGCCCTGCCCGAGCAGAGCGTTTATGGCTTCGCTGTGAGTTTTGGCGGGCTGTCAGCGAGCTGGATCATTCCATCGGAGGATGGTGTGCACTCACAGGCCAGCAATCAGGTCAGACTTGTCGTCACAAGTGCCTCTCCCCCAGATCCACTCTCCTGGAAATGCCGATCATCATCAGTCTACACAAGTCGGGGTTCCCTCAAATATAACCACTGACCATCGTGGAACCCTGAGTAGGGCGGGTGGACCCAGTCCTTCGCAGTGGCGGGCTCAACAGGCACAACATCTGCGTATAGCAGCGTTAAACTCCAGACAAAGTCTCAATGCAACGCAAAGGCTCACCTTGGTGGGCGGCCATCACGACCGGCAGGGAAGACGCGTCCGAGCCCTGCCAATGGAGAACGATTCCGTACGTGTTCACCTTCGTCACCTTCAAAGTGTTGAAACTAATTCCTCGTCACCCACGCGCTCAGTTAACCCAAGCGCAGCACTGTTACTCACACTTTCGGGTAAGTAGTCTCAAGATACTCATGCAGCGTATCAAACGTCTTCCAGCGGGGATCCTCTCCAACAGGGCCCAAGTCATCATACGACTCCGTCCTACGCACCAAAACCGTCCATCAGCGCAACACCCTTGAAACCCCGAGAGCAGGCAAATCCACATACGGAATCTGAATCGCCCCAATCAAGCTCCCATACGCCTTCTTCTTATACGTCTCATCCGCAAACGAGGCCTCCAGCCCCGCGCTGAGGTCGCTGTGCCGCGTCGGGAACAGCGACTTCGGCTGCGGACACACGTCCGAGTGCGCCGTCGGCGGCAGCGGCCCCAGCCGCGCGTGCGCGTGCTCGTGTCTGTGCGCGCGGTGCGCATGCCGCTCCTGGAGGATGTGGAAGATGCCGTACACGCTGCATGCGATGGACAGGGCGTAGCAGAGGCGCCGGAAGTTGAGGCCGCTGCTGCTGCGGGGCTGGACGTGGGAGTCGCCGTGGACCGCGGTGGACGCCGTTGGGAGGACGCTAAACCCAGTCTGCTTGGAGTCCATTTCAGATATCGTGGCAGTGGAACTTCGAAGACGAGGTTGTTAGGGGTGTTATGTCAGTACGCTACACAACACGCCAAGAACGTCAGCTAACGCTCGCACTCTCCCGCGATGCGCAGGTCAATTCGAACTCACCTAGGCGGTATGGGGAAGCCTCCGCTCTCGCGCTACGCAAAATAGAGCAAAAGCAGCCCGCTTTAAAGCGGCCGTGAGTCACTCTCGAGCGAGGTTCGCTATCAGGCGTCGCTGCTATCGCAGGAGTCGCAAGCAGGCTGTTATCGGCGGGCACACTGCCTCACAGGGACCGTGGAGGGACGTGGTCTCGCTCGAACCATTATGCCTATCTATGGAAGGTGGCCGCGGCGCGGTTTGCCGGCGCGGGGCGCCCACATCCGCCCCGGTCACCGGATCGGCGGCTTCCCTCCAGGCCCACGGTGCAGACCGTCCGACGCGGTCCGAATCCGAGAGACTTGTACGTGCACTGCCCGAATCATGTTTGACAGCCTGTGCTGCCGTGCAGAGCGCCGGAGCATGCGTAGTAGTACACTGCTGGTAGTATAAGTAGACAAAGCGCAAGATTCAAAGTCTTCTCTCTATCAACCTCTCGAGGCAGCCTATACACTCACACCTAGCACCAACTCCCGTCTCAAGAGAAACGTCGGAAGGTTGCGGCTCAACGTGCGCTAAGAGCGGCTAGGTAGCGACCGCTCTCGCCGCGCTTTCCGCCGCTTTTCTCTTGTGCACGTTCGAGTGCCGTGCGAGCTGGTCCGGCCGCGCAAACGACTTGTTGCAGCCCGGGTCGGTACACGGATACGGTCGCGCGCCCGTATGTGTCCGTAGCTACATACATGACGAGGATCAACTCGTGGGGGACAAATATAACAACGGGGACAACTTACGTGCTTTGACAAATTCGAAGACTCCGAGAACGCTCTGGACCAGGGCGATGAGGCAATGAGTGACGGATCATAAATCGACCACGACCTAGACTGACCGGTCGCAATACGTGCACTTGAACGGCTTGCTGCCGTTGTGGATCCGCTTGTGGATCGTCAGCGCACCCGCGATGGCAAACGCCTTCCCGCAGCCAGGGAAGTCGCAAGTGTACGGTTCTACAGTGGCAACGGCCATCAGAGAGTGCCCCGACCGGCGATGCCCATGCTTGTACTTACTTTCTTGCGTGTGCCGTCGCATATGCTGCGCCAGCGTCGCGGCCTCCGAGAAGTGCTGACTACACACACTGCACTGGAACGGCCGGTGTCCCGTATGGCTCTACACAAGCGACGTCACCATGGAGTCCCTCAAGCGAGACGGGGGCCTCGAAGACGCACCTGCATGTGCCGCGAGATCTTTTGCTTGCTCGCGAAGCCGTTGTCGCCATTGCGGGCGCAACCCTCCCAGTAGCAGTCGTAGTGAGCGCGCCCGCTGCCGATGTGCGTCGACGCGAGATGCTCCGTGAGGGCATCGCACGACGTGAAGCTCTGCCCGCACCCAGCCCACTTGCAGACATGCGCCGACGGCGCCGAGCAGTCGTGCTCGGGCACGGGCGTCGGCGGCCCGCCTTCGAGCATCGCCGACGGTGGTGGTGTCGCCGCCGATGACGGCGGATGGGACAGCGGGGACGAGCGGACCTGGAACACGTCGTGTCCGAAGGCATCGGCCGGCGGTGTGTGATTTGGCCGCGCAGACACGCCGAGGTGATCCTGAAGCAGGTGGCTTGCGAGGAAGTCGAGCATGTCGTACCCGTTGCCTGACGACGGCCCCGGTACGGACTGTGTGCTCGGGTACAGCTGGCAGTCCTCCCATAGACACGCCACCGATGGCGACTGCTGAGAAGCGCCTGCTTGGCGTTGGACGTCGGGGTTCGGCGGCGTCATATACGGAGAGGCAAAAGCGCTACCTTGGGGACCTGGTAGACGGAGATGCTGCAGGTTGACATGCCCCACGAGATCCGACATGTTGTTAAATGTCGCGAAGCAGCCGCCCCATTTGCATTGCAGCAATGACACATGGCTCGTGGAGGTCTGTAGCGCCGGCGACGGAAGGTCCGAGACGTGGGGTGAGGATGTGCTCGAAGTTGAATCCTGTTGAGCGAAAGGAGATGGGGAAGGATGGAACGCGGGGCTGGGGACCAGCTGCGGCGTGGGCGCGGCGGAATCTAGCGGTGGGAACGCGACGGGCTCGCGTTGCGGGGGTTGTGGGGCCTGCGAGCTACCAGCGAAGTAGGCATCGAAGGCGGGATCGGCAATGAAGGCGTACGCGGCATTGAAATCTGGAGGGTAGGACCTGAAGTCCTGCTGTGAGTCTTGGTGATACTCACTGCAGCACCGGAACTGAAATGAAAAATTTGTCAGATATATTTTTCAAAACCGCGAGACCCTCCGGTACGATGTCCGACCCTATGGGCCCAGTGGCGTAGAGGAGATGTGGACTTACAAGTTCATCGAAGGCGGCGCAGTCGACCTCGAAGCATTCTTTGCTGCATGAAGCGTCCGGCATCTCTTCGCAGGGTGCGGCGCCGTGATGGGCATCGTTGCAGGCGACGACGACACACTGCTCGGTGCACTCTTCCGTGAGCTCGACCTCGCAGACAGAGCTGTCGCAATCTTGTGCGCACTCCTGGCACGCGAGGCTTTCGGCGGTGGCCTCCGGGCCACAATCGCAGTCGTGCACGCCCTCGAAGGCGTGCTCGAACATAGCCTCCTGTTCGGCCTCGTGGGTGCTCCTCAAAGCGGAAAAGTGCTCGTAGGAGAGACCGGGGTGGTCAACGAGCGGGCGGGGCGCGGGGCGGGACGGGTGGAAGTGGTGGATGGGGCGAAAGGAGGAGGAGGAGGGGGACTTGCGGGGTGCATAAGGGTGAGTCGGGGCGACGGGCGGTCGGACGGGATGGGCCATCGTTGGGATCGACTGAATGGATAGGGACTGAGGCGAGTACCCTCCCAGTCGCCCTCTCTCACCTTCCGCTTATGTAACTCACACGGTGTATCTCCCTTAGGCGCCCGCGGTATGCCTCCCCATTGGCTGCCGCTCTCCCCCCACCTCCTTCGACACGCACGCTCATCTCGCTCTCTCGCCGAACATCTGCGAACATGCGGCGCGCACGCAAGAATATCACCGAGGTCGTCATCCGCCCTGACGTGATAACAAGGCTTACACTTGATTTTAGCGACCAATCTACTTGACGAGCGAGACGATGCGGGGTTGCACTTATTCATCGCGCAAGTGCATCTCGTCAACGCCGGTGGCTGTAAATAACTGACTCCTGCAGTTCTTCATTTGTCGATCTCTTGGTTCTGTAACGTGATGCTGTGCCTCAAGCTGGGCCACGCGCTTGTCAATGCGTGAGATGACATATCGATGTCTGGAATCCATATGGTAGCCCGTCTGAACCTTTCCAGGACGCGTCCTGGCTTCTAGATCACTCGAGCAAGGCTTTGGCTGGCGCAGACGGCTTTACGAGTGACAATATCGCATTCAAATCAACACGGCTCGCATTCGTCTCGCTCATACACAAGATCCACGCCGTACAGCCTACAAAACCGCTTCGTCTCCGTCCACGCCACCGGATCAGGCGTGCCCGAGCGCACGACGATCCTGCCCCCCGCCTCCGGGTGGAACAGCTTGCCCTCCATCGCCGCCGTGAGCATCCACCAGTGTATCTGCTCGCGGTCGAGCGTGACGCCCGGCACGCGCAGCACGACCGTCCGCACGCTCTCCGGCAGCGGCGCGAGCACATACAGCCTTGCCGGGTTCGCCATCTCGAGCGTCTCCAGCGCGGGGCAGATCTGCAGCATGTCCGCGACGAACTCCGCGGGCACGCCCGACACCGCGAGGTGGCGCACGCCCGGCATCGCGAAGTGCGGCGCCGGGTGGCGCGTGTACAGCGTCTTGAGGTACACCGCGAGCGGGACGAGCGCGGGCGCGGTGAACGCGTAGTCGAGCGTGAGGTGCGTGACCTGCGGCGGGAAGACCGCGAGCCGCAGCTGGTCGAAGAGGTCGTCGTACCCCCAGTCCGTGTACCGCAGCGCGACGTGCCGCAGGTGCGGCAGGTAGTCGAACGTGCTGACCATGTAGAGCACCGTCGAGATCGCGGTGGGCGCGGCGTCCGTTTGCGAGTACAGCTTGATGGAGGCCTCGCCCAAGCCCCCTGGCGAGGCGCCGTCGACGTGAAACGTCATCGAGCGGCAGAGCCTGCTGACGAGTGACATCGCCTCCGCGGTGAAGAGGTCCGCCTCGCCTTGGGATGCGGCTCGCTCGGGAAGCAAGCGCAGGAGGTCGCGCGCGAATAGGGGGCATGGGATGTGCACGTCGCGCATGGCCACTCGCAGGAAGAGCCCGAGCCACATGCGATTGACTTTGCATAGGGTTTTGAAGAGGGCGGCGCGCTCGCTGGAGGATTGCGGTATGGCCCAGACCTCGGACAGGATCTGTTCGAGCAGCTCCGGCGGGATCCATGGTATTGACTTTTGCGACATCGAAGAATGCTTTGGGTGGGTGGGTTGCGATGCTTTGGGAGGGCGATAGAGCATGGAGGCTTGGGAGACGCGTGAGAGTAGAGGGGGCCACCACCAAGGCTTACCATGCCCCTTTATAATATGCAGGCGTGGATCCGGGAGACGCGGATACGGCGCGGCGGATGTGCATGTCGGAACGAGCACATTCCTCCATTCTCCACAGAGGACTTGAGACGATCTGTGTGCGGCATTCTGGATGTCTGCACCACGTCGTTGTTAAAGGCGCGTCAAACATAGCCTACCGGAGATGAAGCGGTTCCAGCATGATGGTTAGTAGAAAGGAGTGCTCGGGTCGGAGCGCCGGATGGCGCCCGTTCCAGTGCTAGTCTGGAACCGAACCAGTTCCAGGCACTCGCACAGCGCCCCTGGAGAACCACACTGACTGAGCACCGTCCACCAGAACGTTCAATCCATAGCGTCTTCGACGTATTCGCTTTCTCCGGCAGTTACGGCTATGGTTTACACAAGATCTGGAAAAACGACTTGATCAGAAACAAATAGATACCACGTACATATTGACACACTCCGGTCCACAACGTAACATAACACTGGTGCTGTGTAATGTCCGTGTCATACCCCAACACCCGTTCCGAACTCGTCTATCTTTGGTTCTTCGAACGGCGTGGGCTCGGGTGGCTCCTCGAACGGCGTCTCCAACGCCTCTAGGATATCCGCCCTCCGACCCGCGTCCACCTCCGATTCCTGAGCTAGCTCTATTGGCACTCCCTTGACAGTGCTCTTCCTCGATGGCGGCTCTTGCTCAACTTTCCCCTCTTTCTCTTTCTTGAACGGGTCAAAGCTCTTCGGCATCGGCGTCGACACATTCGTCCTCCGCGTCGGTATCGCCTTACCTGTCGCCACACCCAAAAACATATCAGCGCCACACTCGGAATTACAAACCAGCCCAGACCACACTCGGTACTCACGCAGGCTCTTCACGAGGTCGTACCCCTTCAACCGCTCTCGGTCCACGTCTGGGTCGATCGACGTGCCCTCATCGATCGCAACGTAGTCGACGTGGCGCGCGCGCAAGAACCGCTCGTGCAGCGTCCACGGCGCGTCCGGCACGACCTCGTCCACCCATCTGCAGTGGCGCAAAACCTCGCAGCGGTCCGCGTGCGGCACCTCCGAAGGCACGCCGTGCTCCTCGCATATGTCGTCCGCGAACACCCCAACCACCAGCTGCACAGAGGGAAAGGACAACTTCGCCTGCCGGAGCTGCAGCACGTCTCTGCACGCGCACGGGTGTCAGCGCAGCACATATGTCAGGAAAACGAAATGAAACGAGCATTGTGGCGTACCTGGGTGTCAGAGGCCCGAATACGCCATCCACATACACCCGCCATGTCCGCGCGTCCGGCTGCGCGCCGAGCGAGCGCTGCACATGCGTCTGTATGTCCTCCGCCGTCAGGCCCACAGTGTCGAACTTCTCTCTCGCGGAGGGCAGGGGCGCAGGCTCGCCCCCGGCGTACTTGGGGGCCTGGCCGAGGTCCGCGATGCTCGACTCCATCGAGCGCGGGCCGTCCGAGATCACATCGTAGTCGGCGAGGTCATCCGTCGAGAGCACAGAAAGGGCGTCGGTAGAGCGGCGCATCGTCGTCGTTCACCCCAGGATCCACTCGCGAGTTGAAGGGAACGCAGGAGTGGGGGTACCGGTTAAGTCGGGTATCGCGAGTACAAGGTCTCCAGGCCTCTGGGCACTTGGGACGCGGAAGCAGTAGAAGCAGAAGCTCACCGGGGCTAGTATGCGCTCCTTCAAGCTTTTAGGACGGTCCCTGATGGAACGCGCCTCGTGCGGGAACGGACTCCGCAGGGCTGGGCTGTATGTGCTTCGCGCATGGCTTTGTCCCTCCCACCGCCTCAGCTCTGTCTCCGTGTTGCGTATGCCTGCACGCGACGCGCAGCCTGCTGGCAGTTGGCCCGCGACGTCATCGTGAGCGATAGTGAGCAACGAGGAGGATCATGAGTGTGGGGTGCAGAGCGTTAAGAGCAACGACTCCCGAATGCGGGGGAGATCTTATCAGGTCGCGAGTTGGTCGCGAGTGTACCCAGTCGATCATATCAACCATGGTGCTGCACACCTCCGCACTATAACATACCCCATACCTCACACCAGAATGCCGCTGCGTAGCTGGATACACTCTGTCAAGCCTCTCGGCGACTTCAAACAGGCCATAGCGCAGCCCTCAACAAGCACGGATCCCCCCGCCCTCCCCCCGCTCACCTCAACCCTGTCCGACCCATCCGGTGAGCAAGACGGCCCCCTCGCGCACGCGCTCGCCCTCCTCTTCGAGCCCTCCCCCATCCTCTACGACGCCCTCGCCCCCGCCCTCGCCGCCCACATCCAGACCGCGCCCCCCGTCCTCTCCTACCGCGCGCTCATCGACGCCGCGCTGCGCGTGATCGCCTCCTGGCCCGACGACCGCAAAGCGCAGTTCATCGCCGCGCACCCCCGGATCGGCGAGGCCAACGGCCTCTCGCACCTCTCCGCGCAGGAGCAGGCCGCGAAGGCGACGTCCCCAGAGGTCCTCGCGCGTTTAGGGCACCTGAACGCGTGTTATGAGCGGCGGTACCCCGGGCTCGTGTACATCACGTTCGTGAACGGACGGTCGCGCGCGGAGATCAAGGACGAGATGGAGGACGCGCTCAAGCTGGAGCACGCGTTGGATGCGGACGAGCCGTCGGTGGAGAGCGTGCAGAGCGTTCAAGTGGGCGGAGAGGCTTGGAGGGTGGAGCTGGAGAGGGCGGTGGCGGACGTGGGCAAGATTGCGAAGAGCAGGTTGGGCGCGTTGGGCATCGAGACAGGTGCGTTCGCGATGCGGGATGTATGCGTCGTACTAACTGATATGTCCAGCGCAGTCCGCTTAAGATATGTACAACAGGCCGAATTACACGAAAATGGGTATACAGCGCACGCAGCGGAGCAAGCAACGTTACTGTCTCGCCCAGTATGCGGTGCGCAGATGCGGCGTACAACCAACAAACGTCCAATAGATATCGAAATAAGAACCTAAAGCAAACACACAACACCGGCGATATATAGCACAAGGGGGACGGTCTTCTTCCTATCACTGCGCGTTTGGCGAGCTCTCCACTCGCGGGGCCCGGCTCTGTGTGTCGTCCGACTCCTACGGTCACCATCAACACAGTACGTGAATCGCACGGGGTCACTCACCATCAGCACCTTCTGTCTCCGGACCTCCCACTCGGGACAGCGCCGGCGGAGGTCGCTGAGCAGCTCGTCCGCGAGCGTGTACGTGCCGCCGCTCTTCACGTCCGCGGCGCGCTCCGCCTCGCGCGTGAGGCGCAGCTGCTCCTCGAGCGCCTTCATCTTCTCCTGGTAGCGGAGCTCCGCCTGCGCGAGCGTGTCCTGGTAGCGGTTCTTGCTGGCGAGGATCTCCTCGCGCAGCACGCGCATGCGCTCCTGGTGGCGGGCCTCTGCCTTTCGTTGCCATTCCGCACGCTCTCGCGCGAGACGTGCCTGAACCTCCTCGGTGGTGAAGCGGCGGCGACGGATGTAGTTCAGGCCGTTATCGTATGCCTGCGGAACATACTCAGTATAACGCACGGCGGGTAGGTCAGCGACAACATACCTTGCGCTTCGCGGGGTCGCTGAGGACCTCGAAGGCAGTGCGGACATCTCTAAACTCGGTTTCGGCCGCTTCGATTTCCTCCTCGTCCGACCCAGGAGGGAGCTTGTCTGGATTTTCTCAGTCCATCCGTTATTCGCTTCGCAAGAACGCTTCGGCAGCTCACCTGGATGTGTCTCCAGCGCCCGGACCTTGTACGCCTTCCGCACTGCGAATCCCGCCGTTTGCACCCCATTTACCGCCAATTCAGTGCTATATGCACGTACCTTCGTCCGCAGTGGCAGTCTGGAGGATGCCTAGGATATCATAGAGACTTTGCGCTACGGCCATATGGCCTCTCAGGACTCTGCGCGTGATCCAGGGTGATGTGTGTGTGAAGGGGGTGCGTGAAGGACGCGGGGAGAGGAGAGCAAGCGTTGCCCTCCCCGGACACTGCGCATGTTCGAATCGCGGGTAGTCACGTGGGTCGCGTTTATTGACGCGCCGTGGGCGCTTCTTCCGCGGTCGCCTCCTCGTTCGGACCCTGTACACGTTCAGGATCGCGCGTCGGCGATGGTGCGGGCACCCGACAACGCGCAAGGGATGCGCGTCGATCAACCTCAGGTTAACAGGACTGGGATAGGGACTCTAGGGCATATGCACGACACATATCTCGCGAGCTTATTCTCTGATACAAGAACCACCTTCTGCGGAGAAGAAGTACACCCACATCTGCCAACCAACTACAACGCCCGGCGCTGAGAACCGTCAGACGGCGCCTCCAACTGTGGTTGTCTTTTCCCGCCTACATTCACAACTCAAATAGAAAGGTAAGGTTCGTGCCAGTTGAGTCTAACGTTGTGCCGTGCTATGCGTGGGGGCTCGAGGCGCGTGGAAGGTGGGTGGGCAATTCTTGTGCTCCATACATGAGGATCGAGCCGCCGTAGAGCCGTTCGAGTCCCAGTCGGCGCGGTGTAGGGTTCACGCATTAACGCGGCCCACATCTCGTGTGACGGTGGCGAAGGACTGATATAAGGTAATAAGTGAGCTTTAAGTTCGAACGGATAAGCTGTGTGCGACCGAACTTACTGTGACGAGCCGCGCGACAGGACACATTATGGTGTCGCGACGCCGTGACAGAGCGGGAAGGGCTATGATCGTGCCCATATTCCCGGGCATGGTCATTCTCTCCCCACTCCCTCTGCTTCTTTCAACACCACTATGTCAGCTCTTCCTATCATACATCCTGGTGTCTTGGGGGCATTGAGGTCGTAGCCATAGTCAGTGGGCATGAACTGTAAGTTCACTGGACTACACCTTAGATATACTCATACTTGACTAAGTAGGTCCTCTCTCTCTACAGGCCTGTAAGCAAAGTCAGGCATGGCTTTTCAAGGTGTACAGAGTGTTGCACAGGGCATACATGGAACAGCTGTGCAGTTCTCAGATTGAGCATCCGTCGGGATGCTCAATCCGCGACCTGGACTGTTGTTCCGTGCTTGCGCGCGTGCCTCGAAAACTCACCTCAGCTCCGTATCCTACACGCGCGCACCCGCGCGCGACATTATCGACGCGACAATCCAAGTGAAGAGCATGCCGCTGCGATGCAATATGCGGAACGACGACGTGTGGAAGACGCGCGTTTCTGCGATACCCATGATGGCGGGATGGTGGTGACCGACGCCTGCGCCGTTGACGCGCCCGCCGGTGCCTCGCGGAGGGCGTCGCGAGCCTAGCGTCGGTTGCGATCAATGCAGCCCACCGCGCCCAGCGAATGGCCGTCCGCAAACCGGACCCCACGTGATGGTGCCCTTTATGCCGATCGCGCCTCTCCTGGCAAGCCGCGGTCCTTTGCAAAGCTCCTCTTTCTACGTGTACGTCCTCGCCCTCTCCTCCCCGACGCGTTCTAGTGGCACTTACGCGCGGTCGCGCGTCCTCAGCCCTCGCAGGACCCCCAGGCCGATACATAATGACGCGAACACGGACGTCGCTCAGGGAGCCTTCGAGGAGACAGCGATCCCCAGGTGCGCGCGGGGTCATTTTCACTCCGGAGAAGAAAGGCGCGACCCCGAAGGTGGTTACCTTCGCCAAACAGAAATTTCACCCCAACGTCGTCCTAGACACGTTCTTCACGTTCGTCGCGGAGCGCCACCGCATCCACCAGCGCCGCCTGTACGGCGAGCAGCGACCCTGGACTGACGACTCCATCCTCGACACCTACCCATTTACGAACGTCTTCCGGATATACGACCGCGTCACACAATACATCCTCCACAACGTGATCGCAAAGGGCGACCAGAGCCTGCACGAGCAGTGTTTCCGGGTGATGCTCTTCCGCTCGTTCAACCGGATGGAGACCTGGGACCTCCTCGTCGCGCGCTTCGGGGCGGTGACTTGGCGCGACTTCGACGTCAACGCGTACGAGGAGGTGCTGCTAGCGGAGCAGCAAGAACACCCCCTCTACGGCCACGCGTACATAATCCCCTCCCCAAAACTCGGCGGGCGTGCGAACGCGTCCAACCATCTCCGCCTCGTCCAGCTCATGATGGAGGAAGACCTGCCCGGCGAGCTCAAGAAGCTGCATCACCTGAAGGACGCGCACGGGCGGATAAGCCTCTTCCCCAGCATGGGCGACTTCATGGCGCTTCAGTAAGCTCCTCGCCTGTCACCGCGCCCTGCACCCAACGCTAATCCCGCGCTGCGCAGGCTGCTTCTAGACCTGAACATGACCGCGCACTTCAACTACGCCGAGGACGAGTGGGTCGCGCTCGGCCCGGGCTCGCTCGCGTGCCTGCAGAAGATGTTCGGGCCCGCGATCCGCTCCTTCGAGCTCGACGCGCTGCGCTACCTGCACCGCACGCAGCACGCGCACTTCGCGCGCCTGCGCGTGCGCCCGGACTGCATCCCGCGCGTCCCCGGGCGCGCGCACGGGCTCTCCATGGTCGACATCGAGCACGCGCTCTGCGAGTGCGAGAAGTACTCGCGCGCGTTCCACCCGGGCATCGTCGGCAAGCGCCTCAAGGTCGCGAAGCGCGTGTTCGCGCCGCGCCCCGCGCCCATCACCGCGGACGTCCCCGCGCACTGGCTCGCGGGCGCGCGACGCCGTACGGAGGGGCTCTTGCGCCCCGGCGCGATTACGGTCGGGGGCAAGAAGGAGTACGAGGTGGAGCACATCGTCGCAGAGAAGCGCAACCAGAGCGGGAGCGACCCGCTGTACCTCATCCGTTGGGTCGGGTGGGGTCCGGATGGCGACACCTGGCAACGCGAGAGCGACCTGGTGGGGGCGTCGCTTGTGCTGCAGGATTGGAAGACCGCGAAGCAGCGCATCGCAACCCGTGCTATCGAGATGCAGGACATGGGTCTCCGATTCAAGTCTCAGGATCACAAGCTTAAGAAGGGCCGGAAGAGTGGATGATCTGTACGACAGCCTGATTTGTACCTTCGCACTTTGCTTTCACATTGCTAGTTAACGCTGTCTTCGTCCGTCCGTCGCTGTTTTATGTAGCTAGGACAGTACATAGTACACCATATTAGTTGCTTAGATCCCGCTACTTAGTAGAGTAGGATATCGCGATGCCAATAAACTGGTGTCACCCGCGCACAGCACTAGGGGCGGAAGAAAAATCGTCTTGTGCCTCGTAGGTCGGAAAGTCCAGGGAGATCGCGCCCAGCATGAACTAGACCAGTAGGTCTATCTCACTCGCTCTGTACGACTGACATGTTGTGAAAATCACCAGCTTATTCACTATGCACAAAGTAGAGTAAATCTCTATGTAAAGTGGGTGTTTGCCCCCTTTTAGCCATTTTGGCGCCGGCGCAAAATCACTACTCTCTCGGGTGTAAAAAGTCGGACTTTTGAGCTATTAAATGTTACGGTTCAACACCCTCGTCCAAGCGCCGGCACCGGTGATTGCACACCGTTTTCTAGGTGAATACCAATAGACGGTGATTCACTCTCTGTTATATAGTGCTTTTTGCTATAACACAGAGAGCACACATTCGCTTTAAATGAATGGCATCTCATTGAACTATACTAGCTATCGTACACTAATGAGGTACAACGTGCCGCAGACATAGGTAAGATAGAGACATGCGGGGGACATGGCGCGAGCGAAACCACGGTGCGGGACAGTGGAGAGCCGGCAATACACGTGTGGCACGAACACAGACGGGGCACGGGCGAGGCACAGACAGAGTATGTGAGATGAGCGCGGGCGAGAGGTAAGACGAGCGCGAGCCAGACACGAGCGTGCGGGTGCGGGACGCGGGATATGCGTGAGCGTACGCGGGCTACGATGTTGACGTAAATGTTTGCGGGCCTGGCGCCTACAAGGCGCATGGCGTGCGCGGAGAGAAGTCGAGACGTTGCGAGGCAGATGTCGGATGTGGGCACAGGGCATGCATGAGCGTGGAGGGGGGCGGACAAGCCATCAGGCGGAGACGCAGCGCAGGAGATGTAGAGACGCGAGCAAGACGCAGAAAGCATAGGCGCAACCAGGGCGTACGTGGAGCCGAACGACAAGACGTGATGGCGTGTGCCCGACACAAAGAAGACACAGGCAAGATATGGACGCAGCGGAGGGAGCCAGGAGAGACAAGTTCATGGCTGGCGGGCAGAGCATATGTGAAGGAGCACAAGGCGAAGAGCGATCGCAAGATGGTGACAAGACAAGGGCAGCGTTAAACTCAACTTCGCACAAGTGAGGTTACCTAGGCTACAGAGCAGCGGCAGCGCGGACATTGACGTACTTGAATAAAACCACATATGTGCTGGTAGGTAAGAAGGATGGTTCCTGACAGGGCGGCCTGATAGCGTTGGGGTGTCGACATAGACGAGGACGAGAGCGAGCTCCGGAGCGACTAGACAGAGGACTAGCTCCTCACATCGGACAAGTCGTAGTACCACAAGGGAGACATTAGGATAGTGAGGTAAAGCCCAGAGAAGACATATTGTGACCAGGGAGAGCACGCGAGAGGAGGCGGGATCGAGAGGGCGACATTGAGGAGCTCGAGGACGTCGAGGAGAAGAGAGACCAAAGAGAGACCGACGGTTGTCAAGCATCCACGGAGCCTCGGAACGGTCCCCCATTGTTTGCTCATATTTGGCCCCAACCGGATTTCTTTCGAGCGCTAAGTCTTGAATGGATCACGGTCATTATTACTATGATAGGTAGTGAAACTCCGAAAGCCCTTGTTCACCACCACTTTCACTACCCACTAATAAACCCATACCTTCGCTAGTGATCGGAGCTAATCACCCGACATAGTCGTAGCGCCCACCACCTTCCGGGCACACAGTGTCGTATCGGCGGCGCTCCTGAAATGACTAGATTCTAGGACAGTACAAAGTATACAAAGACGGTGGATATATCATACACATGGAGCGATGCGAAGGCGAACACAAGAAGCAGAAGAATTAGAATGCAGGAGCCCCGAAATACTCACGATACACATCACAACCGAGCCGACATTCGTCGTTTCTCCTTCTCTTCGACGGCGTCGTGGTTTCGATGGCGAAGTGGGTGGATGATCGAACTCAACCTGAAATCCGCCATCAGTCCTATCCCGCGCAACAAGAGAAGTCGCCAAAAGGCACCTATGGCGTCGCTCACCATCCGCGCCATCCGCGCCGCGAGTGTCCAGGTTCCTCCGTCGCCGGCGGCGCGCCCTCGCGATCGCGGTCTCGCGCATGCTCCGGGCTCATGCTATCGTGCCGCGACGACCGGTGGGGATACCGCGTCTTCCCGCTATCGACGCTGGGATGCGTGTGCCCACTATGGGCGCTCTCGCGGCGCGGGTCGCGCACATAAGCACCGCTGTTCCTCGACGCATCATAGCCGTTCGCCGCCGCTTGGTCGTAGCCGCCGTGGCTTCGTTCCGCAGGCATTGCTGTAGGGACACCGCGTGGGGGCGAAGGGGCGGAGTCAGTACGAGCGTGCCCGGCCACACGTGGGTCAGCGGGAGGGCGCGGGGACGCGGAGGACGTACGTGTGGTGTAGCTCCGTCTTGGGGCGTCTTCGGCGCTGTGCCGGTCGCGGTGGCTGCTGTGCCGCGAACGATGGGAGTGTGCGCGATCAAGGTAGGCGTTGTTGGGTGGTGGAGCCTGGGTCTGTGCGGGACCTGTTCATAAAATTAGCATATAGTTGTGGGAGAATACGAGGAGCAACATACCAGCAATGGGGACGTTGTATGCTTGCGCTTGTTGCTGCTGCGGGATGAAGTGACTGGCAGGTTGAGTAGGGGCGTCCGCGATTGCCTGTGGCGGCTGGCGAGGTTGCGGAGCAGTTTCCGAGCGCCGTGGACCCTCCACTGGACGAGTGGATTGCGAAGGCTGATCTACGCCGTTGATAGTGTAGCGCTCGCCTTCGGGCGAGGAGTACGTGACGTGCTCGTTACCCTGCAGCATGTGTCAGTACTATCATCCATAACATATGGGCGCGTAAGGAGAGTACCTGTGTGTCAACCCGCTTGGTGATGACCTCAGTGCGACCATTGACAGTGCGCGTCATCTGGCTGCGCGATATCCACTGGCCATTCTGGCCGACCGCCTCGGTGCTTGAGCTGTACATTCTGCTGTTCGAGCCACTTTCAATTTGCGGGAACATCGAGCCACCCATGAGCATGCCACCGAACGGCGAGCCAGGGCCAAACATTGAGCCCCCGAACATCGAGCCTCCAAACATCGGACCTCCGAACGGTGAGCGGGAAAACGGGTCGTTGTGCGCGGAGCGGAAGAAAGGGTCATCGAAAGGTGAACGAAAGAACGGTGTGCCGACAAAGATCGGGTCGTTCTCAAACGCGCTATGGAGGTCACCGAAGAGCGAGTTGAAGAGCTCGAACGGGTCGGTGAACATGTACCCGCGCTGCGAGCGGGATCCAAAGGGTGCGTTGAAGAAGGTGCCATTGGAAAAGGGATTGTTCCCAAAGGAATTGCGGGTCTCTGCTTGCGGGTAAGCGGGCTGTTCTGTGGGTGGCGGCCACACGCCGTGCCTATCGTAGAGCTGCGACACATGAGCAACGCACGGGTTGTTGGTGGCACACGCAGGTAGATACGCACCTTGCGGTTGTCCTCGTTATTCAGAACTTCGTATGCATTATTGACCAGTCTGAACTGCTCCTCCGCAGCTTGCTTGTCTGCAGGCCCGATGTTCTGCGGCAGTCGATCCGGGTGCGTCTGCAGAGCTCGCTTCTTGTAAGCTTTTCTTACTGTGCGTTCTGCGGTCAGCTCTCAGCGATACAGAGAGAAACACCGTGCTCACCTTCTTCCTGGGTAGCATCTCTCCGGATTCCAAGGATCTCGTATAGGTTTGTGGTCGCAGTAGCCTGAGCAGGAGGCATAGCGAGAACGAGCTCTGAAGGTGGTAGGGGTGGAACTATGCAGAGATTGAGAAGCTTAGCGTCAGTAGAAAAGGCCTAGGAAACGTTGCCAGGGTGCTGGGCTCGGCGTGGAGGTCGAGAACGAGGGAGAGGATGAGAAAGAGCTCGAAGTTTCTTGCCGCCGCTTGATTGCAGGCCAGACGCCACGAGCGGCTGCGTCATGCACTCTATTCCGCACAGCCACAACTCTATACGGCGGACGTTGCCGGTTACTGGCATGCCAAGGCTCACTCCCGTTCCACATCGTGCAACGAGACGCAAGGCGATTAATTCTCTAGACTCATTTGCGCCCAAGAACAATCGTAGAAGGTCGGGGAAAGGCTAGTAATACATGCAGGATTCCAAGTCAATCGGCGAGCGGTCTCGGTAAATATTGTCTAGTATGTACAGAGTCAGATGGTTCGCTGCGGCATAGAAGATATCATATCAATTAGTCGTGCGAGTCCAAATCACCCAAAAGGTAGTATAAAGTACCTGAACAAGTGCCCATTGGGCCAATAGCTGTTTTATTCGATCTGAAAGACTTCCTTGACAGAGATCGCAAGACAGACGGTTCGCGAGCGGCGACAGCGCATTTTGGATCGCGCTCGGTGACAGATCTGCTCGGGGAACGGGGACGGTCAACGGCACTCGCATACGAGTCAAATGCGCGCCCGAGTCTGAGTATACTTACCGGCAGTAGCCTCCCATGCGAGGTAGGCAGTAGCAAGCGCCCACGCCCGCGCGAGCTTCTTCTGCTCCGCGAAGTCACATTCGGGGGTGGAAGGGTGTATGTGTGGCGGGAGTAATAGTAGTCGTTTCAGTGCATCGATTCGTGCCGCGTAAAACACGTATAGCTTCTTCAAATAGACCGGCGCAATCCGACCGGCACACTCGTCCGTAAGTGTGTGGAGCGGGAACGAGAGCAGGAAGCTTGACACGGCCTTGGCGAGCTCGTATAAATCGTGCCTTGACGCGAGGGCGTAGACATGGAATGGACGTATAGGTGCCTGGACGAGGATGAGGCTGTAGAGGGAAGTGGTGGGTGCGACGAGGGTTTTTGGAGATAAGCCATAAGAGGGCATCGCGTCGACAGCCGCGACGAGGACGTCTAAGGAGGGCTTATACTCCTCGCATGGAATGCCGTATGCGGAATGCAGGATGACGTTCAAGACGACAGATGATTCCGGGACGTGCGCGATGGGGTTCTGAACCCCGCCGTCCACTTCGTCCGACTTTGAGTCGCCAAGTAATCGGGGTAGGACGGTGTCGTTGAAGTGGTTGGTGGACGCGGCTAGAACCTGCGTGGTGTGTACGTAGAAGAGGACTTTGTCTGAGGAGATAAGGATCAAGTCTGTCGGTATGGGTAGAATGTTCGCCATTGGATGGAAGGTAGTGGAGATGGACACAATGGTCGACCGTGAGATGTCCTTGACGATCATGTTTTGTGCAAGATCTTCCCCTACAGAAGTAGTGGTGTCGGTGTCAGACTCCTGCAAGAATATGCATCAGGCGGGCTACTACGGGAGTGATACAGATATAAGGCCACATTACTTACGGGGGACATCAGAACATGGCTAGGAGTTGAACGAGAGACGTTATGACGTATAAGCTTAGATGTGTCGATCATGTGAACATCGCGCTGCTCGTCAGGCTCCAATGACTGCGGTGTTGTACAGATACCAGCAACGTCAAAGATAGACTCGATGGAATGCCACTCAGAGTGGTCCATGGCGAGGGAGGATGTCCAATGGAGTAGGAGACGCATGGGAGAATGGAATTTAAAGATGCTTACTGCCATGCGGGTTTGTAGATCGTAAGCATATCTCTCTCTTCAATGTTATATCTCGGATGGCGTGATCCGAGAACCTTACGGAATACATGGTAGAGGGCCGCTAGAACGTCACTAGACTGGGGTGTGCGCACGTCAACCGGCGTGCGGCGGGGCGTAAAGCTGGACCACGGGCGACCCAGGCTCAACAAAATTCGGCGAGGGAGGCACATCGAGTCACGGTATCATCGACTCGGATGGGCACTGAGTACTGAAGTACCGGAGCCTCACGGTAATGCAACGTGCAAACGTTAACTCTGTCTCGAAGGCGAAGGAGAATCTTCTGCAGACTCTGAGCTTGTGCCTAGAAACGAACACGCAACATGCTGCAAGACCGGACCATCAGATTGACATAAACCTCCGTGCATGCGACGAGCGTAGGTGGGTGGCACGCATTCGAATGCCCTCTAGCACAATTAGGCGTCTCGGGGACGATTGTGGTGCTGGAAAGGTGTTTAACTTAGATGCATGACCGAGGACGCACTGCAGTGCTCGACGTCACCGTCGAGGAACTTCCACACGTACTTGATGTGCATCGGGAACCTCCTTGTTGGCGTATCCGCGCTGGCCGATATGGACGCCTACACCATTCGAGTCACATGTTGGGATCGGCGCACCAGACAAGTAGGGTGCGCATCTATCGAAATCCGAGCTTCGAGCCACAGACAGCGCTTGCGTATCTCCTTCGTGCACGGGAGAATCGCTCGGGATCCCCGGGCCGTAGCCGTGTCGCTGGCGTCCGAGAAGCTACGGCGGCTCTAGTGATCGATGATACACTCGTAGACCTCATTCCGGGGGCTAGAAAGAGTCGACATCTTCACAAAGATTCGCGGTACGGTCCTGAACGAACTCAGGGAGGACTCACATAGAAGAACACTCACATGGGCGATGGTGATGGTGTGCGGCAAGCCTGTTGGCGCCCGCGGTGAAGGAACATACTTATGCCCGTTTGAAGGACATCCGATCCGGCTGGCTTGCCTCCGGATACCGTCGAATCTTCTGACTTCGGGCTGGTGCTTGCGAAACTTACTGGGTATCGAGTCTGCGTCGCTTTCGACCCGCCTATACACACACATTCAGGCCGTATCAAGCCACTGTCTACCGCTACGGTGCTTATTTGACACCGTAAGCTGTGCGATAATATGATTATAAAGGCGATAGATTGCTGACCATGTCCGCAAATTGAGAGTTGCCCCTCGGATGCTTTGACCGGCAGCTTGAAGCACCGAGTGTCCGGGAGCGACAGCGTGAACGTGCAACGGCGCTCGTTACGACTCCATACGAGCACAAGATGACAATGCCATAATCCTCGCGCCAGTCTGTGTGAACACCCCAAGCGCGCCATATCACTACGGCTTATCCTTGCGGTGACGCACGACCGACCTCCGGGGTCACCGGGGGGGAGCAGCGGTTGCCTCGGGAATATCTGTGCCAAGGTCCGGGATGGTCTGTTGTGGAATCTGGGTGCATCAAGAAGGTGGACTGAGAATGACGCTAGGAATCCGAAAATATCCACATGCCGTAGAATTAGCTCTCACGACTGTCCAAAAAGGATTGTCGGAACTTCCCAAGGGCGAGGACCACCGTCCTGACATAGACACAAGTCGTCCGGCGGACGCATACGCCCCCCTTCCCCCCGTATCCCCCACCCATGCTCCCTCCCGTTCATATCCGGGCCTTTGTCCTACTCTGTTCTTCCCTCGGCGAGAGTGGCTAGAGTTCCGCTGTGCTGGCAGGGGTATTTACAACCTCTACCATGCTCGGAGAACGACCTTACCTGCGCTCAATAAGGGCCGAAGCAGCAACACTACAGCGAGGCAATATCCGACGACCTCCGATAACGAGTCGATACCTTGTCGTCCACTGGCACTGTCGACTTGTAGCTGGACCCGAAAAGAAATACAGCAAGAGCGGAGTCAGTCGCCAGCATTTCTGAAGATGGTTCACGTAGAAGGCGTGTCGAGGAATGAGCGTGGGGATGAGCAGAGGTGAGTCTTCGAGTTCTGTTCTTTCCGTGTCCTTGGGCGCCAAGCCCCGATATGCGCACGCTAGCCGGATTAGGATGAAGGCCGCCACCGCGGGTTGGTAGCCATGCGGCACGCCGACGGCGAAGGCGTGATTATGACCCAGATCAGGATATGGGTGGCCGTAGGTCCCACGATCGAGTGGCACCGAAGCGGCAGGCAGGCACGGAGCCGTCGGCGTGGCGAGCGGCGGTGTCGGGCTGGCCGAAGTCCAGCAACATGCATGCGCACCACGGGCTTTTCACGCGGTGAACTCGTGTAATTAATGAAAGCTGATTTTAGCCCTGTCTAGTCGAAATCCGGATCGAAGCGGCGGCGCGTGCATAGTCCAGGTAGAAAAGTGTGACCAAGAGTCCTTCCCTCCCGCTCTTGGCAGGAACGTTGCGCGGCGTACAGGTCGACTGAGTGCGCGGTCAGCGTAGGCGACGAAGAATCAAAAGTGGGCGTAGACACTCCGGTGAGCGTCCTAGCCGACTGTCGCGGGCTACTAAATCGAACGAATGCCCCGGGATGCCGGGACAGACATCGGAGAAGGGCTCCGATGAATGCACAAGACGGGCTGGCCCGTAGCCTTCGACTTCAGGCGCACTTCCTTCAAGTGCAACCGGTTGAAATCGACGGGCTTGCCCTTGTGCGACACTGGGTAGTGTTTCTACGAAGGAAGGTTCAGGACGTATATGGGCGACTCAACGTTGAGGCGGTACGTACCAGAAACTCCTGCACGTCAGCGGCTATCCTACGAGCCAGCTTTGCGCGGATGATCGGCGGACCATTTTTCTTGTTGCGCACGCGGCGCTGCTTGGAGGAGAAGCCGTCTTTGGGTGTATGGGAAGGTCGGACACCCTCCATCTATGGTTCGTTTGTTAGGCGACGACACGAGAACCTGGCAGTATAGCTGATGGTGCTTACCCCTAGGCAAATGCTCAACTTCTCGTCGATTGGAGCGTTCAGAGCGAAGACAGGCTCGTTCGGGTCGTAACATATCCCGTCGATGGCGTATGACAGCGGCACGCAGTGGTACGGGATGACGAGCTCGATCTCGGGAGCTTGGGCGCGGGGGTGGTTTCGATAGTCGTGCTGCGGTAGCGTCTGCGAGGCGGTGAGTGTTCGAGTGACCGCTCCTGAAAGACGTGCGCAACCACTCACCTCGTGCTGCGCGAACGTGATCGCGCACTCCTCGGTTCGGGCGTCCGCTATCCTTTCCCCCCGTACCAGGCGGCGGGTAGCGTCACCGACACCTCCCTCGTCTAGCCGCCGTCGCAGGGGCCGTCTTTCGACGTCCTCCGCAATAAACACATTTCCGTTGTCCCAGAAAACATCCGCGGTGTCTTCAGCACGAGGTAGACCGGAAAGGAGATACTCAGTGACGTCGCTCCATCCCAGGTTACCACAAAGCTTCAAGTGTAGAGACCCCGCAGGTGTGACGGCAATGGTGCCTGCAAGGTCCTGGTGAAAAAGGTATGCTGGGATGTCAGACTCGCGTTATGATGCTATTTATCCCAGTACTCACCCAGGCTGGGATAAATTCGGCTGTTAGTCTCACTCCGCTCACGCGCGGAGGGAAAAACAGAGTGCCTGGACGCGACAGGAGCTCCTGGCCGACCGTACCCCGATGGTGAGCGGTAGCTCAGGCGCTTATATTGAGATGGAAGCGGGGGCTCACCGGAAGGTGATCAAACCGTGCGTCCATCGCAGGTGATGGTCGGCGGGGGTGGGGAGGAGTGGGGAGGGAGGTGGAATGACGGCGGAACCTGGTACTACCGCTGGTCTCTCTTGTGCTCGTACCTTATGTTGGTCGGGAGGTTGGGATACGCCTGGACCGCCTTTGCTGGATCTTGACGTGCGGGAGGATATCCATATCGCTGCAACGTTGGAAGACGGTTCATTGACCTCGCGCAAGTCGGCGCAGGCCTCAGGCGGTGATGTGTCACTTCCGATGTGCGGAGGTGTTGGGTGGGCCAGCAAATGACTCCACTGCGTGCGGGTATCTCCTGAACCGCCCGAAGAACTCGCTAATAATTCGTCTCCTCCGACTTCCATCCGGATCCAGATCTAGCGCATCGACGAACCCTAAGAGGCTAACTTTGAGACAAACTTACTTTAGTATCGTGGTAGTATAGTTACTTACAGTGTTAAGATAGACTTGTCTATCGGTGGTTGGTGCTCGCTGCTATCGGACTCATCCTCGGAGTCCCAACCAGGCCTCAAGTCCCTGAGAAAAGAGGCGATGAACACACGTCGCGTGGTCACTTTGGGCGAGGACGTACGTCGTACCCCACAGCGGCACGCCTGGAAGCCGCGCCGACGAATCCCGCCCTAAAATATGAAATGCCACCGCGGTCCGCGTCCTACTTACGATCTCGTCAATGCATCATGTTCGTGCAGAGCGCCTGAGTACGCACCGCCTGGCGCAGGCTCAGTCCGCACTGGTACAGACAAGATGAGCTGTCCCTGCTCGCTGACCTACCAGCGACATAGTCAGGCATTATGCAGAGGGGATCATTAGGTCTGAATCGTATAGCACGCGCATTCGCCGCATCTACGTCGACCCCGAGAAGGCCCTCATCCTTCCAACTCTCTCGGGTGGCTGAGCACGCGTGTTACAGGCAGCTTAGCCCTGCAGGGACCACAAAACCTACGCACACACTGGATGATGAAGACTTCTGCGCCACCCGATCGAGTGCTGCAGGTGAGGAGGCGTCTAACACGCCGGAGGTCCTTGGTACAGACGCACTGTTCTCCGACCACCACGGGGCTACCGATCAAGGCTCCGCAGCGGTAACCATGGGTGACTCATTCGCTGGATGTAAGGTGACGGCATACCAACACGGTGGACGGCGGCGGCGGCGGATTTTGGACGCACGTTAGCTATGGCCTGATGCCGTGCCGTCCGCGCGCTCGAGACGAGCGGTTTACGCGCGCAAAACCTTCGCCGATGCATGCCCCCCGCCGGACATGAATGGGCTGCTTGCAACGCTCATGAGGACCCGAACGGGACGACATGAGCGTCGCATTGGTCGGCGTGCAATGATACGGCTGAAGTAACTGTCGCTATATTTGGCGGGTCAGGGGCCAACAAGGTATACGTGTAGCAGCGCACCTGCTCGTGCCAAGGATGGCGAGGCAACGGAAGACCAGCGCGTGTGGCGCGTTCCGCCAAGCACAGGTGGCAAGCCTCTTTCCAACGTCGAGTTGCTTCGGTGGGAAAAATCGTTGCTTCCCGGAGATGATCCTCCTCATGTTCGGGCGATACGACGTGCTTGGGCTCATGCGGTCTGAGGCCTCAGGCCTCATCCGAAGGCTCGAGAATGTGCCCGAGGAAGTACAAGCGCCTTCGTTTCACGCAGCGGGTTTGTCCCCATGCACTACCAGGTATGTCGAATCAGCGGAGAACCCGGGTACCACAGCCTAGTTTTGTAGGTACGCCGACAAGAAGTTGATGCCGGATTCGCTGAATCGGCGGGAATGGCGGAGTCGGGAGGGCGCGCAGGCGCCAAAAAGTCCTCAAACGGAGTGTGGGCGCCTGTGTGCTTCCTTACGTGCGTATAAGCGCCATCCTCGATACATCGCATGGATATCCGTTTTCTGTTCTCAGAGGCTTTCTTGTCTCCCCGGCCCTAGGCAGACGAAGGTGATCTGTCGACGGGGGAGGGTGTACGTGGTGGTAGGGAGACCAACAATTGCGCTCCATACAGACGATCTAGGAAGGCTGCACACACCCCCACAACATGTGAGCGTGGGTTCGCCCGCTGAGGCGTCGAACTTCGCAGCGAATCGATTGTATAATGCATTATAACGCGAGAGTCGTCGAACGAAGGCTGTTGGTTACACAGACTGCGAATTCTATTATGTTGCTTGGCGAGACTGTTGAATCCTTGGTTAGCCTCAGGAGAGAAGCATCGCAGTAACATGATGACATACCACTAAGCCCATGTACGCGCCAAGCCAGTCGTACTGTACAAGTTTCCGATCCGTATATTACAATCCAGAGAAGTCATCACGGTCATAACTACCTAAGTACGGACGCCGAATCTCTATGCAACCGAAATCTCCTGTGTGTGCTCAAACGGCTGCACGACAGCCCTCTGCTCCTTCGCCCTGACCATATCATCGCCACCGAGCTCGCCCATGCTTGTGTGCGGAACCTCGGACGCAGGGCTGATGGGGCCAGACGAGTCCGGCAGCGACGACGTGTCGGAGCCGTTGTACATCGGCTCCTGGTGCACCGGGTCGTACGAGGGCCGCGCCGAATTCGAGGACGTGCTCTTCCGTCCAGTGAACAGCCCCCCGAACTTGCTGGGGGCAGTCTGCACCGGTGTCGATGCGGGGGAGGCGATGCCCGACTGCGGTGGAGTAGGCACCTCGGGCTCTGTGTTCCACAACCGGAAGCCCCACCGAGAGGCCGTGCTGCCCTGCTTCGAGTGCGTGGGGGGCTGCGAGGGCTTCCCCGTGCCCGTGCCGATAGCAGCTGGGATGCCCACGTTGTTGTCCGCGATGAACGTCCTGAGCGCGCGCACGCAGAGCTCCGACGCTTCGTGGGCCTCCTGCACCTCGGACAGGTCGCGCTTCGTGTCGTCGAGCTGCTGCTGCATGAGCTGCATCTGTTTCCGCAGCAGCTCCACCTCGATGTCCCCAATCGACTCGGGTTGCGCAGCGCCCCCGCGCCCGAAGAGGAGCGACACGCGGCGGTTGTGTTGGGTGGGGGCACGCTCGGTGGGCGTGGCGTCAGGCGACATGGGTGACGGGGGCGGCCATTGACCGTCGCCGTATGCATTGGCCAGGACGCCAGAGTCGGAGACCGACGAGATCCTGCGGTGCCCCGTGCGCCCGGCGGACGTGCCGGTCAAGGGTTGGAAGGATGATCGGCGAGAGGATGGTGGGCCGCTCAGTGAAGCGTGTTGAGGGGGCGGCCGCGAGAGATCGAGTGTAAGATTGGAAGCGGCGCTCATCCGCTTCTCCGTCTGGAGGCGCATCAATGCACGTCTGCAGCAGAAGCACAGATATCAGCAGGGTGTGGCGCGCATAGTGGCTAAAGCAACGTACCTGCTCTCCTCGACCTTCGTGCGCAACATGGAAATCGTCTCCTCGTCCTCCTGACGCTTCGCCGCCGCCCCCTCGAGCTCGTTCTCGCAGCGGAGGCACTTGTCTGTGACGTGCTCGAGGGCCTCCTTCAAGCCGCCCTCCCGCGTCTGTGCTTCAGCAAGCTGTTCCGAAAGGGTATCGCGTTCCTTCGTGACCTCCGCGAGCGAGAGACGAAGCTGGGTAACAATTGAGGCGAGGACATGGGTATCGAGAGATTGCGGTCGTGGCGGGTTCGGGGAATTGGGGAGCGACTCGTTGTCAAGTTCACGCTCGAGCGCAAGCGTGAGGTCGATTGATGTGGGCCGGTTCGGTTCGTGCTGGAGGGTCATCTGAGGCTCGCCGTCGTCGTAGGTGGTGGACATGGCGGGCAAGGATTGTGCTGTGCTCGTGGAGGTCGTGAAGGAAGAGCAGGCGTGAATGGTCGTGAGCGGGTGAAACACAAATGAACGCTGCGGGAGCGCGTTCGCGCCGGCTGTCCCAATCGGGGCTGTGATAGAGACGGCGATGCTTCCCGCGCCCTGAACACCCTGGGCACAATGCCGCACATCCCCCTCAACCGCGGCACGACATAATCAAACAGTTTATCGGAAGCGAGGGTGCAACGGTCAAAGAAGACATCAGGGTGAGCGGGCCGATCTTTGATTTCATGGGCAGGGATCAGCGACGTTGACATCAACATATATACATGTACACAGAAATATTTCCAAGTAAACAGCGATATACTCTAGCAGGTACAATCCAGTTCGCGAACCATCCGCAATGCGCATACACTTCCCCGTAACCTACACGCGCCTTCTTTCCGCTCTCTCGTCTCACTGAACCTTCTGTGCCGGCACATCACAGCCACAACCGCGTCCGCGGGTTAGCCGTGTGTGAGAGGGTCGACACAAATAACGCCGTCGCGCTCGCTCCAGGGATAGCCCCACATGTGCAGCCACTCCCGGACGCCGGTCGCAAGACGTGTCTTCGATGCGCCCCGAGACGGGTCTTGTGTGCCCGTATGTTTTTCTTCTCCAACAATAAGAAACGCTGCATAACAGTCAGGCTGCCGATCTTGCTACCAAGCATATGCTCACTCACCAAGTCCATAAAAGTTTTCCCTCTCCAGCTGCGAAGATGCATGTCAGCAACCAGCCGTTATGAATGTATAACTGTACACATACCGCAAGAAGGAACTCCTCCAACACCTCGGTCGCCTCCGCAGCATGCAGACCGTGGAGGTCGAGCATCGCCTCCGTCCGCTCCTCGGGAGTCAACTTGGTCTCGCCGCTATTGGTTTGGCTCGCGATACCAAGCGTGATTCCGAGGCCCGCTCCGCAGACGCGACCGCGCACAGAGCGGTCACCAGGGTCGTCCGACCAGGTCACGTCGCGCGCCCGCGCAGCCTGCTCAGCGAGCCGGGCACGCTCCCTGACGAGTTTGCCCGCCGCCTCAACCATCTCCGCCGCCATCTTCGCGTTCAGGTCGTGACCCTCACGGCTGAAACGCTTTGCTGCCGCGCCATCGCCTCGGCGCCATGCGTCTGCTGCACGAGAAAGACACGCGTTACGCGCAGCCCCAAGTCGCAGTGCCCTGGACGGGTGTCAGAGGAATACTCTAGGACTAGCGGGGAAACCCAAGCTCACCTCTCACGGTACGTCATATACAGTTTGTTGACGGCCTCTCCCGTAGGCAGAGTAGGCAGCAACGAGGGCGACTTGAGCTTGATGCGAGGCGACGGCTTAGGCGCGACGATAGCAGTGTTCGGGTGCAGCGGTTCCGCAGATGAGCCCATTGCCTCCCGGCGCGCAGCTAGAGTAGCAGGGTCCTTCGGGATCTGCGACTGGGGAGCGGGCCTCTTGACGGCAGCTGCAAACCGGGTGCGACTGGGATCGAACGAACTATCACCGCGCCCGAGGCCATGCCCTCCACGACGGTTATTATTACTACCGATCGCGTGATTGAGGGACGGGAACTCGTCCAAGGGGGCGCTTGCGTTGGTCTCTTGCTGCCCTCCGTGGATGTCCATGCGTGACATGGCACCATTGAGTCCTGAGACATCGATCTCCTGAGGAAGGTGGTGCAAGAATTCGCACGTCTCGCCCTTCGCACAGGTGCCCCGAAGCCAGAAGCGACACAGCGCGCGTTCAAGGTCATGGCTGAGGTAGTAATCAAGGTGTCAGCGTCGTGTCTCGTTGTAAGCTTCCGTTAGTACTGACCTAAAGCGGCAATCCGCCCGAAGACATTCACCCGCTAGGAAGTACCTGCAGACGCGGTTGCCACCTGGGGCTGGACGTCCATTGACGAAGCGACCACCGTTACGGCCCTGCGGGCCGTGGAATGCCGCCCTCCCGCCGCGAATCCCGGATTGACCATCACGTTGGACGACCATGACCCTGTTACCCACAGATTGAACTCTAGGCTGCGAGGGCGCGGTGTGGTTCGTCAAAGAGCGGTCCACCAGCCAGGTCATCGCACGTTCGAAATCATATCCGTTGGCCGCAAGCGCTTCCTCCAGCTCAGAGGGCGCGAGCGTCGCACCGAAGACAGAGCTAAGCACGTCGAAGGGTGTCATGCCATCAGTTAGCATTGCGGCGACCTCGGGATCCATGTCGTCGTCCTGTTTTTGCTTCGGCGGGGTGTCGTAGTCCATAGTTCCCCCGAAGACATGGTGGAACGGCATATCGTCCGCGGAGAGCGAGGAGCTGGAGATAGGCGAGTTGCCCCACAACAGCTCATCCGAGGTAGACGAATGGAAGGACCGCGGGATGGGGCGGGCGGCGAACGGATCGAACGGGTCATCATCGTCGTCATGCTCGTCCGGGCGCATAGATGATCGCAAGGAAGATGTCGGAGTGAATGCCCTGGGCAACAAGGAGTTGTCCGGCGTCAGCGGCGCAGCAATGGCCAACTTCGAAGTCGGCCGCGAGGGCGGAGCCCACATGTCCGGGGACGGTGTGTCCGCGCGGAGAGCCGCGAGCGAGCCGGGGTTGGACGAGGCGGCAGAGAGGGGTCTAGGGATGGGTCTGAACTCTGAAGCTTTCGCGTTGAGCAGCCGGGGAGAGGACATCGGGGAAGACGGGAGACTAACGGCGAACTGAGCGTGTGTAAAGATGGGAGACGCGCCCGGAGACTCGCTGCGGGCGGATATATACGAGTTCGACTGGGCCTGTATGCCCAAGGGAGAAGTGAGCGGCGTGTGGGGCCTCCGGAATATCATAGCGAGCGGGGAACTGGGGGCAGAGTTGGGGGTGTCCGGACGGTTCGGAATGAGACGAGCAGAATGAGTGGACGCGCGAGAAGAGGGACGAGAGATGGGACGCCGAGTGGGGGTCAAGAACAGGAACGGGACATTGTCTATATCATCTCTGTGCTTGTGCATGAGATCGAGCACATGTTGCTCCAGCTAGATGGCCGACACAGAATTGATTAGTCAAGCTATCACAGACCGTGCAGGGTGGCGGCTGCGCACCTCATCTTCGGGGATACTGGGGCCAAACGTATCCTTGAGCAGGGACTTCACGTCGTCCTCGCGTTCGCCATCGAGCAGCCCGACCACGCGACCTACGAAGGAGGAGCTGACGGCGGACACGTCGCCTTCCGCATCGCCATACCCGTCGGGCTTGTACTGACGGGCGATGGCAGCGAGCTGTGCACGCGTATGGGGGAAACGCGGTATACCCGAGTGGTCATGGTCGTTGTGGACGGAGCCGGAGTCGGAGAACGAGCTCAGTGAGGAGGTAGGGCGGAGGAAGGAGATGGCGGGGGGACCGAGGGCGGTGGCCATGGTGTCTAAATCGCGTGGTGTGAGCGAGGGGGCTGTCGAGGGCGGGGGGCGGGGGGTTGTCGCGGGGGCACGACTAGCATCACGCCAACGAACGTGTGCTTGTCGGCGTCGTGGTCGAGATGAGAGATGCGCTCGGGAGCGCGCGTCGCGCTCTTATGGGACAGGCGCCCGTGGATCATAACCAACAAATGCCTCCGTTTCTCACCGACCCGGCCCAGACTGTCTCACCGTCATACACATTTCAATCACCCAAAAGTCAAAATCCTATCCATTCGCACCGAGCGCATCCAACAGCACACAAACAATGTCCGCCGCGCGACCACAGACATGCACAACATCCCACTACTACTGCTGACCTTCCCCGATGGTCGCCAACGAGTCCCTCCTCCCATGCGCCGCGGTTCCGTTAGTCGCGTCGTCAGGCAGGCGGTTCGGGTGCTCAGGGATCTTCGCAATCTCCGCTTTCGCCTCTTCCCAGGCTTCCAGGTTCTACACGCTAGTCAACATGCAGCTCTCACGTTCCCTGAGTTTCCCCGCCACATACCTTCTTGCACCAATCCCGGTGGCTCCGCGCAAGGCTCATGGCCATCTCCCGCAGATCCGCCACCTTCTGCCGCTGGAAGCGGTCCAAGTCTGCCTGGATCGTCGAGCTCGAGTACTTGAGGTCCTGCGCCGCCAGGTGCAGCGCGTCCTCCAGCTGCCCCGGGCGTCAGTGCTAGTCTCGGAGGCGCATGGAGACCCGTTCGCGTACCTGAGAGATGGTCTCCTTGTTCTTCGTAATCGAATTTCGCCTAGCCGTCTCCGGGTCCACATCCATCATCCCATGCAATGTGTAACTCAGCGCGCTCAACAAGCCCATTCCTGGTGCCCTCCGCTTCACAGGGTTGGGCCCTGGATGCGGAGGCAAATAGGCCGACTCCTCTTGCCGGTGGCTGGGAACGGGACCTTCCTCTTCACCCTCTTGCTCGCCCGTCCCCGCCGCTTCCTCGCCGTCGTCGCTTCGGCTTGTTGACGCGCGGATGGTGCTTGGCCGACCTTGGCTGAGCGCTTCCTCCAACCGCCGCGCCTCCCGCTCATTCTTCTCCAGCTCCTCCAGCTGTTCTCGCTTGGCCTCGAGTGCTTCTTGCGTCATTTCATACTGAACGTGCTTCTGATGCCGGTATTGGAGGAGCTTCTTGATAATCGACGCGAACTGCGTGTATTCGTGCAGCGGTTCCGCCCAATTCTGCTCAAACTCCTGCAACTGCACACACACCAATAAGCATCACAAGCAACCACACAAGACGGACATACGAACCAGCTTCGTTGTTGACATATATGTCGCATCGACAGCCTGCCCAGTCTTCTCCACGGCGGTTGAGAGCTGACCCGTCTCGTTGAGACTGAAGCCGTTCAGCGTAGCACCTAGCTCCGCATGATCCTGTGCCAAGTCTGCCATTCATAAGCACCAAGAAGGGATCGCTAACACAAATGCACCAACCAGACCACCGCTTCATTGTCCGCCGCGTCACCTTCTCCATCGGCCCGCTCATATGGGCCGCGAACTTGTTCGTAAACACCTCCGAATCCAGGAACCGCTGATCCGGCCTGCGCAGCGGATGCGCGGCCGAAGGATTGGGGAGCGCAGCATACGCCAGCGCCACCGTCTGGTCCGTCGGGTTGTGCGACGGGGCCTTCAGAATGTTCTTGGGCAGCTGCGATATAGGTGGAGAGTGCAGCACTTCCGACTGTAGTCCCCAAACGTCAGGCAACAACTAACACAAACGTGAGAGGTGCTGCTTACCCACGAAACCTCCCCGTCCAAGAAGCGGTGGAAGATGTGCTCGTTCGACAGGATAGGGTGGCGCGCGATGCGGTTGAGGAACGTCTGCAGCATGCGCTTCCGCCGCCCAATCATCGCCGCGTCCTCCTTCGCCTTCGCCTGCTTGATGGCGTAGTCGCCGATGGTCTGCTTCGAGGGTATCGGGGGTATGATGAGCGTGGGGTAGAGCTTGACCAGGTTGCTCCGCAGCGACTCGAACTCCGAGTACCTATGGTGCGCTTCCGCCGTCTATGCTGGTTTCAGCGAGACCACGCCGATTGCAGTTGTACTGGAGACTCACCCCGGCCCTAATGGCGTATGTGATGTACGGCGTGGACGAGTTCACGGACGTCTTCAAAGCGTCCATAATCTACCCACATAGTAGTATTTCCCCCGTGTTAGAATGTACGACCCAGCACTCATAAACCGAACGAGTACGCACCATAATCTCGACATCCTCGCCGGAGTGCAGCCACCGGTCCCGCGCGCAGCAGAAGTCGCTCTTGAACGCCTGAGGTTGCCTATGAGACCCTGGAGATGGGAACGCGTTCTGTCTCCTCGGTGATGTCGGTGGGGAGGAGACGCGGGCCTCCTGTGGGACAGGGGACGATAGGGCTGAAATGTTCGCTCTCGAAGAGGAGCTGTCCGACTGGAGACGCTCCGGCTCGCTCTCGAATGGGTTCTCGTCTTCAAACGCCTCCATATTAGTTGTCGGGTGCTGGAAACTGACGTCGCGTAAATTGTGATATGTAGCAGAAGAGTGAGCGCAAGATGGTGAAGGTAGAGGGCAAGGACGCGGCTGTACTTGCTCAGAGCGGCGACAGCTAGGAACGGGATGCGTGCGCTTACCAAATGCGGGAGTGCATGTAATCGCCAGTACCGCAGCGGCGGATCGTCCGCAGCTTGCAAGTGACTCTAAGCTTGGTTGAACCACGCGATAAAATACATTTCAGCAGGCCAAACATATACACGAATTTCGAAGAGAATACATAGCCGCTTACGTGGTGCGGAAGAACTAGATCACAGCCCACGGCCTATCGTACGTAGAGCGTCCGCGATGACCTGAATGACCCTGTCTACAGTGCGATCCCAAGAAAGCGAACGAGAGCTGGCATACAATTACAGGACATATACACGTGGTATCATAGCGGCGTCTCGTGCACAAACATCTGTTGTATCGCTCACATACCCATCTGCGCCACGAAGTCCTGCCACGCTGACTGTGCGCTCATCTGCTCGGGGGAGTACGACCGCCCGCCGACGGCAGAGAACTCGCCGTCCATCGGTATTGGTGAGTTCATGAACGCGTCCGCTGACGACCCGCTCCCGCTCGCGTGTCCGTAGTCGAACACAGGGAAGTACTGGGGGAACCCGATGCCTTCCATCTGCAGCCCAGTGGGTTGTTGCGCCTGCTGTTGTTGCTGCTGGTACACGTCGGGTGCACCAAACGAGGTCGAGATCGGATGAAGGTTGTGCATGGCCTGCGGCTGTTGGAAGTGTGTCGGGGAAATCTGGGCGCCATTCTGCATTTGAGGTTGTGAGGGGCCGGCCTGCATCGACGTAGAGACGCCGTTCTGTGGTGACGAGGAGACGAAAGTGCGCAGGTACTGGAGCACATATGGATGCACTTGCTGGTCCTCGTCCTGTTTCAGCGGGAGCGGTACGATCGGGTTCAGCGATGTTGGCGAGCGGTCCGTAATCTGTGGCGAGAGCGACTTCTCCTTCTGCTCGACGAGGCGTGTTCTCCCTCCCAGGGTGCTTAGCTCATCGTTGTCATCCGCCGGCGTAGTCGGCTCTGATAGAGTGCCTGGGCGAGATGGTGGGGTGTTGCGGTAGGCAGACAAGCTGGCGTGAGCCTTCTCGCGCAGTCGCATCATGATGCCCTATGAATGAGGCGTGAGCAAAAGAAGCACCAAAAGCTCCGATCTGGTACGCACCAACACCTTCTCGGCATGGAAACCAGTGGCTGTTTTCCTGAAAAGCTCGCACGCGGAGTCGAGCTGGACCAGCGCCGAAGGTGCCAGGCTCATGGACGGACACCGCGTGACGATCGATCCGAGAATAATCTGACATCGGAGAAAACGTCAAAATCGCACACCCGAAATCAATCCCGATGTCACTCGCTTACCGAACAGGAGAACAAATGTGTCCAGAGGAACCACATCCGTTCCGTTAATTCCTTGAGCTGGGAGTGGATGTTGCGCACGAGTGCCACGAGTGACCCTGCACTGCGGTACGCAGCGATGAAAGAACCGCCGTAAGGACTGCCGAGGGGGTCCTTGGGGTGGTCGCTGATAGCCCGAGCGAAGAATCCGCGATGCATGTACAGCAAGTCTGAGGGCGAGATAAGACTCGGAACGATGCCCAGTTACAATCAAACACTTACTCGACTCTCGAATAGCAAGCACCAGGTGTCGTTGGAGAATGAGCGGCACGCTCTCGTAGTATTGGCCTGCTCGTGACTCTGAGTTGCCGAAGCCGGCTATCTGCAACGACGCCGGAACTGCGAAGCCGCGCAACTTGCGATCGAGCTGAAGGACGGTGCTGTACGTCGGTGTCTTGGCACCGAACGCTTGGTCGTAAACGAGGTTCATGCATTCTGACGTGAACCTGTGCTTCCACCAATGGACTTGAAACAAGTTTAGTTATTGGCTTTAAGAATAGTAGTTTGGACTTACATGTCTCCTCATTACATGGGTCTTCCGTATACGGCTTCTTGCAATCGACGTGGGCCAGTGTGAATGATGGCGGACGCCCCAGTGTAAACGACTTAAGTTTGCTGAGCAACTGTACTGTTAGAAGCAAGCTCGACTGCACGCACTTGTAGCAGATCGTATGAGTAGAGTTCCCAGAAACTCTCCCGGCGTCTTTGCACCTCGTCGTTGCTAATGTGCCATTTGCCCGCGTCCCGATCTGATCACAGATGAGAAGCGGGTACAACAAGAACACTCCGCGAACTTACGAAGACCCATCTGCAGGAATGGCACCGCTCAGCTTCCATCACGGAGCATGAGAAGAGAGATGCTCACGCTAACGCCTAGCTTCACGGCCAATCCCATGAAAGCCCACCGCGACCCGACGCCACTGCCGTGCCGCTCGCTGAGGAACAGATAGAATGCCATCAAGTACTGCAGGGTGGCGTCAGCGTCACAGTGATCCGTCGTGGCATCGGGGATGATACTCACGAGGCTCTGGACGGCAGTCAAGGTCGGCTCCTCAAATATAGGACTTTGGAACAAGGCAGCTCGCGCGAGCTGATGATACTTTTCGGCCTCGACGTTGTACGCGGGACGTGTGGTATCCATTAGGCTACCAATGGCGAGGATCATGTAAAGGAGAGCGAGCTGATGCGACAAAAGCGGGTCGTCCATGTCTGGTGCCTTGCTCGTGTTGTAGAAGATGTTGTAGGCACTTTCGTTAAGCTGCGCCATCGTGACTGGATTGTACCTAGATCATTCTCTGTCAGAAGCCTCACAACGGTTTCAGGTGAATTGACGTACATCCAAGCGGCGTTCTGGAAGTAGATGCGGCGCAATTCGCACGCTTCGTCCACACCTGGTAGGTACCAGAAAAGACTACGCAATCGCTCTAACTTCATCGTCTGAGCGTCTGGCGTTAGAGGCAGGCTGGGGGCGATTGGGAAGAGGCCGCTGAGTGAGAGAACTTCAGGCGATAGAAGCTTGGCCAATTGACTGAGACGATGGTCCCGCAAATCATCCTGATTATCTTCGTTCTGCAGAAGGGGGCTGTCAGAATGCAAGGTAGAGAGGCGAAGTGATTCCCACGAACCGTCAGGTAGTACTGCAGCGAAGAACGGGTGGTCAGGACTGCGTGGCAAGATCTATCTCTAGGGAAACTCACCCATGAGCTAGTCGCCTGACCAAAGTAGTTGGTACGGCCACTTTCGCTGATAGATAGGGAGCCGAAGGAGTCCACAACATCGGCTCCCTGCTCGTCAGGATTCCCATTGGTGGCGCCGGTGTTTATCAAGTTTTCTCTCTGGATGGGGGCCTTTATACGAAGGAGATCCTCGGACAGGAGTGGATGGGGGTCCAAGGAGTGCAACGTGTGTGACGCGCGAAGTGCATCTTCGAGGTCGCGGACGCGATTGGCGAGTTGGTTAATCTTCTCGTGCAAATCCTGCGTTGAAGCAAGGACAAAGCTGTGTCGTGGAGGGGGTGAGCTTAAGCGAGCTCGGATGAAGAGCAAGGTGTTGCTCACCGATTTCCCTTGCCGGTGGTGAGGGAGCCTGATGGGGGCGGATATGTTGGGTGGAATGCGGGGTAAAGAGAGGTCGAGGTCGGAGACGCACCATCAGGACATATAGCAGCACAACCTCGCTTGACGCAAGAGCCACAAGGAATTGCACGGTCGCAACGTAGTTTGAGTCTGGCGGGAGAGGGCGGGAGGGCCCCAGGGGCGTGGATTAGTCCGGTGCGGTCGGGATGGGAGCGCCGGGATCGGGACGGACCTGCGACATTCGGCGCACGAGAGGCGGGTGGCGCCGCGCTTGCGTTTCTTCTCGCCGGTGAGGGGATCGCGGGGAGAAAGGTCTGGATTGGAGAGGAGGGGCGGGTCGAGGGAGGAGGAGGCCATGGCGGAGATGGGGGACGAGGAGAAGGAGGTAACGAGCTAATAAGTATAGACTTAAGTAGTATATCTTAAGTAAGTAGCGTGAGTTGACAGGCCCCGGCTTTCTTTTCTCGGCAAGATCCCCTCATCTACTCCCGGCCTCGTCCCCTCCGCCCTTTCCACTTTCTTTTCTCCGGATCATTTTTGGCAAGCTATCGCCTCCTGGTGCGTACCTTGGGGCAGCTATGCGTATTGCGATGCGCGACATACAAGCTTCATGCCCAAGTCGATGTAAGCGGTACTGTCCCACGAGTACTGCAATCGAGATGGGATGTGCGATCGCGGGGATCGTAGATTCCTCACACAACCCTCCGCAACATATTTGATGGCGACATATCCTCTTTTGCAACGACCTGTGAAGGTACTTCAGTCTGATAGAGAGCTGCCACTTGCTCGCCTCGTGTGAAACGCTGTCTAAGCGCGTCCGATGTATTTGCCAGACACTGAGATACTAGGACGCATCATAGGAAGCCGGGGCCCCGGGCCGAGTGTTTGTCCTTTGTTTGTGTAGCGTCTCTCGGCAACTGCCGTGGGCTCGATATGAGTATTTTTTCGGCGCGCTGCTCTTCACTCGACCTCCATCTCCCTCTTCCCGTCTTCCAACCCTTGTGCACTACCCACGTTCGTTGAAGTGAGTAGCGTCCTCTTATAACTTCTTGTCGAGATGAGTTTTTTTAGATGACGAGTCTGAAATGCTGCCAAGGAGTTTCTCCGAGGCAGCAGTCCTTGACGATACCATAAAACTATACCATTCATGCTTTTCTGAACCCTTTTCTTCCTTCGCCTCCTTGCTCGATCGTGCTTACTTACGCCACGATCTTCTCGCAGGAACGTCCAAGAGGAACATTCAAGCCATTGCACTTCAAGATGCCGCCCGCTGACGTCGAAGACACTTGGTCAGATTCGGACGATGAGTTAGAGGCGGACCATGAGACTTCCGTCGACCTGGGCGTTCCAGACGGCCCCGTAGAGGACGCTGCGGTGCTCCTAGATGCCGCTGTATCGCGAATAGGTGGTCATCCTGTACGATGCACCTTCGCCTCTCCATGTACCTTCCGTATATTGATTACCAATTCCATCGCTCCTCGTTATGCCCCTCCATCCGCCCGTCGTAGACCTTCCTATCCACCCCCCATCCGCCTACTTCGCATGCAACATGCAACAACTGCTCGCAACCGATGGAGTTGCTCATCGAGATCTGGTGCCCGCTTGAAGAGAGCCCAAACGATCGTGCACTCTACGTGTGGGCTTGCGCCAACGGATCATGTCAGCGGAAGGAAGGCAGGTACGTCGCGATCCGCACAGTCGACGCGCTTCCCCGAGGCTGATCGCCACCGCAGCGTCCGAGCATGGCGGGAGCTGCGCTTCAACAAAAAGTATGCCGAAAAGCTCGAGCGAAAGCTGGCGCGCCGCAAGGCCAAGGAGCTCGAGGAAGCGAAGGCCGCCGCCACCGAAGCCGCCAAAAAAGCGCAACCCAAGAGCAACCCGTTTGCCGTACGTCGCCCCAGCCTGCATCTGCGTCATGACATCCCTTGAGACCTGATCGCCCTTCTAGCTCGGGGCTACGTCTGCGCCAAACCCGTTCGGCCTGGGGTCCCAAGTCTTTGGCGGTGCGGCGCCGACTGAGCCCGGACCCGAGACACAATCTGCCGACCGCGACGGATCGCCCGAGGGAGAGGAGAGTGAGAGCGACAGCGACAGCGAAGATGAGGCGGACGACGCGGACGACGCGCTCGCTGCTGAGATGCAGTCTGCTTCGCTCGAGGATTCTCCCTGGAAAGCCCTCCCTGCGTATTCACCCCTCTATCTCTCGACCGCGTCCGAATACCTCCCGCCGCCCCCGAAGGTGAAGGTCCCTGCGGGAGCGACGGTTGATCCGGATGACGACAAGGCGTCGAAGGGGAAGGACGGCGGGTGGGATATGGAAGGTTATGAGAACTCGCTGGACATCGACCACGTCTTCGAGCGATTCACCAAGCGGGTCTCGTACGAAGGCGAACAGTGCCTGAGGTAAGCCTATGTCATAAACATATTCTAGAGTGACACAGAATGGTTCGCTGCAGATACGAACTCGGGGGGACACCGCTTCCTTTCGCGAGCGACAAGGTATTCGACCAGCTCTTCCCCCTCCCGCCCGCGCCGCCGCTGCCCGTTACGAAGCCCGCCTTCATGGTCACCCCTCCCCGCAAGCGCACGTACTCGCCAGACGCGCTCCCCCGCTGCCCACACTGCCAGGCGCCCCGCGTGTTCGAGTGCCAGCTTATGCCGAACCTAATCAACGTGCTGCGGACGCCTTCCGGGGACCAGAAGAAGCTCACGGACGAGGAGCGCCGCGCTGAGGTACTACGCGCGCTCAAAGGGTCGGGCGCCTCGGGCGGCAAGGGCATGGACTGGGGGACCTGCATGGTGTTCTCTTGCAAAAAGGATTGCTCGGCCGAGAAGGAGGAGGGCAGCACATGGCGGGAGGAGCTCGTGCTGGTGCAATGGGACGAGTGATTGCGAGAAGTAGACTTTACATGTGTAATCATATATGCCACAGAACTGCAGCACTCTTTCTAGCAGCGCGACCACCGTTACGGTCTCGCTCTTAGCAACTGGGTTACCAAGGCCCCCGTCGTCTGCTTATCTTCAGAGAGTATACGTACACGGGTACTATAGGAAGGTTCGAGACTAAAGCTAGCGGCGGCGTCGTGGTTATTGTTACTCAGTTGTGGCCATTGTACGCAGTGGCACCGCGCATCGCTTAGCAGCACCGCACCCAAACAAAGATTCGATATCTCTCTCCCTCACCACCATCTCCCCTCGTATACCCCATCCCTGTCTCTCTATCTGCGTCACCCCCTCATCCCTTGCACTACATAGCTTTACGACGTACCATGTCTGCAAAGAAGCTACGGACCAAGTTCGACCAAGTACGGAACTTCCTACCTATCAAGCGCATGCGCTCCCCCACCGGTGCTGGTCACAACGAGAAGGCACTCCAGCCTTTAGACCCTAATGCCACTCACACCCCACCTCCGCCCCCGCCGCCCAAAGATTACGGCGAGTGGGACGACGTGCGGCACGCACTCGACGCGGTCTCCGCGCCAGGCGAGCGCTCCCCCCTCATACGCACCGAGTCCCCCACCCCGCACGTTATCTTCCTCGCGCGGCCCATGAAGCGTACGAGCTACTCCAAGCTTCCCTTGACCCCCGACGAGATGGGCATGTTGCCGCCCACGCCGCCCTCGCCGACGGTTCCCCCCAAGCCCGCGCGGGCGCGCACCGCCTCGTCGCGCATCCCTGTCGCTGCCGGGCGGTCTCCTCCGGTAGACAGGCGCGTCGCGACTATCTCGAGCCCAGAAGAAGCGGACCTGAAGCGTAGGGAGGCGCAGCGGCGGAAGGAACGCGAAGAGCAGGAGGCGATACGTGAAGAGGCGCAGCGGCAGGCGCGTCTCAAGCGCGAGAAGGAGCAATTGCTCAAACAGTACGCCGAGGAGGAAGCTGCTCGCAAAGCATCGCTCGAAGAAGAACTGCGGAAGGCTGCGGAGGAGCGGCGGCGGCGCGAGGCTATCGAGAAGGAGGCAGAAGCGTTGCAGAAGATGCTTGCCGCAGAGCGGAAGCGGCAGGAGCGCGAACGACGGCGCGAGGAAACGGAGAAGCTGCAGCGGTTCCGCAAGGAGCTCGAGCAGCGCAATCAAGCTCATGGCATGGAGCTCACCGAGTGGCGCGAGCGCGTAAATCGAGAGAGGAAGCAGCTTGCGGTGCGGCTTGGAGGGAGGAAGTTCAAGACGGAGCGCGGCCTCACAGTGCTTTTGACCGGTTGGGTCACGGTGCAATCCGAAGACTGTTTGTCATGGAAGCGGCGGTACTTCCAGCTGCGTGAGGATGGGCTGGCGCTCTTCAAGGAGGCTGAGGTAGGTCCCTTGGAAAATAGCGAATATCATCCATTGAAGCTGATACGTACAGGATAACTCTCAGAGCCTGGAGACAATCCCGCTCGCGCGTATCCAGCGCATTCGCGAGTGGCAGGAGGGCTTCGAGGAGCTCGAGCCGGTCACAAATTCGTTCGCGCTGGAGATCAAAGGCGAGCACGACGCGCGCTGCATGTACACAGACAACGCCGAGGACAAGGTAAGAGAAAACAAAGGCATCTGTCACCGCAGTCCCACGCTGACAGTCCGTGACATAGGAAAACCTGCTCGCGCTTTTGAGCAGCAAGCTTTCCACGCGATGAACGCCACGCCCGATGCACGATGATACCCCGCCGACTGTATTGCTGCGTACGACTCTTATAGTGTGTAACATGGATTAAGGAGCAGCTGGCTGCGGTATACAGCTTGTATCAGTATCTCAGGTGCGCATGTACGACCCTATAATGTTCAGACCGTCGATACCCTCGGAACCGTGTAACCATCCATACAGTATGCATACCTCTTCATATATTACATCCGCCTTGTGCCTTCAGGTCACCGAGCCATGCCCTCATGCAGTAAACCCCATGTACGTACCCCTAATCAAACGTCTCATCAGTGCTACGGCTTGATGGCACATTGGCATTTGAATGACATCAGCGTTGAAACTAGGTGAGAGGCCATACGAGTCTTCTAGGCGTCGCACTTACACATGCAACTCCGCTGCCATTTATTGTAGGAACAACGCCGTCGGCGCGCCCGTCACTCCGTCAAAACCCTTCCCCGCACGTACAGGACGCTCTGCATTCCGTACAGGGCTCAGGCACCACACGGCATGCCGCACAGGAGACGCCTCGCTACCGATCAAGAGTGCTTGTCCACCACGCGCTGTCCACATGTAGCAATCGCGGAGTACATCCGGGACCGCTGCGCCTGCGACCTCGTGGATGCTGCCGGTTCCATTGTGCCCTCGGAGTATGTTGATGGCACGTAGCCGGGGGGTGCTTCCGTTGTCGCTGTAGCTCCATGATCACGGTGCTACCCAGGACGGCGCAAGTAGTCGAATGTACACCTCTGTCTCCTCACGACGGTCATATATCAGTGCTCTGGTCCTTCTCGGAGATTCGGAGTCGTGAGCATGTCGGCAGACGCTCCCACAGCGCTCCGTCATTCGTACCTGTCTGTCGCATCCTTCTGTCCCTGATGCGCAGAGGGACCAATCGTCGATCGTGCCGGTGATTACAGCCGCGCGCGCCCTGAGACGTGGTCTGCGAGCGAGCCAGAAAAAGCCGTGGACCGCACAGATGCGGCTCGGGACCATTTGCTCATTGATCATGCATGGTGGGGGCGAGAACGGATGCCTGGAATAAGCGAGCTGCGAAGGAGGATGCTGTGCCTTTTTGAAGTGGACAGGCGTGAGTAGATGGCTCAGTTGGCGCGGGGCCGCTCAGCCTCGACCGCCTGAACTCTGCGACCTTCCTCCGTATACCCTCCCCCCAGATCCCCCCGTCTGATCGAATCTCTGCCCGTTCGCAGCCCGTACGCTCTTGCACGCCTTGCGCGATGTCTTCGGCGAGCCAGCTTGCTCAGAAAGCCAAGAGGCGCAACGCCACCTTATCATGTGCAGAATGCCGCCGGTGAGCACCAGCATTGCCGCCACCATATTGGTCTTGCCTGAACTGGCGCCCCTTGGCCCCTGCAGCCTTAAACTTAGGTCAGTACTATCCCCGTATATGTTTCGCGGCCTAGGAGGGTTGGAAAGGGGCTGATGGTGGGCGTCGAGGTGTTCACGCGTGTTCCCCTGCGCAAGTTGCGTGAAGAAAGGCTGTGCTGCCATCTGCCCTGATGGTGAGTTCGTCAAAGATCATGCAGCTCTTTATTCCGGGATTCGCGCTCATAATCCACGCCAGGGTCGCTCACAACGGGCAAAGGAAACCGGTAAGCCCCCTCTCCATGACGCACCTGTGCGACCAACCTGGCCCGGGGGTGTCAATTGTCGGACACCACTCGTTGTTCGCCCCCCGAATTTCAAGCTAGCCAAAACCCAGGAACGATGATCATCGGGAGAGGCTGTTTGTTTGACCCCTGAGAGTGCCGGACTGGTCGTACTCAGCGGTAGAGAGTCGCCGGATGAGGTCATCTTACTGAGTGGTGTAGGTTCGTGCTGGCGAATACCGAGGTCCTCCATGACAAGATCACCATTCTCGCCAACCGCGTCCGCGCCCTCGAGGATGCTCTCCAAGATGTATCCAGTCAACCACATCCCCTCCTCACAGACGAGCTCCGGGCTCTGAAGAAGCCGCTCGAGAGAGAAGCCCCCGAAGAACAAGCCCAAGAGCAGGAACAAGAGAGCGTGGAATCAATTAACGTCGGCTCCCTGTAAATCAGATTCGGGGGATCTCACCTTCGTGCGGTCTAACCTTATATTGTCTTCTAGATCGATTACGGAGTCCGGCCACACGAAGTTCTACGGGGGAATGGCCAATGCCTGGGTACGTGTTCTCCTCGGGATCAATGCGGCAGGATGCTGACAAGAAGCCGCGTGTGCAGTACCTCTTGCAGGTGCGCGGTCCGAGCTCAGTAGATATATGGTCGCGTGTTTTAATTGGAGCGTAGAACGAGGCTGGAAGCGACGATGAAGCAGATAGCCCACAGATGAAATTACCCACGGACATACCTTGGCTAAGCCACACTTTCCCGTTCTATACTGCGGTGCATGAGACCGCGGATGGGATCCGCAACCTAGTCCTCAACGCCCTGCCCGACCATGATAAAGCCCGCCGGCTAGTGACCATCTACTTTAAGCACGCGGCATGGATGTACGTCAGCGACTCTACCTCCCCTTCTAGCGGCGCACGAACGCTGAACGCTAATCTTTGTCCACCCTGACCCGCTCATTTGGGTTCACAGGTATACGCCGATCCCCGAAGCCGAATTTGAGGAAGCCATCTTTGCCCGCGTTTACGACGGTATGGAGACAGAGACAGAGCGCGCGCCGATGGACGCACACCAGCTCGCCGTGCTCTGCTTCGTGTTCGCCCTGGGGACGTTGCTGGACCTGGAAAAACCGTCGCTGTCGGCCGAGGCGATGCACTACTACCAACTCGGCAGGGCGGCCCTAAGCGTGGACTCGGTGCTCGAGTCGCAGTCGATCCCGGCTATCCAAGCAGTGGTGAGTTGCCTCGCGCTTGCGTCGCCTGCCTGTGCCCGGTGGGGCTTCGCCCGAGGTCCACGGATCGTTGCTAACCGCACGTGAGCAGATCCTCATGTGCCACTACATGTTCCTGTCCTTCGTCGAGAGCCCTCGCTGGGCTCTCATGGGCCTCGCGGTGAAATTAGCCCAGAGCGTGAGTGTTTTACCCGCTAATATACCCACACGCGCGTTCTGATTAGCCTTGCCCCCCAGCTTGGTCTCCGTGAGCTCTCTAAGTCCTTACCTCCTACTACCACCCCTCTTGACGCTCTTTGGACCGCTAGATCGCGATAGCGGCCGTTGGAATTTGGACAGCAAAGAGACCTTTAGGCGACGATCGCTGTTTTACGAACTCTATACATATGACTCCTGGCAGGTAAGACGACCCAGAGATGGGGTGCCCTGTGTGAGCCCGGACCCTGACTATAAGCTCCATCGAAACAGAGTCTGACGTATGGCCGTCCACCCTCCTTCGCCACCGCATTCATCGATTGCAAGATGCCGGAGGAGCCGGTGAAGAACGCTCACGGCGAGTTGGAGATGAGCTGTGCGTATCGCCCTCTTCCTCGCCTTTCCTGTTGTCTCATAACGTCGGTCAGTCGCTGCCTGGAAGCACCGGTTCTCCTTCAAGTGCCTCGCCGTCGTGCATGAACGCGCGTTCGGAGCTACGGTGCCCCGCTACACGATCATCAACGAGCTCGACAAGAAGATCCGTGACTGGTACATCCCGCCTTCCCTCCGGGTTCCAGGATTCGGCGGGGCGTCCATGGAGGGCCCGCACGTCCAGCCACAGATCGAGTTAACGATGCAGCGGTACATCGCATTTGCGATCAAGGAGATGAGTGAGTACTTTCCACTCTCTCGTCATCGGCGGCTACATCGTCTCCCCTCGCTCTAGCGCTGTTCTATCTCCACCGCGGCTTTTTCGCTCGGGCGCTCGAGGAAAGCCCTACCGACCCCCTCGGCAGCAAATACGCGCCATCCGTGCTGGCAGCGTACAACTGTGCCTGCTCCTTTGTCGGCCTGATCCGGAGCCTCTACTCGCAGCACCCTGGGCTCACTGAGCGGATGTGGTTCTTGTTCACGCATGTGTTTTCGTGCTCGGTATGTTCTCGCTGCGCTGTGTCCTGCTGCCTGCGATGACTGATTCGGTCCTTGATGTGTAAAGATCGTTCTGGGATCTATCGCTACGAAGTGTCCAGGCATGGCTCTGGCACCATCGGCTCTGTCCAACCTCGACTCTGCACTGAGTCTCTTCAATGAGGTGTCCAGTAACGCTCGTGCTGCGAAAGTTCTCGTAAGTAGCCAGCCTCCCTCGCGCCAACTCTGCCTAATGTGTACAACCCTTCCGTAGCCTGTCCTCCGCAAACTCAAAGCCCGTGCGCTGGCCGCCAAGGTGGCCGCGAGCAGCGGCTCACCCAACCTCAACGGCCCGCAAAGCCCGACCGAGAGCCTCTTCGTGAAAGAGGAGGACGAGGAGCTCGCAGCGCTTGGCGGGAAGACGCGACTCGTGTCCCGCAAGTCCCCGACGCTCTCCAACCCCTCCTCGCCCCAAGAGTCGTCCCAGCACTCCGAGAGCCCCATCGAGCAGAGCATGCCCTACATGCCCGCCGACGCGAGCCCACCGCCCCCTGGCCCAGAGTCCCCGGCATCCATGCCCTCGCTCAGCGTAGACCCTGCGCAGTGGGGCGGCGGGTACATGCCCGCGGCGGCGGAGACGTACGACTACGCGTACCCGGACCTGGCGGCGCAGTGGTCGCCGCACGGGCAGCACGTTCCGAACGGGCACATGAACGGCAACGGCAACGGGCACGATATGCACATGCAGGGCATGACTATGGGCATGCACCCTATCCAGGTGCAGTATAACGGGTACGAGCAGGTCGGGCATGCGCACGCATCTATGGCGGCTGCGCACCAACAGCAACAGCACCAGCATCAGCATGCTCAGTACATGGCGCAGGGGCCGCACTCGCCGGTCCATGGGCACCATATCCCCGCGGCGGACCCGCACACGTCGTGGAACTACCTGTTTGCGCAGTTTAATCAGGTTTGATGCATCAAGAGAGAAGTTGCCGGGAGGGAACGGGAGCGGGTGGAAGGAGTTGTTGGTCGCGTTTCTTGTACATGTCTTGGGTCGGTCGTTCTGCTGTTGATTCTCGTCCGCTCGTGCTCCTGTCCTTTATCCTATGTACACCCTGTGCTGTTTCTAGTGTAACTCTGTGTAGGGATAGTGTGTGTTTGTATGCCGCTAGCTATAGTATTCGTATGTGACTCACGTCTGTGAGGATGAGAATGTGTCTCGCCTGCTGGCAGTGTTGCCCGACTCTGTAAGCTTCTGCTAGGAGCTTGTCCTCGCGCAGAATAAGTACATGCTGGATGGTCTTATCTCGACCTCTTCGACTTGTACTGTTTCCGTTAGATTGGCACCGGTGCTGTCCCATGCCTGACACTTTGCCCCGACCTGGGCTAGCAGCAGGAAGCAAAAACTCCCGTGGAGTCCAATTCAGATTTAGCACCCTTCCGAGCCACGCCTAGCAGCCGGCGCAACCCCGCTCAAACTCCGCGTCTGCGCATCTCGGAGTCGTGGAGTGCGATTTAAGTCGCGGACTGACTATGAAGTTTGAACATTCATGAACTGTCACTCGCAAGTCGATCAATAATGATGCTTGCACAAAGCTGGCTCCCATAGTGCCAAGCACGCTACAACACAAACAAACTGCCCCGCCTAGCAGTGAGGAGTCCCGCCCAGACGATACACAAAGGGGCTACGTCTGCAGCAGCGACGAGAACAAGCCGTCGATCTGCTCCTCGTGCCACTCGCCCACGACGACCGGCACGGGCACCATGAAGTTCTGCAGCTTCGGGTGCGCATCGTACCGGAGTTTCCGGCCTTTGCTCGCCTTCGTGTCCACCGTCTTTCTCCGCTTCGCCTTGCGCTCGCGCTGCGCCGCCTGCCACTGTTGCTCCCCCTGCGCGTCGCCCCCACCCCGCGCGGCGATGACGTCTCGCAGGAGCTGCTGGTAGTAGTCCGTGTCGTCGAACACGTCCGCGTCTGCACGTTCGTCATCGCCGTCGGCTACCGACACGTGCCCGATGCGCGTGTGCTTGTCTTTGCGCTTCCGCGTCCGATCGAGTAGCTTCGCGTTGTCTGAGCGGAGGACGTCGTCGATGAGGCTGGCAACGCCGGCATGGGCAGGGGCCTTGCCGTTCCGCATGAAGGAGCCCTTGTTGTCAGGCAACAGGACGTTGGGGGCGACCGCTTGCACCTTCGCGGACCACTTGGACAGCGTATCGACAAGCCAGGGGTGACAGCTCGCCTCGAGCGCAGATGCCGACGCCGATAGTGCGGTCAGTGCCTCGCCATACTCACGCGCCGGCTCCGTCACTGCTTCGAGCCTGCGTCGCTTTCTAGCGGGTGGTTCTATCGATTCATTTACGCGCAGGAGATCCTGTGCACGTGAAAGCGTGAGCACGAGCAGGGGCTCGAGGCGATAGAACCGTACCTCCTGGAGAGAGAATAGCTCTTCGGTGAGACCGTCGGCTGTGTCGAAGAAGCTGTCCAACGCCTCGCGCGCAGCGGGATGCGCGACGTATTGCTCGATCTCAGCAGGCTGCGATAGCGGTGAGCACACCTGTCCGGTGATGTACGGCAGGGGTTGACATACCGATGGAAGCCGGTTCGCGGCAGTGACGGCCTTGTGCAGCTGAATACGGGCATCGAGCAACGTATCCCATAGAGCCTAGACCGGAATCACGGCGATGGTCAGCATAATGCCTCGTGTATGATTACGCGACAAGACATGCAAAGGCTGGACTTATGCTACATGTGTAGTCTGCCCTTTGAGACCGCGACCTTCAATCGTCACTCGCGATTCGCTGTACCTCTATACACGTTCCAAGTGAAACGAAGCGAGGCGGAGGACGTGGGGGGCAGCATATATGCGTTGCTCGTCGCCATTTGCAATCCCTGACACGGCACACCCGGCAGGTAAGAGAGCAGGCCAACCCGTCGGAAAACAGGTGCCCAGGAAAGCATACGTGTCTTTGGCACCCCTTGGCCATAGACCTGCACCCTTGCACGCCGTGATAGCAAAATATGGCGTGGACTCACGATCTGACGTGATACGGCCCTGCCCTTTTTCTTGTCGATCTCGTGCGTCTTCCGGAGATTGGACGCGATATCGTTTTCCTGCGGGGGGTCGGATATATTTGCCGGTGGGGCGTCCGGTGAAGACAGCGCGATTGCCCGTAATTGCGATACCCCGTCTTCGCTTTCGGAGCCTGAGGCGTCCTCCTCTCCTTCTGACGGGCTCTCGAGTTCTGCGTCGTCCTCGGTCGCGCCTTCGCTATGCGAATGTTCCAGTTCGTCCTCTTCTTCGTCTACCTCCTCATCCTGACCCTCGGAAATGCTGCTGTGGTCTGAGAAGTCGTCGAGCTGTTTGCGACTAGTGCGAACGCCGTCATACTTGGAGTCATTCACAGAATCGTGCAGTTTACGTATTGCAGAAGGCCTGGGGGGCGGTCAGCACGTTCGGGGCGTTGAATGGGAGCAGATGGCAGGGGGGAGCAGGAGGGAAGCGAAGGGACTCACGCGACATCAATGTAGTGTTCTCTGGCAGCAGAATCATCGATGGACAATCGATTTCCTTCGGGGTGGTCGATGCCTGCGAGTGCATCCTCAGGGTCGAGGTCTGGTGATCGGTGAAGTTTAGCGCGACTCACATGAGGACAGGAAGGCACGCACCGACGGGGGCAGTTTGGGAGAGCTCTGCGAGCTGGTCCTTGAGAGAGCGGCCTGAGACAGGTGTTATTTGTGGAAGTGCCGCGAGAGGGATGCAAAAACATACGGGCAGCCATGCGCGCTCAGTAAAAAAGCAAAGACGAGGAGGTTCGGAAAAGCAGGCTGAGGCTCGGATGATGCGAAGCGATATTGATGGTGGAAAGAGGAAAGAGGGGAGCGAGGGAACGGGTGATGGTGGTTGTCGGGCGGCAAGGCACGTTCAAGAGCAGGCGAGCCCGAGCCTGTGTCTACACATCTTTCCCGGAGCTTTATACGCTTCGCCCCCTCCCTCGACCCCCTCCCCCGCTCGCTGCAGCCCTGGATTGCTATCCAACCCCCAGATGCCCCAAAGCACGACATGGCAAAAAAATCACATTCGCAACGTGAGTGCGCCTTTTTTCCGCTCATTTTTCCGTCCAAATTGGGCCGGGTCGCGATGATGCTGTCCCCGCCCCGCCGCGCACGATCATCCGACTCCCGAAACTGTTCTTCCCCCGCCCCCGGCCCTTTTCTCCTGCCCAGTCGGGTCTCCACCGCTCTCTCTCTCTCGCCCTCTCCTCCGCCGTCGGGCCTCTCGCCCGCACACGACCCACTCATTCCACATCCCTGCCTTTGCTGCTGCTTCGTTCGTGCGTTCGTCTTCCTGACCCTCCCTACGCGCTGCAGATCCCCAGAAGAAGCAAGTTTCTCCAATGCCGCTTCCTTATGCCCATATTATAAGCGGCGGCCCCTCCTTCCCCCACCAACCTCAGATGCTCGACGAGGACGAGGACGACCTCGACGACATCTGCCCAGTTTGCGAGAGCGAGTGCACGTGCCCCAAAAAGTCGGCTCCCACTCTCGCCTCCACCGCGACAGAGCCTTCCGCGTCCTCTACTCCTTCTTCAGCACCTTCCAGCAGCTACCGGGCCCCCGCCCACGCCGGCAAGCACCCTCTCAAGATCAAACTTTCCCTGTCAAAAGCACGCAAGCCGCCCGCGACTCATGCAAGCGCGCGCTTCGGCTCCGCGACGGATGCCGCCCCATCCTCATCCCGTCCAACCAACAAGGCCGCCGGGGCCGGCGCATCCGCGCCCAAACGGCGCGGCAGGCCTCCAAAGGCCCTCGCCGCCGTCGCCAAGAATGCTACCAAGAAGAAAGTGGCCGCGGACGACATGGAGTACAAGGCCAGAGGCACGACAGGGACGGGACGCAGAGCCTTCCAGCCTTCGGCTCCTGTTGCAAGCACTTCCACGGCGGACCTCAGCGACAGCACGCTTTCCGACTACCCCACCTTCGTTCCTGCCGCAAGCGAGGATACCCATTCGAGCTCGTCCGAGTCGTCCGACTCAGAGATCACGTCCTCCTCGGACGATGAGAGTATGTACCAGATCCCAAATGACGACGGCCGTCAGTCGACAAAACTGTTACCCAGTCACCTCGGGCAGCGGAGACGCGATCGCGGGTCCAACAACAAGTGGGAGATCCGTCCTCGGAAAAAGTCGGTGGGTGCCGGTGAAGAGGATGAGGAGTCCTCCGCCGACAGCGACGACTCCGCAGAGTCGTCTGAAGATGGAGACGACGAGAACGACGAAGAGGAGGAAGAGGATGCGGATGCGGATGTGGAGGCGGAGGGCGATGTCGAGTTGACCGGGGTCGGTGAGCCTGATGTGGAGCTGGACGACGAGGAAGAGAAGACACGCAGCTCCATCGGACTCACCTTCCCCGGGAACGGCTGGAGCGACGACGAAGAGGAGGAAGAGTCATTCGACGCAGACCTCTTCTTCGCCAACCTCGACGGCTCTTCCGACTCTGGCGCGTCCTCTCCAGAAGAGCACTATGCGGACTTGCGCAGCTTCGCGTCCGACATTGACCTCTCAGGTTCGTTCTCAACAGACGAAGAGGACGCTCTGCTCTTGATGGACCTCGACCCCTCCGTGCAGCTCAGGCGCGGGGACGGCGAGTTCGAGATCGGCGTAGAGCTTGACAACTTCTCCTTTGGCTGGGACGGGCAACTGCTGTTCACGAACAGCCGCATGCCTGACGGCCTTGGGCTTTTCGGTATGTCCGGCCCGGACGAGGACACCGACATGTTCTCCGCGTCTGGCTCGGACTGCTCTGGCTCAGACGATGGTTCTGGCACGGGCACTGTCATGCTGCAAGATAGCGAGGGGGACACCACTGAGGATGAGCTCGTCGACTCGGATGGGCTCCCCAACTCGCGTGCCATGATGCTCTTCCGCTGGCCGAGCAGCGTGTCCGCTATCAACCCGCTGTCAACCGTCAACCCGCTCACGACGCCACCGCCTAATGCCTCACCCAGCACGCGTATTGCGCTCGCGTCGATATCAACTCAGCGCAGGTCGCCACCTCCAACGCCCGCTGACATTCTTGCGGGCAAGATCTCGATGGAGGACCTCGAGGACATCGAGATGGACAAGGAGAGGTACTCGCCTATCAGTCGGCGGCGAGGCGTTCCTGTTATGGGCGAGTTCGCTGTGGAGAACACGGGCGCGCCTAAGCAAGCGGCAATCGTGGGCGAGGGTCGTGAAGTGCCAAGCTTCTACCCTCGACCGATACGCATCGCCAGGTTCGTCGAGCCGGTGCAGGAGAACTCTGTGGAGGTGTGTTGCTTTCTATCTCGCTGCTACCTTCATTCTTCTGAGACATGTGCGCGTCCTCTCCAGGATGTGTTCATGTCTGCCCTCCGCCCACCCCTGCCGACCGAGTCGTCCGACGAGGCAGCGCAAGCACTCTCCCAGCAGTCGTATGTGTCGGAGCCCTCTGAGAACGAGGCTATCGAGCTCGACGACGTCCTCGACTCCTCATTACTGGACTCAGAGCCCTCCGCACCAGACTGCGAGACGGACGTGCCCGACGCGGACTCCCAGTCCAGCCCGATGAAGGGCTCGCATATCCACAGCCTCTCCCGGTGGGATCGCATCCCAATGGCTACCTTCCGGCGGACGCGCGAGACCGCAACCGCGTCCGGCGTGGACGGTGGCGCGTCGGACACCGGGTACAGCGCTCTTCAGTACCGCGGTTTCGGCGGCGGGCTGCCGCTCTTCACCCCTCCGCTGGACAAGATGTCGCGTGCGTCCGCGCGGAAGCGCAAGAACCGTCCAGGACACTCGCACGGGGCCTCTCCTACGCTCTCCGCGCGCGACGGCATGCTCGGGTCGCCGTTCGCGCCTGCGCCGAGCGCTGACCAGCCGCCGCACTCCAACAAGACGAAGAAGGAGCTGAAGAAGGAGAAGGCGATGATGAAGCGCAAGCTCGTCGCGAAGTCGTCGCAGTATCGCTATCAGCAGCCGCACCGCGGGCACCACCATTCCCACCTGCCGAACCACAAAAGCCGGGCGTCGAGCTCGGTGCAGCGGTCGAACTTCCTGGGCTCGGGGTCGTCCATCCCCTCGCTCACTATCTAAGTCCTCGTCTCCGAGGCAAAAGCCCGGGCGCGCGCGCGTGCGGCCTGAAAGGCTGGTTCGTTTTTATGAGTAGGAGGCCGTTGTGTCATATAATATTTACCCTGTAGCAGGCCGCATCCACCGCTCGTCTCCCCTCTTGCTGTTTATTCCACCACCATCTTGTGCTCATAGTCGTCCATCTCCCCATCTCCCGTCTCCCATTCCCACCCTGATCCCCATCCACACTTTCGTTCGCAGCCCAGTCGCATATCTCTTCCCCTCCATCCTGTGCATTTTCATCGGTCTTCAGGGCTCCTCTGGTCTCCTATCCCCATCCATCCCCATCCCCCTTTGAATGTGAATCTATCCGTGCAAGATCTCGCTCCTCTGTCGAATTCCCTTCCCTTTATGATCTCGTTCCGTTTCTCTCCATCACTTCTGTCAAATAACGAGCCCGTCCAAGTAGCACGCACAATGTACCCGGTGCCCACTCGGAATGAAAATGTGTTTAACCTGATATACAGTGGACACCCTCCTAGCCCACACCTGTCGGGAACGGCCCCAAATTTGTATGGGTCATGGAAGTTATGCGCGCGATACACACCATGTAGCTGCGCGTTGCTCAGTATGTACTATGGTGTGCGTAAATGCTGAGGGACCTCGAGACTTGTGCATCTTCGGGGTTTGCCGGCACATTTAGCGCTCATCAGGCGCCCATAGGCGCTCTTCGATCGTGCGAAGGTCCTTCCAGCCAATCAGAGCGCGCATCCTAGATTTTCTTGAAGGTGAGCTCGAGTTCAGCAGGTACTCACCTCCTCCCTTCCCGTCTCGCTCCACCCTCTCCGTCCCTCCTTTTCATCTCTGCATCGCAAATCATGCAGAGCGACGATGTTATCTGGTCAGTGATCAATACCCAGTTCTGTTCGTATAAAGTCAAGTGCGTGCATACACCAGACAGAGTGCGGTCGGCTGAAGCTAACTGTTCTCCTTCGCATGACCTTCCCCCTACAGAACGACGACACAGAACTTCTGCCGCAATGAGTACAATGTCACCGGTCTGTGCAACAGACAAAGTTGCCCCCTCGCAAACTCGCGGTATGCGACGGTGAGGGAGAAGGAGGGTACGTCCAATTCCCCCGCCACCCTTGAAATACTGCCGGGCTAATGGGCAGCACATCGCATCAGGTATCCTCTACCTCTACGTGAAGACCATTGAGCGTGCGCACTCTCCCGCGCACATGTGGGAGCGCATCAAGCTCTCGAATAACTACACCAAGGCACTCGAACAGGTACCCCTCCCCGCCCTTCCGTTCCCTTGTCCGAGCGGCATCTAACGGTCGCGCCGACAGATTGACAAGGAGCTCATCCACTGGCCGAACTTCACGATCCACAAATGCAAGCAGCGGGTGACGAAAATCACGCAGTACCTCATTAAGATGCGGCGCCTTGCTCTCCGTCAACAGTGCGTTACGTTCTATGCGTTCCCTCGTTCGGGACCTGACCATAGCCCCTTCCGCACAGACCAAAACTCGTCGGAATCAAGAAAAAGCTCGACCGGCGCGAGGCCGTGCGCGAGCGCAAGGCGCTCTCCGCGGCGAAGCTCGAGCGGTCGATCGAGGCGGAGCTCATCGAGCGCCTCAAGTCGAAGGCGTACGGCGACGCGCCGCTGAACGTGAACGAGGCCGTGTGGCAGGCGGTGCTCGACCGCGAGAAGGGCGAGAAGGGCAAGGGCAAGGAGCTCGAGCTGGAGGACGACGAGACGGATGAGGAGGACGAGGAGGACATGGAGGAGGAGGAAGAGGAGGAGGGCTGGGGCGAGCGCGAGTTCGTGAGCGACGTGAGCGGGGACGAGGACGGGCTGAGCGACCTGGAGGATGCCTTGGTGAGTGTGGACCTTTGCCGGTGCTTTCGGGGAGTGCTAAATGGCGGGTTTAGTCATCTGGAGAGGACGGCGAAGACGATGATGAGGACGAGGATGAGGAGAGCGGCGAGGACGATCCCTCCGCGAAGAAGTCTACCCTCGGCAAGCGGAAAGCGCCATCACGGACAGGCAAACCACCAAAGAAGGGGCCAGAGAAAAAGGCGAGACGTGCGTACTCTGTGCTTTTGCCCTCCTCGAATAAGTTTTTGACCAACGGTAACTCTAGGTGGCCCCAGAGTGGAGGTGGAGTACGAGCACGAGATGGAGAGCGTACCACTCACGAAGGAGGCTCTCGCAAATTGGTAGCTTGTCCCTTTCCGTTTTGCATGCTGCTTCATTTGCGCGCCCTCGGTGTTGTCATTACTTCCTATATTATACGTGGAACACCAGACTCTACATGCGGAATACGAGGCACAATCACAACGACGACCTCGAGATGAGCACAAACGGGCGGCAGGAATAAATTACGAACATTTACGCTAAGAAGCTAACCAAAAAAATCCTACTAACCAGCGATACATATGCGGAGTGCGGGTGTACAATAAGCTCTACTGGGTCTTGTGCAACTTTTGCTGCTGCTTCTGCCTGCGCACTTCGATGTCCTTGCGCGTCATCCGCGTGCCCAGGATCGCGTCCCAGTGGATGAAGAAGGGCTGTGAGAAGTTCGACTTGATGCCAATCACCTGCAAAGACGTAACGCCGTCAGCACCTCGCCCCTAGCTGTGCAGGATTTGCAAAAGTGCTCCCGGGCGGCGACACATACCTGATGGTGGATGTCATGGTAGTCGGCGTTGTTCGAGCTGATGAGCTGCAGCGGGTCCCACGGGAGCTTGTAGCCACAGTGGTCGTCCACGGTCTTGAGCGTAGAGATCGTGAAGAGGAATATGGCCTCGCGCGTGCTGAGCTGCGCGATCCACTCCGCGAGTCCGGCGCCGGCGGTGTCGAGGAGCAGCCCCTCGAGCGGGTGGTTGTAGAGCGCGCCATACGCATAGGGGACGTAGAGCCGGTGGTGGTAGGAGTGGAAGCTCTTGTAAAGGAAGGTGTTCATGTGCATGGCTCGGTGCAGGAAGTATTGCCATGTGTCGATGATGAACCTGCAATGACTGTGAGCGGTATGTCTACACGGAGAAGACGGGGAACATACATTCCGAGCACAAATTTGAACGTCGGGATCGCCCACCAGTACACAGCGTACAGAGCTTCCGCGCCCTTGGTCGCCAGGAACTGTGCAGCAGCGTCCTTCCCTAGCACCCACTCCGCCACCTGCGATATCGGCCGAGCCAACCAGAGCATGTTTGCGACATGGTCCATCTCGGCACCTACTGGCTTCACTTCGATCCACCAGTACCCAAGCACCGTCTGCACCGCATGCTGGAGAATGACGGCCCATAGAACTTGTCCAGGGGTAACGAGGTTGCGTGTCCGGACCTCCGCGCTCTCGTGCAAACGGTACCTGTCCAACCACTTCCACCCAGAGACATCAAGAAGCTGGAAGACACCGCTCAGGCCCCAGTACGCGATGACCGGGAGGGCGAGAGCAAAGAGATGGTCCGGCAGCGACGACACTAGACGGGTGCTAGGGGTATAGTAGAGCGGAGCATTGGTAGCAAGGTAGTGCCGTTGTGTGGCGTCGAGGAAGGCGGAGCCGGCTGTAGCGTTCATGGTGGGCAACGCTTCGCGCGAGAGGATCGTGGAGGTCGTTAAGTAGGACCCGAGATGGAGGAGGGAAGGAAGCTCAGACCGTGGTCGGCCTCGCCCGACAGTCAGCGACTCGGATGGAGCGAACTGGAGCAGTCTCAGCAGAGCGGACCAACTTTTCGACGCTCCGAGTTTGCACGTGCTACCAGATCCGCATCTCAACTGCTCAAATGGGCGCTGACATGTTCCGCGCGCGCCGCCACCGGGACATACAGGGACGTGCCGGCACGCCGCGCATCTCTTGCTCAAACCACTACGAACACCCCACGACACTCACGATGCAGTCGCAACCCACAAACGCGACCCAGGCGAAGGACAGGAATTATATGCAGCTCGGCCACAGCCTTGCCAGGATGTCGCGCGCGATCGCGCAGACTGCAGACCTGTGCGAGCTGATGAAAGTCAATCTTGACGCGATGCGCGTTCTCTCTGCCTCCCATGCTGCTCAGTGAGTGTTCGCGCCGCTCTAGGGGCTTTATGTAGGCTCACATACGTCGTAGGTTCATGACGGTAGCCATGGAGCTAAACCCTGATGATGCCGAAGAGGACCAGCGAGAGTGAACCACCGCACTCACTGCGCTTCTCTCTCGGGGAACCTGCTGCCCTGCCAGTACGCTGGACATATTATATACGTAATAATTCCACGCTCACAATCAAAGATTGGATTCACCAGCGCTGTGGCTTTGGCTCCAATCGGCGGTGTTTCTGTGGCTTCGTTCACTGGGTCGCGAACCTTGAAGAGCGTCACGGTCCCCACCCGCGTCGGCAACGCAACGGCTCGCCCTATGTACAAGACAGGTCTTTTCTCTCTTGCATCATGATGGATCATAGGTGGGCGGCTTTGCAGGATGACTAGAACGGTGGAAGAAGTTGAAACGGTGGCAACATAGTATAAGTGATGCACAAGGGCGATCCTGTACTCACACAATTCGATACTAGGTTGGACTCTCTACTAGGCTGGCGTACAGTTTTCTTCTTTACGGCCTCCGGGAAAATACCAGTCTGTGTAGGCTTGCAGGCTGACTCTCGCTGACATGCCAGGGTGTAGACCTGCATGGATCCCCAGTCCTGGGAGTTTCATAGCGGTGGCAATCTTGTGTTGGGACTCATTTATGGTTGCGCCAGCACTTAGTCGTCTCCCCTACTCACAATGCGTATTACTAGCAATGGTGCACGTCGTCTTACAGTACATGGCGTACCACTTTGCTTAAACATTACCTGAGCCTGCGAAGGTTAATTCTGCGGCCTGAAATTCGCGGGCGCCAAACCTGCCGGCAAATGCCGAAACTGCTGAAATATCGAGAATATTCGCGTTCTCCGAGTCTCAACGGTCACGCACCCGATTGTGAGTAGCGCGTAACTAGATCCAAATAAACTTGCGCCCTATATAAGTGGGCAATGGACGGTCAATTTGTTGCTCGGGATATTCTAGAAATTGTGTAGCGCAGCTGTTCGGGTACAAGCGCCCGCGCAGCTCAGAGTTCACAAATAAGTATACGCAAAAAAGCGGTAGAGGGAACTGCAAGCTCGGATAGCACTCACTGCGTAAAACCCCCTTCTAGTACAGTTGGGGCGTGATCGCGCTGCAAAGGCCGGTCAATACTAGTGATTAGTGAGCTAGGTATGGTAGTGCGAATTTACCTGAGGGTGCGCGACGTTACCGGGTATCAGGTAGTTTCAGGACGTAGCTGGACCGCCTAGCAATGCAGTTGCACGATCTACGAAGAGACCAGGTAGCTCAGAACACACCTAGTGAGGACGATATCATATAGTAGAGCTGCAGCAACATCGCGCGAGGCAGCGCCGCGCACGCGCTGCGACTCTGCACTAGGTAGCCTAGTCGCGCTGCGAACGAGAGACCGCTAGAGCCCTCCGCGGGCGGACACATTAGGAAAGAGCCCTGATCACTCTAGGCCTGCTCCTAGCTAGAAGTCGACGTTTCTGGACCAGATACTTATAGACACAAATAGTTTATTTTCACTACTACGCGTACATATCGGTACTGCCCTGAAACTTGGCTATTCTAGGCCAATGACCCACCCTGCCAGTGCGCGACGCGGCACAGCGCATTCACCGCCCTCCAACGACCCGGAGTCACTGCCCTTCGCTTGACCGGCAAGGCTCTTGGCTGCCGCCTTGTGTTGAGAGCTTGTGAACACAGAACTGGTACTGGACGTGAACGTCAGTTAAGGATGCGAGGATGGAATTAAGCTTACCGGTGCGACTTAGAGAATGCGTACCATACTGAGGCCGCTAGATGCGGCGCCGCCGTGAGGTTATCCAGATCCCCGGCCACGATGTATTAGCCTGACATGTGCAATCAGTCATGAAACACAGTTCGGCGCCGGCACCGAAGACGAGCCCAGAAGGGCTGGATACGCACCTCGGCCTGAAAGGCAATTATCAACGTTCAGTGTGGGGCGAGTAAAGTTCTTCCGGCACAGGCCGTATCACCTTACCTTAAACTCCCCGACGAAGCTGAGGATCCGCCACCATGGGGACATGTCGCATTGTTAGCTGCTGTACAGATAGAGGACGGACGCACCATAGATACATATAGCCTGATGTCTGTCTCCACGCCTTCCGTGCCAGATCGCGCTGCATGTACCAGCGGAACAAAGCAGGAAGAACGAGGTCAGCTGGACGCTCGATGTTCTCGTGCTTTGGAGAAGTCTGAGGTCTAGGGGACTGTTCGTGAGAGCGTGGAAGTTGACCTGCAGACCTCCGGGAGGGGTGAAGGACGAGTGCAGTCGATTGGGGTGGCATGATCGTAGTCGTATAGGGCTGTTGATGAGGGTTCGAGGGTTATTTAACGAGGCTGCTACCCACACGTATAGGATATTACGTGGCGTAGAAAAGAGAGACGAGGCCAAGCGGCCGCCAGACGCGTTGTGTAGTTCGAAGGTAGGACGAGCAGAGGCCGTGGTATACGAACGCTAGCCTGTGCGAGGCCAACTGGCACCCCGGACACCATACACCGCTGGTCCGTCTCGCGCGGTGTAGCTCCAACTCTGACTACACTAAGTAGGGTTTACCGCGCCTACTTACAACTAGTTAGTCTCTCAAAGGTCAGTATTAGGCGGCTACCCATTATCTCTCATTCCCTTCCTCACCAGCACTCACTCGTCCGTGGTGGACGACGTTGGCGGTTTACGCAGTGACTCTGAGGTTGTAAGTAGCGAGGACACAAAATATGCAATGCTGAAAATAGGCGTACAATCAGGCTCATTGGGTCAGTGCCGACATAAGTCGGCACTTCTGGTAGAACCGAACGCGACCGGAATGCATGGGCGCTTATGATCTTCTCATGCTCCCCGACACCGCGCCAATCGCGCCTGTGGCAAGGGTTTGCCTGCTTTCTTTCTGCCGTCTTGTTCTCCGTCCTCCCGCCGCTCTTTAAGCTTTGCTCCCTATCGACCTTCTCACTCGGGAACTCTTGGTCATATAGCCCATAGACTGTACATTGACAACACTTGCAACGGACGCTAGCTGCTCTTTGTGCCCTCGATACATATCTTCTGCTTGCTAGACCTTGCTGTGAACCGAAGCTATTCAATATGGCGGACAAGGGATCTGTACACCATACTAAGGATGAAGACGATGTAGTGGAGATCAAGAAGGCACTAGCGACTGGGTCTGGGAGCTCTGGGACCGTCGCTGCATCCTCAGGTTCGTGTTGAGAGAACGAATCCTCCCGTCACGCCGAACACCGCAAGGTATCATGGCACCTGAAAGAGTGTAAGATCGTGAAGCAAATGATAACTGTCATAATTCCTTTGTTCTAGACAACGGGAATTTTGACAGTCATTGCTACGAATTCTTGCACCAAGCCAGGCGTCATGATAGCTGCTGATGTTTCCCGTACATGCAGTCTACCTGGACGACGTGGCTAACCGTGATGTTTCTGCTATCTAGTCGCGCCTATCATATGCTACTGTATTGCCTCCATCCTAATGACCGTGGTGAACAAGGTCGGTCCCTGCGCGTGTGCTCTTGTGATGATGGCTTACCCGCTAGTGCAGTTCGTCGTGTCGGGCACCCACTTCAACATGAACTTCCTCCTGTTGTGCATGCAATCGTCCGTCTGCGTTGCATGTGTGTTCACCGTGAAGAGGCTTGGAATAATCTCGTTCCGCGACTTTGACATGAAAGACGCGAAGGTGTGGTGGCCAATTAGTGTCATGCTGGTCGGCGTCATCTATACGGGCTCGAAGAGCTTGGTGAGTAGAGCTATGAAATGTAGCATATATGTGGTAGGCGAATGCTTATGGGCTTTGGCGCTGTGATAGCAATACCTGAGCATCCCGGTATACACTATTTTCAAGAACCTCACGATCATCCTCATTGTAAGCTCCCGTATTCTCCGCTGCGTGTATGGGGATATGATTATACTCACCATTTGCACAGGCCTATGGTGAGGTTATCTGGTTCGGCGGCCGCGTTACAGGTCTCACCCTGGTCTCTTTCATTCTAATGGTCAGTTATGGCCCCAACTCACTCCCTACATTTCAATGCTGACAATCTCACCGACTACAAGGTGGCCTCCTCAATCATTGCGGCATGGGCGGATATCAGCGACGCGCTGGCCATCGGAGATCCCGCTGTCGCGGAAGCAGCGTACGGGCTCGCTTCCGTCACCGGAGTGGTGTCCAAGATGAACATCGGATACTTCTGGATGTTCCTGAACTGCGCCACCAGTGCTGCATATGTAGGCTCTTTCCGGCCGCGGCTTCCCCCCGGTAGCTGATTACGGGGTTGTAGGTGTTGACGATGCGCAAGAGGATCAAGCTGACGGGATTCTCCGACTGGGATACCATGTTCTACAACAACTTGTTGTCTATTCCTGTTCTGGCCGTTGCATCAATTGTGGCCGAGAACTGGGGCTACGAGAACCTCGTGCGCAACTTGTATGTGCCATATGATGTTGTGAGATAGGCAAACACTAACGCCTGCTCGGGCAGCCCCCCTGAGACGCGGGACTTCCTCCTGTTCGCTATCGCGTTCTCTGGCGCCGCAGCCGTCGGTATCTCGTACACGACTGCGTGGTGCATCCGGGCGACGAGCAGCACGACGTACAGGTACACGTCTCCATTTTGTACTATCCGCACATCGTCTGACGTCATCTCTCAGCATGGTCGGCGCCCTCAACAAACTACCCGTCGCAGCGTCGGGTATGATCTTTTTCGGCGACCGTGTCACCTTCGGATCCGTCACGGCAGTATCGGTCGGGTTCTTTGCCGGATTGGTGTACGCAGTTGCGAAGAACAACCAAAAGAAGGCAGAGACGGCGAGTCAACAGGGCGTCATCCCACTGACGAATCGGGCGTCGTGATGCGCTGCATTCCGTGCATCGCGATGGGGCGCGCGCGGCACGCGGCGTGGTGTCGGTTCGGGTTGGAAGCGTCGAATAGAGACATTTTCGTTCTTGGGATGGATACGCATCGGTGACCGACGTGCTTGGCCCGATGCCAATGACAGGGAAGAGATAACGACCGGGAACGTTCCGAATGCTGGGCGCGCGCGAAGCGGCGGAGAACGTGCGATGGGGTGCGCGCCGCGCTGCTGCGGTTGCGCCTGGGCGTGTTGGTCGGTAGGCACAGTGCGACTTGGGTGACATCCGCGAGAGCAAATGCACTCGCGGTTGGGTGTTGTGCGGTGGACATGCGGCGAGTGACCGCAGTAACGCCGGTTCGAGGGGACATAAGCAAGCGACAGCACCGCTCCGTGCGGAATTTAGGCTCGGAAGCAGACGCGGAGGGAGTGATCTCAGATAGATCTATGAGATCACCATAGATCACTTGATATCCCCCGCCCGCTATCTACGCGTCTTCATTCGCTCTAGCCCGTCTCTCTCCTCCCCCCACATCTGCCCCTGGTCCTCCCTTTCTCTCCCATCGTCCTCATCGTCGGCCACAGCGAGCTCCGCTTCGCATCGCAAACAGGGCATATCATCTGTACTTGAGAGAGATCGCGCCATGGCGGAGCCCAACACGTCCTCCTCCACTCTCCATCCCCCGCGCCTCGCCGCCATGTTCGCGGTCACCCCGAGCGCGCCGGGAACCCCAGTCCACTCTATCCAGTCGATGCGCCGTAAGTCGGCCGGACACTCGGGTCCTTTAACCAAGATTCTCGTCGCGAACCGCGGTGTACGTGCTTTACCTTTGTGTCGTTCCGGAGCCTGTTCGCTCATCGTGCTCATCTAGGAAATTGCCATCCGTGTGTTCCGTACTTCTCACGAGCTCGCGATGCACACGGTCGCGATCTACTCGTACGAGGATCGTCTGTCTGCTCATCGTCAAAAGGTGCGCATATATGCACCTCGCGCGCCGTTCGACGCGTTAACGCTTGATTGGACGCATACAGGCAGATGAGGCGTACCAGGTCGGCAAGGGCCTCACGCCCGTCGGTGCTTACCTCGCCCAAGACGATATTATTCGCATTGCTCTCGAGCACGGCGTGGACATGATCCACCCCGGGTTAGTCCGATTCGCACTTCGTACCAACTTCATTGATGATCCTCAAAGTCGGACGTTTCGGACAATTTATTGAACAGATACGGTTTCTTGTCCGAGAATGCAGAGTTCGCGCGCAAAGTCGAGCAGGCCGGCCTTGCTTTCGTCGGACCGTCTCCCGAGTGTATCGACCAGCTCGGTGACAAGACAAAGGCGCGTACGCTTGGTGAGTGCGGCGCAGTGAACGAGCTGCTCGGAGCTGTCTGACCGCGTGCGTAGCCATGAAGGTCGGCGTGCCTGTCGTCCCCGGTACCCCCGGCGCTGTCGCCAAGTGGGAAGACGCGGACGCGTTCATCAAGGAATACGGCCTACCAGGTGCGTATCCCGCCACGCACACGTTCACACTGACCTGACATGCGTCATTTTAAGTTATCATCAAGGCCGCGATGGGCGGTGGTGGTCGTGGTATGCGTGTCGTTCGCGAGCAGGCCGACTTCAAGGACTCCTTCGAGCGCGCCGTCAGCGAGGCGAAGTCTGCGTTCGGCGACGGAACTGTCTTCATCGAGCGTTTCCTCGAGCGCCCTCGTCACATCGAGGTGCAGCTGCTTGCCGACGCGGTTGGTAACACGGTGCACCTGTTCGAGCGTGACTGCTCCGTCCAGCGTCGTCACCAGAAGGTCGTTGAGGTCGCCCCCGCGACCCATCTGCCCGAGGAGGTCCGCAGAGCAATTCTGGCAGACGCCATTAAGCTCGCACGGGCAGTCGGCTACAGGAACGCCGGTACCGCCGAGTTTTTGGTCGACCAGATGGGCAGGCATTACTTCATTGAAATCAACCCTCGTATCCAGGTCGAGCACACTATCACCGGTAAGGGATTCCCGGCTTGGTAGTAAACACCCGACTTACTATGTTGCACTTGCAGAGGAAATTACGGGCATCGACATCGTCGCCGCACAGATCCAGATCGCCGCGGGTGCTACGCTCCCTCAGCTCGGTCTCACTCAGGAGGCGATCACCAAGCGTGGGTTCGCCATCCAGTGCCGTATCACGACAGAAGACGCGTCGCAGAACTTCCAGCCCGACACTGGTAAGATCGAGGTCTACCGTAGCGCGGGTGGAAATGGTGTGCGTCTCGACGCCAGCTCTGGTTTCGCCGGTGCGCAGATCACGGTAAGGCCGTATGCGCGTGCATGGGCGTGCGGAAAGCTCACTGTGATCTTCGTAGCCTCATTACGACAGTTTGCTCGTCAAGTGCACTGTGAGCGGCACCACCTATGAGGTCGCCCGTCGCAAAATGTTGCGCGCGCTGGTCGAGTTCCGCATTCGTGGTGTCAAGGTTGGTTGTGAAGTATACGACGAGTCGGTTCGAAGCTAACGTCCGCGTAGACAAACATCCCCTTCTTGTTCCGTCTTCTGACTCACGACGTCTTCATCGGCGGCAAGACCTGGACTACTGTGAGTTTGTCTAACCTCAATGCACCTATAAGGACATACTGAACACGCGCGGTACAGTTCATCGACGACACACAGGAACTCTTCAAGCTCGTCCAAAGCCAAAACCGTGCTCAGAAGCTGCTCTCATACCTCGGCGACCTCGCCGTCAACGGCTCTTCTATCAAGGGTCAACAGGGCGAGCCGGGTCTCGGAACCGAAATCGACATCCCCAAGCTCGCAAACCGCGAGGACCCCAACGGCCCCCCGCTGGACACCTCCGTGCCTTGCGAGCTCGGCTGGCGCAACATCATCGTCGAGAAGGGCCCCGAGGCCTTCGCCAAGGCCGTTCGCGAGTACCCCGGCGTGCTCATCATGGACACGACTTGGCGTGATGCCCACCAGTCGCTGCTCGCGACACGTCTCCGGACAATCGACATGGCCAACATCGCGAAGGAGACCAGCTGGGCGCTCGCGAACTCGTACAGTTTGGAGTGCTGGGGTGGTGCGACGTTCGACGTCGCTATGCGTTTCCTGTACGAGGACCCTTGGGAGCGTCTGGTACGTCGTTTAAATTTGCAAGGTGGTCGTAAAGCTGCTCACACGTCGTCTGGGTATAGCGCACACTGCGCAAGCTTGTGCCCAACATTCCCTTCCAGGCCCTCGTCCGTGGCGCCAACGGTGTGGGTTACACTAGCTACCCGTGAGTTACTTGGCCTTGCGAACGATACAACCAGGAATATTAATGCCTCCATCAGCGACAACGCTATCTACGACTTCTCCAAGAAGGCTGTAGAGAACGGTCTCGACATCTTCCGTGTCTTCGACTCGCTGAACTACATCGGTACGATAATACTTCATGCGGTTGAGTGTATGCGCTAACTTGATTTTCCAGAGAACGTTCGTACAGCATATATGGATTCAACAAGTTACGTACTAACATTATGTACAGATGAAGCTCGGTATCGACGCTGCCAAGAAGGCTGGTGGTGTTTGCGAAGCCGTCGTCTGCTACACCGGCGATGTTGCCAACCCCAAGAGGACGAAGTACACTCTTCAGTACTACCTCGACTTCGTGGACCAGCTTGTTGCCGAGGGAATCCACGTCCTTGGTATCAAGGACATGGCCGGTCTGCTTAAGCCCGAATCCGCGAAGATGTGAGTAAATGTTTGACTTCTCTCTGCAACCTAGCACTGATAGCCATCTTTAGTCTCATTGAGGCCATCCGGAAGAAGTACCCCGACCTCCCTATCCACGTGCACTCCCACGACACTGCGGGTATCTCTACTGCGAGCATGATCGCGGCCGCCGCTGCAGGCGCGGACGTCGTGGACGTCGCCATCGACAGTGAGTACTAACACTCATGCTCAAGCGCATATACTGAAACGACATGTCAGGCATGTCCGGTCTCACGTCGCAGCCCCCCATGGGTGCTGTGTGCAGCGCGTTGGAGCAGACTCACCTGGGCACCGGCATCCGCTACGACGATATCCAGGCGCTCAACATGTACTGGAGCCAAGTCCGGTTGCTCTACCAGTGCTTCGAGGCCAACGTCCGCGCTTCCGACTCGAGTGTCTTCGAGCACGAGATGCCTGGAGGCCAGTACACGAACTTGATGGTATGTGTTCTCATACGTTTTCCAGTACACGCTGCTGATCATCGCTTGGGATACAGTTCCAAGCCGCGCAGCTCGGTCTCGGTGCTCAGTGGTCAGGTTAGTTCGCTCGTTGCTACTCAACTGAGAAACACGTTACTTACTCGACATACAGAGGTCAAGAAGAAGTACATCGAGGCCAACGATCTCGTGCGTTCATCATAATCACTGGCTTTCGCGGCATATGTGCATGCTAACTGGGTTATCCACATCATGCAGTGCGGAGACATCATCAAGGTCACGCCTTCGTCCAAGGTCGTCGGCGACTTTGCGCAGTACATGGTGCAGAACAGCCTGACCAAGCAGGACGTTCTGGAGCGTGCCGACCAGCTCGACTTCCCGTCATCAGTCGTCGAGTTCTTCCAGGGCTACCTTGGTCAGCCCGTTGGAGGCTTCCCTGAGCCCCTTCGCAGCAAGATCATCCGCAACAAGCCCAGGATCGAGGGTCGTCCTGGCGCGAGCCTTGCTCCCATCGAGTTCAAGAAGGTCAAGGCGGAGCTTCGCAGCAAGTTCGGCAAGCACATCACCGACTCGGATGTTACTTCGTATGTCATGTACCCCAAGGTAGCCAAGCTCTCCAGTGTGTACGCGTATGCAAAATCTGAGTTCATTCATCACAGGTCTTCGAGGAGTACCAGGCCTTCGTTGAGAAGTACGGAGATTTGAGGTATGTGATGTTACTATGTGCCACATCTCCAAGTCTGACACCTGTATCAGCGTCATCCCCACTCGCTTCTTCCTTGGTCGTCCGGACGTCGGGAAGGAGATGATGATCGAGATTGAGAAGGGCAAGACCATCATCGTTCGCCTTATGGCGGTCGGTCCTGTCATCGAGGGTCGTGCGCAGCGCGACGTCTGGTTCGAGGTCAACGGCGAGGTGGGTATAGCTCTGGTAAATGTATCCAACTGTTGCTCATCTCTTCCTCTTAGGTTCGCGCGCTCTCTGTCGAGGACAAGAACTCCGCCGTCGAGACGGTGTCTCGCGAGCGTTCGACGAGCGACCCTGGCTCTGTGGGTGCACCGATGTCTGGTGTGGTCATCGAGGTGCGCGTCAAGGAGGGTGCCGAGATCAAGAAGGGCGACCCCGTCTGCGGTGAGTGACTGTTCATCTTGCGGCGTTAGACCTGTATTGAACGCCTGTGTGATACTCGCAGTGATGAGCGCCATGAAGGTGATTTGGTTGTGCTTTACACACGAGGTCCACGGAAGGCTGATACATCTTTCTCTTCACAGATGGAGTCTTCGGTCACTGCGCCGGTGTCTGGCCACATCAAGCGCGTCGTTGTGCACGAAGGTACGTGCCCGTCCAGGGAACGGCGATTCAGTTCAGGAACTTACTTCGGCGTTTGTAGGGGACTCGATCAACCAGGGCGACTTGGTGGTGGAGATTGTGCATTAATCCGTCCGTTCCGTTTGGCTGCACCCGCAAGAATGGCACGATGTTGTACGAGTATGAATACGTTAGAAGTCAAGGCTACTGTCACCAATAGAATCTGTTTCACGTCCCACAGCAAGAGTTCCCAGTCAGGTGTCCACGTCTACTTCGCAGTTCGCGGGGCTCCCAGCGTCCGGATGGTGGACCCGGGCTCCGAGAGCCCTGGATGTCATGGCTTGTGAACGGCGGCGTCTTGACGCTGTTGATGGTTGCGTGTGTGCTGGGACACAAGCGGGGCCAACCCAGTTCGCCGAGGTCAGACGACGCACCGTCCGGCTCGCTGTGCCGCACTCGCGCGACGCCCCGGTCACGCGAGTGCGCTCGCAGCCCAGCGTGTGGCCCGACTCCGACCCACGACGTTTCGCAGGCGCAGTACGGATCACTCGCCGGTGGCACTGAATGGAGAAGGGCGCGGGTGGCGACCGCGAATAGCCTGCTGCACGCGTCACTTTAGCTAGCCCGTCGCCGCGAAGTGCAAAGTCGGCGCGTCCGCGGGAGTCGAAGCACGCGAACGCGCACGCCCAGGCCCACATCTGGCACCGCCGGGCACATCTGTGCAGACGTGGACGGATTCGGACGGCGCGGGGACGTAATAAGTTTAGTGCCACCCCCGGCCGCGGGGAACGCCCCCCGGGCCTCCTGGAAGATGCGACGTCACAGAGCCCGAGTCGGAGGTTCGCCGTGCGCAAACTGCTGCGAAATTCTGGGTTCCTGGGAGGCCAAATGCCTGTGCGATCCGCTCCCAATCGGGGGCGTGACAGAGGATGTGGACGAGGTTTTGGGCAGTTAAGTCCGCTACATGTTCTGCATTTGCGAACGCGATAACTTCCGTATGGACAAGCGGACCCGGCCCTCAGGCAAGAAGCGTCTGCCCCCTCTGCAGCGAGCGTACGATGTCCGCGTGCAGCTCCTCCACCACTTCCTGTTGGAGATAAGCAGCATTGTCAATCACGTCGCCCTGCCCAAACGAACGTATCCTTGGCGCGCCGCAAAGGCACGCCTACGCACCTTCGCGGGCTTTCTCTCGTTGACGAGCGACACACCCTGGCCGCACCAGGTCACCATGTAGCTCGCGTCGCCCGCCGCCGCCGCCTTGGCATGGCGGTCCTGCACGACCTTGTGGTCCACGCCCGCGTCGACGTCGTCCACGATCCCGGTGCGGATGCCGCGCCCGTCGATCCACCCGGGCCAGGAATAGATGCCCCACGCATAGTCGAGCGCGTTCGTGCGCACCGTGTCCGCGCCCTTCGCGCCCTGGATCGCCGCCTTGTTGAGCTCCGGGTACGGGCTCTCGGGCGTGAGCGCGAAGCGCGTCCCGAGCACGACCCCGGCCGCCCCGGCGGTGAGGTACGCCGCGGCCTGAGATCCGTGCGCGATGCCCCCGGCGGCAAGTACTGGCGGCGCGCCCGCGGGCGGCAGCGCAGCGAGGATTTCGGAGAGGATGACCATGGTGCTGGGAGCCGCGCGGCCCCCGTGACCGCCTGCTTCGTTCCCTGGGAGGGGCGGCGTTTCGTAGAGGGGACGGGCGAGAAGGCAAAGCTTATCAGCGCGTCGACCGGGAGATCAACCCGGGGAGAGCCCAACGCTGAGGACTCGGGACTGGACTGAGGAATAGGATTCAGGCGTGGCGGCGTACCTTGAGCTATAATCACGTCGACCTTCCACTCGTTCGCGGCGATGAGCGCCTCCGCGAGCGAAGTTGCCTGCACGAAGAGGAGTGGCTTGTGCGGCGCGCGGGCGGCCGCGGGCGAGGTGCGGATGTAGTGCACCCAGCGCTGGAGGTCGACCCCGAAGGCGAGCCAGAGCGCCTGCACCCCGCTCTCGAGCGCGATGTCGATGAGCTCCTTCGACTGCGCCTCGTTCGCGTCTAGGAGCCACCCGATGAAGCCGACCCCGATAGGGAGGGGCGCGTCCCCGCGCTCGGGGAAGCTGTCGCGCGCGAACGCGAGGTCCGCCCGGAGTGTGTCGGGCGTCGCGAATGCTGCAGGTAAGGTCCGCCCCGTGGCGCCATGGTAAGCTCCCCAGTACGGCGTTTGCGAGGACAAAAGATCATGGGAACGCGCCTTCCCCGATGAAACCGAATCCTCCCCCACGGGTGACTTCCACCTGGGCGCGGGGAGTGAGTGTTGGTTTGATCGTGGGCTGTTACGTAGGAACAAGCACCGTACCGCGAGTTTGGCGGACGTCGCGAACGCCATCGCGGCGCAGACGACCGGCACTCGGATACCTAGCGCGACAAGGTTGGTGTCATGTGGTGCACAGTGCGCAAAGAGCCGTGCTCACCTAACAGGCGAGTGAAAGTGGTGTTTACGTCTTGCATCGTGTCGTTGCGCGTGTCGTTAATGTGGGTGAGAAGGACTTCCAGGCGTTGTCACGCATCCCGAGGGTTCCTCCAGGCTATATACGACGCTGCACAGCCCGAGAGGCGTTCGGGGGACTTAGGCTGCTACGCCGCATAGGGCAGCATCGATATCGATGGTGCCCTGGCGAATCCTGAACACGAAACGTGCACATACGGGGAGGAGCGGCTTTCGCAGGCACGCACTGCCGCACTGGGCGAGACGCTTCACCAGATCCCACCTTTGGAACCCTAGTTTGAACTCAAAAGGCTTGGACAAGTTTAGGGAGCGGCTTGGCGTAGCTTTTTATCGGCGGAGACGGTGTATTGTCTATGGGCCGCAGCATGGAAAGTTTAAGACCATCAGCACGATGCACCCCCTTCCGTGCGTCGACGAAGCAAGAAATTGGGAAGGCATTGGTTTGTGCATTGGTAACGAGGGAATGCGAGAAGACAGGAAGGGCAAATTTGAAACCCGAGCTATACCCACGAGGGTTGGGCCCCGTTCATCCCAGAAGCCGCTGGGCGCGTTGGAGGGCTTGAACGATGTCTGCATGCAACTCCTCCACGATATCCTAGTAGATTCGGAGCGAATTAGCGATGCCGATTGCAGGACTTGAACAGCACCTGCCTTTGCCGGCTTGATGTCGTTCACGAGCGAGACGCCCTGCCCAGACCACACGAGGAGGTACTCAGGATCGCCAGCCTGCGCAGCGGCGCGGAACCGCTCCTGCAGCGTCTGGGCGTCCGCCCCAGCCTCGGCGTCCCCGACAATCTTGTTGCGGATCCCGCGCCCGTCTACGCCCGCGGGCCAGCTGTTCGTGCCACGCGCGTCGTCGAAGGCGAGCGAGCGCACCGTCTGGAGCGAGTTTGCGCCCAAGAGGACGCTCTTCTGCGCATCGGAGTACGGGCTCTCGGGGGTGAGTAGGAAACGCGTGCCGAGGACGGCGCCGGAGGCACCAGCGGTGAGGTATGCGGCGGCCTGGGTGCCGTTGGCGATTCCGCCTGCGGCGAGGACAGGAGGGGCGCTCTCCTTGGGGAGGGCAGCGAGGACTTCTGACAGTAGTACCATCGTGCTAGGCGCGGCGGCGCCCCCATGGCCGCCAGACTCGTTACCTGCAGAGAGGGTGTTAGTCAGCATTCGAGACGAAGAGGACATGTAGTTGGACAATCACCTTGGACAACGAGCACATCGACTTTCCAATCGTTCACGGCCTTGATCGCCTCTTCCAGCGACGTAACTTGTGCAAAAATGAGTGGTTTGTGGACGGCATATGCCGGTGAGCCGCGGATGTAGTTGATCCAGCGTGGAAGGTCGTTGCCGAAGGAGACCCAGATTGCGCGGACGCCGCTTTCGATTGCGGTGTCCACGAGTTTCTTGTACTCCTCCTCCTGGGAGTCCAAGATCCAGCCTATGAAGCCACATCCGATGGGGAGCGGCTTGTTACCCAGGTCGGAGACGCTGGCGCGTGCCTGCAAGAGGTCCTCGCGCAGCTTGTTAGGTGTCGCTGCACCTGAAGTCGCGCGTAAGTGGTACGTCCAACAGCAAGAGGATGGTGCAATAACATGCCTACGCCGTAGAAACCGAAGCCTCCACCGCGGGATACTTCTAACTGAACCTCGAGAGATCAACGTGAGCATTACGGACACTAGGTTGTCTTCGTAACGTACGGCGAGCTTGGGAGAAGAGCCATAGGCCATGGCCGCAGACACGACCGGGGCTCGTATTCCTAAGCAGATGGGCGCCATCAATCGACTGGATATGTAAGCTGGGATTTGAACAAACCCAGAAGGCTGGTCAATCTGGTGTTCACCGCTGGCATGTTGCGCAGGAGTTCTCGCGATAATGCCGAGATGTACTGATCGCAATCGCAAAGGGTCTGAGCTCGGGTTCCGCCTTATTATACAGAGTAAGCCAGGCGTTTAGTATGCCGCTGCCGCTGAGAACAGTCGCCCAGTGCCGTTCGTCGTCCGAAACTACTTACGCCGATAAATCCGAGTCAGAGGAGAAACGGAGAGATGACAGAAGCTGAACCGAGGGAGTCAAGAGGGAGTACAAAGGAATGCGGGTTCTCGCCGGGGCCCCGTCCTCGGTCAGGTGCAACAAATCCTGAGCAAATCCGGCAAGCTTGGAGGCGTGTGTTTCCGCGAGACGGTGGGGTAGGTCTTCGTTCGGCGACAACACACCGCAAGATGCCTGGGAACGGACTTGGAAGACAGTAGCATTCATGCAGTAGCGGCATTTCGACGAGTAGTTGTAGTTTTGAGTCAAGCTCGAGCAGCGCTCATGGCGGTCTGAGCATTCTCAAGCGCCCGTCCGTGCGCACTGTGGGCTATTTGGCTTTATTTGGTGCCCTGCCGCAACCTCGCGCTCGTCGTCTGCAGCGTGCTGCACATCGTCTCCTCCGCCCTCAAAAACCTCTGCCCATCATGGTAAGCACCCTTTACGCTGCCCCACACCTGTTTACGATTCTTACATGAACATGCGCAGCCTCCGCCCAAGTCCAAGGGTGGCAAAATGCTGAGCCTCATTAACTGGAGGCTCAAAGTCACGATCAACGACGGCCGCGCGTTCGTCGGCCAGATGCTCGCGTTCGACCGCCACATGAACCTCGTGCTCGCGGAGTGCGAGGAGTTCCGCCGCGTCCGGCCCAAGAAGAAGGCTGGCGAGACCGAGGCGGGCCCGATGCAGGAGATGAAGCGAACACTCGGCCTGGTCATCCTGCGCGGTGAAACCGTCGTCTCGTTGAGCGTGGAGGGTCCCCCGCCGGTCACCGATGAGGACAAGAAGAACGCGGTACGTGGAATTTGCCTTGGTATGCCGCGCGCGATGCTAATCGGTGTACTGTAGATGCCGTTCGGTCCTGGACGAGGAGCACCCGCGGGTCGTGGTATGCCGATGATGCCTCCTGGTGCGTCTCTTTTGCTTGTGCAAAATCAGCGTCAGGTGTTCACAATTTTGGTGATTAGGTGCTCCCGGAGGAATTGCGCGCCCACCCATGCCGTTTGCCCCTCCCGGTATGGGCGGTCCTCCCCCGGGCTTCCGCCCTCCTGGTTTCCCTGGAGGCCCCCCGGGCATGCCTGGCTTCCCCCCTCCCCCCGGCTTCGGTGGCCCTCCACCTGGGTGCGTATCTGCCACGGCTGCCTCGCGTGCACTATCTGATGCGTTATATCCTGCAGCTTCCAGCAGTAAATCATTGTATTTCTCCGTGCCTGACCCAGGCGTTGTACTTTTGTTGTCTTTTCACTCGATGTTATACTGCTGGCACCAGACGTTCAGGTGCGCCTACGTTCCGCGAGTCTCCACTCGACGCGCTGTGATTCGCTCGTTCGTCGTCCGTTCACACCTGCGCGCACAAGATCAGACGTGGGCCGCTCAAATAAGCTCTATGGAGTGTCAAATGTCGGCGCGATTCCGTCTTCTGTGTAAGATTGTCGCCGCCATATCAATTATCGAGTGCGTGATCCTTGGCTACTGTATCGGTCGTCGGTAATTTGCAGTTACGTCGGCCCTTCATCATCAGCCGACGCTACGCACGCAGGGAGGTGGTGGTGGCGCATCTGCCCCTCCCTCTGACGCGGGCACGGCCCTACCGCATCTGCCAGTGTCAATTCTGCAAGTGCCTTGAGTTTACGACCCTGACCCATTGGTGTGGAGAGTATGCGGCAGCTGTTCTGGGCCGTGTTTTCCTTGCAAGTGTTGCGCTCGACATCCGTACTGTGGAGCTGTGGCTGCCTGGCAGCTTCGGCAGGGTCATGATGTGTGCAAGTGTGTGCCTCTCGACATGCACTGGTCTGCGGCAGCAAGTGTTCAATATCGTTCGTGCCTTCGGCTGTTCGCTGAGTTTGTCAAAATATTCGTACTTACAAGAGTATGAGGGTTTCTCGTTTTTGACAGCGGGTCACATCGGTCGTGCGCCCACACGCGTTATTCTATTGAGACGCAGCAACCAGTGAGCATTTCTAAAATTGTGAGGGAACGTTAGTGTCCACTCCACGTGAGAGAGCTCTTCACTCGATCGGCCCTTCAGCGTTGTTGAATGACTGGCAACAACAGCCCCCGAGTGTATTCCATGGCACGTATATATCGCCCGCTGCCCCTCCTAGAGTGCTTGCGCCAAGGTGGCTAACTTGAAGGCGTGAGCAAAGGTATAGCAAATTATGCATCTCTGACCCTAGGAGTTTTAGCCTGTTGTCCGTCCTGCTGTCCGCAATGGGATGTAAGCTCTCGCAATAACACTAGCCTGCTTGGCTGGGAGAAACTGCCTGTCCACTCGCAAGACTCAAAGGACCGCGGTGTACATACTCAGTACTAGTACTCAGTTTGGAAGCCGCAGACAAGCCGCATTCCTCCGGTTCAGCCGGAGAGTCGTGGTCATCTCGCCGAGTGGTCCTCTGGAACAGTCGTACGTCCGTTCTCAGAGTCTGGTTCAACGAAGGATCTGAAGCTAAGGGGACAGTAACTCCTCCGCTACGCTCTACAATTGAAAACGTACGCATTACATTATGAAAACGAGAATCGAAACCACGGCAAAGGAACCAACGGGACGAAGAGCACGCAAAGTAAGCCTCACGATCTGAGCTTCTACTGAACGCCGCGTGGAGCCTTCACGAAGTCGAACCAAAGAGATCGTATTCTAATGACGTCTGTTTCCCCTACACAGGCTTCGGCGAACACAGATGAAGGTGCCAACACCCGTAAACCCAATGTTACAGCGGGCTAGGAATCGCCCACCGCAATGGGTCACGAAGCTAACACAACTTGCAGAGACTCCGACAAATCGGAGCTCTGCCATGACCTGCGGACGTTCGCTGCGAGCACGGACCCGGCGCGAGGCATGACCGGATCCGTGCACGCACACTTCCTCGGACCGCCGTACCTGTCCGACACACAAGCAGAACGGGCACGTACCTGCAGGCTTGCAGACCTCCGGGGAGACGCTGTGGCTGGGAATGCGGAGCCGCGCGGTTCGCCTCCATCCTCGAAGCCGGACGCCGACTCTGCGAAGACGCTGGTGGCGTTCCTGGCGGGAGGCCAGGGCCGCTCTCGTCGCTGCTGGGCGCGCCAAAAGTGAGCGCGGGACGGTGCAAGAGGTTGCGCGACTCACGACTATGTGCCGTGCACGTCGCACGGCCTGCTCCGCTGCTGCGGGAGGCGTGTGTGTTTTCGGAGGAGCATTCTGAGACGCGCGTGTTCAAGGACGCTACAAGCAGCGGGATTCGGAGAAGGAGGTGCGGAAGGCGGATAAGAAGGGAAAGGGCGCGGCTTGACGGGACGATGGGCTATCGTCGTCTTCTGTGGTTATTGGGTGTTTTGGGCCCCCATCCTCTGTGCGTTCTTGTTCTTTGACGTACTAAGTGCGTGACATACGCTATGCGCGAACGCATCAACCCCTCGATAGCGCTATATGTCTTCTGGCCTTCTGTGCCCGGGACCGAGGTTATGGCATGCGCGGTATCAAACTCCCGCCCAGAGGCCAGAAGAAGAAGCGTGACAGGCGGGGCGGGGGCACTCTCGACGCACTGTCGTGGCCGGCCTGGCACGTCGGCGGGGGGCTCCTGCGCTGCGTGTGCCTTGGCGCGTCTGCCCAGCAGCCCTATGACGTCGCGCTATCTCGCACGGGTGATGAGAAGCAGGGCGTGTGGGAAGAGGGCCGGGAGAGTTGGAACCCAGCCGTGCGTGCGTCCGCGCGCGCAGGGCGTGCATCATGCATCATGACACAAACTGTCGCCGCGGACGCGCTGCGCCAACGTTCGCGGGAGTGCATCGAAGCCTGCGCGCCGTTCCAGAAGCCCTCGGGGGCAGTTGCGGTGGACCTGGGCAGCGGGCGAGCAGCGTGACGGGCGCAGGAAGGCTCCCCCGAACCCCTGAGAAGGACATTGTATGCATTGCGGTCGCCATCCGCGGGTTGGGCGGATCGCAGGGCTGGGGCTTTCCAGACGACGGACAGAGACAGCTGGGAGATCGTCCCAGGAGCACCCGTCTGCCTGCCTGGCGAAGCGCGTCGGAGTCTGGCCTCCGTCGCTTCTAGCGGACGCGGCACGCTCGGCAGCGTGCCCGATGACGATGGGCGAACGTTCCGCCGAATGCGCAGAGCTGCAGCGAGCGACGATGGCACGCATCCGGACGGACGGATGGCGGCGTTGCGGGGTGCACCTATACTGGTCGGGGTCGGTCGCAGGGATGTGGCTCCCCGTCTGCCTCTTCTAGCAGAAGGAAGCCGTCACGCTGGGCGCGTTCTGTCCCGGATGTCGTCAGCACCGGTACCGACGACAGCGAAGACAGATGGCGGAAGAGAGGTGCAGCTTCAGGCAGAGCGACGATCACCCTGAACACGCACCTTCCGGCGCACTAGAAGGTGGAAATTGAGTGCCTCACGGTGCCTTGGCGATCCGCTTGTGGACAACACATGTCCTCGATGGAGCAATGCATATGGCAGAACAGGGCTTCTGCACAATGTCAAACCCACCACGCCGCGGTCACATGCGTATGCTGCAAATTGTGCGTACCCACGCCCATTGCCCTTGAAGAAGCGGAGCAAGCCCAAGGATGGGGAGCCTTTGCCGCACGTCTATCATTTTCGACAAACAGACAGCACCTGTCGCCGACATTGCAACGACAGGCCGCCTGCGCGAGCTTTACCGTGCTGTAGAGATATCCCTGAAAGCATATGTCAACACCACAGATGGTGGCGGCGGTGATGATGTGATGTGCTCACCAGAGCTAGCCAAGCTTGCGCGGAAAGAAGGCCTCCGTATACAATGGCCCTGCGCGCACTGTCATCTGTCACTGCAAGATGGGAAGATTAGTGTGTGTAAACAAAGATAGTGAGAGGCGCAGCCTAATTTACGGACCTTTGGGTGACGGTTTCCATGTGACGAGACATTCGCTGTCTAGGAAAACTGTACGATGAGTTGTTGTGAGCATCGATGGGCATATTACAACTATACCACAAGCCCTTTTGTGAGGTCTAGCGGTCCTTTGCATGTCGACGAAATCCATGTTTGATGAATGAGTAACTCGGAGTTACAATATCTGCGAAACCGAGACACTATCAGCTCCGCCCGATAAAAACAAGTACGTGTCCTCACTCACAGGATAAGAACCAGATAGCCCGCATCGAGCTACATGACCGTGGAGCTCCCCCGCGTCACCAGCCAGAAGTATTACGCCATGGACACAGATGGACACCCGCTGCCAGGGAACACATCGCAGCAGCGCCCGCCGTGCAGCCCGGGGAGCCCGCTAGCCTGCCCACGCCAGGCGGGAGTTCAGTAGCGGCGAGTGCGGGCGGAGCTCAGCTTCTGATGGGCGCCCTCCGCGACCTTGTACACCGGGTCCACTTTGGCCAGCCCGAGCGGAAGTAGTTTGGCGGCCACGGTCGTCGTCGCGTCGCCAATCGGGCCCCGCACGACGCGGGCCGCGTCCTACGTCTTAGACTTGGGGCAGGAGCGCAACGGCGCGATCACGAGCCAATTTGTTTAATTGCACGCGTGCGCCCTGAGCTGCAGACTGAGAGGATCGGGCGTACCGCCGGATGGGTGCGAGCGAGCGTCCCCCGCGGGTGGGTGACTGGTATAGGCTGCGCGTATAGCTCCCGCGCTGCTGGCGCCCGCCTTGCCACTGGCCAGACTCGGAGTCAAAGTGGGAGATCGTGGGCGGTGATGCCGTCAGGATCGGGCAGCGGTTCATCGCTACTGCCACCGCGGGGCGTCCTGGCCCAGTCCGTTCCGTCCGGACATGCGATAGGCTGGCTGGGATGCCGGGTCGCTGGTCAGCGTATAGTTCAATGCACACGGACACGGAGGTTCGTCGCTGGGAACGCGGCGAGGTGGAATACGCACCGCACGGCAGCAGTAGCCTCTACGAGCGGAATATTCATAGCCTGCGAGCGCGTTCGAGGCACGGCTCCAGTTGTTGTGCAGTCGCCCACCGAGTGTTGTGCTACCGCACTGACGCTATGGCGGCGCACTAGACCGCCACCGGCGCCGCACACTGGGAAGTCTGTAGATCACAGTGGCATATGAGCGCTGCACTCGGCATCCGTTGCGCACCAACGTACCTTTCGTCCTATCACGGCGTCCGGGACCTTTTCACCTTATCGCGCGTGGCATTCCCCCAGCGGCTTCGGCCCCGGCCCGCGCGAGCCTTGCCCGCTTTGGGCACGCCATACCGGTCGTGTCGGGCGCAGTGCGGCGGACGTCACGGTTCGAACGCAGCGAACATATTGGATGGCTCTCGCCAAGCCGAGCGTGCCGGCCCCCTGGCCGACGGGCTCTAGCGGTGGTGGTAATGGTGGTTTTAGCAGTTGGGTCCTGGAAGCAATCAGAATCCAGAAAGCAGAAACAGCTCGCCGTGCGGGCGGACGCTGTTGCTCGTGCTCGATGGGCCAGCGCGGGCGGGGCGAGATCGGTTGATAGAGTGGACGTGGGAGCGATGCGACCGAACCTCGAGGCGGGAGAAGTCTCAGTTCTGCGGCCTGGCCGGCGTGCCTTGGGCCGCTGGCCAGTGGTGGCCTGCTGAGCGCTGGGCGTCGCGTGAAAGACACGTCGCGACGCGTCACGCGCGCCAAGGAGCGTTCAGGGCCGCGCACAAAGGCTTCGCAGTGCGCGCTCTGCAGCTCTGGCGTTCTGATGAGGAATGCACATATGAGTTGAAGTGCACAGGTATGGCTGAGTGCAGTGGGAAGCCCAGAGCTCACCTGAACAGGGCATGTCTGTCGCCAAGCACCAACGCTTCTGCACGAACGCCCCGGTCGAGACGGCCCTCTGGAGGCATTACAGTAGCCTGGGAGGGTACCGCACGCACGGATCCTCTGCCCAGCCTTGGCGCCGCACCACGAGGCTATCACCCATCAGGCGGTCTGCGCCAGAAGGCCCTCCGCGTCCGTTGCCAGCCTCAGTGAAGCAGCCTCCGAGCGCACGGAGGAATATCGCGACTTGCGCAGGAAATCCCAGATGTGCATGCACGCACGCAATCAATGCCGCTCGCAGCGCAGATCACCTCGATTCGCGCCCGAGGGAGTGGCCATCGGGCAAGGAAGCGAGCGCGGCCCTGCGTGGTGCGCTAGAAGCCGCAAGCGCGCCGACGACGGTGACGCAGGGCTCGCACGGCGTGCGCGTGCATGTGAGGGCATATGACACGCGCTGCGTCGTCTCCTCGCGACCGGCGACGCTGGGGCGGCATCGACCCGCCCGTGCGTGCGTCCATGCCATCCGTGCAACAGCGCTAGCGGCCGGGCGCTGAGAAGCGAGCGACGTCTGTATAGACTCGGGGGTGTTGGAGCCCGCCGGGCGCGCTAGCGCTAGTGCTGCTGGACGACGTCGGGCTCGGTGACGCCGTCGATGGCGAGCGCGACGACGAACGCCGACATGGATCGCTGTCAGGGTGCGCCACATTTAATATGGCTGATGCACAGCTTGTTACGAGCCTGCGCGGGTGGGAGACGTCCTGCTGCAGCCGAGCCCGATCCGCACGGCCGTGCCCAGCTGGGAGGGAGGAGTGGGCACCGCTGCTGCTGGCTGCAGTGCAGGGTCCAGGGGCGCGCTAGACCTTTCTCGGGGCGTGATTCGGGCGTGACGGCGCCGATAAGCCTGCGCAAAACGGCAAGGGGGGAAATCCGAAATATACGAGAATATGCATGTGGGTGAGATCCGGGCGGCCAAGGGGGCTGGGGGCGCGGATGGGGGCAGGGCGCGTCAGGAGGCGGCCAGGAATGGGCAAGCGGGTGCGCGCCCGTGATTCGAAACACGTTCTGCGTTCTGGAGCTGCTCGCGGGGGACGAAACGCGTGCTGCGGGCGACGGGTCGGGCGACACGAGGGCGCGGCATGGGACCGGGGAGGGTCGCTGTATGCTGACTTACGATGGCCGAAGGCTTGCCCGGGTGAGGAATGGCCCTCGAGATCAGAGCAGCTGTTGGCCAGAAAAGGGCGTAGTGCGCTTTCGTGATTCGACGCAGATACGGGCCTTGCTGGTGTGATTGGTGTTCTGGTGGTGAACATATGTTGCTCACCGAGCACCGGGCACAACGATGGTGAAGAGACTGGGCGAACCGAGCGAAGCGGGAGGAGACAAAGACGCGTTGGTCAGCACGCCCGCGGATGTGTCACCGACAGCGGGCGGTGCTCGATCGCGGTGCGGTGCCGCGGGAGGGGCGGGACGCATGGGGGCGGGTGGCACGAGCGGTGGCCCGACTCACAGTCCGGTATGTTCGCCCAAAACGGACAGCAAAGGCGGGGCCCCACGTTGGGCTTGCCGGCGGCAATCAAAGGGATCCGCAGATGGGAACCCCTGTGGCCTTGTTTGGCTTGGGTCGTTGGCAGACGCCCGTCGCCTACGGCCTGCTGACTGGCCACCCAAACTGGCCCACCCTCGATCCTCTCTCCTGGGTCAGATGTGCTGCAGTGGGAGGGCGGAGCTTGCACCGACATCCCTCTTCTGGCATCCCGCCGTGCGCTGCCACGATGACGTCGGTGCTTCGGAGGGCGGGATGGCCCGCTTGGCTGTCACGCTCACCCGAATACCACGATCGACCCTGGCCAGAATTAAATGTGGGCCGCGGGCGCACGCGGCCGTATACGTCCGCCAGTGGCGACCAACCCGGAGCTGCACCTGCTTTGGGACCACCGTCATCCAGTTCGCGTTACCCACCGCAAGAATACGCCCTAGCAAGCATCACATCCTCCCTGCATCCGCTGCGTCGACCGTTAGTAAGTCCCCGTATGCGTCGCCCGCCCCGTTTCACCCTCATGGCGCCCTGCGACTCCGACGCACTTCGGAGAGGCGCCGCCAACCCTCCGGCACCAGCACGCGCCGCGGAGGCATATATCGGTCGCGCACGGTGCACACCCATTCTGCACGCCAGACGTGGCCTTCTCTTCGCGCTCGAATCCATCATGGTGACGTCGGCCAATCTCCCGTCCCAGGGCCTCTGCGCGTAGCCGAGCTAGCTAGAAGACTGCGTCTTATGGCATCACCTCGTCCAACGGCCCGCGTGCGAACGAGCCCCGAAGACCGCCTGTGTGCGGCTCAACGCGTCACCATTCATGATGTTGCAATGTGCAGCTGCAGCTGCCGTCCCGCAAAATTTTCGACAGCACAATGAGCGGGCCCGTCACGGCGTGGAACACATCGTTCAGAACGTCGTTGTGCACGCCAGCCGCCGGTGCGAACCCTCCCAATGACACGATCCGCCTAGCTGTCGTTCCGGGGTATGCGCCGCGCGCTCACCCGCCCGCCCACACCGTCGCGATCACAGACACCTCGACGGTCGGAACCCGCCAACTCGACAGCGGCCATGCAAGATGCAGGGATGTCCGCCCCCACTAAAAAGTGTATTCTTGTACGGCACCCCGATACTCACTCAGCACAGCTGCGGTCGACGCTGATGAGAGCGTGCGTCATCGCAGCAGGAGAAGAAGCACCGCTGTGAGTAAGAAGGGCAGAGCAGTGCGCACACCCGACGCTCGCCACCCTTCGGCCCTCGCCTCGTCTCGCCTCGGAGGGCGCATGCGGGCGAAGCAGAACCTAAGGCCTAAGGATGCCCCAGATCAAGGCCCCCAAAGATGCACCCCGTGCGACGACGCCCTGAGCCTCCGCTCCCGCCATAGCAGCGTCGACGCAGAAGGTTTGCGAGGCCGAGGCGACGTCCATCCGCGCCCTTCGCCGCGCGCTCCGGAGACGAAGACCCCTCCGTCCTGTTGCGTCTGGAGCCGCGTCTGCAAGCGAACACGAGCGGAATGCGCTCCGGGTCGAGCACGCACGGAAGCCCCCGGCGTTACAACGCGCACTCCGCCCAGATCGCGCCGTGCCTCGCCTCCGGGGCGGGACAGCGCAGCGCGGTGCTTCCCTGCTCGATGGCTCGATCGGACGGGTGACGCGGTCGGGCACTCGCTGCAGCATGCGTCAGTCAGCGAGCCGCCGGCGATGCGTCCAGAGCCCAGGCGTGAGTGCGCGGTGGGGCCGAACCAGCGACGCGAGAGCGCAAGCGGGGAAAGAAGGCGGCGCTCCCACTCATCGACTCGTCGAAGGGGGCACGAAGCGGACGAAGCGGGCGAAGGGTGCGGGCGCGGGACTGGGGTGCGGAGGACTCGGATGTCCTGCCCGGAGACGTGCTTCTTGCGAGCGCGCGAGGACGCCCGCTGGGAACGCGACGTCTCGTGCGCGGGGCATGGCAGCTCTGCGCCCGGGAGACGTGGTTAGGCTTTGATCTAGGTTATCTTGGGGGTGCGTGCTGCCTGGGGGGCTCGCGCCGGACGGGCGTACGAAGCACACGGCTTTGGCTCTGGCTCAGCCTCAAGCTCAGGCTGAAGATGCACTGGCAGGATGCAGGATGTCCGCGGTGCCTTGCAGGCGCGTGGCGTGGAATAGGATGATGTCGCTGCGCGTCCATCAACGTGAATCGTTCATGTGTGCATCGCCAGCCGCCGCCAAATTTCGAAATCGCGCGCTGGAATGTCGATAGCACTGTCGACACTGACGCCTGCAGTCCCAGTTCCTGAGATCGTCGTCATTGTGATTAATGGGGTCCACGTATAACTGCAGTTGCCTGAGCCCATTCGTCAATAGCGCCCCCGTCTGAATGATACCTGCCCGTGATAACCACCCTTGAACTTGTTCATACACGGCAGGTCGACGCCTGAACAGCGAGCGTGCGCGCCACCGCCATCACGGTTCCCCAGCGCCCCAATTGCGAGCATCTCAGGCTGAACTGCGTGCCTGGCAGAACGACATGCCGCATTTGTCGCTGCCCCCCGTAACGGGGGCGCCACTCGCGCAAACAAACCTCCTCGCGGCGCGCGCGGGAGGGACGCCGAACGGAATACACAGAACGTGGTCACGCCTCGAGGCCGGTTTTAATATTCGACGGGCACTGCAGTCTGGACGAGCGCCCGAAGCGGAAGGAGCGCGACCTGTGCTCGGGCGGGGCGATCGCGCGTGTCGCGCGATCACTCCCGTCAGGGGCGTGCACACACCTTGTGCCCGCGCGCTACGGATACGGAATACAAGGCAGGGGGACACCCGTGTTAGGAGAACGCGGCGGGTGCCGACGGCTTGGCGACGAGACACGGTGCTGCTGCGAGGGGCTTGGAAGGCGGGTAGGGGCGAACGTCGTGCTGAGCTGGGCGCGTACGTGGGCCGTGCAGGTCAGCGGCTTCGCCTCCTCGGATACGCGGACCTCGACCTCGACTTCAGTGCTCTATGCGCACTCGGGTGCGCGCGGGTGCACAATGTTCGCCCTGCGGAGCGGTCCTGGTACCTGCGGTCCAGACCAGAACACACCCGAAAGACGGTATGTTCGAAGAGATGCCTAGGGAAGTCGCCGACATTCGTCGTCCGGGCCATCCGACAGCTCACCCGAGGCGACAAAGCTCAGAGAACGGCCGCGCGGGTGGATCGCCGGACAGCCCACGCGAGAAGCTGCGAAGCCCGTATACATACGTACGCGCGCATGACAGAGGCACCCGCGCCCGGGGCTGCCGGCGGGTCGAAAGAGACTCGTGCACGCGCGCTGCGGGGCGTACTCCGACCTCCGACGTCCGTTCCGTCAGCGTCAGCGTCACTAGTATGTCGTCCACGGCCGCGGTAGGCTTGGAAATAGAGGCCAAGGACAGTCGGACGAACGTGTCAGAGGATGAGAGGGCGCGGGTGATCGCCCCGCTGCCGCTGCCGTGCCCCTGAAAAGACGTGCCGGCCGAGCGCACTCTTCGCATGCCTTCTCCGTCCCAGGGCCCCCAATTGCAATCGCGAGCCGAGACGACTGTATCGCGCGTCTGCGTCTCAGTCTGCGCACGCCGTCGCCCGTGCGAGCGCACCGTCAGAAATCGTGCAGTGGCATTGAATAGTGCGGCCGCATGCCGAGCGGGTCAATCATCGCGCCCTTGGCTTTGGACAAAACCCGAGGGTGAGGTAAGAGGTTGGGGGCGACGGTGATAGATGCGTGCATTTCCCGCCCAGCGACCCGCCGTCGGCGGGCCAAGGCGAGACGAGGGAGGGTCGCGGCGCACGATGGGAACAGTCGGGTGGGACTCCGTCTGCGGGGAAGAGAACGCGAAGCTGACGGAGGAGACGTCCGGATGCCGGGAGCTGAATGCAAGTCAGAGCAGCGTACGTGAGCGCGAGCACTCACCGCGAATTTGATTGAGTTCCCTCGACGCGCTGCTACGAGCTCCATGGCGATCGGCTTCCCGTTCGAATGGGGTGCGTCGACGGAATACGTATACGTACCCAGGACCCAGGGCCTGTTCGTGCCAGCACAGCAGCCGCGGCTTCGCGCGAGACGCAGTGCCCGAAACACGATCGCGCGAATGCATATGTCGGGAGCGGCAGCGGCAGAAGAGCGGCGGGTGGACGCTCGCCTCGCCGCGGGAGCTTGAGTTTGCGAGCGGGAATCTTCGGGCCTCGAACGTGACGGTGCAGGCAGCAGCATACAGTAGCCAGTCATGAGGGCGTGGAGCAAGGGCGAGGACGAGGGCGACGTCGAAGCGGCTGCGAAGCCCGGCTAGCACGTCGAAGGACTTCGTTCGGGACGGAGTGCACGGGCTCTGGCCTCGGCTCGGACGGTCGACGCCGACTTTAACGTTCACTCGCACTACTTGCAGCCGCTCAATGCGATTCATTCATTTCACGCTTGTGCACGCGGTGGATTCGAGGGTATGCAGGGATATCTATGCATTGCGCATCTAGTAGCGTAGACCGTGATACATGTAACGTACATCCCGCGCACGGGGGGCGGGAGAGCAGTGAGCAAGGGGGGTACTGGAGGGGGAGGTCATGACGCCCGCGCGCGAACGGCGTGCGGGCCCGGATCGAAGGGGCGAAGGGAAGAGGTATGCGGGAGCGTCATCACAAGGAGGCGAACAACAGACTCGGACCGGGCGAGCGACCGCCGGAGGCGCGGGCGACGGGGGCGGGGAAGTGGCACAGAATGAGGGTGGGTGGGAGACAGGTATCGGACGGTGGGGGGATTTTCGAGACATGCATGTGTGGGCCGAATGAGTGGGAACGCGTGCGATGAGGTAAATGTGAACGAAAGATGTTAGGTATGCGGGGGAAAGCTGGGGCGGAGGGGAACAAGACAAGCGGACCGTGAGCGAGTGGTGGTGGCGTGGAGGGGTAGTGGATCGAGTAGGCTAGGGGGATAATGCATTGATGATGGGTGTTATGTGCAAGTCCATGTGCGAGAGCGGAACGGGGCAAGAGGCAGCGAGGGCGTGCGTCATCTTTTCGAGGTCCTTGTGCCGGCAGGGAGGTGAAGATTGTGTGTGAGCGCATGCGCCTGCTGGGAGGTGTGGGGGACCTCGGGGCGATCGCCGCGATGGCGGCGCCGGCCGGCGGGGGATTGGATTCCTATTTGCCAATCCCAGTGGCGAGAGCAGAGGAAAAACAGAGCGAGAGCGAGCGCGGGGGATAAATACTGTACAAGACGTGCGTGCGTGCACGTCGTCTATAGACGATGTATGCGAGGCGGAGACTGAAGGGGAGGCGAGGCGATCATGAGGCGAAGCGAGAGGGCTTGCGTCCGCGTGCGCGGTACGCGGGGTGATCCTCGACCGCTGGTGTCGCATACTTGCTCACCGGTGCTGGGTGCGCATTTTCCTTCGTCGCCGCCGCCTTTGCTCCGGCCTCCTTCCGCTTCACTGGGAGGTACTCCTCCGGCATGTGGTAGAACGAGACGGGTGACGGTGCCCGTCGGGTTTTCGGGGCGCGACTGGCCGCTGAGGCGGCATCCGTGTCGCGGCGGGTGACCGTGCTCGACCGCTGCTTCTCCTTGAGGGAGGTCGTCGAGCTCAAGACGCGCAACTGCGCCTTCAGGCCGCTGAAGAGTCCCTTGCCGCCCATTGGGCGTGCGGTGTCGAATGCCGCGAGCGAGCCGACCACAGATCCTGTTGCGGGCGTCGCGAGAGAGTAGGAGGAATCGGTGGTAAGGGAGACCACGCTTGTGGAGTGGAGGGATGTCGAGTCGCGCGAGAGCGAGGGCAACGACTGTTGCGGCGTAAGGATGGGGCGGGAGGGCTCTGGTGGTGCTGGCTGGGCGCGGGACATGTAGAGGGAAGGCTTGACGGGGCCGTTCGCGAGGGAGAGCAGCTTCGGCCTTGTGAGCGTTGCGGGCTCGTCGTCAGATGGAGCGCCTGTCGGCACTGAGCGGGCCCAGTCGAGTATGCCGGCGTCACCACGGCCGATCCATGAGTGAGAAGGGGATGATGGAAGTTGGGCGTCGAAGGAGCAGTCTTCGATGTGGCACACCTCGTCGTCGAGGGGGTCGGAGAAGTATGATGATACTTGTCGTGAAGAGGGGTAGTGTTTGAGGGCGGAAGACGAGCCCATCTCTGCTGTGTGGCACTGGGGAGAGCAGTATGCTTGCGAGTTGCCATCCTGTCCGAGTGTTACAGGGTGATCGACGGTGTAAGCGGGAGGGACACGTACGAGTTCGATGCGGCATCCGCAAGTCAAGCACCAGTTCAAGTCAACGGCGTCCATGGTTGTGTGGGACGGGGCGGGGGATGGGTATGACGAAGGGGAAGGGATGATTTGTCGGGGGAGGGCGTCGGAGGAAGGAGGGGAGGAGGAGCGCATACTTATAAGGCGTCAGCTGGGAGCGAGGACGAGCAGTCGGACCCTGCCTCTCCCCAAATCCATGGGCGACCCGAGCGAGCGGTAGAGATCACACCCAGATCTGTCCTCTTAATTATTTTCGCTTTCTTCCTCTAGCCCCGTTTTGGAACGACGTGGACGCACAGTCACAGGGAGTCACAGGCGAGTCACAGATCGCGCCTCCATCCAGATATGGGCGGTTGTGCGTCGCCCTGATACGCTTCCGTCACCCGGTGCAACTGCTGATCTTCCTCGTCCGCTCGAAATTCAGTCCCTGCAGCTATCGCGCCATTGCCAGCCCGGCGGGTGCATTGCGCATCGCTTGCCCTATGCATGCGGCGTAGGTGTTTCGTTGGCACGGACGGCGCAGTGCACGCTTGATGTGTGTACCACAGGATGAGATACGCGTGCAGCAGCTGCCTGTGAGGGGGACGCAGAGCGGCGAGGCCGTGGCCACAGGTCGGAACTCTATCGCACATCCGCCGAAATGTGCGGTATTCTCATGGGCGGCGCAGAGGAGATCCTCGTCGCTCGTCTGCACCTGCATTCATCGGCATCTCAATCTGGATACCGTCTGGCCGTGCTCGCTCTGATGCAGACGCCATCGCGCCTTCCCCCTTATCCGAACGTCGTCCCTTCGCTTGCGTCTCGAGAGCCTGCGCGCCCGTCCGCTCCCCACGGCTCATATTCCTGCATTCGAGCCACAATAGTCATCGCGCCCGTCCTGGAAACGGTGCACAATAGCCTACAATAGCACGATTAATGACGACGCAGGGATCAACATCACAGGGCGCGACGATACGCGAGGCTTGGACTGCGCTGCCCTGCTCGGCTAATAGCCGCAATGCGGGGAGGCCCGGACGCGAGCATGACTCGCGGACCCGCCATGTTTCCTCATTCGACCCGCCCGAGCCCGACGCTGCTCTTCACACGACGGACCCACCGACACGTTGGCCCGATCAGGAAAGGCCGTCGCGCACAAACGCCGAGCAGCCGCCTCGTTGCTCGCGAACTCCCGCCGGTGTGATTACCTGCTTCTTCTGGCCTGCTACGTTACCTCGCAGCCTGGACCGACCGAGAGTGCGAGCACAAGCGCCGCCCGGGTCCAGACCTCCACTCCCCTTCCCTGCTCGGAGACGAGACTGCCCTCCGTCCCAGGCCTGGCGTCGACATAGCGATCGTGAGCCGCCCCGGCTCTGGGCGCAGCTGCCCCGCCGCCATCGCATCATCCGCTCGCTGTCCGCAATTTTTACTCTCTGGCCGTGTCATTTTACTGACTGCCACCCCGCCGACTCCCCGTAACCGCTGCTTACGCGGCTGTCGCCCTCGTATGATGATGTCGGCCCTTGCTATGCACACCACCTCCCGCCGGCACACCCCGCTAATTATCGATATATCCACAGGACACCGGCCGACCGATATAGGCACGCGTAGGCCGGCCTGCAGGGTCGCCCACCCACCGCCTTTGAACGCAATGTGATGTGCCACAAACCGCACATCCTCCAGCGGCGCACCAACGCAAAAATTTGCCTCCGCCGGATAGCTACAGGCACCCAGCAGAACGGTGCAGTCAGCGGGAGAACCCAATGACTAGCTGGGAGCAGCGACGCCAAATGAATGCCCTTGCGCCAGCGCGTGCGAACGCGCGGGATGCTGAGCCCCGCCCGCAGACACTCAGACTCTGCAGAGCTGGGGCTCCGCGCACTGTATCCTCCCCCCCGGGCCCCGCGTGCTTCTTCCGGCATATCAGGACGGCCAGGGCGCCCTGGGCACGTACGTGTTCGCCCGCGCAAGGAAGATGCGCACGCATACGACGAATCTGCGCGGGTCCAGTCCGCGCGGGCTTCCCCTGATTTCCTCTCCCTCTACGTGCGCACTCCCCCCTCGGCTAATGGCGGAGGCTCTGCCGTTGGGTTGCGCTCGTGGGTCGCGTTCGAAACTCTGCACGTCGCTAATTTCGGCGCAGACGTGCGTTCCTCCAGATACGAGGACGAGTCTATCCGCCACCGCCGCTGCCCTGTCCTGTCCTGCCCCTTCATTTCATCTCATTTCCCGCGCGTCTGCGTCTGCGTCTTCGCCTTCTTGACACGGCTGCGCGCCTGGTAGCGCTGCTGTCGCCGCCTCGCCAAAGAGCCCGCGTGCCCCGTTTCGCAAGACGCCGGCGAACCGGCCTGTCCATGTCCATTGCGCACATCTGAAGCATCATTATCATTATGCACAACACAATACGCCGCGCTGTCGTACGTATACGTGCCAATCGATTGCGTTTCCCGTGCGCCGACCCGGGTGCAAATTTATCGCGGCTTCGTGGGCGCGCGCAGCACGATCCCACCCGTGTACATCGCCTTCTGCCTTCGCCGTGTTGGGTGAACCTTGACGACTGCCCCAGCCCGTGCGCGGGAACTAGGAAGGCAGAAGGCGCGGGGGCGGAGGAGGGCTTCGAGAGGGATGCGCCAGGGGCGCAGAATGCGCGACGTATTTCCGGCCGGCGTGGTGCACTGAATGGGCCGCCGCCGCTATGCACATTTGCGCGGCGTATTCTCCCGCTGGATCCCTCGCTCCCCATGCAGAACGCCGCGCGCAAACGCAAACGCAAAACCTAAGACGCGAGAAGATGATACGCTCCTCCACCCTATGGAACGATCGAGAAGGATCAGCTTGGCGGCGCTGACGGGGGAAGGCGTGCAGCCGTATGCGCAAATACCATGCTGATACTGTACGAGCCAGTACGAGCCTGGGTGCGTGGGGCTGCAGACACGCGTTTTCCGCCCCCCTCGCGGCGCCACGGTCACGCCCCCTCCCAGCTCCGCCGTACCACTGCCTACCGCCATCGCCGTGACGCTGCTCTGAGAGCTGGGTGCAGAAATCAGACTTCCCCGCGCGCCCGCTCGGCCGGGACTTGCGCGACCGATCCATCGACGCGCGCACATGGACCCCCCTTCCTTGCAGAATCAGATCGGAGGACTGTGTGCGCAGGGGGTGCGAGAAATGGCCGGCCGGTCGATTGCGGAGACACCGAGCACCGGGCGGCGAGCGAGCATGGGCAGAGAGCCGAGCGCCGTCGCCGTCTGTAGGTTGGGTGGATGGAACGCATATGGGAGTGCTGGGGGGCGATTGGGACTGCATGGGACGGACGCTGTACCGCCGGCACGCCGCGCACCGTGCATCTCGCACGCCCTCGCTGGCCCCATGCACCCTTCACGCTCGTCACCGTCGAGTGACGGGGATGGGATGCGTATGATGGGATGCAGGCGCGGCCTGCGGGAGATGTCGATGATGCACGCAGAAGCACGGGCTTCCCCCAGCCATGTTCGCCGCCATGGCATGGCCATGTCACCAGCTGCCGTGCAAGCCGCGCGAGTGTGACTGGGACTGCTGGCCGGGCTGGTGGGTTTCTGCGCGCGGGGATTGCCTGGGACGATGGGACGAGAGAAGCACGCTGGGGTGCCAGCCGCAGGGGGAGGAAGCTGGGATCGAGGGCCCGGGCTGTGCGCCGCGTCCGTGCGTCCGTCTGCTGCCGCGGAATAGAGTACAAGGTTCGCGTCCTGCTCGCTGGAACCCCCGTTCGCAGGCGCGCGCGGGCCTCGGGCTTCGCGCGTTCGAGAAACGGGGGCGCGTGCGGAGAGTGGGTGGTGCAGCGGTTCGTGAATGTGAATGCCAGCGCGAAGGCTGATGGCGCATTGACGTCGTGGGTGGCAGCGATTTGCGATCGCCCAGATGGGGGGCATGGGCGCGAGATGGTAAGCAGGGCAGCTGGTGGCGGATAGAGGGTGGGCGGGCGGAATGGAACGCAGATGCAGATGCGAGAATCAGACGCTGTTGCGTGCGTGCGCGAACCCTGACTGCCTGCGACTGGAGGATTCGTGCGCCGTATAGGTGTCCGGCCGAGAATAACTGGTGTTCCATCGGACGTCTCCGATTCGTGTGCGCGCAGGAGGCAGATAGCTCGTGGGACGGGTGCAGGCGCCGTGGAACGCAGGCGTGTTCGATCGTCCGGCGTGCACGCAGGCGCCGTGCGAGTCGCCACAGGCCGGCTCAGCGTGCGCATGCCATCCGCCTGCCAGATATGTGCGTGCCCACAGCAGCCCTGCGCACGGCGAAGGGGGAATGCGACTGTGCAATTGGGGCCGTCGGGCCTGCAGGGCCTGCAAAGTTTACGTTAGCGCCAGAGTTCAGCTTCCCGTTCTATCTGGCGCTGATATTCGGAGAAGCGACGTACGAGGACGTCGGCGTGATATCTGTCGGCGTTGTCGCTGCTCGCGGCGCCATCAGATCGAGGAAGCGTGAGGACCGGGCACGACGAATCTTCGTCGCCTTCCGTGCGCGGGCTCCATCTGCACGAAGCGTGACGGCAGATGCAGCGGCCGAGGCGGGGATCTCGCAGGCTGCCTGCTGTCAGATGTGGCCTGCAGCAGTGGAAATCCAGGGAGATGTATCGCGCCCCGCAGCGGTGGGAGCTGCCAGTGCACGTCTGCGCGTCCGAATATCCCGTTCACGGTCCACGGTTCCTGCCACATCTGTGACAGTGCAGACGCACCCGGAGGATGCCGTGCTCCTTGGGGGAAATTTTCCGCTGCGCGTTCCCGTTCCCTGTCCTGTGAAGATGCGTGACAGGAAGACAGCACTGGGGACGAGGGGATGTGCGCTGCGTGAGCGGCAGCATCAGCTTCGAATTTCATCGTCCTAGGGGAGCCACGCCTGGCCACACGGTGCGGTGCAACATACCTGATGTGCATGATGCCCGTATGTTGCGGCGCTAGATATTCGCATGAAAGGATGCTGGCTAAGTGGCCGGATATTAGGCATGGCGATGCCCGAGTCGAACAGCGTCACCGCGCGCGTATGGAACCTAGGACACGTCGCACGTTGAACACTCCCGAACAAGAAGGTACGAATATCAGACAGACGCCACCTGCGCACGCACAACACGGGCTCGCCATCCCGCGGAATTGCGCGTGCATGGATGGATGCGAATACGAAGCCGCCATTTGCAGCGGCTGGTGGGGAGGCTCGGACGGGCGTGTGCTGGGGGAAGGCGGCACGACAGAATGCTGCTTGATAGGACACTCGACGTCACCGGCGACCTGATGAGCGACTCGGTCTGCGAAAACATCAGCACTCCTTGCTCGGCTACTGGCCGCTGCCCCGAATATCTGATATCCGCACGCTCGCGCTCGCGCTCCCCTCGCGTCTCGATATGGTGCCTCAGCGGCTGCGAGTCAGGAAGGTGTGGTGCAAGAACGAGAAAGACGTGCGCCTGACCATAAAAGCTGGACAATGGGAGATCGTGCACCCGATGCGCGTACGTTATGGGCACTTGTTGTATCCGAGGGGCGTGACGGCCGCCGCGAATACGAGACCTGCCATATTCGTCGAACAAGGGCGGGCGCAGCCGACGCAATTAACCCCCGCTCCACCTCGGAATAGATCTACATACGCGCTGCCGGACCCAAGCGGAATTCCGCGATGAACGCCGACGCGTAACTGAGTGGCCGTCACGAACAATGTAGGAACGGGTGAGTGGTCGGAGGCGGCAGAGGCGAGGACACCGGAAAAGGCGCCTGTGGGCCAGCGCTGCCCGTTTGGGCGAGATGATGGGAGGTGCTGCATGCTGCAACTGAGCCCGACATCCACGCGTGGCTTAACCGTCGGCAACTCTCAGTGCGCACACCTTCGCGGGAAGAGGGTGCCGTTCGCCGGGCACCCCGCGCACCGCTGGCTCGACCCTCGCTTTCCCCACTGCGCTCGCTCGACCCGGGAGAAGCACCACGCATGCAGATTTCGCAGCGGACGTCAAGCCCATCACGACCGCGTCAGGCCAGTACGTCCGCCGACGGCTGCCGTCCGCGAGCTCGCCCTGATTAGCGAGCGGAGTCTCTGCTTCCTCTGAGCTCAACAGAACATCACGGTGCGCGCACACGTACACGTCCCGCGAGGAGCTGGCCTCAGCCCGCCTGGATCCCGCGACGCATCTTGCGCCGCGGCTGCGAGGACAGCCTGTGGCCAGCTCCTCGCGTACGCGGACGAGAGGGCCTGAGCCTGCTCGCCGGAGATAGGACTTCCATTGACGGTGAACTTTGCACTCAGCCGCAGTCTCACACCCACAAGGGGTGACAAGCCTGGACCGGTGAGAAGCCCGGTCGAACGACATAGAGATCCCTTCGACGTTCCCTCGCTCCCATGGCGGGCCGCTGCCATGAGTGAACGGACGTCTGAGCGGCGGACTGCTCGAGGACAACGCCACAACGCCGCGTCAAAGATCAGCTATGTATCACACTCCTGCGCAACAGGAAGTCCCGGAGGCGCCACGAAGTATCTTTCCCCGACGTACCCACTGCACGAATGGGGCCACCGCGGACCCAAGGGGCACTCGCGCCATATAGAACTATGTTCTATGCGCTCTAGGCCCTCCCGCGCAGATTCCTGCGCGCGATCTTTTCCCTGGCGTCGCTTGCACCTGGCGCGGTGGGAGACACGTCCCGACCGACAGGATGCCGTTGTGGGACGACGCGAGCGGGACCTCATCAGACGGTGAGCCGTACGGCGCATATCTGAGCACCTTACCGACATCTCTCATCACTGTTCACGCTCTTTCCAGGTGTGCTGCGTACCTTTTGCGCCCCTCTCATTGCCGTAAAGGCCAGACAGACGACGGCCTTCCGATACGCACGTCCAGGAACAAGGGGGATGACCTGCAGTACCAAGCAACGGCAGCGGTAACGACGTGACAACTCGTGAAATTCTTGACCAGGCCATCACTTGTCCTTCTTGGTCTCCGTCTCTGCGGCTGCTGCGGGCTTCGCCTTCTCCTGCTCGGTTGCCTGCTGGACGAGGTTCTCCTCGACCCGCCTGGCATACTGCTCTCCCGCCTGTCAAAGATCCACGGATAACGCACGGTCAGCAGGTGTCCCAGAAGGCCCAGGAAGAAGGCACGACTTGCCTGAAGAGCGAGGACCGCGCCGAGGAGCACGATAATAATGGTGTTCCCCGCAGAGAGGACGCGCAGCGCCTCCACCTGGTCCTCCTGCGAGTCGACGTCGGGAATGGGGTCTGCGACGGTGCGGCACGCAGGGATGCCGACGGTCATGTAGACTGCCAAGCTGAAGATGTACGCAGCTGGCGGGGAAGAGCGCGCAGCGCGTGTGAGCACACTCATACAGACGCGACTGAATGCCGTACACGGAAGAGCCAGGAAAGGGGATACGCGCAGGCGTGCGGACGTGCGGAACGGGAGGGTAGGTGGAGGCGGGAGAGACGCACCGAGAGAAGAGCCGTCGAAGAACATCGCGCTATCGTCCCACTTGTGCAGCTTGCCCAGAAGGCCAACCAGTCCCACACCCACTATAGAATGCAACAATCCCTGCGTGTCCAAAACATTGGTGGGCGTGGGCGCGGGCGCGGGCGGAGTTGACGGACGGGAGAACGGAGCGCAAGTGAGCGGGACGCACAGCCGGAGGTAATGCACGGAAACTCGCCTTGATAGCGGGCGGGGAGTTGTAGAACATGGTGTAGAATTCTAGTCCATCGCGCACGACAGACTCCGTGAGCGGCGTGAACAGGATCCGGTAGTCGACGTTCAGGCAAATAAAGAGCACCCCTGAGAAAGAAAGGTAGGTACGAGCAGGTGAGCAAGAGTGGACGTCTGCATGCTGCTGAACACATACCGAGAAAGAAGGAGACGGAAGTGAGCACAGCGGCTTGCCTGTAGCCCATTTTGCTGACGTCGACGTGGTGGACGGTGGATGAGAGGGGTTGCGCAGGCTGCTCGCTGCCGCTGGCGTCTTGCAAGGGCGTCCCCCGCACCAAACAGGACCCCGGCCAATACACCAAGAGCTCATATGCCGGAATCCCCGAAAATGGGCACGGAGGGCCCGAAACTTACATGAAATTTAGGTCGATTTCTCGAAAATGGGGCCTTCAGCGGCCGGGGTTACATCCCTCCCCAGCCCCGAAAACAAGCCCTCGCCAGGATAGTCATATGCCAGAACCCCGAAAGTAAGCCTCGCTCGGCCGACCAGACGGCCGGGGCCCCGGCTGGAGACAAAATTTACCCAAAAAGCGACGGAATCAGCACGCCGCGCTCTGTTTTCCATCGTTTCTCCACCCAACCCAGTAAAGGCCGGCCGGGCCGAGAAATCGAACCAGCGCTAAACGGGCGCCTAAAGCCATGTTACATCCATTTTACCCCCGAATCCGGCGTAGCCGGCCGCAACTTATGTGAAAATCCCCGAAAAACACCGGATTTGGGACCCCCGAAAACGGCCCAAATGGGCCTCCAACTGGATGTGAGTTCTTGGTGGATTGGCCGGGGTCCTCACCAAACTGGGTGAGACGCGCCAGGCACGTACATGGGCGCTTGAGAGGCGCGTACCGGCAAGATAAGCCACACTGTACTTTAAACGGTACTCACTCTTGGAAGTTGGATAAGCAATGTCTTGATTCTCAAGAAAGACACCGTTCTGCCAAAAAGTCCTGACGATGGCGAGATCTGTCCCGCAGAACACGTTTCGGCACATATGCTGCATTCTGGTGACGTGGCAGAGCGATAGAGGCGACCAGTGGAAAGCGTCCTGTCTGTTGAACTTGAACGCCATGTTCTCTGGAATCGACACTCAATAAATTTACACAACTCGGCAGCTCGAGCTTGTTCCTGGGACGGGCTGAATGCGTTCTACGGAACATCTGCACCAGATGATAGGACTTAGCGGGTTCGCGCCTGAGTCACAACTTGGCCTCAGTGTACGCTGGGTGTGACAATGTGGCCGCTCCGCTGTAGCTAACGTTGAGCACATATTGTGCCCACTACTCTCATCGGCGTGCCATTCTCGAATCCGGTCGGTTGTGGAGGACGTTACATATGTCAGAATCTCTTCATGAACTTGCGTGGTTTGATTATGAGAATTTCGTTACACCGTCACCCGGAACGCAGAACATGGCGACCCCCAGGACCTTTTTCCGTTCTGCACATACACAATCAGGCAGGATAATTTACATCTCAGCAGGACGGGATATACATCGCCAGTGGGTATCATTGGGACATGCAACTATGTACTAAGAGGATCCATAGACGTAAAAGGAGAGAAAATATGTGAGAGAAGGAAAGCATCTCGACCGACTCCGCCTTCGCGAAGCCCACCCGCCCCCCTCCACCTAACCAAGCTCATAGAGAACCATACGTGTCGTGTGCCATATAGGTGCCATGCGATGTAATATGTACGTAGCATAGGGCGATCGCCACTCGCCCCCGTCGTGCGTCACTCACCAGCTAGCGCTCGCAGCGGCGGAGCGCCGCGGCACTATGTCGGTCGCAGCGGAGAAACTGGGGCGGCCGATGGCGACGGCGACGCGGGCACCGCCGCCAGACCCTCGCCCAAGCGGGGGCTCGAGGTCGCCTCCGACGAACTTGAGGGCGCAGGACCCTGACCGGGCATCGCAGGCGCGCCCTGTGGGGGCGGCCGAGGCGAGTGCGGGAGGCCAATCATGCGACTGTGCCGCCGGCTCGCCTTGTCGGTCGCGACGCTCAGCCCGCGGCTCGCAGCGAGGGCGGACGCACGGGTGCGCGAGGCTTGCGACTCGTTGGGCGGCGTCTGCTCGCGCTCCACCAGGATGTTCGAGTTTCCGTTCGTGTGTGCGGAACTCGAAGCCGCCGAGGATTCCACGAGGGACTCGGAATCGTTCTCTGTCGTCGCTTCCGTGCCGCTTTCTTCGACGATCTCGTCCCCGTCGTCGGACTGGGCCTCTTCTTGTTGCACTGCAAAACAGGTGGAGCGGCAAGGGTGCACATGAGGTCAGTATGGCGATAGCAGGGGAACCGGTTGTGCAGATTGAACGCACCTGGCAGTGTCCTCCCAGCGAGTCCCAGCATCTGGTCGGCTGCGGCCTCAGAATAGTGCTGGCTATTCCGCCGCGCGGCATTGCTTTGGCCCTGAGGCTCTTCGCTGCCGTCGCCGTCGGTCTCGTCCTCTTGATCGAGCGTCCCGTCCACATTGAACACGCGGTTGAACTCGCCGAGCATCAGGCTGAACACGCCGGCGGGAATGCCTAGCGTGGGACTGAAGACGATTCCGACATTCCGCATCGTCATCTTGTTCACGCCCGAGTTCTGCACAATGAGGATCAGGTGCGCAGTGAGAGCGCGGAGCAGACTGTAGTTGGCCACGGGAAGGGAAGAGATGAGGTGCGAGAGCTCCCTGATCCTTTCCTGGGGATCGACGAAGTCTAGAACGGGGTTAGCTCATTCCACCCCAACGCTTCCGTACAATATGACATACCAATCACCGACAAGAAGCGCAGGTGCAGATCGCGCGTGAGGATGCTCGCAGGCAGTTCCCGGAGGAAGGTTTTCAACAACCCAGCGATGGCGTGCGGATCCCAGTACTCGTCCGAGGCTAGTAGGTCCACATCACCCTCTTCACGCGCAGTCAGTGTCATGTCATGACAGGCACGCCCCAAATTGTAATACGCACCAGCATTGAAGCGGTCCTTCATGCTCTTGATCACAGCCGAGCTACCACTCAACCGGTAGATACCCTCTTCGTGTTCTGCCTTCTTTGCCTCAAGATACTGTATGCACCTGAAGACGATCGCGGGCAGACTCGCAATCTGCGCGACATCAAGGGACTCCTCGAGGCTCACACCGAACACCGCCCGAGGGATGTATGTCGGCATTGCCACCGCAGCGGCTTTGTCTGGGGCGCTGTCGTTAGCGATGCCATAAACAACTAGACCAGAATAAACCACTAACCGTGCGCTCTGCCGAAGCCCCAGTTCTTGAACGTCCGGGACTTCGTCTTCTCCCGTCGATCATTGCTTGTGGTGGTGGGCAAAGGTGGCGGCTGCTCAGGCGGCGGCGCGTCCTTGCCGCCAAACTTGTAACCAGCAGGGATGGGAGTCCCGTTCATGGGCCCCGAAATCTTGACTTTGCCGTGAGCGTCCACCCGGGGCGTGTTCGGCCCAGCGTCCTTCTCCGGCGAGGAGGACCGCTCTGGAATCGAGGGCGGCTTCATCGACATGCGCTTCATCTTATTCCGCTTGATCTGCTCCGGGGACCGTGCTGTTGCCGTGCGCTGGTCGACGAGGTCGGGGTAGTGCCCGAGCTCCGAGTTGGCACGCTGGCCGAGCCCCACCGACGTCTCGGGCTCCTCCACGAGCGGGGACGAGACAGGGAGAGAGCTCGACAACGGCGGCGCGTCCACCTCGACACGCTCCGAGAACGAGGGCGCCAGGGACTTTGCGGGGCTGTTCGACACCATCTCGGGGTACGCAGCGCCGCCGAAGAGCTTCGCGTTGCTACCGTCGGGCGCGAGTTGCGAGATGGGCATGGCCGGGCCCTTGGCGATAACGACCATCTCCTTCGTGGTTCGCCGCACAGGTGTCGTCTGTAGATCGGTCGGGGGATTGGAGCTCGTGCTCGAGCGTGGCGCAGGACTTTGTGCTGCGCTCGACATGGAGACTGGGCTTGGACCGCTCACGCTGGACACAGGGACCTGTTCATCGTTGTACGTGCCGGTCACATATCGCACAAGCTCCTCCACCCATGAGTCACGTTCCTGGTCGCTCTCCGCACACAAGACGTGGCGCGCAGTGGATCCGTTGGGGGCGCGTTTGGCCTCGATGATGAGGAAGGCGTGGCGATACTCGTTGTCTTCGTCCCCCTCGCGCTTCTCTGGCGTCCGCTGCTGGCGTCCGATTTGGGCACCGGCGATCACGATCGAGCCTAGATGCGTACCACCGCGCTATGTCACGCAGGGCGGAAGAAAGGGTCAGCAGGAGAACGCGAAGCACAAGAGACAATGAGAGTTGTCCCGAAACGCGAGATGCCGATGCCGAACTCAAAGCCGGATAGACGGGGGAAAGTTTTGTCGGAGCGTATCACTCACACTTTCATAGTACTCCAGGGAGGGGCCCTGCAGGACGAAAAACCGTGTCTTCCATCCACCGAAGTTCTTACCGCGTTTGGTAAGATAACCCTCCTTATATCCTGCCTGGGAAACGGGTTTTGCGGCGTCTCGTACGATGTCCGAGGTGAAGAACGCGACGATCTCGTCCTTGTTCTTGACGGGGAGGGTGATGACGGACCTCAAGTATTGTTCGAGTGCGGTCTGCGCAATAGAAAAGAAAGCATGCGGTCAGCGTTGCCCTTGCTTCTCGGTGACGCCGGCGAGGACGTGAAACAGCAGCACAAGCGGGGTGGGAGGATAAGAACGTCTAGAAAGGCAGGCGAAGCACATATGTCCCGAACATATGGGCGGCATCAGATCTGCCAGTCTCCGCCGGAGGGAGCAGCCCTGCTTGGTCCAGAAACGTGGGTCAAAGCCTCCGAGAGCAGAGGACCTGCGCAGTCACGGGCGAGATAAGGGGGGTGCAAGGCACCGCGAAGGTGAAGAACGGAAAACAGAAAGAGGCGACGAACGAGAAGCCGCAAGCAAAGAGCACAGAGCCCGACGCACCTTCCTCTGGTCGACCTTCGCTGGCGCATGATCGCGCCACAGCCGCCCCTCGGGCAGAGTCACCAACTTCTTCGCTGCGCTCCTCCCCACCGTCGCCCGCATTCGCGTGTCCAGCCCGAGTACGTCGCTGTACATCTTCTCGATCTTCCAGGACTCCTTTCCGCGGCCAGGGTCGACAGCGATGATGAAGGACAGTACCTCCTTTCCACGATCGTTTGGCCGGATCGTGGATGTTGACACCACCACCTCGGTGTACTTGAGGTCCTCTGCAAGCAGGGGGAGCGCGCGGAAGCCCATGCGGGGCGGGCCCTGCGGGAGGGGGAGGGGGAACGGGGAGGGAGGCGGCTGGTCAGAGACCAGGGTTTGCGAGGATGCATGAAAGGGCGCTAGATTGACGTGAGAGTCCGAGGTGGAGAGAGATGGCCGACTGTCCCGGGTGTCTATTGAGGTTCCCTGGCGGGTGGACATGCTCACAGATGGCGCGTACTGCGACGACGGCGGGAGGGGGAAGTCCTCGACGGCGAGTGGCTCGGCCATTTCGGGATCGCGTGCACGGGCGTCGCCGCTATCGCTGCTCTGCGCAGTGCTGTCGTCGAAGGAAGCGACCTGTGCGCTGCCGCTGCTGGCACCGTTTGCTCCTGAATCGTAAGCGCTGTCCTCGTCGTCCATATCAAGGAATTCGGCGCCTTCCTCCGTGGTGGTGACAGATCCTGCCCGATCTGACCCTGCCACGCGCCCGTTTGTTCGTCCTCGGCCACCTGGTCCCTGAGCTTGACTGGCGTCGTTCGGTATACCCAGTCCGACTCCAGCGGGCACGACTCCGTTGACGCTCCCGCTATCGTGCGTCTCCTTTACGAGAGGCGAGCTCGGCGCGGACGGGAATGTAAACTTCATCCCGGGGCTTACCGCCGGCGATGCCATCGACGCATAGTATCGCTTTGTCTCTTCCGGCAGGGAGATCTGCGAGTCCCGAGATGATGGTTGAGGACGCACCGCCAAATTGGTCGTCCCGTTCACCTTGGTGGGCTCAGGCTGCGCCGGGGGAGGTTGTATCGGTGGGGGACGCGAGTTCGAGGTCGCGTGCACGTTTGAGGTAGCTACCCCATTGATAGCAGACGAGGGGCCATCAATTGGCGGCACGCCATGGCTCCGTCCGTTGATTGCGGGGGCCGTAGGCTTCACGGGGCTCGCTGGCGTCAACATGACTGAGCTTTGCGGTTGCACCGGAGGTTGGGGCGGTTGAGGCGCAGGGCGGGGAGGACCTTCAGGTTTCCACGAGCCTAGTACAGGGTCGCCAGTCCCTCTCGGAGAGCTGACTTTCGTCGGTGGCGTCGCGGTCGAAGGTGATGGGGCGGGAGTGGATGAGAGTGAAAGTGAGTCTGAGCGTGCAGGAACGGCTGACTGAGGCTGCTGCTGTTGATGACTCTCCTCCGTTGGGCTTTGTGTCAACGGCGGCGACCTGCGAGTGGTGGTATCGGCAACCCGAGTGCTGGTAGCGAGCGGTGACGAGGCTGTCATAGAGTTCGACGTAGAGATCTGACTGGAAGATGATTGCTGGGATGCGGTCAGAAAGTTGTTGCTCGCCGAACTCAGCATCGCCGGGGATTCCGATCGGGTATAATGGAGCGTGCCTGTCGAGCCTTTGCGCTCAGGAGTGCGCGGATCGGAACTTGTTGACTGGGTGGGGTCGAAGGAACGGGAGGATGACAGTTGGTGGAGACGTGAAGCTAAAGAAACACCGTGTGAGGTTGACGGGAACAGAAGAAACAACATAACAAGAAGTACTGACGGGTTTCGTCCGAGCTCGTCCTCAGCAACTGTGCGCGTGGATCCAACTTATTCCCCCTCGACGACCCTGCGCCGCTATCATTTGCTTTCAACTGCGAATTCGACGACGCCGACCGGAGTGAACCTTCCCTGCCCTCCGCCTTCTCCTTCGCGCGGTGCGCGCGCAGCATGTTATCCGTGTTCTCGCCTAGGGACTGTAGACGACCGCGGTACAGGTCACGCTCCCCGCGCATACGCTCAAGCTCCTTCATGATGTGGTTGTAGCCGGAGCGCTGCTTCTCGATGAGCTTCCACAGCTGCGTGTTCTGCGCGGAGAGCGAGTTGCGCTCGCCCACAGCGGTCTCGAGTGCGGCGAGCGGCGGGTTGGGTGAGCCCGCGTGTGCCGCTAGCAGGCCGTCGACAGCGAGTAATTGGTTGGTTGGCACGGCGGGGTTGCCGGCGGCTGCCGCGGCAGCAGCAGCAGCAGCGGAGGAAGAGGCATGGTTCTGGTGCGAGAGGGACTGCGGCGTAGAGAAGGACGCCATAGAACGGACGGTCGCTGGAGACGATGTGGCAGAAGACGAGTAGTCGTTACGGTGCGTGCGGTCGCGCATGGGCGTACCGTTTGGCACCGGAGTGGTCATGATTTTCGGCATATTGTGCGTCGCCATAGCTCACGACAATAGACTGGAGAGCCAAGGCGTGGCGGCGACGGAGGAGGGACGTGCGGTGCGTATTTGAGAAATTGCGCGCGCAGAAATGGATGCGACGGTTGGTGGGTGGTTGTTTATTGTGGCTATTTTCGTGTTCGTTGGGATGCAGAGGCTGCTTCAGGGCTAGAGAAAGGACCGTGTAGCGAGCCAGAACGAGAACGAGGGTAGGTCTGGGTAGGTCGGAGCCGTCGGCGGTGGGGACAGGGAAAGAGAGAGGAAATGATGGAGGCGGAATATCCGAGGTCGTCCTCCTCTGATTGGAGTGAAGCGCCCACGCGCGATTCGGCATGACCGCCCTCGCCACACATGTAGGTACCGCTTCTCCTCGTCACTTGCCCACCGTCCCGCTGTGTTACTAACTCCTGCCTCTGTCCTGTTCGCCCACATCGCTGCACACGCGCGGCAGACAACATTCTCTGCAGCCCCATCGCGTGCTCAGCTCAGCTGCTCAAATGACCCGCTCTTCGTCGGACGCGTTGCGTTGACTCGCGGTCTATGGGAACCATCAACTCGGGCCCCCGGCGTCCCTGGCTTGCACCTGCCCGATTTTGGAGCAACTTGGAAACATATTTCACCCCTCCGCCTCGACGCGGTCTCGCGCGATGTCTGGCCTTCGTTCGCCGCGTTATCCGCACAAGGAACGGCTTCGACGGAGTAGAAGCCTTCCGTGCAATGCAACACGCGTCGCCATCGATCATATATGCGCTGCGAGTGCTTCAAGGCGTTCTACACCCTTTCCCCGCTGCCAGACGCGTTCGATGCCTATACACTGCCCTCGGCGAACGCGGGAGCTCCTGGACGCCAGCCAATCAGGGAGACGCTCCTTAGCCCACAATGATTCAATCTGATGAGTGCGCGCGCTCATCCAGCATTAGGGGTTTCGGTGTCGTGTTCCCATTCACCGAGTCTGGATCAGTGGGAAACCCAGCAGGCAGCGAGAAGCATGCCGGCATCGTTACGCCCCGCGAGGCCCCGCGGCTCGTACAGCGTGGTCGCTTGGCGTTCGTAACCGTAGCTCTCCTCCGCATCGGAGCAGCGTGCATTCGGGCATGTGAGTACCTTGCGCCGGATGCATCTATATCTACACGCGATCTACACATTCATCTTGATGCACTCAATCCCAGCGATGGGTCGGACACGCAGATTGAGGTGAGTATGTACTTATGTGCTACATGTGTGGTAGAACGCCGCTGGTAACAGATACCCTCTATGATAGCTCGCCCTTCCGCACAATCGAGTTCCATCGTCAGGGCGCAAGCACAGCCGCCACCATCGCCACTACCGCCTCGCCGAAGCAGATGAGTGATTTTGTGGACCCCGCGTGTGTACCACAGATCCGCCTGGTTATAAGGCCGGTGACGGTATCAACGTTGACGCGGATGGCGCGACGCCGGTACTTGCTAGTCTCACAGAGATAGACCGTTCACACTGTGTTGGTCGGCGACGACGACGCGTGTGTAAAGCGTCCATACGTCAAGACATATCCTGGAAAGTGGGTATCTAGTGTTCTATCGTTACAAAGGGAGCAACTAACAGCGCGTATAGCGACACGCAACAAACATCCGCCCTTTTCCGTGTCCTGTACCCTCGCGTGCAGCTTCCGGTGTTTCAAGAACCTTACCAAATTTCGACATCTCGGCTGACACTTGACATAAGGAATGCAACCCCACAGCTGGAGATACAATTAGCGACAAAGACTGTCTGTCTTGCATCGTTTAATCCTCCGCTCACCTTGACTTCTGTAGGCAGCCCGTGATCGACGTGTTCAAACCTGCTGCCGCAGCCTCAAAATCAACGCATCCAGTGAGGTCAACCAATCTCGTGCTGTGCTTCCCGTTGCATGATATTACTGTGGGATGGACCTTTGATTGTCAAACTTGACTGACATGTCGTTGGCAGATGTTAACATTCTTGATAAAAACAATGTGAGCCCTTCCTAGGTCGGGCTTCTCTCACTAGTGTGCGCCTTCTCCCTCCGCTGTACACCGTCCGCACCTGCACTCAAAATACCACCCCTCCAGGAGCTCCTTCTGACGGGTGGCCCAGTCCATCGCCTCGACGTGCCCGTAGCTTATGCAGAGCTCCTCCCCGGCTACCACCGCGCGCGTCGTCACGAAACGCAGCGCCCGTCCATCCCGCTCCTTGCGGACGTTGGCGGCGCAGTCTGCCGTCACCACGAAGATCAGTCGCGCCCGCGTACGGAAAGCCTTGACTCACGATGGTTGAAAAAGGAAGGCACCGGATACAGCGCGAATCCCAAACACTCGCTTTCCTCCATGAGCGGCACCTCCCAGATCCCGAAGGCGTTCCCCGGGTCGACGCTCAGGATGGTCCGCACGTTGGCAATCGTGACAAGGTCCGCCAGGTGCGGCTCTTCGCATGCGCTTGCACTGTCGTCCACTTCTCGCGTCCGGGCGTTATCGGCGGGCGGTTGCGGCTCGGCGGCGACAGAGCTGCTTCGCGAAGACCCGTTGCTGCGTTCCGCTGCGCGTGAGCCGAGGAGGCCCTTCAGAAGCTGATAGATCCGTGTCTGGTGCTGCAGGATCTGGGGGCAGGCGTTCAGCAGTTGCAGCTCGTTCGCCTGCAGAGAGGCGAACGTCTGCCACCCGGACGGCTCATCGTCAGTCGCTGTCGTCGGTTCCTCGGACTGAGGACCCGGCGTGCTGTCCTTACGCGATGTCGAACGATTTCTGTATTGCTCGCGGTGGCGCCTATACAGCGCGAGGAGAACGTATCTGGCCATGTCCGCCTCGTAGTCCTCGAGCTGCAACGTCCGCCACTTCCGCACCTCTTTCGGCGACCTCTCCTTGTCCCGCACCACGTCCCACGCCCGCTGGGCAACCTCACGCGTGATCTCGCCCTCCGCTGGCTGCTGCCCCCCGGCGTCCGATTTGGGTTTTGGGGAGGTCTTCTTCCGCGCTGCTTCTAGCTGCCTGAGAAGATCTACGGCCTCGACGCCTTCTCTGGCCACCCACTCGCCCTGACACCTCGAATCACAAAACCAGAGCCCCGCAGTGGTGCTCGATCTCTGGGCATCTCCGTTGGGCATCGGCCCGCCAAGGCCCTCGTCATCGCGCAGTGTGAGGAAGGTTCGCCGCCCGCCGTCGTAGCGCCAGCATTCTGCGCAGACTTCGTTCCGGAAGCGCTTCCAGATCGTGTACGAGTAGGGGCCGCAGCTCCCGAGGAGGTCTGTGTTTTCTGGCAAGGCTCGAGAGGCGTGGTATTTGCGCCCGCAGTGAGGGTCGACGCGGATGTGGAGAGGGGCGGGAATGGGCGGGATCTCCGAGTCGAGCACTGGCATGGTGGCAAGTTGCAGGATTTGGGAAACGCTGATCGGGGCAATCGTCTGTCGCCGCTTGAATACGTAGGCGATCGACGTACGATGTCGCTTTTGCACCTTCCACTCTGGGATATTTAGAAAGCGTTTTGGACGGATATTGAGGACGAAGGCTAGTAGTTACTGCAGGAGATCTCGCACAGATCTGAGGAGAACAGTAGCGGAGACGCGTCCGCGACGCGAAAAATATGATCGCGGTCACATGTTGGTGGAGTAAACTTGGGATAAGGTTAGGGTCACAAGGCTGTTTCAGGATGCGGTTGGCGGCGACGAACTCCGGCGCAAATGACCATCTGAGAATGCACACACCGCCCTTTATCGCCTCAGACTCATCCCCTTCGCTCGACAGCACGACCGCGCAGCGTGCGGATCTACAACGCAGCTTGCCCTAGCATCGTCCCCAGCGAAAATCGACAGAACACGACATCCAAGGACGATGCTCACGGCGACCCGTCTCCGCGTCTTACGCGCCCGACGGGCAACCGTCGCAGCGGTGGCGTCGAACTCATCTGCACGACAAACATCTTCCTATGGCCCTAGGCTCGCGTCTGGACGCGCAGTTTTCGGGGGGAAGATCGTCGGTACGCGTCACTTTGCTTCTTCAGCCACCAGGCGGGAGGAAGACCCCAACGCGGTACTCGAACGACTTCGCAAAGACGAGGATGGCGACGCGATTCCTGCTGAAGAGCTCACCTCCGTAGGCTCCCATGAGCAGCAGCACGAGCACGCGGTCATCTCGACGTTCGACCTGTTCAGTATCGGAGGTATGTTCACCATTTGCGTTACAATTCCGACGGCCCGGATTGGTTGTTTGATTGTTGGGGCGTAGTTGGTCCAAGTTCGTCGCACACCGTTGGCCCGATGCGGGCGGGCAAGATCTTCATCGGTGACTTGGATGCTCACGGCTTGCTGGAGAAGGTACATCTATCGAATATACTTGACTAAGAGATCCCATACTTAATTCATCGATTTCAGGTCAAGACCGTGAAAATATCACTGTGAGCATATCTATTACTCGTCTCGTTGCCGGACAGTATAGGGGTTGCGCGTTACCTGGCAGCTTCGAGAGGGAAAGACGCGCTTTTTTGGGAAAGCACACATGAGATAGCCAGAAACAGCTGACACTGGTTGATATTGCTCATCAAAATATGGGTTCAACCGGGTTCCCCTTAAAAGTCTCACTGGAGGTGACTTGTCCCGACCTATGTTGGTTGAAGTCGCCCGGTTTGATTGTGTAATCAAGATAGCTAGAGCCAACGTTCGGTCCTGGCTATGCTGGTTACTCGCGGGATGACGGGGATACGCCTAGTTTCTCCATTTTGTGACAGTTCTCGTCAGGAGTCCGTGTTATTACGCTTTGTGGACAGAATGACCCTCCTGTTGCTTGCGTCTTCTGTCCTTACCCCAATCAGTTATACTGTCTGGTAACGAGACTATATGCTCGTACCGCGTCGAGAATAGCTCTCATCGTCCCGAAGATATGGCTCCCTGGCAGCAACAGGTACAGACTTTCCGTCTAGGGACATTATCTAGTCTACAAGCTGACGAGGCTTCATCATTCACAGGAAAAGGGTACAGTGTTCCCGCATTCATAACGCGCACTCTGTCTGATGGTAGCTTTGCGACGTAGTCACCACACGCCACAAGCCATCCTATTGGGACTCGAAGGTCAGTTTCATATTGCTTCCGAGACTGTGGACTCTGTGCGCTGATGCCGTGCGCCACGCCCAGGCTCTGACCCTGAGACGATCGACACGGGCACCATCCCGTCGCGGTATGCCGCCATCCTCGAAAACAAGATCCTCCTTTTGGGCGGCCGTCACCACATCACGTACGACATGGACCGCGATATGGTGTGGCGCTGGGATCAGGTTCTCAAGACGCATCCCAATGGCATGCGCTTCTCGGCATTCGGCGAGGACGGCGACCTGCTCGCGACCAACGAGTACTTCAGGTAAGCATGCGCGCCCGGGCTTCCGCCGGAAAGCGGAGGCAACGCGGGGAGAGCGTAAATGACTGACCTGCCGCCCGTGATATGTCCGTTTCAGTGTCGGGGGTGGCTTTGTCGTGAACGAGAAGACGAAAGGTGAGCGCGCATCGCGCCGCTGGATGACCGAGCGGGGAACTCACGCGGCGGCGGCGATAGTGGACGAGAACCTGTTCTACAAGGGTGTTGACAAGAGCATCGTGCACGGCGCACGACTCCAGCAGACGCATAGCTCCGAGAGCACTCCTGGCGCGCCACCGGAGGCTCCAGACCCCATCCAACCCCCTTACCCGTTCGTCGTACGTCACCCGTGCACATTCCGAGGATGCGGAGATGGACGCTGACCACTCGCTGTGCATGCTGCCAGTCAGGAGATAGCCTTCTCGCGCTGACGAAGAAGCACAACGTACGTACAACGCGCTGTGCATCGTGTCCCCGCCGCCGCTATTCTCGCGCGGCGGGGCTTCGATTGCCATGGAGATTGAGGCCGGTTCGCTAATCCCACTCTGCACGTCGCGGTCTAGATGACCATCGCCCAGATCGTTTACGACAACGAGTTGCACTTTGGGTACTCGCACGAGGACATACATGAGAAGGTACCCTCTTTTCTCATCCTATGCCGCTTTGTTGCCTTCTCCCCTGTCTTTCCCCCACTCCCCCTTCTTTGCGTGACTGCTTTAGGCCCGCGCGGGCCTAGCCTTGCGGAAGAATGCATGCTGACGCGGAGCTGTAGTTGATGCGCATATGGGGTGTCATGGACGAATGCATACGCACAGGTGTGTCCTCGGCGGAGGAGAAACTCCCAGGCAGGCTTGGCCTCCGCAGGCGCGCGCCCATGCTCTACCGCCGCCTCATGCGTGGGTACGTGCATGTCTCTCACGATGCTCGACGTACTTTGGCAGTTATTAACGCCGGACCTTGTTAATTCCGAAGATTCTACCCTGGGCTGGCCTCTCCCCACCTCCAGCAAATTGGCGCAGGCTCGTCGATGTCCGCGGGGAGGATTGACGCCCCCGACGGCTTCAGCGCGGGCGCAGCGTGGGGCGCAGAGCCCGACAGCGGCAACGGAAATGCGATGGGCCCCGGGCGCAGGATCTCTGCATCGCGGCCCACTCGCGTTGTTGGTACCCTGGACCATCCTGTGACACCCATGGCAATAGTAAGTCCCCGTGAGGCGTCGGAGGTGAAGTGAGGCTAACTGAGGGGTGGCACGCGAATAGCGCAAGACGACGATCCCCGCAATGGACTTCCTGTCGTGCTACGCGATAGCGGTCAACGAGGTCAACGCCAGCGGCGGCCGCATCGTCACGTCGCCCACCAACGGTGCTGCGGGCGTCATCCCCGCCGTGCTGAAGTATATTGTCGAGGTGCGTGACCTCCTGCCTCCCCGGCGGCACGCACACTGAAGAATCTCTCGGCGGGCGCGTGTAGTTTATCAGCGACGACCCGGAGAAAGCCGTGGTTACGTTCCTGCTCACCGCATCGGTGCGTCTCAGCGTCTCATCCACCCAGAGCGCGAGCGCGGAATACTGAATTCCATCAGGCGGTCGGCATGCTGTTCAAGAGGGGAAGCACTATCTCTGCTGCGGAGGGCGGATGTCAAGCCGAGGTCGGGGGTGCGTTGCTGTCGCGCCGCTATCTCGCGGGAATCCATGCTAACCATATGGTGTGTTCTGCAGTTGCGTGTTCTATGGCGAGCGCGGGCTTTGCCGCATGCATGGGTGGTATGTTCCGCTTCGCGATGCTACCGGAGATGATTGGGGTCTGACCGTACGCCGCAGCATCGCCGGAAACGGTTCTGCAAGCCGCCGAGATTGGCATAGGTCAGGGTTTCTTTCCTTAGCCAATGCAGCTGGCGTGTGATGCTGACTGGCTCGCATGTCGCCGGTCAGAACACAACCTAGGCCTAACGTGCGATCCCATCGACGGGCTGGTACAGGTTCCGTGCATAGTGCGTTTCCATTCTTCCGGGCTTGCTTTGGTGGCCGGCGCGTATTAACAGCGATCTCGTAACCTAGGAGCGGAATAGTCTTGGGGGTACGTTGTGCGGCGAGGCCCAAGTACGTGAACACGAATGCTGATCACATTCGAGCAGCTGTCAAGGCCGTAACGGCCGCGCAATTGTCGATGGCCAGCCAGAACGTGTACAGCGTTACGTTGGACGAGGCCATCGAGGCCATGCGGCTGACCGCCGCGGATATGAGCGTGAAGTACAAGGAGACGAGTCTTTCGGTGCGTTCTCCCACCGCGCATGGGCGCCCGAGCACAAACTGACGCTATCTCCCGCAATCCGCAGGGTCTCGCCGTGAGTAGACTGTGAAGCTGCTGGCTGATGCTCTCGTGCTGACTGTTTTACGCAGAGGACCGTCAGGATTCCGCTCACCGTTCCCGCCTGCTGAAGGCTTCGAGGCAAGCTTGTTTGCCTGGCGGCGCTGCGGCGCTGTTGCCGACGTCCCCGATATTGCTACTCTGATAGACATAGATGCTTCCACTAGACGCGACGGACTTTTCGACTTGCTTCCAGCTACATTCATATCGCTAAACAGATGTTATCCTACGCTGCTCAAAGATATCTTGGATTGATGTCCCCCGCGGGTGCGGAAGTTCGACTCGCTACTCACAGGTACGCCGCATTACATCTTGACTACCTTCCTGCCAACATTCATAGGTCGTCGAACGTCTGGCTTGCTGGATGATTCCATCCGAATTTCTGAGGTACAACCGGGGTTCTAATTGATACTTGTCAACGCCACTAGTATCCGTTGACGGTTCATTGGATCATTTCCAAGGCATTTGAGACGTTTCCCGATCCCTTTGGGTCGTGCGCGACGCGAAGCGCGCTCATTCAAGGATGCTGAAGAATTCGTGTATGCTCCAGATCTTAAATGGCAAAACAGAAAATCTGGCATCCTGTCTTCACGAGTATGTGTCGTCCGGCGGCCCTCCAGCGCTGGTTGCAACCAAACAGTGCCACTTGCAAACTGTCAGAAGGGTTCCATCAGTGCCAGGGTCTCCAAAACAAAATCATTCGTGCTCGAAAGTCCTGTATATGACCGCCATACCGTATGCCTGGGGTGCGCGGCGGTCATGGTAAGTCTGCTCAACATGTTCCTGTCAGTGGCCTGTGAGCGCAAAAATTAAAAAGGCACGTTAATATGAAAGCTGCCGTCATGGGCACTGTATCAAGTGATTCTAGGGTGCACCCACCTCGCAGAGCGTAAATACGAGCTTCGCCGCTTCTCTCAGCGGCCGATGAGGATCTGAAGCTGGAGCCGGCGGCAATTGGCGGGTTGAATGACATAAGCGAGACACCGACAGGCGCCGTGTGCGTACGCAGTGGGCGTCTAACAACTCGGACCTGTCTCTCATCCTCCTGCTCGCCGTCCCTGCCGTCGTTCCCGGCCGTCTCCTCGCCGCCGTCGCCCGCGTCGTCTGTGCTGTCCCCGCTCCCCATGCCCATGGCGGGGCTCATCTCTCCCAAACCGGTGTCTTACATGCAGCACAACCTCCAGTACAACCCCTACCGCGGCGTCCAGGCCTTCCCCGACTCCCCCGGAACCTCTGGCCTCCCTCCCCTCCAACACCCTACCCCGCACCAGGGCGTGTTCCTGCCCGGGAATGCGCCCAACCAGCCCCTGAGCGTCAACGAAGAGAGCAAGATCTATGCCCTCGTCATCGACTTGCTCAACGCCGACTCGCGGGAGAGTGCGCTCCTCGAGCTGAGCAAGAAGCGAGAGCAGTACGATGACCTAGCCCTCGTTCTGTGGCACTCCTTCGGTGAGTTCATTTCTGCGCACACTGCTGGCGCGCTGCTGACGAGTGCTTGTCCCGCAGGCATCATGCCCGCACTCCTTCAGGAAATCGTCTCTGTCTATCCCCTATTATCCCCCCCTAATCTCACCGCCCATGTATCAAATCGCGTCTGCAATGCTCTCGCTCTCCTTCAATGTGTAGCTTCCCACCCCGAGACTCGTCAGCTGTTCCTGAACGGTGAGTATTGGCACAGATAACTCTTCGCCGAGCTCCGTACTTACTGTAACGCAGCTCATATCCCTCTCTTCCTATACCCCTTCCTGAACACTACCTCCAAAACCCGCCCCTTCGAATACCTCCGCCTGACCTCGCTCGGCGTTATTGGGGCCTTGGTCAAGGTCAGTCGAATACGTGCATGCGGCTTGCTAGCCGGGCGTTGACAACGTGCCACTCAGCAAAACGACAATACTACCGTCATCCACTTCCTCCTGTCCACCGAGATCATCCCGCTCTGCCTCCGGATCATGGAAACGGGCTCCGAGTTGTCGAAAACGGTCGCCATTTTCATCGTTCAGAAGATCCTCCTCGACGAGACTGGCCTCACTTACATCTGCCACACCTACGAGCGCTTCTACGCTGTGGGGACGGTCTTGAGCAACATGGTCAACCAGCTTGTGGAGACCCAGGCTGTTCGCCTACTCAAGCATGTCGTGCGCTGCTACCTGCGTTTGAGCGACAACTTGAGGTGAGTACATCGGCTGCTAAGCGTCCTCTCCCGTCGATCTAACCTTTCGCGTACCTGTAGGGCTCGTGAGGCGCTCCGTGCCTGCTTGCCGGAGCCACTTCGCGACAACACCTTTAACGCGTTGCTCAAGGTACGTGCCACGTCCCTCGCACGTGGCCCACAGAGTGCTCACCGCGCAAGCAGGGCGACATGGTGACGAAGAGATGCCTCACGACCTTGCTCAACAACCTGAACGAGCAGTAACGAGTCCACTCACGACTTTGCGGACGATCTTTACCCCCGGTGCTTGTATTTTTGCCTGTTTTAGTATGCTCCTGGGCGGATCCCTGTCCCTATGTTACCTCCGAGGCCGTGCCGGTGGGCGGGCGCGGGGTGCAGGGGCGCGAGGGACTTACTTCTTCGCACACCATAAGTACGCAGTACGATCTGGACCTAATATGTGGCGCGGCGCCGGGGCTCGTAGATAGAGCGGTACGCGTGCGCGCGCGCGATAGTGGAATGTCAATGCGAATGTCTTCCCGTGTAATAAAGTACAGAGATTGGGCCTCTACCGGCGCGCGGCAGTATGTACGAAGGTCAGTGCAGGGGAGACGTTTCCTCGACCTGGATGGTGAGCTCTTCAAGGCCCGAGATGCGACTTCGGAGAAGCTTGTCAACGCGCTCGACGACGCGGTCCACTTTGGCGAACGTCGGCCGCACGCTGGAGTGCGGGCCACCCGGGTCCCGAGACGAGGCGGAGGGCGCGAGCTGAATGTGGATCGTGCCAATAATGCTGGCAGAGTCCTTAGGCCAGAAGCGTGGTGTTGTGTACGACGCGAGGCCCTCGATGGGGGCAAGCTAACGGAGTGTTCGCGTCAGTCAGAGTCAAAGAGACCGTCACGGAGGATATGATTGCACATACATCGGAGAGCGCGTTCTGGATGGACTTCTCGCGCGTGTCGAGGTCGAGCGCGAGCACTTTGCCGGTGTCGATGACGAGCGGGACGACGCTCGCGGCGATGAGGATGGCTATGAAGAGCGACGCGATCGGGTCGAACCCTGTCCAGCCGTAGAACTGGATGAGCAGCGTCGAAATGATTACACCGACCGACCCCAGAGTGTCCTGCAGAACCAATTCAGACGTGGTCAGCGAGTGCTTTCTTGCAAGGCAAATCAAGGGGAGAGGACTTACGGCCATGACGTGCAAGAAAACACCGCGCATATTGTGCGAGTGGCCTTCCTGTGCATGATCATGCACATGGGAGTGGTCGTGCAGATTCGGCGCGCTATGTGCATGATGCGTCGCAAAGTGCTCGTCGTGCCCGAACTGGTAGTTCGGTGTGAGCGGCGAGACCGCCCCATCGAGCAGATGCGCGTGCAGGCCAGCAGGGCGCTGCTCCGGGGAGGGCGGAGAGGAGGGTACGTCGACCTTGATCTCGAGGGACTGGGGGCGGGAGTGCGAGCCGTGGCGGGCGGACGCGGGGGAGGGGGTATCGTCCGGACATGACGCCGGATTTGAGTGTGAGTGTGAGTGAGCCTGTGAGTGCGAGTGCGAATGGGCGTGGGCCGGCGCTGGGGTGTGTGAGTGAGAGTGAGCGTGCGTCTCGGGACTTGGTGGGGGTGGGGAGGCAGCGTGCGAGTGTGAGTGGGAGTGGGCGGGGGCACTCAAGGGCGGGGAGAGTGGTTCGGCATGCGAGAGGGTGTGGCCATGTTCGTGCTCATGGCTATGGCTGTGGTTGTGGCCGTGATCGTGGCCGTGGTCGTCGTGACCGTGGTCATGACTATGGTCGTGCGGGGCAGGGAGAGGGCTGGCGGGAGCGGCGGGGCCGTGGCTGTGCCCATGCGAGTGTGAATGGCCGCCCTGTACAAAGTCAACACGATGTATACTGGTAGCTGGCGGAGGTTACTCACATGGTGGTGACCCCCCATCGCGAACATGCCGAATAGGTTCACGCCGAGACCTAGCGAGCTGACTAGTAGCAACTGGCTGGTGTTCATCTCTGGCGGGTCCAGCCTACAGATGTGTTAGAAAGGGCAGCGACAGCAACTGGGCAAGCACCTACAGGCGTTGAATGGCTTCGAAGATAATAAATACGGAGATAAGGATTAAGAAAATGCCGTTCGCGAAGCCTGAGAGCGTTTCAATGCGACCATAGCTGGGATGTGGTTTTAGCGTGGGGAGACTCCCCGAGCTCAGTGAAAGACGTACCCATAGGTGAACCGTTCGTTTGGTGGCCAGCGAGCCATGACAGACGCGATGAGACCGACACCAATGGCCATACAGTCGAATGCCATGTGAATAGCTAGAACAGGTTTAGCCCAGTGGAGGTTCTTCAATTGCGAGATGCACTTACCATCGGAGATTAGTCCCAGGCTGTTTGTCCAAATGCCATACAGCATTTGGACGAGCATGTAGCACATGTTCAGCATTAGGAAGTAGAATATTTTCCGGGACTCGGGGTTGGATAGGATGTCTTTCAGGTAGGCTCGCATCAGACGACTGGACACGGCATAGTACGCCCCAGCGCTCGCTGAAGGGTCAGCGACCCTCGGGTACATCCCTAGATACAACTGATGAGCGTAGGGGTACAGATGAGTATGGATATACACCTTACCGTATAGCAGCATGCCGAAGACCATGAAGTCTACCAGTCTCGGTGCGTGACCGAACGCAAGGTACCCGAACACGATTGCGGCCGCGAATGTTGTCACGTAGGACGTTACTATGTACCGGGGAGAGGTGACGGCGATATTGCTGCTGACAGTTGCCCGGGGCGCATAGTACAGAAGCACGTAGGCCAGACAAGGGAGCACGGCGAGTGCGGACAGGGTGGGGATGTGGTGGCTCGAATCACCTAGCTGCATCCCAAGTCAGACGCGTTTGTTTTTCGCAAGGCATAATGCAGTCTCACCAGTATATGCCTCAGCATGTATAGCGGGAGACTAAAGACACATGCACCCAGAGTTGTCAGGGCAGTCGACATAGACTTTCCGAGGGAGGGTGACAGAACGCCCTCAGTATGTTCGAGCGCGGCAGAGGAGAGTGCTTCCACGACCAAAGCCCCGTAAGCAGGAAGGAAAGCGTGGAAATTGCTAGGCAGGAAGTGAGTATCCCAGAGAAACGAGAGCACCAGCGAAAGTATGATCAAGGATGCTCGCTTGACCTGCAACGAATAAGTCTCGCGTATATTCGCATTTGGAAGTAACCCAATAACTTACCGATGAGAGACTAGTCAATGACCTGACCCATATTGGAGAGAAATGAGTGAACAGTATGACACTATGTAACAATGCTGTGAGTGACCGAGGATGCGAGGTGCATGTGATGTGCGTACCGAGTTGAAGGTAGTCGGTACAACGCGGTGAGCAAGCCTGCTTGTCGCAGGAAAAGCAGCAGCGAGCTCATTCCAACGACAGACCACTGAGGTATTGTTGGAATTCGTTCGCTGTGGATGCACAATTAACCGACGCACCTCTGCAACCTGCTTCTTCTGCAACTGTCCGGATGCGAACAGCCACACCATGACCGCCAATCCGCCGCACGCTAGAACTCGGACGAGTACCCAGAATACGCCGACGTCATACATGAGGTAGTCCTTTCCAGCATTGAGGGCAATCACAAGCAGGACATCCGCTAGCAAACGCTGGGATAGCACCGAGCTGGAAGGACGCGGGGAGGGTGAGCAGATGTTGAAGCGGGTACAGAGTTAGGACATACGAGAAGTTCACAGAGCCAGAGGGGTTGACATGGATCTTTCCCCGAGTCCGCGCATCCATGCTATCCATCGCGGCACACGGTCCAAGAAAGCCAGAGAACAGCGGGTCAGAAGAGGACGTGGTCAAGAGCAAGACGGCGGAGTGAGTGGACCCGGTGCTCGCCATGCGTAGCGCTCGATCACGGGTGTTCTTTCGACGCGGCGCGTCTTGGCTCCTCCCCCTCTCCTCCTCCCTCTCCTCGTTGACTGCGACGCTGCCTCATACGCTCTCTCTGGCCGGATAACGTTCTGCTCGCGCCCATAATTGTCCTGCTTCACTGCCGCACCGACACACTTGCACATCTATCTAGGAGCTCTGTGGTGCCTTGTGAAGGGACTCTACACATACAATGGTAGCAGCATGGATATCCACGGTGGCTTCTGTCGGCATGGCGGTTGGCCCTCCGCTAGTATACGCCGACCAAGCCTTCTCAATAGTGCGCAAGAAGTACGTATATTATGCTTCGTTATGCACTACAGCCCTGACTTCTAGTAGAGACTCAACAGGCTTCTCCCGTGACGTCTGTGCTATCCTGTGAGTCTCCTGTCTGTTCTCTTCCTTGACCACCACACTTAATATCTGCAGTCTATTGGCAAACATCACGCGATGTTTCTTCTGGCTGAGTGCACGCTTTGAATTCGCGCTGCTCTTCCAGTCCTTGTTCATGATTGTGGCTCAGGTATGTGTATCCCTCCAGATGACGTATTCTTGCTGACTGCGTCCGGGCCTCAAGCTAGCCCTCCTCTACATCTGTACAAGATATCGTCCCAGATTGAGCCCAGAGAACTTGGGTGTGTCAACGCGTCCATTCGCCTTCTGGCAATGGGAAACATACACCCAATATCTCGAATTCCTTGCCGCGTTCATGTGCGCGTCAACTATTGTCCATATTAAACTGCGTGCTGACTTGTAACGGACAGACTCTGCCAGGCTATCCTGTTCTTGATACTGGGACGGTCAGAGCTCTTCGTATCGATTTTGGGCTTCGTTGCCCTGGGCTTGGAGAGTACACTGCCTATTCCGCAGCTCATCAGGTATGTCGTGTATCGCTTGCCTGCGTCCATAACTTACATTGCACGCCGACTCGCAGCAACTACAAACAACGATCTCTATACGGCTTCCGCATGTCTACCTTGATTGGTTGGGTTGGAGGAGACTCCTTCAAGTGAGTCGCATTTGAGTCGGTGTCCTGGGCTTGCACTGCCGCTGACTTCGCCGCAGGGCGGTATATTTCTTCTTACAAGGTTCGCCGCTCCAGTTCAAGGTCTGCGCAATATTCCAACTGTCTATTGACTGCGGTATGTACTGCGCGTACCGTTTACGCAGAGCCCTACTGATCATACGCGCAGCTATCCTCTTGCAACGCGTGATGTATGGTAATGCGCCACCTGCTACGGCTTTAATCGAAGAGGACGACATTGAGCAGGCTCTAGCTCTTAACGAGGAGTAGATTGTTACAACATATATAGGACCTGTTGTATTTATCACGCCTCGTCTAAAGTGAAATCTAAGGGGAGTGCGCAAGGAGTGCGGTTGAGGGTTATGATGGGAGACGCCCGCGCGGTCAGGGCGATGTCCGAAAGCGGAAGACACACGTCAACCCAAACAGCGCCCTGGTTTACAGCACCTCCTCCCTCTTCCTCCCTCCACCTACCCTTACCCTCCGCTCGCTGCAGGACAGAACTGCGCCGGGTTTAACGACTCACGACCGACCATGGATATTTCTAAGCCCATCGCGTTCTGTGAACATCTCCAGCTCTCTGCCATCGGTATACAGCCGGCGTCCATATCCTTCCAGGTCCGTTTCCACTTCGAGACTTTGCCATACCTTCATGCTCACTGCATGCGCTCGCGTCGTAGACCCTTACCCTCGAGTCGGACCACTTCATTTGCGTGCGCGAGAAGGTCAACGAGGCGAACCAGGTTGTCATCGTAGACCTTGCAGACGCCAACAATGTTCTGCGGAGACCAATCACGGCCGACTCGGCCATTATGCACCCGCACCAGAAGATTCTCGCGTTGAAAGGTGCGCCTAGACGGTTCATTAAATCCCTAAGATGGCCTAACAGTGCGACCCGCAGCTGGCCGCACATTGCAGGTGTTCAACATCGAGACGAAGCAGAAGGTCAAGTCACACGTCAACAACGAGGATGTCGTCTTCTGGAAGTGGATTTCGGACACTACCCTTGGTCTTGTCACGGAAACCGCGGTCTTCCACTGGACAATCTCGGACGCGACCTCCCCCCCGCAGAAGATCTTTGACCGTCATCCCACACTCGTCGGCGCGCAGATCATCAACTACCGGGCGAGTGCTGATGAAAAGTGGCTCGTCCTCATTGGTATCTCGGGCAACACGACGAACCCCGCGGCGTTCAAGGTCAAGGGTGCCGTGCAACTGTACAGCAGGGAGCGGGGCGTCAGCCAGCCGATCGAGGGTCACGCAGCGTCATTCGCCGAACTCAAGCTTGATGGACACCAGAAGCCGACAAAACTGTTCACTTTCTCGGTTCGCACTGCCACTGGCGCAAAGGTACGTCTCTTGTCATACCTCTGGAGCTCGTCCTCACACTATGCGTTCTAGCTCCACATTGTCGAGATCGACCACCAAGCACCTGACGCGCCGTTCACTAAGAAGGCGGTCGATGTCTACTTTCCTCCAGAGGCGACGAACGATTTCCCGGTCGCAATGCAGGTCTCGAAGAAGCACGGCATCATCTACCTCGTCACCAAGTACGGCTTCATCCACCTCTACGACCTCGAGTCTGGCGCATGTCTCTACATGAACCGTATCTCTGGCGAGACCATCTTCGTGACGGCCGAGCACGAGGCTTCCAATGGTATCATCGGTGTCAACAAGAAGGGCCAGGTGTTGAGCGTCAGCGTTGACGAGCAGACTATCGTCCCCTATATCCTAACGACGCTGAACAACACGGAACTCGCGTTCAAGCTCGCGAGCCGTGCGAATCTCCCTGGTGCCGACGACCTATACATCAAGCAGTACCAGCAGCTTTTCCAGAGTGGTCAGTATGGAGAGGCTGCCAAGATTGCTGCGAACTCGCCCAGGGTCTGTTGATTTGCGCTTCTGAGCGCCTGCCTCCAAGCTCACAAGATTGCTACAGGGTATCCTCCGGACTGCGCAGGTTATCGAGTCGTTCAAGCAGGCGCCCTCACCACCGGGCGGCCTGTCCCCGATCCTCCAGTATTTCGGTATATTGTTGGAGAAGGGTGAGCTCAACCAACACGAGTCGCTGGAGCTGGCGCGTCCTGTCCTGCAGCAGGGCCGCAAGCAGCTTCTCGAGAAGTGGTTGAAGGAGAACAAGGTTAGTGACATCTTGCTCCTGCGACGACTGGTGCTAAAATGCGTGCACAGCTCACATGCAGCGAAGAGCTCGGTGACATCGTCCGGCCATACGACATGACGCTTGCGCTGAGCGTGTACCTCCGCGCTAACGTGCACAACAAGGTGATCGCATGCTTCGCTGAGACGGGCCAGATCGACAAGATCCTCTTGTACGCCAAGAAGACCGGCTACACGCCCGACTTCGTTGGCCTGCTACAGCACATCATGCGCACCAACCCTGAGAAGGGCGCCGAGTTCGCTACTCAACTGGTGAAGGACGAAGGTGGTCCTCTGGTCGACGTCGAGCGGGTATGTGCTAGTGGGAAATTGGAGACATGGACGCGTACTCATTTTGTCTTCATAGGTGGTCGATATCTTCATGTCGCAAAACATGATCCAGCCGGCAACGTCGTTCTTGCTGGAGGCGCTGAAGGACAACAAGCCGGAGCAGGCTCATCTGCAGACTCGTCTGCTCGAGATGAACCTGCTCCACGCCCCTCAAGTTGCGGATGCCATCCTCGTCAACCAGATTCTGACGCACTTCGACCGCCCTCGCATTGCCAACCTGTGCGAGAAGGCCGGCCTCCTCCAGAGGGTCAGTCCCTGCAAAATAAATTCGCTGAGGACCTTGCACTGACATTGGTGGTCAGGCGCTTGAGCTGTACGAGGATCTCGCGGATATCAAGCGTGTTATCGTACACACGACCGCGTTCCCGGTCGAGGTACGTCTCACTACAAGCACTTTGTATTTGTTGCTGATTTCTTTATCAGTGGCTTGTGGACTACTTCAGCCGCCTTACGACCGAGCAATCGTTTGCATGCATGCAGGAGATGCTTCGGGTCAACATCCGCCAGAACCTGCAGATCGCTGTGCAGATCGCCACGAAGTACTCCGACATTCTCGGTCCCGTGAAGCTTATTGAGATGTTCGAGTCGTTCAAGAGCTACGAGGGTCTGTACTACTACCTCGGCTCGGTCGTCAACCTCAGCCAGGATCCTGAGGTCCACTTCAAGTACATCCAGGCTGCGACCCGCACTGGACAGATCCGGGAGGTCGAGCGCATTTGTCGCGAGAGCAACTACTACAACCCCGAGAAGGTCAAGAACTTCCTCAAGGAGGCCAAGCTCACCGACCAGCTCCCGCTCATCATCGTCTGCGACCGCTTCGACTTTGTGCACGACCTCGTGCTGTACCTCTACCAGCGTGGTCTCACCAACTTCATCGAGGTGTACGTCACGCGCGTCAACTCCGTGCGCACGCCCCAGGTCATCGGTGGCCTGCTCGATGTCGACTGCGACGAGACGACGATCAAGTCGCTCTTGGCCTCCGTGCCTGGGAACTTCCCGATCGACGAGCTTGTGCAGGAGGTCGAGAGCAGGAACCGCCTCAAGCTCATCCTCCCTTGGCTCGAGGCGCGTGTCCAGCAGGGCAGCCAGGACCCGGCCGTGTACAACGCGCTGGCGAAGATCTACATCGACTCGAACAGCAACCCGGAGCAGTTCCTCAAGGAGAACAACGTAAGCACGCTTGGCTGCTCCCCGGTGTCATGTATGCTGACTTCCAATATAGCTCTACGAGCCTCTCGTTGTCGGCAAGTTCTGCGAGGCCCGCGACCCGTACCTCGCGTACATTGCGTATGCGAAGGGCTTCTGCGACGAGGAGCTCATCCACATCACGAACGAGAATGCGATGTTCAAGCAGCAGGCTCGGTACCTCGCCCGCCGCCGTCAACCCGACCTCTGGGCCCAGGTCTTGCGCCCGGACAACATCCACCGTCGTCAGCTCATTGACCAGATCGTGGCCACCGCCCTCCCCGAGAGCACTGACCCCGATGATGTCTCCATCACCGTCAAGGCGTTCTTGACGGCCGATCTCCCGCTCGAGCTCATCGAGATCCTCGAGAAGATCATCCTCGAGCCCTCGCCGTTCAGCGACAACCGCAGTCTGCAGAACCTCATGATGCTCACGGCCATCCGCGCGGACAAGGGCAAGGTCGTTGGCTACATTGACAAGCTGCAGAACTACGACATCGAGGAGATCCCAAAGATCGCCATCGAGCACGGCCTGTACGAGGAGGCGTTCCTCATCTTCAAGAAGTACGAGCAGCATGCACAGGCGATCAACGTGCTCGTCGAGCACGTCGTCTCTCTCGACCGTGGTGTGGAGTACGCGAACAAGGTCGACAAGCCCGAAGTATGGAGCCGGCTTGCTAAGGCCCAGCTCGACGGTCTTCGCATCAAGGACGCCATCGGTATGTTTGTCTTCTACTATGTTGTCAATCAACTTCGCTCATCGTATTGGCAGACTCGTATATCAAGGCTGAGGACCCGTCCAACTACGCTGAGGTCATCGAGATCGCGAGCCGCGCGGGCAAATCGGACGACCTCGTTCGCTACCTCCAGATGGCGCGCAAGTCTCTCCGCGAGCCTAAGATCGACACTGAGCTAGCGTACGCGTACGCAAAGACCGACCGTCTCCACGACATGGAGGACTTCCTCGCGATGACCAACGTCGCGGACGTGCTCGAGGTCGGCGAGAAGTGCTTCGAGGACGAGCTGTACCAGGCTGCAAAGATTCTGTTCACGAGCATCTCTAACTGGGCGCGTCTCGCGACTACTCTCATCTACCTTGGTGAGAACCAGGGTGCGGTCGAGAGCGCGCGGAAGGCTGGCAACACTCAGTGAGTATACGCAACGTTGCTGTTGGACAAATCACTAATGATATCTGCAGGGTCTGGAAGCAGGTTCATGCTGCGTGTGTGGAGAAGGGCGAGTTCCGCTTGGTTAGTGAATGATGTAAAAGTACACATGTTTGAAGTCACTGACGGCCCCGTGTTTAGGCTCAAATCTGTGGTCTCAACATCGTTGTGCACGCGGTAAGTAGTCTAACACACGGACTCTTGTCGAACGTCGAGACTGACGAATTATACAGGAAGAGCTCTCCGCACTGGTGCAAATGTACGAGCGTCGCGGGTTCTTCGACGAGGTTCTATCGCTTCTCGAGGCTGGTTTGAGCTTGGAGCGGGCACACGTACGTGAAGATAGCTCGCCGCTACGGATTGATACTCAAAGTTATTCTAGATGGGTATCTTCACGGAGCTTGCCATCCTCTACAGCAAGTACAAGCCGGAGAAGCGTGAGTAGATCCAGCCAGTCCTTGCATATACGAGAGTTCTGACCAGTCGTTTTCAGTCATGGAGCACCTCAAGCTCTTCGTTGGTCGCATCAACATCCCCAAGGTGATCAAGGCTGCCGAACGTGCCCACCTCTGGCCCGAGCTGGTGTTCTTGTACATCAAGTACGACGAATTCGTAAGTGAACATGAATTGCTTCATTCCTCGCCGCGTGCTCACATCGGCGTAGGACAACGCTGCACTTGCTATGATCGAGCGGTCCGCGGATGCTTGGGAACACAACCAGTTCAAGGACGTCGTCGTCCGGGTTGCCAACGTCGAGATGTACGTTTCTCGAATCGGACTTCCGGATTCTTCGCTAATATTCTCTTTCAGCTACTACAAGGCTCTCACCTTCTACCTCCAGGAGCAGCCTACATTGCTCACGGACCTCCTGTCGGTTATGATTCCCCGTATTGACCACTCGCGGGTGGTTCGCATGTTCCAGCAGATCGACCACATCCCTCTCATTCGTTCATATCTCATCGCGGTGCAGCACGTGAGTGAACATCAGCTTCGTCGCTTTACTATTTCGCTGACATATGAATACATAGCTCAACATCGAGGCGGTCAACGAGGCGTACAACAACTTGCTTATCGAGGAGGAGGACTACAAGACGCTTCGGGACTCAATCGACAGCTTCGACAACTTCAACAACATGAAGCTCGCGCGCGAGCTGGAGAAGCACGAGCTGCTCGAGTTTAGGAGATTGGCCGCACATCTGTACAAGGTTTGTCCGCTGACCCCTTTCCGCTTTTCGCTTACTGACTTTCCGCTACAGAAAAACAAGAAGTGGGAGGAGTCCATCGCGCTGTCCAAGCAGGACAAACTGTACAAGGACGCGATCGTCACCGCGGCATCGTCCGCTGCGTCGGAGATCGCGGAGGACATCCTGTCCTACTTCGTCGACATCGGCAACAAGGAGTGCTTCGCGGCGACGCTCTACTGCTGCTTCGACCTGCTCCGTGCGGACGTCGTCGAGGAGCTGTCATGGCAGCACGGCCTCAACGACTTCTACATGCCCTACAAAATCCAGCGGACACGGACGACGATCGAGAGGGTAGGTCTTGCGGGCCTTTTCCTGTGCTGCTGGTACTGACAGGGTTCCATAGCTCGCTCAGCTGGAGAAGGAGGTCAAGGAGCGGTCAAAGAAGGACACCGAGAAGGAGCAGCAGGAGGCCGAGGCGCCCATCATCCAGCCCGGCCTCGGCGGCAGGTTAATGCTCACGCAAGGCAACGGGTAAGTTGCTCCGTCGCCGTCCCCTCGAAGGATCTTCACTCACCTTGTCGCAGCTTCCCATCGCAGGCCCCTCCGATGATGCCTAACGGCACCGGCTTCGGCATTCCTCCTGTGAGTGTGTTTGCGTTTATTTCTAGCGGACATGGACTGACTTGACCGTCTCGCAGTCGATGACGGGCTTTGGGGGCTTCTGATGTGGTCGCTGTCGGTATAGTTGTATATGTCGGACCTTCGTAATTTCAGTGCATACATGTTTAACTCTCGTTAATACCATTCTCACGGATTCTCTCTACCATCATCCGCTCTCCTTAGCATGCATGGTTCAGGGTTCTGGATGTGAGGTAACAGTCCACAAAACTTGGTCGACGTGGAACGCAAATCAGGATACCATCAATCGTGTACGAGGGGCTACAAGCACAAGGACACTGTCAGTCATAGGACGGGCGTACTAACGGGGATTAGCGTAACGTAGCGGAGTGTAGGTACAGCCAGACGCATAGCGTAGCGTTGCGGGCGGGAAGGAGAGAAACGGCATATATACCAATCCAGATGACGCAGTCGCCCAGAAGAAAGAGGAAACGTCGGAGCCGACACTCGAGGAAGGTGGGAGGCGTCGGTGCTAGGCGATGATGCAGCCCCCGCGCCCGCCCGCGTATGTGCCTGCGCCTTTCGGGCGCGTGCTGAGCGATACCCGCGCGGACTCGTAGAACACCTCGTTCACCCCGCGATTGTGCTTCGCGCTGCATTCTGCGCGTGTGGAGGGTCGATTAGGGTGACCACCGATGAGGATAGACGGCGGTGGCGTACCGAGGTAGCGGGAAGCACGTATACGACGGGCGACGGTGAGGCCCTCCTCGTACTGCACGGTGTGCATGCCATAGCGCTGTAGCCGTGTCTGCGCCTCCTGGTCTTCTCGGAGGTCGCACTTGAGCGCTGCACCGCCGTCAATATGCCGCGATCTCTGGAACCACGTACATCGGGGTATACATACCGACTAGGACCAGCTGACACACGTGCGTCCTCAGCATAGTTCTGTCATACGGAGTAAAAGGCCGTGCTCACCTTGACGCCTGGGCAGTACTCGAGGATCTCCGGAACCCACTGCGGCCTCGTGAGAACGGAGGCGCAAGCCAGGGAAACTGAGACCGTACCTTGCTTTCCACGTTCTCCAACGACGTCGGGTTGTCTGCCTGCAGGCGACGGTCGTACGCACGGACGGGGTGTGCAGGGGGATGTGCCACGTACCGAGAAACAGAGCATGATGACATGCGTTTCCGCATAACTTAGCGAGCGCAAGCGGTCGAACTCTTCCTGGCCTAAGGACGGACTGGAGAGATGAGTCGGCGTGCAGCGGGGGGCGCGAGCAGGGGTAGGGCACACACCGGCGGTGTCCCAGAGGCTGAGCTCGACGAGCTGGTCATCCACGTAGATGTCGTGCACATAGTTCTCGAATACCGTCGGTTCACTACCATCCGTGTGCGCGTGCCGTGGTGAGCGAAAGGCGAGGGCCGGGAAGTATAAACACGCACTACACAGTGGAGAACCAGCCCCGCGTGAAGACGTTCAGCAGCGACGTCTTACCTATACACAAGAGCTTTGCGTTAGCAGTGGATCGTTGACTCCCGCGCGGGGTCTTTGTGATGTGTGGGGAACGGACGTACCGCACGCGCCGTCTCCGCACACCACTACCTTGCGCTGTATCTGCAAACATCACACGTAGGTCAGTGCATGCCCATCGCGCGAGCAGCAGGGTGTCCCGCACAGGCCGTTGTTTTCCAAACGATGGCGTCATGGATGCTTTCCCGCACTTGGGCATATGCGTGATCGGACTTGCTGCGCTGGTTTGCGGGGTCGGGCGGCGGATCTGTACAGCGGTCGTGAGAGGCTCGAGGGCGGCGGCGGCGGCGAGGGCGGCGAGGGCGGCGGAGGCGGAGGGAAGGAGAGCGGGGGAGGGGTATGGGGAGGAAGAGGGTATAGGCAGGGAGAGCAATGGCCTTCGCTTCTTTGGACTTTCTTCAGTCCTACAACGTTCAAGCCACGTGCGGCGCGTACCCACCGCAACAGACTCCGTGCCTCGAGGTCTCAAATTCACCGTCCGTGCTGCATGAACACCCTCAAAAAAGAGGCGAACTACACACGCGCGGACGTAATAAGACGACTATATGGTATGACTTGCTCGCAGGGCAGTCGCAGGTGGCTACATCCTCTTAACCCATAACCCCCCCACATCATGATAAACCACAAACTTTGAACCTCGATACCCATAGACGGTGTTTCCAAGTGGGTATGCGTGGATTTGCCCCCCTAACCCATACCCATGTCGAATACAAATGCCGCCACATGTTGGGGCCCGATGTCCTCGCAGAATTGCCATATGATGTGGGTGTATGTGTACATGCCGGCGCATCCAACCGAAGTTCGCATTCAAGTTTTGCCGCTAAACGCTCGCTCGCAGTCAGCCAGCCTCGTCCCACCAATTTCGCCGTCTTCAGTATTCAAAACGGATAAGAATGGTCTTCCGTAAGACGTCTGAGCTTCCCAGCCATACCGGTGGCCTCGGTCACACAGGCCAGGTCCACTGCACAGGCTTCAGCATTCACTTTTTATTGTTCGCTATCGCGTCGCTTAAGGACACGTCCACAAAAAGACAGGAAGGCGGGGGCGAAAGGCCACTGACGGTAACGGGGAGCCGCGCAAGAAAAGCGGAAGGAACGCAGAGACACCGCATGCAAAACAAAACAAGAAAGACCAACCGGCCGCGCACGACGCGCCAGAGACCGCCGAAGAAAAGGTAGATGAGATTGCGACGCCGCGAAGTATGCATGTAATATGGCACACGATCCAGAGAAACAGAGGGACGAACGAGGACGAGGACAAAGCAAGGGTGGCAATAAAGAACACACACAAGCAGAAGCTCCGGCATACGCGGATATTAACGAGGGTAGGGTAAAAGGGGCCGACCACGGGATCCGAAAGGGTGCAGGGAGGATGAGGAGGGGGGCATATATGGTGCAGCGGAAATAGAGGTAGGGTGTACACGTAGAATAAGGCTATGGACAGACAGGCGGGCGGGCAGTGCGTGGGCGCGGACGTGAGGGGCATGGCGCGGGTCGTGGATCGGGCGCGGGATCCGGGGCGTGACGTGCGTGCGGGGGGCGAGCGAGCGACGGCGATGGGCACCGGGTCCGCGGCGCGCGGCTCGACGGGCCATATACAGTCGGGGTGAGAGGGGGGATAGCGTCTGGGGTAGAGAGGCAGGGGGAGGAACGCCGGAGACTGGAAGGAAGTGATGATACGGTATCGATATATGAAGCGAAGACTACACCGGAGACCTAGACGTGGACCAAGCAAGAAGGGTACAGATGAGATGAGCAGCCATATCCGCATGAATCAGACGACGACGAGGGCCTCCGATGTTGACGTTGATAGACATAGACGAGCACCAGATGGCGCCAGCGGGGGTATAGGGGCCCTCAGAGGGCCTTTTCGCTGAGCTCGGCCATCTCGACGCCCGATGTCCGTTCTATCATGGGTATGTCGTGCTCGGACTTGTGGTTGTAGTTGTATCCTTCATGCGGTCCGTCGTTGCCGATTGTCATCGGCGTCACTGGCCGTGAGGAAGAAGGCCCTGTTGAGGACGTCGCTGTCACGGTCGAGACGATCTGCGTCTGGGGGTAATACGACCGACGATGCATCTTCTTGAAATCGTACGGGGTAAACCTGATGATCGAACGATCCACATCAGCAAAAGTCGGTGCGAGGAAGACAGAGTCGCCCGGAAGAAGCGCGAGAAGACAGTGACGTACTGCTCTTCCATCTGGCGCATCTCAGCGCTTAGGCTGCTGATATCGCGTTCCTTCCGTTGTTTCGCTCGCAGCGGGTTGTCTTCCAATAGCAACTCCTCCAATTCATGCGACGCATCGAAATTCGCCTTCTTGTTCTGGAAGGCGGTAATGGGATAAGTAACCATAAGAACGATCAGGCTAAGTGAACATACGTCAGGAATGAACGGTGCGGTCTGCTCCTTGGTATCGAGTGTATCCCAGTCGATACTTGAAAACCAAGGATGCCTCTTCAGGTCCTCAAAGCTCTCTGCCGGTCCGTTCTGTCTGCATCCCAAGCGTTTCGTAGGATCACGCTCCAGGAACTGCGAGAATCCCATCAGTAATCAATCATAGAGTCTCAACCAGCCCACCCCTGTCCTCTTCGTCAAACATCCCGTCTTGATTGGGAAACTCCTCCGCAGGTAGGCTGCCCCTGAGCACAAGTCAAAGAAAGAACACTCACCCCCTTTAACGCCTGGATCCCAGCCCTACTGCATCTGCTCTCCGCGTCTTCCGGGAACCGCAACGAGTCCTTGGAGATGCTGTGTGTCAGGTCACTATTCGTCTTGCCGCGGAATGGCCGACGCCCGAAGATCAGCTCATAAGCGCAAACGCCGAGAGACCACCAATCAATGGTGTAGGTATATCCACGTTTGGCAAGGATCTCCGGTGCCATATATGCCATCGAGCCCGCAACGCCTTGTAGTAGCCGCCGGTCAGAGTAATGCACGGCAATGTTGAAGTCCGTGATGTGTGCATGCCCGCGCTCGTCCAGGAGGATGTTGTCTGGCTTCAGGTCACTGCCAGGGAGGTGAGTAATGCAAGTTTCAGCTATGCAGTGCACGAAAGTCAGGTACCGATGAATGATCTTCCGCTCGTGCAAGAATGAGAGTGCCGACGAGATCTCCGCAACATAGTAACGCACAGTCTCCTCAGGCAGCGAACCCAGACGTTCCAGGTGGACTGTAGGGGGAATACGGAGTGAGCACGCCGAGGATCTGCGCCTGATTCGGAACCGGTCTGGGGTAGAGCTCACATCTCAAGTCTCCGCCCAGCATCAGATCCAAGACGAAAAAGCAGTTCTCGTCGTCCTGGAAAGCATATCTCATGTTCACCACAAAGGGGTGATCGATCTGCAGGGGCAGTCAGCGATTGCATGCGCGCAACGGCGACAGGAGACATACCTCTTCCAACAGCCTGCGCTCCTGAATAATATTCGCGACCGCCTTCATCTTCACGCACTTGGGCTTGTTAATGTACTTGAGCGCGTACAGCTCCCTCGTCTGCTTGTGCTGGACGACCCGGACCTGTAGCCGATTGATGCGGTTGGACTTGTGGGCGCAGTGGGAGAGGAGGCGGAGACTGACCTTGCCGAACGCACCCTTCCCGACGCACCGCAAGAGGATGAAATGAAATAGGTTGACTTCCCCATCGAAGTCAATAGGCTACGTCGCAGGATCAGCGTGCGTGTCGTGAGGGGGCCTGAGGAGAGGCGTACCTGGGGCCGACAACAAACAGCACCCATGGTGGTCGAGAAGCGATAATGACCGGGTGGGCGGAACGGGGCGAACGAGGGAGGATGTGGAAAGGATAGGAAGGGTGGGCGACGTGGGCTGGGAGGGCGGGGACGGGCAGCCCGACGGCGGGAAGGGAAAGCAAGGTGGTGGGACTGGACGAGGGGACGCAGAGGGCCGCCCTCTCCCGCTCAATCACACACGGGCGCCTCCACTTCCCAGCCATCCCGACACTGCAGACGCCCGTGCCTCGTGGCGTTTCGCGGCCATTTTTGTCGCCAAGGGCGCCTTGTGCCTATTCCGGGACGTGGTTAATTCTTCCCAAATCGTCCAAGCCTCTGCCTCACTCCCGCCCCGCGTTCGCCTTCCCCGCCCGCACCTCCTTCAACTTGGTCTCCTCCTTGTTCTCCTCCCCCGCTACAGCTATGTCGCCCGCCGCGGACTTCCTGCGTCCCCTCGTTATCTCTGGGCCGTCCGGTGTCGGCAAGAGCACCCTCCTGAAACGCCTCTTTGCCGAGTTTCCGGACAAGTTTGGCTTCAGCGTCTCCCGTAAGCTGCCCCGCGTCCCGTCCAGGCTGCCTGACAGTTTACACCGTGCCTGGCCGGACCACAGATACGACACGCGCGCCCCGCGCCGGCGAGGCAGACGGCAAAGACTACCACTTCGTGCCCCAGGACAAATTCAAGGAGCTCATCGGCCAGGGCGCGTTCATCGAGCACGCCCAGTTCTCCGGGAACTTCTACGGCACGAGCTTCATGGCCGTGCGGGAGATCGAAAACGCGAACAGGCGATGTCTGCTCGACATCGAGGCGCAGGTGTGTACGCTCGGCGGGTCCCCGTCTCCTCTCTCCCTCGTTCTCGATTATACAGAGATTTTGATGAAGATTCTGAGCGGATTAAATCTCGTCGCACGACAAACATCCCAGGATATCAAGACTCTAGATAGGCCCATGAACTTGAAGCAAATGGTAACTGTTAAAAATCTCTTTGTACGGAGACAAAGGATCAGTGACAGTTATAATTTGCTTCACGATCTTGCAGTCTTTCGGGGGCCATGATATCCTGCGGTGATTGTCGTGTCGTATCCTGACCACCAGACACGATTTTGAGCCTGATTCTGAGATAAACTTGCTGAGTTTCTGAACCCCGAAAGCTGTATATTCTGTCGAGCAGCTAGCCCACAAGATCGAGAACATTTTAGCACATATATCAGACCCCGAGTGGTGTATCCGGCGACCAAAATAGCTCAAAAGTGTTCTGCTGAGTAGAGACGTCTTGGAGGCTCGTACAGCTCGTTCACAGCAGATGATTCCAGTTGCAAGTGTTCGCCATTTCTTAGCACTAGGAGTTATCGCGCTCATGATGCCGACAATTCGCATGGGCATGCACACTTAGCGTCGAATTACCGCGGGGAAAGGTAGGTGAGGGCGGTCGGAGGACAGACTCGCAGAGGCCAGAGTCCGCTCCTCCGGAGGCGCTTCTGGGATTCTGCTCGATTTTGCCAAAATCGCGCTTCTGAGCTCGAAATCGCCTGCAGATTCGTGTCGTCGAATCGTCCCCAAATCCCCTCGGAATCGCAACTCTGACTACCCCTCGCTCGCAGGGCGTCCGCCAAATAAAAGCGACCAATCTCAACCCGGTCTACCTCTTCATCTCACCACCGTCACTTGCGGCGCTCCGGGAACGTCTGCAGGGCCGTGGTACGGAGACAGAGGCAGCAGTCGCGAAACGCCTCGCAACCGCGCTCAAGGAGGTTGAGTACGCGAAGGAGGGTGCTCATGATTTGGTCATCGTGAATGACGACCTCGACCGGGCGTACGAAAAGTTCAAGCGCGTCGCGCTCGGCGAACCGATCGAGAGCGATCAGCTACCCCCTCTGGATGACTAGACGATAGACGTACATAGATGCGCAATGTACTATCACTCAGCCGGTTCTGCAACACTTTTCACGCCGATTGCGATTGCTCTGGTATAGCTGATATCTTGCAGGCACATTGAACATGGATGGCCGAACATCAGGGCTGCATTTTGTGAGGGTACAATTAATATTGGACTCGGAGGATAGGCAACAATTCCGAGTTTTCAGCCACCGACTTCCGTACGGGTAGCCGGTTCAGCAAAGTGTTTGTACAACCGCCGTATATCTTTCCTCCGTATTTCAATCGGCTTAAAATACATGATATATGTCCCCGTAATACGTCTATACTCTTTTGCTATGCATTTGACGCGTTTTGCGTGAGGGATCTACGACACATATTAGGCCCGGGTGTCAGAGAGTATGTGGTATGTGCAAAGTTCTCATCCTCTGTGCACAACAGATACGAAACAGGCCACGAAACTTGAAGAGTATGAACAGAACATAGTACACATATCTGCTTACTATCGCTCAGGGGGTTCTGCATGTATTGGGATTTTTGCAAAACCCCGAGATCTCCCTCCCCACGTCCCCTCTGCTAACCAAAATTCCCAGACGTATAAATTAGTCCTCTCCGGTGTTGCTTGTCGAGTTATGTGGCCTGCTTCGCATTTGTTGGGCCCCGGATGCAAACATTGTTCATACCCTCTTAGCCGCATGGGCGTCTATAATATATCGTAGATGCCTCATGCAAGATGTGCTGAATGCCTGGATAAAACACATAGACGTACTCTTGGAACATGTATTAAGTATCCTGTAAGGCCGATTGAAATTTGGGGAAGACAGGAAAGATATACGGAGGTTTTGCAACACTTTGCAAAACCGCCTGCAACGTACGGAAATCGGTGGCTGAAAACTCGGAATCGTTGTCTCTCACCCAATACTGACTGTACCATCACAGAATTTGGCCCCGATGTGGTGCAATACATATTCAACGGTCTCACGAAGTATCAGCTATACCAGAGCAATTGGGCCGGAGATATCGCAATCGGCGTGAAAAGTGTTGCAGAACCGGCTGAGTGATAGTATTCAAAATTTGGTCACCAGAAGCGATGCGGGGAGGGAGATCTCGGGGTTCTGCAAAAATCCCAATACTTACATGCAGAACCCCCCGAGCTGCAGGCGCCGCCGCCGCAGCTGGGCGAGGTCAACAGCGTGTCTACCATTCCACGTGTATTTGTGGCTCGGGGGTCGGCTTGGCAGAGCCGCCTACGGATCCGCCTGACCGTGCCATGCCGCGTCTGGCTCTCGAGTGATAGTAGAGTGTATATGGACATAGGGATACAGGTATGAATACATAGATCTAGATGACAACATATCAACACCCGAATACCAGGATATCCAGAACTCGGTGCTCACAGGTATTATGACGTTGAGACGCCTTCTGGTAATCCGCTTGTCCATCAAGATATAAAGATTGTACTGTTGTCCTCGTACGGAGGTACCTGCCCATCCGTATACGGCGTCGCACTTGGAAGCAGGCACATACTTCGGGTCTATGCGTACGTTCGCTAAACCCGGAAGCGCATATACGCCATAAGCAACGCCGAGCAACCGGTGACTATCGGGATTATACACGGTCAGACGCGCCCACACAACAACGGTGTTCCACCCACCAAAACCGACGAGGTACTGCAGCGTCGTCGCCTAACACGAGCCACGGTCTTAGCATCCGCGGCACGCGGGTGCCTGCGGGACGCACCTTGGAGACCTGGATCGACGTGCGCAGCGCGGCGATTTCCTGCTCGATGCGCGTGTCGACCTCCTTGATCTTGAGCTCCTGCTTGCTGCTCTCGTCGCGCATGCGGCCCTTCTCGAGGTTGAGGTCGAGGCGCACGCCCGCCTGCGTGCGCGTGACCTCCTCGCGCAGGCGCTGCCGCAGCTTCTCGATGTCGTTCACGAGCCGGTCGTTCTCCGCCTTGATCATCGCGAGCTCGTTCTTCTCCATCAGCTGCAGCTCCGACTTGAGCTGCGCGAAGTCGACCTGCTGCGTGTAGTGGTGCTATTCGCGGCGGCGCGTCGGGTCGCGAGGGAGACGCGAGGGAGCCTCGGGTGAGTTTGGGGTGCACGTTGCGCAGAGGACGGCGGGCAGACCTTCTCTTGGTCCGCTTTCGTGACCATGTTGCTCGTCATGTTCCGGATGCTCTCGTCGATGACCTCGGCCATCGCGGTCATGATACCCTCCGCTTGCGCGCGGTTGAGTCCTTCGCGCTCGAGCCGCTGAACGAAGTGGTGCGTGTCGAAGTGGAAGTCTGAGCGGTTCGCCGAGGCATGGAAGCGTCGGCGACGGCGCGCGAGAGGGAGGGGGTTCGAGATGACTCGTGCGACAGAGGCAGGGAGGCGCGATGACCCGGGTATGGGCGCAAGAGCAGGGAACGTGGATAAGGAGACTAAAGAGCGAAACATAGTAGAGCAGCAGGGTATACAGTAGCAATGAGTTAACTAGCAGCAGAGGGTCTATAGGGCGCAGTCGATAATTGTCGAGATGAGCAGGAGGTCTAGCGAGAGTCTGAGGTTATGGTATGAGGATACTAGAGGGGCGAGCGCTCGCGTCTCGTCCCGGAGTACCCTAAGCGCTCGTATTCATAATGGTATACTAAATGTACATACACGCTTTGCTCATGCCACCAGTTCTTGGTGAAGTCGCCGCCATTAATAAAAATATGTATCAGATGTCGCTGGCCAAAGTGTGTGGAAACTTGGCGAGCCAAATATCTTTGAAAGATGTTCGTGGATCATGGGCGCTTAAACACCACCCACTTGCGAAAGTAGGATGCGTGTACATACTACATACACTGGACATACACATACGCCCACATTATCGTGAAAATGCTCACCACTTTGTACTTCACGCATTCGCGTCGACGCTCCTTGAAAGTCTTGTCGGCGCTTTAGATTAAGCTTCTTGCAACTGAACGGCTACACGCTGCAAGACGCTGGAGCCTGACAGCGTTCACCTCTCCGGGGCCGCAACGTGAGTTTACCGACTTGACTGTCTCGCCCTCTTTCTGCCATCGACAGTTGAGGTAAGTTGAGGCGTTCCTGGGAAGTCAACTGCCAGGCATAAAGTTGCACACCATAGCTTCATGATAGTCGTGCCCGCCGTAAAGCGCACCCTCGGCGGCGCGTCCTACTCCATACTGCGTGCGGCGTGACTTCGCGGCCCATTGCCCCCATTGAGCAGCACACATACATTAATGCATGCCCCAGACGAGCTGCAACGACAGAAGGGACGCTGCGATAGCTGGGCTGCTCGAACTAATGGGACACTGCGGTAATACCGGTCGAAGGGCCCGGGGTGGCACGCTGCGGTACTTAGCTGTTTCAACGGAAATGGACCAGCTGTACGTCTTCATCGCCCGCATCCTTCCATCATACTGACAAATGCGATATTCAGGCCTTTCTGCAACCTGTACAGGGCTGCATGCGTCCGACCGACATTTATCGATGTGCTCACACCAAGCACATTTTGTTTACCAGCTTGCTCAGGTTGGCAGATCCGGGGCCTTCCGCCTCTCATCCGGTGGTCGTCGGACGGTCGCATGTAGCTGCCGATTTTCTCAGCCCAGCTTCTCGAAGTCAATCCAGAGCCTTCGTCGCGTTCCATGAAACTTAGCGTCCAATCGACTGCGTCCTGAAACGGCGTTTCCGTCCCGCTGCGCAGCGACGCGCCCTCTAGGCATGGCTCCCCGAACCAACCTTAGGCCGCGCGGTCTTATAGTCAGAGCACACCAAGCAACTCCCCCAGCGTCCTTGATAGACGAGGCTTGCTCCCCTGGGCTCAAACAACCTACGTCGCACACGTTGAACAAAAATGAACGGCGGCATCCGGAACCACCCCCTCGACCTGAGTCTATTGGTCTCTTTCTCACTCGCCTTCTACAGCTCACCGCGGTGGTGGTCATCAGGGCCCTTCAAGTTACCAAGTTGCCGAATCCGAGGATTCATCACTTGCACTAGAGTCCTCGTACTCCGAAGACGACGACTCGTCCGAAACACCCTTGACGGATGATGACGACCTTCGATTCCCAAGCATTGGGGACAGCGACGAGGAGTACCGAGTGCCGCGGGCAATCCGGGCGTTACTGGAGGGATTCACGCCCCGGGAGATGCAGCGCATCCAGGCCGACGAAGCATGGGTCCTCCCGGCGATCCAAACGGTGCTGGAGGAGTCCGCGCGAAAGAGGAGACGCGCCGGCCGGCTCAACAGCCTGAGATCGACGGAGAAGGATACACGCGCAACTGGAAGCTGATCCTGGGGGTCGTTGCGATAACCTGCGCGACGGGCTACCTCATCGTGGCGGGACCCAATGCGGCAACCCTCGACGTCGGGGATCTGCGGGGGTTGGCATATTGTCGTGTCGGGGTCATACAAAATTAATGTTAAACTCCGCCGCGGCGGGAGTCCACGGGACATCGCACAACACGACATCTATCTTCGCGCGGCTCCCTGACGTCCTCCCCCAAACGGCCGCAGGAGGTTACTGGGTTTGGCGCATCGTCAAGGGGGCAACCGCCGCCGCACCATACTTCACCTCGGAGCGAACATACGATGGGGCCCTGCACCCAAGCCTCGCGTCCGTCCACGCCGCGCTACCCGTTCCGGAGCAAATCACCGGAGCAGTTACAGGCATCTACGAGGCATCGTACCTCGTCATCGCGGGGGTCTACCACATGGTGCTAGATTCCGTCGTGGCGGGAACCTATGGGGTGTCGCGGTTGCACCGGTACCGTGCGGTTGCGCGCATCTACGTGGCGCTGTCTGGGACCCTCATCATGGCAGTCACGGGAACGTGCCAGGTACTGCACCTCGTCGGGGAGAGGACCTACTGTGACGTCGAGTCCGTCGTCGCGCCGGTGTCGGGCATCTTCGTCGGAGCAGTCGCGGCTGCGGTTAACGGCATCTCACAGCTGGGCCAGCGGGCTGGAAAGTATTTCGCCGACTTGAACCCCATGCGGCTTATGCGCTACAGGTTCAGAGCGTAGACGTAAGTGACGGTCCTCAGGGGGGTCCTCATCGAAAGTAGGTGTAGTCCTATATGTGATTCGCGCAGCTGAGTTTCTTCTTTTTACTTACCATGCGAGTGCACTTCTACTCTCATCACGTCGTCATCCAGGTATCAATAACTATTTATTGGTCGAGAGCTGGCCTGACTTCTGTTCTCATTCGCTAGTGGGTCGCTGTGATATTCCTGTTCCCGTCTCTGCACTTGCGATCCACAACTCGTATGTCTGTATAGTAACTGCGCACCCCAATATACCTCACACCTGTGCACTCATCCGAAACCCTTCGTCTACAGCCCTACAGGTAGGACGACAAGCGCAGTACTTCGTTGCAGGTTAATCTACCTCCATACGGTATACACACGTGCAGACGCACGCCCCCGAATCTCCGACTGCAGCGAAGATGCCCATAATACCCCAGTCTACATCAGTATTCATAGCGCAGGCGCATACACGCATACCCCTACTCCGCCTTCGCCTTCCTGCGTTTCACCGGCCCCGACGGCTGCGTGTGCGGCGTCGCCTTCGCAGCGGGCGGTTCCGAGCTCACGCCCGAGCCGCGGGAGCTCGCGAGCGTGTAGAGGAGCGAGCCGAGGAAGACCATGCCTGCGCCTGCGCCGAGCTGCGCGTTCCAGCCGTTCCCGAACCACCACACGCTGAAGCACAGGCTGAGCGCCTTGCGCGTCGTCAGCACCAGGTTCGTCGACACCGAGGAGACGTGCTGTGTGTGCGTGTGAACGTGTAGGAACGCATATATGAGGGAGGGGGACTTACGGAGGTGAGTTGGTTGACCCCAGAGACGCACGCGAGCTGCGTGAGCATGTTCGCGCCGAGGATCGCGTACGGGACCGCGCCGGAGAACGCGCCGAACCGTTCAAGCGACTGCACAGAGAGTGTCGAGGGATCCGCAAGCCCGCCGAATCCGCGCTTGAGGTCCGGAATGAAGAACAGGAAGATCGGAAGGGACAGGCAGTGCTGTTCCATGCTATGAGCTAGGATGCAAGAGGAATGAAGACAATTAAGTACCGTGTAGAAAACGCCCTCCTTCCAGTGCGGGCCGTACTTCGTGTACGTACGCTCTTGTAGCACACCGAGGACGCCAGTGAGCATGAGGGAGACGGTGAGCATGGCGACTCCAATGGTGTATCGCCCGACGTCTGTCGGGTTTCCGGCAGTCTTGGGTGTGGACGGACGGGACAATGTCGCTAATACGACACCTGCCGAGACGAACGCAACCGCAGCCTATCAAGCGGCGGTCAGTATATGCGCGGAATAATGACAAAAGATGTATGCTTGATATACCATTTGGGCCCACGAGTAGCGCTTCTTGAGCACGAAGTGACCGAGCAGCATAGACACCGCGAGACCTGAGAGCGCGGTTCAGCTCCTGGATCTGCGGAAGCACCGGCTGCTACTCACCGGCGGAGCGGAATACGATTTGCACCGTCAGCGGGACAGAGTATGCAAACACCCAGTTATTGAGCAGCGATCCCGAGGCCAAGACGAGCACTTGTACAGCCCAATCCCGGAGGGGAACCTGGCGCGGTCGCAGCCTAGGGATGACGCTCCCCTTCGGAAGTGTCAAAAAAGTTGGCAATGACTGAACGGTAATGAACAGCATTTGGGAGAACGTGAGGGTCGTTCCTGTGCCCTGCACACATCAGCATTCCGCGCCGTATGGCAAATGCTAAGTGCCTTGCTCACCGATGCGTGCGTCCATCTTGAGCAGCTGTTCATAGGACCAGACATTGCTATAGAATCGATGTGTAAGTAGACACGTTGCACCAGCAGAAAATCGAGCTCACTGACGCGCAACATCCGCCAAAGACGAGGCTAAGTACAAGGGTGTAGTCCACGAGCGAAAACGCGACTGCTTTCGAGACCGCCGTTTGACCCTGCGCGCGAACGTCCTTGCCTTTCGCTTTCCCCTTTGTCAGGTCGGATGTCCCATTCATCAGCAAAAAGTCATTTCTTGGGCCAAGGATTGGCGCCATTCCGCGAGAGGCGCCCGCCAGGCAAGGGAATGCAAGGCCTCCCGATGTCGTGAAATGTGCGCGGCTCATTTGGCACGACCAGAATAAAACTGACGATTGCAACGTATTGGCATTCGCAGGATACTCAGAAGTGGGACATGGAAAAGGCACCCAAGGTAGAGAATATGGTACAGAGATACGCATAGGTATTTACAGCACAGTGTCGCTGTCGAAGGCCCGACGGGATGCGCGGTAGCTTGAGCTCGGCTAAGGTTGTCGCAGTACTACACGTGTACAATATCTGAGAACCCTTACAACTCGGCGTAACCCTCGAGCGCAGCGATGTCGCCCTCATCGGGGTCGTCCTCCCATTCGCCATCGCCTTCTGCAAGCCCCGCCGTATGCTCGTCCTCCGAAGAATCCGAGACATAACCGAAATCCAACTCTTCGTCATCGTCGTCCTCCTCGTCCTCCTCGGGTACGTTCTCGGCCAATTCTTGAGGGGCGTCCTCTTGGGCAGTTGCGGGAGCCTCTGCGGCGGCGGCGGTGGCGACGTCCTCAGTCATATCGACGTCGTCGTCTGCATCTATCAGCGACGGCAGCTCCTCGACGCGCGAACACCGCGCATGCTGGTGGCCGACACCGCCGCCTAGAAACCGCATGAAAAGATCTCGATCGGACCACCTAGAGGCCGAGTGCGAATATTACTAGTTAGATGTATACAAGTCGATCGCGAGAACAGTACAACAGCTTACATGCCCACATAGTGAAAGTTCCAGTCGTCGTCGTCATCGTCCTCCGGTCGGACGAGGCTGGGGCCGCGGAGGGTAGCGTCGGACCGGCCGTGAGCGAAAGCCGGGATAAGATGGACGCCGCGCAGAACCCGGTCGGGCGAGATGAAATCGAACGCGCCATCATTTGCGTCAACGAAACGAACACGGTAGGGTCGTCTAGTTAGAAATCCTCCAGGCGCGCTGTTGTCGAGCTCGAACCACCGGACCCAGAGGACTTGTACGAGTTGAGGTTCGGGGTCTTGAGCCCAGTGCGAGTCGGTGCCGTAACAAGCCGGGGCGATGTACGCGTTGACGTGAAAAATACCCAAGACGCGGGCGTAGAGGTAAGGGTGCCCCGAGTCTTCTGAGTCTGGTGCCAGCATCATGATGTCCGAATGTGTGCGAGGGTTCACGGCGTCTTGTGCGCGGCGCATGTCGTATGTCGTATAATTGATGCGCACGATCTTGTGGATGTACATGCGGTCCGAGCGAATGCGGACCGACGCCACCTCGCTGCGTGAGGGCTCGACGACTTCCTTCCCGGTGAGGCGGTCGAGCAGATGTGACTTGAGTTTCCAGATGAAGTTCTAAGACAGCGCATCAGTTTGTGGGCTGCACATGAAGGCTGCTTATAGCACATTACCTTGCATGCTGGATCCTCGCGATTCTCGTCAACGAACTGCAGTATATTCACAGCAATACGTTGGTCCTCAGAGATGTGTACGTGGTCCTTGGGCGATGTAGGTGCAAGCGGCTCTCGCGCTGTCGCTGGGACGTGGAGGCGTTGTCCGGAAGCTCGCTGGCGAGGTTGTGATGCAATGCGGCGACCGTGCCGGCGACGTACAGATATCTTGGTGACTTTTGGGGCCTTTTCTGCGACGTTGTTGACGACTGCTTCGCGCCGCTGATGCCGCGCAATCTGACCGACGAAGTTGGCATTCTTATTTGTCCTGACATAGAAACGCTTGACGCGGCGATGCTCGAGTTCGCACTGCCAAAGCACGAATGTTTAGAGCCAATAGAGAAGGGTAGCTGCTTTGAATTAGCACGAAGCACTCACCGTCTGCGTCGTCCAGCCGTCAGTGGTCCCCATAGATCGAATGGAGCGGGGATAGTCGCCAAGACGGTGAAATTTGTATGTGTTGAGGTCGAATCGTTTTCCCTTGGACGTCAGTTTTGGTGCACTTTTGGAGTGAGCGTGTACCGATGGTGCAGCAGCCTCGTCGGCGCGTGATCGAGGAGCCGAAGTAGGCGTCTCCCCTGCGACAGGTGGTGGTGGTTTCCTAGGTGAGGCCTTCGCGGCACGGGCGGCCTTGCGACGCTGGCGCGAAGCAGTTTCCTTGGGCAACTCCTTTGTAATGTAGTCCGGGCAGACCTTTCGAAGAAACTCGCGCATGGCATCCCCGAGCGTCCGTGTTGCTCGCTCGAATACACTGAGCGTCGTTTCGGAATGTAGTCGTAGCTTGGCAAGAGCGTGCCAGGTGGCGAGTTCGAAAAGCATGTCCAGGACGCGGCGGTTGTGCCGTGCGGTGAGGAGTCCTTCAAAAACTGGTATGGCGCACTAGCATACCGAATAACACGATCAGCATGGGAGGCAACATATGATACACACTTCCAATACCTGAAGGAAGTCCTCAAAGTCTCGCGCAGCAAGCTTCTTAAGAGCGGACACGTTGGCGCCAAACCTGCGAATAGTGTCGCGCCCGAACGTTGGAACCTCAGCAAAGCTGTGATGCACAGCGTTAAGCAGGAGTCAAAAAGTCGCAGATGATGAGAATCATACCGTTCGTCTAGGTCCTGCACGCAGGAGCCACCTGCGGCGATCAGAATGCGCACCAGATGCGTGAACGTAGACTTCCAAACGCCGAGCTCGAACTCGTGCATGAGATCGGGCACGAGCATCCGGTACACATCGAAGCCGAACTCTGCCAGGCGAATTGAGAATGCACTCTGCAAAATGTGAGCATGTCTCGGCGACAGCCAGGATGCAAGCAACGTACCCGAGTGGACGTTGTCGATGTCGCATTGATGGTGCTGCTGTCAATACGCGAGCCTTCTGGGGGTATCCCGTCTTGGAATATCCATCGCCTGACCGTGGCGATCATTGAACGAAGAGGTCCGGTGTCTTTGCGAGGGCTCTTCTCCCGATTGGTCATGTCCTGCTTGAGGCCCATCTTGAAGATGTCGGATTTCTGTACGTGGCAGTCAGGACAAGGACACCGGGCAAGGTATCGTATACAGGCAATAAGGCATCTAATGATTATGATAAGCGGTCAGAGAGGGCAACAGTGAGCACTTGGGGTAAGTACTTGCTTCTCAGGATAGTCTGCAGAGTATGTGAATATGCGTGGAAATATCCGTCGCAGGATCCCGTCGCCGCATACAAGAAGAATGCCGTGCTTGTACGCGTGCATAAAGTCGTCGTCCAGTAAGAGCAGCCAGATTTTCTGCATGAGCTCGCGCTTGCAGAAGCGCAGAACGGCGGCAGTCGCAGGCTCGCCATATGTAGTCTGATACCAAGCCTGTACAGTGTTGGGAAGCTGTCAAAAGAGTGAAAGATTAGTGAGGCAGACAACACGTAGAATAGAACAATTCTCGCACTGAGGGGATGTATGCCAAGTGATGTGCGGCAAAGGTGCTCGGTTTGCCGCGTGCGTATTTCGATAGCCAGCCAAAGAACATGTAGATGGGCCAAAGAGACGCAGTGCCAAAGTTTGTGAGGTGGGTCGAGTCTGACCACATCATGAGCGGGCTGATACTGTACTCGATGTTGTCCGCATCACCAGGTTGACGAGGCGCAGCTCGGATCTCTGCATCGGCTGCACGCATGGCGTCCGAGTCGTAGATATTGGAATAGAGACGTTCCGAAGAGGGCGGCGCAGGTGGAAAGGAATTGGGTGATGGGGAAGGGGGGTTCCAGTGTAGCGTGAAAGGGATCCAGTGGAAGCTCCGCGCCTTGACAGACTGAGCAGCTGCTTTGACGACCTCAAGCAGTGGGCGGTAGATGATCCCTCGTACTTCGAGCTCAGGCGCATCTTGCTCGCAATCGTGCTTGACTTTTTCTTTCGGTACGTGAATCTTGACTGTTCCTTCACGCCAGCCATCAAGCGCAGAGAAGGCAGCACGGGTGGATGCGTACTCGTCAACGCGGTTGAACTCACGTGCGGCACTGAATCCACGAAGATCGTCGCGGTCGAAGTCGTCTGCAAGTAGCACCTCGTTGACCAGTTTGTCGAGCTCGGATGCAGATTTGACTACAGATCCCGAATAGAACCACTTCATCAGTCGGAACACCGAGGCATTAAGGAACGGCGCGAATGTGCTCGAAAGTTGGGCTGACTGCCCTGCAGCATCGGCACCGAATGGGCGAAGCGGATTGCTCTCCTCCGGGTTTTCAGCGGGACGAGCATGTGAGGGCGCGTCTGCGAAGGCATCCAGGGGCATACCCTCCTCCGGATCGTGCTTCGGCGCTGTGGCATAGCGACGAAAGACACGGAAGCGGTTGGGCCTGGTCTCAATGGGCGGTGGGCTAGGCGAAGTAATAGGTGTTTCTAGCTCGCCTTGATGCACAGGGGAGGGAGAGCGATGCCGTATAGGAGTAGGAGGGCGAGGCGGAGGTCTTGGGAGGTGTTCTGGCAGGCCGGCCAGAGAGGACGGGACCATGTCGTTAAGTTTAGCGGGAGCACGCCGTTGTCTCCCCACACGACTATAGGATTCGATAACTACAGGGCGATGCATCTCGTGGAGAGCCTGAAGTTTGCAGGATACCGTCAGGGTGGTCTCCAGGAGTGGTATGAGCAGCTTACTTCCTCACGCGCGCGTTCCTCCTCTGCAAGCCGTGCACGCTCCGCTTCTGCTGCTCGTTCAACTTCAATCCTGCGTGTCTTCGCTATACGCTCTTCCGCGGCATCCTCGACGCGTCGCTTGAGGCCCGATCCGAGCAGGTCCAGGAGAGCCGCGCACTTCGGCTTGTGTCTATTCACTGACTTGAAAGGCTTGCGGCATCCAGGGCAAGTTTCCATTAGACACACACATAGAATGTATATGAAAACAAGCCAGTACAGCCGCATTGGGCCCAGAGACGCAGGTAGTCCCAACGGGAGAGGGGACGAGCAGGCTGAGGGTCTCCGCGCCACTCGGGGCCGCTTGCAAAGAGTGCACCGGCCCATCGGTCCGTCAGCACGATCACATGATATTTGGGTCAACGCGTCTTGCGGCTCCTTTGTCCTACGCGTCCATCATGGTCCCTGCGCCCGACCATCGTCCACATTCCTTACTTTCTTTAAATTTCATATCCTCCTGCTGCTTGCTCAGCGTTCTTGTCGTTGCGTAGATATTCCATCACAGCTGACACAGCGCCCTCTCTTTCTTTGTTGTCCCGCATGGCTTGGCCCGCATACGAGCGCGCAGTGGCTCACACGTTATAAACCCTCGCTACAGCTCGCCATTTTCTCATACAACCCATCGACGACGCCGCCGAGTCTCATCGCCCTTCAAATCCCTCTTGATCTATCTACATGGCTCTTCCCACTTTGAACCAGTATGGGGTTTTCTTGCGGCGATTATTCTCTTCCAACCGGATTTGCTAATTTCATTTCCAGAGCCTTACGCCACTCCGCTGCAGTAGCTCGGGACAGTGCCAATGAGCGTATGCGCAGCCGTACGCGTAGCCGTGACCGGCGCACTCACAGTGGCGCGCCCGGCCGGCGCACTGAAGACCATGAGCGGTACGATCGCGATCGCTCGGGGCGTTCAGCTAGTCCGCGCCGTCGCGACACTTCACGCGACAGGTACCGTCGCTCACGCTCGCGTGGTCGCACAATGTTCCATGAGGACGAGCCGCTCGCTAGGCGCGATCGTTCGACTATGCGAGGCGCGAGTACCTCTGGCGATGTAGGTAGTACGCAGCACAACGGCTCTAATGCGGCCGCTCTGGAGGCTCTAGGTGTCCCTCAGTCGGCAAATCAACCCGTGACTATGGTACCCGTCGTCGTCGTTGCCATGTACGATACCATGATGGTCGAGATACGAGAAGCCAAGACGCGGACTAGCTGGAACATCAGGTGCCGTATCTGTGTTATTACAGCATTTGTATGCACTAAGCCTGCTTGACTAGCTCCAAGACCACCCCAGCTGCCTGTGTGCAGAATGCCGCTCGTCTGATTCCTCGCCGCAACGGACAATACATCAACATCTCGCAAGTGGTCACAATTGGAGTCCTGCTATGCGCCGCCGGGGACGAGGCTGCTGCCGAAGCGAGGAGCGCTGTATTCAAGGAATTGTAAGTCCTCCCATTACGCCATCCGCGGTCTGCAGACTGACTTAACTATGGTGCCTTAGAGCTCCTGAAAAGCGCAAGATGTACGTCGACGCCTTCAATCAATTCCTCGACACTGTGCCCTTCCTCCGCCCCGCCCTTGCCATCCTGGATGAACGCCCCCATGATGTAATCATGTTGGGAAACTTCGTCCGTCTTCTTTCCTTCGCTCCTCTCTGTCTTCTCTCTCATCTACTCCTCCCTTAGCTCGATCACCATGCACGAAATGCCCGTTCCACAGACCTCAAGACCCTGCGGGACAACATTCGTGACTACGTGCCTCCAGTCACCATCATTGTCCCTGGTGTGCACGGTGCGCCCGCGGAGCCGATGTCGATTGCACCCCTCCCGAAGACCAAAAAGGACAACCTCGGGTTCGACTCCCTTTGGACCGCGCGCTTGCTTGTACCACGCTCCATGCGTAACGAGTTTGATGATGGGCCGCAGGAGTAAGTGCTTCGTTCGCGCACACCAAGGTTACGGTATACTAACCAGTGGTTGATGAATGTCCATAGGTTCTGCGACGAGGTACAGACAGGCGACATAGTGATCAACCATAATCAATTTCCTAGCTTCCTATACGACGACAGCGACTTCGACCGGGATAGGCAATTCAAAGGGCTCTTCCAAGGGGACGTTCTCAGCAAGGTCAGGATCTACTTTCACACCTTCCACTATCTCCCTCATGCTTAACAATTCACAGTCATACCGAGCCATCTTTACCGGACCCAGCTCGGCCTTCAAACCGCCTGGTGTTTGTGGGTCTGGGCGAGGCTCAATTTCGAAGAACTACCGCCTTGACCGAGTCATCCCCGGGAGCATTGCGTACGTTGCATGCTTGGTACGCCTCTATCCCCCTACTGGCCCATAGTCGACCTCACTAACAGCCCACTTAGGTTCGCTTCGTCCTCTCTACGACCGAGCAGTGGGAGGGTGCCGTCAACGGCACTTTTAATGGCGAAGAGTTCTACGAGCGCATCATGAAGGTTTTCACCAACGACGACTTCGCGTTTGAGACGCTCTCAGCATGGAATGCGTACGCCATGCCTCTTTGTGCTGGACACTCATCTGACCTCTCTCATTTACCAGATACGTCTACGGTGATGCGACTAGGCGTCGTACCAATGCCGCCGCGCAAGTGGACCTCCCGGATGAGGCCGACCTCATCCTGCAGCAGCTCGCGTTGCAGGCCGCTTCCGAGCCCCCTTCGGCGACCGCCGCTTCGACGTCCTCATCCTCCGAGTCTCAGCAGTCCGACACTCTCATGACCACCACTACACTCGGCGCCGACGCCCCCTCGTCCTCCATTGTCCCTGCGGGCCCCGCAGGTGGCGCTAACTGAGTATCTGCTCATTTTCTGTACAATCTAAATGTGTGTCCTGGGTCGAATGTACCGTATTTTGTGGCCCACAATAGAATCCCGCGCTGCCCGCAACTTCTATCTCGTGCGAATTGGTTTGGTCCCAAGTGCAGCGACAGCTTTGCCCGGTTGGAAAGCGGCGCAATGGCCGCTAGCTTCATGCAGCTTACGCGCCGCTCAATCGCGTCCCTTGTCGCCCAATACATTACAAAGGCGCAAACCGCGCGCAATAGTGCTCCTCTATTTGGTCAGTAGGCTACTTCCCCGTGGGCTTCCGGTCCGTTTGCCAGGCATTCTGGCGCTGGGAATCGAGGGACTTCATGCGAGAATCCATTACAATCTCGTTCTCATGAGCCATGGCATTGGCTCGATTGTATTCCATTTTCGCCCTTTACAATCTATTGCCTACGAAATACGTTTTTGCTGATGTTCGTGCTTGGCGCTCTCTCCGGCGCGCTGTTAGTGTTCAGTTCCCGCGCGAGCACGTTTCTCTTTGCAGGCCGTTTCCGGGCGGACATCCTCGAACGAGGTTACGAGCTTGGCGAAGGTGTAGGCGAGGCAGGAATCGGATGAAACAAGCGTAGAGCAAGACACATTGAGCGCGCGGTTGGCAAGTACAGGTCACGGACGAGATGCGCCACGCCGAAGGGGGCGCAGGTGCCGGCAAGAAGACGCTGTGGGAGCTGGTGAGAGCACCAGGTCGGCGAGATGGTGGGAAGCCTCAGCCACTTTCCCTCGGTCCGCTACCCCGCCACCAGGCACGCCACGTAGGCGCTATAGTTTAATGTAGGTATACAAGGAGAGGATCATGGTCAGGCTGCCGCCTCTACCGCAGGCACAGGGTGGACATCTACGCAGAAGTTCGAGCCCGTGAAGCACGCACAAGACAAGCCCATGCAGGTCGGCGAGACGTGGTACATCGTCTACCGAAGATGGTACCTCCGCTGGAAGAATGCGAGGACGGGCGAGGAAGACAAGCAGGGCCGCGTAGAGGAGAAAAACCTGGGTCAAGTGGACAATACGCCTCTCTGTGATCAGAGCCTAGGGCAGGTCAACCGGTCAACCGGTCACATCTGACCTGATCGAACATGTCGATTGCGAGTTCGTACCCGAAGAGTACCGGAAGAGCTCTGAACGAAACTCCTAGAGTGGTATGTGCTGTATTCTATTGGCTGCTTGGGACTGGTTCTGCGCTGCGGCAATGTTTGCACCGGCGTGGTATAGGTTGCATACCGCCACCTTCATTTGAGACGTAATGCGCAGGCAATCGAGGCTTCACGAGTGCCGCAAGCCCTCCACGGCGTGTTGTATGCTTTGGGTTGCAGTGTACACGCCTTATGTGGGTGTCCACGGCGGCAGCAACGTCTCTCATCCATACATATATCCGCAGACCGATATTCGCAGACCGCCACCTTCATGACCATGGCTTGGATGTGTCTCACCCTGCCGTTCTTGATTTTCGCTGCGATGTGGTTGTATCGCAGGTACGGAGAACCCAAGTACCCTTTACCTCGCAAGGTCATCGCGCGGGGGCTAATCCAAGAGCCTGTACTCGAACTCCGCCCACCATCCTTCAAGCTCAAGGTGCATGGTGGCTGTCTCGTTTTTGTACTTTGCCTCTGAACGACCACTAATGCTATGCTGACGCCGCAATCGCCATCGACCTCTCCTTCATTGACGACGCAGGACACGACGAACAGTCGCAGGCGACAACGCTCACTATCCATGCAATCAGACGCCTCCACGTCCTCGCCCCAACGCTCTGCTTCACAAGACCCCCAATCCTTCCAGTCCAATGACGTCCCCGGCGCGTATATAGCGGAACGGGGAGAGGATCACGGCCAGGCTGTCGCCTCTACCGCAGGCACAGCGTCCGCTTCTGCACAGAAGCTCGAGTTCTTGAAGCGTTCCCAGGACAAGCCCATGCAGGTCGGCGAGACGTGGTACATCGTCCCCCGAAGATGGTATTTCCGCTGGAAGAAGACCATTACGGGCGAGGAAGACAAGGAGGGCCGCGTAGAGGAGAAAGACCTAGGACCAGTGGACAACACGCCTCTCTGCGATCAGAGAGGGCAGGTCACATCTGACCTGATCGAACATGTCGATTGCGAGTTCGTACCCGAAGAGGTTTGGAACAAACTCTTAGAGTGGTATGTGTTGTATTCTATCGGCTGCTTGGGACTGGTTCTGCGCTGCGGCAATGTTTGCACCGGCGTGGTATAGGTTGCATACCGCCACCTTCATCTGAGATGTAATGCGCAGGCAATCGAGGCTTCACGAGTGCCGCAAGCCCTCCACGGCGTGTTGTATGCTTCGGGTCGCGGTGTACGCGCTTTACGTGGGTGTCCAGAACTGCCGCAACGTCTCCCATCCATACATGTATTCGCAGACCGCCACCCTCATTGCCATGGCTTGGACGTGTCTCACCCTACCGTTCTTTATTGACGCTGTGATGTGGTTGTATCGCAGGTACGGAGAACCTAGGTATCCTTTACCCCGCAAAGTCATCGCACGCGGGCTGATGCAAGAGCCGGTACTCGAACTCCGACCACCATCCTTCAAGGTGCATATGCTCACACCCACCAGTATACCTGGCCAGTCCTCGCCGGTGAAAGAAGTCACAGTCTCGTCCACGGACAAAATCCGCGCCGTGCGCCACGCCTTTGTTGCGGCCGTTAGCCCTCAGAAGGCCGCGTCGGGGCAATTTCGTGTGTGGAAGACGACCTCGGATGCGTCCATGGACCAGCTACTGTTTCCTGTGGATACCCTGCGCACATGTGGTGCATCCCTTCTCGAAGACGACGAGAAAACTGTAGGAGATGAACTCGTCGACACTAGTGAAGTGTTTGTGGTGGAACTCATGAACAGGGAGAAGTGGATCCTCGACGCCTCGGAGGTTGCGCCACCACCAAATAGTGCTCCTCCACCATCTGCCTCGCCGCCACCTCCACCACCCACACAACCAGGGCCTCTCTTTGGCTCAGGGACCGATTTCTTCACTCAACTCCAGAAGAAGGCTTCCCCTGTAACGGACGCGACCACTACGTCAGCATTCCAGCCCAGTCCTTCTAACACTTTGACCAAGCCCTCCACCTGTCCAAAGGTCCAGCATGATCCACTGGGCACTCGTGGTCTCGGCAATATGTACGTCGTCTTATAAGGGACTTATGACACTAATCTGACCAGCATCTAGGGGTAATACTTGCTTCATGAACTCGGCTATTCAGTGTCTGGCGCACAACACGGAGCTCGTGGACTATTTCCTTACTGGGGCCTATCAGGAGGAGCTCAACTACGACAACCCGCTCGGGATGCACGGCGCGGTCGCGCAAGCCTTCGGTGCGCTCATGTCGCGGATCTGGGATCCTGAGTCTACCATGTCCTCGTACACGCCACGTGAATTCAAGCAGACTCTCCAGCGCTTTGCGCCGCAGTTCAGTGGGTACCAGCAGCACGACTCGCAGGAGCTCGTCGCGTTCCTACTCGACGGCCTCCATGAGGACTTGAACCGTGTGCTGAAGAAGCCCTATGTGGAGAAGCCTGATTGGGAGGGTGGCGGAGACAAGGAGCTCGTCGAACTCGCGAACACGTCATGGGAGGGCTACATGAAGCAGAACGATAGTGTCGTCGTGGACTTGTTCCAGGGTCAGTATCAGAGCACACTAGTATGCCCCGAGTGTTCGAAGGTACGACATCATTGTTCGGCGCATATGCCAACCCCACTAACGTGCAAATTAGGTGTCCATTACCTTCGACCCATTTATGTACCTCACGCTGCCGTTGCCGGTGCAGAAGAAGTGGCATCATACCGTCCTCTACATTCCCTGGGACTTGGAGAAGCCGCACGTCCGGGTATGGAGACTGTATACGGATATATCATGAGGTATTGACGCTATCAAACTAGGTGCCAGTAGAGCTAAATCGGCACTCGAGCTTCAAGGACGTTCGGACACTTTTGGGACGGTGGATGGGCGCAGACCCTGACAACGTATGGTATCTTCACTTCGCTTTCGATGCCTATGGAGCTAATCACACTACGTACCGCGCTTAGCTGCTCACCCTAGAAGTCTTCAGTCATCAGTTCTACAAGAACCTCGACGACACTGTCGTCTGTGAAGACATGGCAGACAACGACGTTATCGTATGCTTCGAGCTCCCGTGCAATGCCCAGCAAAGCAGAACGTACAAGCCCGACCCAGACGAACCCTTCATCATCCCCGTCTTCCTCTGTGAGAGCCCCCCGTTGCGACCGACGTACAGGTCAGGGCCGACTCTGTTCGGGTACCCTTTCGTCACGGTCATCGACCAGGAGCAAGCGAAGGACCCCGAGGCGATCTACGACGCCATCGTCTCGCGCCTGCAGCGCTGGACTGTCCAAGCAAGCCACCTATCCATATGGGTGGCCGGGTCTGCTGACGACATGGAACCCGTCCACATCCCCATTTTGGGTTCACCGGTTGTGAACTCCGTTAATGAGATCAAGGAGAACGGCGAGGTCGTGACCGTCGAGGAAGCCGCCCCGGAGGAGGGTGACATCGCGGACGAGAAGGCGTCCGTCGTCCACCAGGAAGATGAGGACGACGACATGGGCTTGGAGGATGCAATCCCAGGAAAGGTTGGCTTCAAGCGCGACCTCTTCACCATCCGCGTCCAGAAGTGCGAGCAGGCGTACGGCGTCGGCCACAGCTCCTTCGGCAACAACCACGGCCGCTACGAGACGTGGGAGCAGCGCGCGTCGAAGAGCGGGATCCTGCTGCGCCCGGACGACGCGTTCTACATCGAGTTCGACGACGGCTTGAAGTCGTTCTACTTCGGGGACGAGCGCAACTCGTGGGAGTACGCGCTCTGGAACCACTGGGATGAGTTTGTGCACCCGAAGCTCGCGGCGTCGCGCAAGGCCGCGTCGACGCAGAAGCAGAAGGGCATCACGCTGCAGGACTGCCTCGACGAGTTCACGAAGGAGGAGAAGCTCGGCGCGGACGACCTGTGGTACTGCCCGAGCTGCAAGAAGCACCAGCAGGCGACGAAGCGCTTCGACCTGTGGAAGCTGCCGGACGTGCTCGTCGTGCATCTGAAGCGCTTCAGCGACAGCCGCATGCTGCGCGACAAGATCGACACGTTCATTGACTTCCCGATCGAAGGTCTCGACCTCACGGAGATGGTGGGCGAACGCCTCGTGGGGAGCAGGCTGCGGGAGCAAGGAGCCGACGTCGAAGCTCTGGGCTTGGAGGGCCTGGACGAGCCTCTGCAATATGACCTCTTCGGCGTCGACGAGCACTTGGGCGGCTCGGGAGGCGGACACTACCGCGCGTATGCGCTGAACCATGTCACAGGAAAGTGGTACCACTTCGACGACTCGTACGTGACCGAGTCAAGACCAGAGGCGGCAGTGGTGAGTTCTTCTGCGTCGCTTCTCTTCTTGAACCTCGCCAATATGGGTATCTGCAGAATGAGAACGCGTATCTGCTCTTCTACAGACGACGCACTAACCGTCCGCTGGGGGGTAAAAGCCATGCTAAAATCGAGGAAGCCCGTGCACTAGCCCTCGCACAGCACAACACCGTCCAATAAGAGGACCACCTGCTCCCAACGCCTCCAAGTGACGACTCCCTTTCTCGTGTCGATACTTCAATACTCAGCAACGCGCCTACGGTTCTCGACTGGCCTACCCCGACTATTGTGGATATAAGTTGATACGAAGCCGCAGGAGCGGTCCTTGTATAAATCCCGATATGTACCTGCCCGTAGTATGTAGTGCATTCGATGTCTGAGTGCGTCTTGGTCAACGAGTAACGCAAACTGCATACTCGTGAAGCGCATTTATAGGCGTAGATCACTCCCAGGTAACTTCCTCTCGCACCCAGCGGTAATAAAGTCAGTATGCTATCATCTTACCTCTTACCCTAACTCCCCACCCAACGTAACATGTTAACACCTCGGTGAGCACTTTGAGTCGACTTTTGTGTCATTGAGTGCTCAAACGGAGGCTTATACTATCAGGCCTCGACTCCAACCAGAGCTTCTTTGTGGTCGTAGATATATAGGGAGAATTGTTATGGTGTTTGGCCGAAATCCGGTTGATGTACATCCATCCCTTTCGTCCATTCTGGATTCCATGCTTGAGATGTGTTTTTGTAGGTGTCTCATACCGAGCTATGATTCATGAGCCTATCTCTTTGTTGACAGCGACGCTGAGTAAATGGGGTTGTTCTGAAATCCGCCGTATATATAAACATCGCTGCTCCTCACCATTTCTCTCACCACTAGATCTCTAGATCTGCGCACGTCCTGAACCAGAATTGGTCCGGGTGTGTGTAAGGCATCGCGCATACAGAAAGCCCATTTTGGTCCGTTCTGTGTAAGGCATAGAGCTCCCGGAAGCTCCCGTTTTGGTCCGGGCGCTGTGTAACGCATCTGGGAGGATTGTCAGGGGTCCTGTTGAGCGCCGAATTCTGAGCGAGTTGGAGCTGGTTTTCCACAAGTTCATAACCTCGGTGGGGCGATTATAACCGCTTGCAAATGCAGCCTATCGAGTGGATCGGCCACGCAGGTTCGATGTAATCGAACGCTCTCATTAGCAGACACTATGCAGGAGCGACATTGCTTACAAAGTATGTGGGCATCGCACACGGCGAAGGTGGTGTTACGACTCGAGGAGGTTCGGAAACAGGAAAAGCACCTTTTGCAGACGCAATATCCTTTGCGGTGGTCACCCAGACTTATGTACTTGTGAATTCCAGTAACTGTACTTGTTTGAACCTATCCGGTCCCGGAACGCCCAGAGAAAGATCGAGAGCATACCCCGAGCTGAGGGTGCGGATGGTGGGCAGGAGACAGGAAAACTCCGAAAACATCGGAGATAGCGCGTGGAGGCGCCGGAAGCGGCGGGCCGTGAGAGGCATTATATGACGTTTAGTCACCAACCGCCCGCGGCAGAGACGGCAGGGGACGGCAGCGCAGAACGCGAACGCTTCAGAAAACGGTTAAGATTCGCTTTCGCCATCGTCGACGCTGTCTGCGTGCTCGCTGTCGTGCTCCCCTCCCACCCCCATGTCGACGCTGTGGACATGCCGCGGTGATCCAGAAGGCTGGACCCCTGCTTCGCGGATACGTCCGTTCGACCTCACGCCCTGTTTCGAGGAAGGTGCCGTTCTCTCACCGCTGTTGGCCGCCTTTGTCCTCTTCGCTGGCGCGTCATGTTGGGTCATTCGCTCCCGAGATGTTCGCACACGGAGCAGAAAGAGCCTATGGGTGTTGCGGTCCAAGCTGGTGAGCCTAACTGCGCTTCATTTAGATGTCGTGAACATGTCTCACCATGTCGAATCTACAGATCCTTCTCGCCCTCGCGTGCGCCGCGAGCTGTGCCAACTTAATCCTCATCCTCGCCACACATAGACCAGTCGTCTTCCTCGCGTCCTACGTGCTAGAGATTGCCGCTCTGCTCGTCGCCCCCGTCCTTGTGTCCCTCAATCACCACCGGACACGCGCATCTTCCTCGGTTATTCTCCTCTTCTGGCCACTCTACACTCTCGGCGTACTTGTCTGGGCTCGGACCAGTCTCACCATCTCTCCCGTCGCGCTCTTGCCGGTTGTTATCCTTAGATGTGCGGTTACGCTCCTTGGTCTCGCTGCGTTCGCAGTTGAGTGCTATGGACCAGAATTTGCCACAGAGGACCGTCCAGAATACTTCGTGAAGGGACACGTAGAAAGCCCGCTGCTGACGGCCAATATCTTTAGCAAATGGAGCTTCATGTGGATGGACAGGCTCATGCAGAAAGGCGCATCCGAGTATATTACCGAAGATGACCTACCTGCTCTACTGCCTCATGACGAAGCAAGTCAGCTTGGAGACCGGCTCAAGAAGGCTATGAACAAGCAGTATGTGTATGACATCCGTGATAGGGAATACTGCAGCTGATCGTAAATATTAGCTCTTCCCTTTGGGTCTCTCTATTTGTAGCCTACGGCGGACCGTACATGTTCGCACTCGGTCTTAAGCTTGCCCAGGACGCCCTCGCGTTCTTGCAGCCTCAGCTCTTGCGATGGCTCTTGGCCTACATATCGACATACCAGACGTCCAAGGCATCGGACGGGACCCCTCCCACTGTCTTCGAAGGGTTCGCTGTAGCTGCCCTGATGTTCGGGGCCTCCTTGATACAGACTGTCGTTCTGCACCAGGTAGGACTCCTTGCGGGTCTGGGATAGCCCGTAGCTGACGCTATGTCGAAAATAGTACTTCCAACACTGCTTCGAAACGGGCATGAGGGTTCGGTCCGGGCTCGTTACCGCGATCTACCAGAAGGCATTGGTGCTCTCAAATGACGGTCGCAGCAGCGCGTCCGGAGACATTGTGAACTTGATGTCTGTAGACGCTATGCGTCTCCAGGACCTGTGCACATACGGTCTCATTGCCATCTCAGGGCCCTTCCAGGTGAGCGAATGAGCCTACTGGCAGCCTTCGTTCTGGGTCGCTGATGGCTGCATGGAGATCACATTGGCGTTTGTCTCGCTGTACAATATCCTGGGCTGGCCTGCCTTCGTTGGAGTCGCCATCATGATCGTTTCCATCCCTTTGAACACCCTCATCGCCCGGTTTTTGAAGAGACTGCAAGAGAGGCAGATGAAGAACAGGGATAAGCGGACGCGACTCATGTCCGACCTGCTCGCGAACATTCGCAGGTTCGTAGCTTTGGTTCACGTAGCTATATCCACCGTGCGCTAATAGTTACCACTAGTATCAAGCTGTATGCATGGGAGAACGCGTTCATCCGCTGGGTGTCCGAGGTGCGGAATAACCAGGAACTCAGGATGCTCCGCAAGATCGGCATTGTCACCGTGAGTAATATGCGCTCTCTTCCACGACTGCCACTGACAGCCAGGGTAGTCTTTGAACACTTCGATGTGGAGCGGCATTCCATGTAAGTGGGCCTCATTCCGCTATATTCGTAGCATTTAGTCATATTTGTCCATCAGTGCTCGTCGCGTTCAGCTCCTTCGCGGTAGGCGCATACACTTCGGGTACGCCGTTGACCTCCGACAAGATCTTCCCTGCGATCTCGCTGTACATGCTCCTGCAATTCCCGCTTACTATGGTACGTTGTCATCTTTCGTCTCCCATCGCCACAGTGCTGAGTGTTTGTTCGATACACAGTTCAGCATGGTCACGTCCAACATCATCGAGGCGATGGTGTCCGTCAAGCGCCTGTCCACGTTCTTCGACTCGGACGAACTCCAGCCCGATGTGCGCCAGACCGTTACGAAGGACAATGTCGAACACGGCGATACCGTTGTGTCCATTGTCAATGGGGAGTTCCGCTGGACCAAGGATTCCCCGTCGCCCGCCCTAGAGGACATCAACCTTACTATACGCAAGGGCGAACTCGTTGGTATCCTCGGGCGTGTTGGTGCTGGCAAGGTGTGTTTGCTGTCTCGTTATATGCGCCAGGAGACTGAAGAGGTCCGGGTAGACGAGCTTGCTGTCGGCTATAATCGGGGAGATGCGTCGCACCGATGGAGAGGTGAAGATTGTCGGCTCCATCTCCTACGCTCCGCAGAACCCTTGGTGCGTACGGCGTCCTTCGTAGTGTCTTTATATACTGACAAACCTCTTAGGATCATGGGTGCTTCGATTAGAGACAATATCCTATTCTCGCATAAGTATGACGAGGAGTTCTACAACCTTGTACTGGATGGTGCGTCTGACCGGCAAATGAGCTCACTAGTACTGTCTCACTAAAATAACTGCTTACAGCTTGCGCACTTCGCCCGGATCTTGCGCTGTTGGCGAGTGGTGATATGACTGAGGTCGGGGAGAAAGGTGTGTGCTATAGCTTGCACCCGACTGCGACACCATTGACTGACCTGTGCTCGTAGGGATTACCGTGAGCATGCAGTGGCTCGGCCTGGATACAGAAAGCAACTGACACCTACTCCGTAGCTGAGTGGAGGTCAACGCGCTCGTGTCGCGTTGGCGCGTGCCGTATATGCTAGAGCAGATATGTTAGTCATCTACCTCGCTCACATCCAAGAGGGCATTGCTTACTTAGGTGTTCCTAGTGTCATCCTAGACGACGTCCTCGCTGCGCTTGACTCCCATGTGGCAAAGCATGTCTTTGGTACGTGGCTATATGCATTCTTCGTGAACATATCGTAACATCTCTGCAGACCACGTTGTCGGACCCAATGGACTGCTTGCGTCGAAGGCGAGAATCGTGGTGACAAACAGTATCCACTTCCTGAAGCAGTTCCACCAAATCCTCTACATGCGGCGTGGAGTCATCCTCGAGTGCGGGACATACACCGAGCTCGTGAGCAACAACCAGACGGAGCTCTACAAGCTGATGTGCGCATGGTTTTCCTGTCTTCGCGTACCCCGCTGACCATTTGTTAACCCTCACAGCAAGGGCCACGGAAACCTGAGCGCTTCACTAACCTCAGGAATGTCTACCCCATTCATCACCGGATTTTCCGCGACGCCTTCCTCCGGGTCCGACACAGCAGCAGACTCAAAAGAGGACCTGACAGAAGAGAAGCTCGAGACTGTAGACAAAACACTCATCCGGCGCAAGTCCTTCGGCAAAGCCGTGCTCGACGACGCGCTCCCCACACGCGCCGCGTCGGACGGCCCGACGAAGGAGCACTCCGAGCAGGGCCGCGTGAAGCGCGAGGTGTACCTGCGCTATGTCGAAGCCGCGTCGCGCACCGGCTTCGGCGCGTTCATCGTTGCGACGGTCCTGCAGCAGGTCGCGTCGCTGCTCGGGAACAACACGCTCCGCGCGTGGGGCGAGCACAACCGCCAGGCGGGCGACAATGCGGGCGCGGGCGTGTACCTGCTTGGGTATGGGCTGTTCTCGCTTTCGTCGGTGGTTCTTGGGACGGCCGCGGCGATTATTATTTGGGTGCTATGCTCCATCCGGAGCGCGAGGAGGCTGCATGATGCGGTAGGTTACTTGTGCTTGGATGTCGGTAAGCACAGACTGACGATCAAATGCTGCAGATGTTGAACGCTATCATGCACGCGCCGTTGACGTTCTTCGAGCTGACGCCCACGGGACGGTAAGATTCCATCGTGCTTGGTGTGTTGTTGAAGCGGCACTGATCATCGACGTACCTTGTAGTATCCTGAACCTGTTTTCCCGAGACACCTACGTGGTCGACATGATTCTAGCTCGGGTATGCGCACACACTTGTGTACCCCATGTCACGCCAGCTGACTTCGCACAGGTTATCCAAAACTCCGTCAGGACGCTTTGCGTGACTGCGATGATTGTTGTAGTCATTGGCTACAGCTTCCCGCTCTTCGTACGTGCATCCCGACGCTCGCCTCCCGCCTCGTCATTCATCGTTGTCTCTCCAGTTGATCGCTGTTCCCCCACTGACCTGGTTCTATGCGCGCGTCATGATGTAAGAACATCTCATGTGTTCCTTCGTCCAACCCTGCTCACGGCATCCCAAAGTTACTACCTGTCGACCTCCCGCGAACTCAAGCGTCTCGATGCCGTATCGCGCTCGCCCATCTTCGCATGGTTCTCGGAGTCGCTGAACGGGCTGTCCACCATCCGTGCGTTCGGCCAGCAGCAACTCTTCGTCTCGAACAACGAACGGCGCGTGGACCGCAACCAGATCTGTTACCTCCCCAGTATCTCTGTGAATCGCTGGCTGGCGGTGCGCCTCGAATTTGTCGGGTCGACGATCATCTTCATCGCAGCCGTCCTGTCGATCGTGGCGCTAGTTACGACTGGTGTCGATGCCGGACTTGTGGGCTTCGTGCTGTCGTACGCGCTGAACACCACTGGCTCGCTGGTGTGTATTGCCCTTTCTCGAAGACAGGTCCTCAGATTCACTTGTGATCCCAGAATTGGCTCGTGCGCTCGGCAAGCGAGGTCGAGCAGAATATCGTCAGTGTAGAGCGGATCCTGCACTACATCGAGCTTGCGCCCGAAGCGCCGTGGGAGGTACCAGAAAATGTGCCCGAGCAATGGCCCGCGAAGGGGGAGCTAGAGTTCAGGTACGCGTTACCTTTTTGGTCTCGCTATGGTACCGAACTTACTGTGACGGCTACGCAGGCAATACTCGGCACGCTACCGGCCAGAGCTCGATTTGGTGCTGAAGGACATTAACGTGAAGATTGTAAGTGAACGTGCGGAGATGTGCGTACGGCTGCTGATGTCGTTTGCCCCTCCACAGGGCGCGAGCGAGAAGATCGGCATCGTGGGCAGGACAGGCTCCGGGAAATCCTCTGTGAGTACCTCCCGCTCGCCTGCCAGCCGGGTCATTAAACTCATCCCGCCTGTGTGCAGCTCTTGCTCTCCCTATTCAGGATCATCGAGCCCGCATCCGGCACCATCTGCATCGACGGCGTCGACATCACGAAGGTCGGCCTGCACGACCGTGAGTGCCCCCGCACGTGTTCGTGGCGTCCCTGCGAGCTGTATTGACGTTGCTCCACCGCGCGCAGTCCGCTCGGCTATTTCGATTGTGCCGCAGAGCCCCGACCTCTTCGAGGGCACGATCCGCGACAACATCGACCCCACGGGCGCGTCCAGCGATGCGGAGATTTGGGTCGCGCTCGAGCAGGTGCGTTCATGTGGCGGGTCCGCAGCGGTTATCTCGTGTACTGACGCTGCGGGGGTGTGCTTGCAGACGCACTTGAAGTCGTTCGTGGAGACGCTGCAGGGCGGGCTGGACGCGATGGTCCGGGAAGGCGGATCGTCGCTCTCGTCCGGGCAGAGGCAGCTGCTCTGCTTCGCGCGGGCGTTGCTGCGCAAGTCGAAAATCCTGGTGCTCGATGAAGGTGCGTGTTCTTGGAGCGCGGCGGACGTACTCGCAGCGCGTGCTCACGGCATCTCATCTCCCAGCCACCTCCGCGGTGGATCTCGACACCGACCGCGCCATCCAGGAGATCATCCGCGGGCCGCAGTTCGCGCACGTCACGATGCTCACTATAGCGTACGTGCATCCTTACGCTTTCCGGCGCCTGTGTGGCCGCGTCGTCTCCGTTGCTGACTGATTTGCTTCCGAACAGGCATCGGGTGAACACGATCCTAGAGTCGGACCGAGTGTTGGTGCTCGACGCCGGGAAGGTGAGCTTAGCTTGACAGATGGTTGGGGCGCATCTAATGGGGTCCTGTCAGGTTGTCGAGTTCGATTCGCCGAAGAATCTGCTTGCGAACAAGCAGAGCGCGTTCCACTCGCTCGCTGTCGAGGCGGGCCTTGCATGAAATTGTCTTCTTGGTCGCGACTGTGGTAGATGAGTCCATGCCATGTACGTGGAATAATGAATAATGAGTGACTTTCCGTAAGCTGTGAAGGTGCAGGTTTAGATGTTGTAAACCTCAGTCGCACCCGGACGCCCGCTCCGAGCGTGACAATTTGAAAATCCGCAACCTCGCTCCGCGGTCTCACAATGCCATGATTAGAGAAGAGGACACCTCGAGCTCGAGCTCGCTGGAGGTGCGAGTGTCCTCAAATCGTTGGCAAAGGCGCGACAGCGCTCTGAAGTTGGGTTTTCTGAGCGATGCTGGCCTATCAAATCGGGAACCAGACATGGCATGAACTTATAAATCTGAGGCCACCTGCGGACCCCTACCTCACCGTCGTCGGCGGTCCCCGACGTCCTCTGCACGAATGCGGCCTGCTTCCCGACGCGCGCGTATACTACGCGGTGCTCGCGTGGCGGGGCGCGGGAGCGGCCCACACGGGCAAGGACTCGGAGGCTTCGAGGTGGGCCAGCGAAGGCAGCGCACTGTGCAGATCTCAATCCTTGCGGAGAGTCACTTGATATAAACATCAGCGTTGAACGTTGAGTATGCGCAGGAACGGGCTGGGTGCTGCAGTCGTGCTGCTATGTTCTGCCTGTGGAGCGTTGTATCGCGGAAATGATTTACAGGTCGGTTGTGCGCAGCAGGGCCGCACCTGGCCGCGCGGAACAAATTCTAAGCGCTGTGCGGTCCGGGATGACATCACTGTCCAGCTGGAGGGTCCGGGGGAAAATGGCTGGCGGCTGCGGGTTGCCGCTGTGTGTTCTGTTTGATATTCATCATACTGCTCATGGGATTTGTTCTCGACAGCACCGCCGTGTCGATGTTGATTTGGGGGTGCTATTCATGGGTGGGCGTACACGGTACATACCCACAGGTGTGTCAGACACAAGGGTGGAGAGAACGCCACCGTTGCGCACGACAGAGGGCGACAAGGAACGGGGGTGCATGTTCACTTCCCCTCGTGCGGGGAACGCGCCTCCTTGTCACGGCTGCTACGAATCAATTGTCGAAGGCGCGCCCGCCGCTTGTTCGTCAAACTTCCTCCCTTGGCGATCGCTCCAGTAACTGCCCGGTCGCCGCTCACGCGCACGCCGTGAACCGCCTCGTTTGCTCTGGAGCTATTTGTTCATCCCGAGCCCCTGAGAGTCCCTGCCCCTTCCAATGCGCCCTGCGCCATATGTTCACTGTACATTCGCTGGCCATAACATGTTACGCGGCGATGGCATAGTGCCACGCGAGGAAAACGCCGGGCGTCACTAGTACTTGATGAGTTGTGCTAAGAATTTCTATATATGGTGCGTGATGCACCATATATGGTATAGGTGACGCCCGCGGATGCAACCCCCAAAACCGAGGGCCATTCTTTCTCGCATCTTCCTCTGCTCCCCATCTCTTCCTCCCCCGCCATCTCTCCGACTCGTCCCCACACTCCTTAGGCCTCCCTCACTCCGCCCATGCCCGCCTCAAGACAGCACCAGCGAGACGAGGACATCGACTTGACTATCATCGACCAGAAGGAGGACCCTCGACCATTTAATGAACGCATAGTCCCAGAAATTGTGCATCCGCCTCAGCGCGATGTCAACCGAGACGACATTGTCAAACCAGAGGACGACGCACATTCTAGCTCGGACGATGACACCGTGACCGAGTCCGATGACGACTTCGACTGGGACGCGGAAGACGATGCCAAGTCCCAGATGGCGGCCGCCTCCATCAAGGCCCGCCGTGGCCACGCCCTCTACCGCGGCTTCCTTAAACTCCCAAAAATCTTCCGCGTCCTTCTTGTGGGAGTCCTTGGTGCCGGTATACTCATCACGCCCCTCCTTGTCGTCAACCTCCGCTTCAACACCAGCATCGTGAAGGCGCAGGTGCACGCATGGTCGCTTTGGCTCGCCATTTCATGGGCGGCCGGCGTCGCGATATTCATCATTGTCGACGCCATCCCGCACATGGTTCTGGTTCTGCTGCGTCTATCGAACTACAAAGTGGAGCGAGCGCGGGTTTCCATAGAGGTGCGTGCATTCTTGCTCGGAGCGCGGGCGACTTTCTGACAGGCGGATCAGCTCATTGCCGCTGTGCGTGGCTGGCTCAAACTCTCGCTCGACATTGCTCTGGCGTGGATCGCGTTGTCCGTGATCCGTTCGACGTACGAGCCCCCGGGAGAGTACTGGGTTATCGTGAACCGGGTCATGCAGGCGATGTTCGCCGGGAGCATGATTCTGCTCGGTGAGAAGGCGTTCCTGCGTTACGTTGCGATCAACTTCCACCGGAAGGCACTTGCGGACCGCATCGCGGAGAACCAGCTCGGCTTGCGCGCGCTCGATCGTTTGTCGAACGCGCAGCCCGCGCCGAAGAAATCGCCATACAACGCTGCGAAGAAGGGCCACCGCTCGCGCGGGTCAAGTCTGGACATGCTCGGGATGAACGGGCGCCGGAGCCGCGCTGGGAGCCCGACGAACTCACCTGACCGCAATGAGAAGATGGGCGGCGCGAGTACGGCGTCGGGCTCATCCTCGCCTTCGGGGATGAAGGAAAAGAAGGAGACGAGGAAGAACAACAAGCGCCAGCGCAAGAACATCGTCGCCGCGGTCATCGTTGACCAGCTCGGCGGCGCGCTCGAGCAGGTGACGCAGAGTCAGTTTGGCAGTCTGGCAAGCGCAGGCAAGCTGGCGCGCAAGCTGTTCAGCACGCTCAGCGATGTGCACCCGCCGCGGCATCATCTTCTTGTGGAGGGTAAGCCGCTTTATATCGACATGTTTAGTGGCGTCGGGGTCATATGCTAACCTTTTTGGTACCTAGACTTCTTCCCATACTTCCACACGGTGGCGGACGCGGTCAGTCCCTTATTGTATTGGCAGCTAGAGCTGTAGTACTGACTCTTGTCCATAGCATGCGGCATTCGCGCTCTTCGACAAGGACGGTAACGGCGACATCTCCAAGAGAGAGATGCGCGAAGCCGTTCGACGCATTTACCGCGAGCGAAAGGCGTTGACAGCCAGTTTGAAGGTTCGCCCGCACAGTTCTACATCAATAAATTATCCTGACGTTTTCCCCGCAGGATGTTGGCTCTGCTGTAGCGAAGCTTGACGCAGTCATGCTTGCTGTAGTGCTCATCATCTTCATCTTTATCTGCCTGCTCATCTTCAACCGAAGCAACACCCTTTCGTCGTTGGTCCCGTTGGCCACGATCATCGTCGGTTTCTCGTTCATCTTCGGGCACTCTGCGCAGACGTTGTTCGAGTCGGTACGTGCGGTATACCAAAGGCGATGAAGCGCGTCACTGACACTAGCACGTATTCTAGCTCATCTTCATCTTCTCCACGCATGTCTTCGACGTAGGAGACCTGGTGATGATCGACGACCAGCCGCTCTTTGTGCGCGAGTTCGGCCTGTTCTCGACAACGTTCCGCCGCGTCGACGGCATGGAGATCATTGCACCGAACGCGCTCCTTGCCGGCTCGAAACTCGTGCATAACCTACGCCGGAGTAACTCGATGTGGGAGACGACGACCCTCATGGTCGCGTACGACACGCCGCTCGACGTCATCGAGCAACTCCGCATCCGCCTGCAGGCCTATGTCACCGCGAACTCCCGCGAATGGTCGAGCGCAACGGTCAACATCGACAAGATGGAGTACCAGAACGCGATCCACCTCACGATCGGCATGGAGCACCGCCCGAACTGGCAGGACTGGGGCGGCCGCTGGGCGCGCCGCACCGCGTTCATGCGCAACATGAAGCAGATCCTCGAGGAGCTCGACGTGCGCTACCTCGAGCCCATCCAGCCCGTCATCCTCCCGCGCGGCACGTCCATCCAGCAGCCGTCGCCGTACCTCGACGCGCCGCCGTCCCCACGCGCGACTGGCACGCGCCGCAGCCAGAGCACGCGCGAGACGCTCGGGAACGCGGGCTACATGGAGCACGACGGCCACTCGCGGGCGCCGATACGGGGCCTCCGCCCAGGCGGAGACAGGTTCTAGGGGACCGGTGCGTGGTTATGATGTCGTGGAAAGTGGCTGCGTTGAGCGTGGTGCGCTGGTGGTTGACGTTGATGGACAGTGGACGGGTAGATACATTACGCTCACGCAGACGGGTAATGACGTCCGGTTGTGATATAGATGAGGGTGCTCTCTTGCAATGCCGCTTTGGATACCTTGCAATAATGAATTCACGTTTTGATGCATACTTGAGCGCTATTATTCATGGAAATGCAGCTCTCACTTCACTTCAAGCCATTTGCATATACACTCGTCAGGTATATATCTCTTCCTCCGTTTGTATTCGTGCTGACGTCCTTCTCCCGCAGACAGCTCCAGATGAATTCTATCACTCACATTGGTAACTATCATTGACTCGGTCAATCGAACTCAATCACACATCCGCAATGCTCGTATATGAAGCTGGCTCGTCGCCGCATCGGACGACCACGTACTTACGATGCAGTCTAACGTCGTAAACCCCGCCGCCGAGAAATCCTTGCTTCCGCCCCTTCCAATGGATTCCGATGCACACTACCAGCTGGAAAATCTTCGACTAGAAGTGAGTCGAAAAGTGCTTGCCCCGCGCACTGCGGCTGACGCCGGTTGTCAGGATTTCGCCCCCACGCAGCCAGAGTACGACGCTGGCGAAAATCGTCTAGATCTAGGAGGAATTTCTAGCACTGTATACACCCACCGCCATTCGCCATGCGGCGAGCCTGTCCCACAGCTCGACCTGCAAGTGAGTACTCCACTACTCAGTGTGCCACGCGCCACACTGACGTTCCTCGCCAGGATGCTACCAGAACGCCCGCCGAGCTCGAACCCGCCGATACCTCTTCTAAAGGGGTCCTCGAGATCGCACTGACGCACGGCTATCCATTAGGCAGCGAGCTCGTCCCACAGCCCGACTACAGGCCTCACACCGCAAACGACCGCCGCCGTTACGTCGAGCAGGTCCAGCTCGGCGCCCCCATCTTGTTCTTCACGCAGGGCTCGACGCTCGGCATTCCTCTGCGAGACGCTCTTGCTAGTCGGTTCATGCACCTCGATGGCCGTGACGATCCCATGTTCGCAGACCGCGGGCCGTCTGTGCATATTAGACTAGTCGTCAGTGATTACCTGCTCCCGACACACTCTCAAGAGAGTCTGACGTTTGATTTCTCGACTTGCGCGCGCGCCCTACCCGGCGATCCAGTGGCCGGGCTATGCGCATTGGAGCAGGCAGATTCCCACCAGAGACTTCCGGAGTCCTCCCCAGCCAGTAACACGCGCGAAGCTTGCACGCAACGTTGCAAAGACCATCAAGCGGTTCATCATCGTCAGTCTGTTCACGTTCCGTCTTTCTCCCCCTTCGCTCAACCGCTTGCAGGAAATGACGGATCGCCGGATGGAGGACGAGGCGGAGGCGAAGTGGCGTGTTGGTGGCAGACACATCAGAGTTGAAGACCTGGTGCTGGTGGGCCTACAACACGTCTCCATGGGCTCGTGGCAGGCTCACGTCCGCGTGGTGTGGAGGCAGTGAGCGGTATCGTCGGATGTTCTCCTGTGGCCAGCGTGCGTGACAATTGTGGAAATCATGAATTATGTGGCGAACAATCGTCTTTGACCTTGGCTCACGTCGACCAAGGTTCTGCTAGTGTACCTTTGCGCAGTGAAATTCCTCGCGTTCAACACCAACCCTTTGCCTTGAACTCATCCAGTAAAAAGGCCGCCGTCTCCTCCTTGCTGCGATACGTCAGTCCCAACTGCTCGCGCGATTTCGTCGCATCAAACACGACCTCGAAGACAACTTTGGCCGCGTTGTCTCCAACCTCTTCTTCACTGGACTTCCCCAATAGCTGGCGCGCTACGGCCACTGCGGACACGGATCAGGATGCTGCACGTAGGAAGCAGAGCGTATCAAGGCGACGTACCCCATTGCGACCACAGGTAAGGCCCGGCCGCGATGATGTATCGCTCACCGCCCGCTTCGGGTTTAGTGAGCACAAGCAAGTGAGCCTCCGCAAAGTCTCGGACGTCCACCCAACTCCTATCAAGGCGTGTTGTAAGTAACATATTTATACCAACATGTCTCGACTCGCATAGCTCACCCTTTGCTCCATGTAGGCACTTCCCCCTCCTCCTTGACGGCAAGTTCATACCAGGTCTTTATGGAGAAGTTGAAGTCATGCGGGCTCTTCGCGCCGAGCACGGGGCCGAAGACCCAAGGCGGGCACAGCGTAACCAGGTCCCACCCAATCACACCCCTCTCCTTCCCCTCGCGATAGAGGTCCCAGGCCGCCCTCTCCGCCATCGTCTTGCTCGCGCGATACTTCGCCGCCTGGGGCGCGGTGCGCCCCTTCTCCTTCACCTCCGCGACTTCGGGGTCGTTCCAGTCGGATTCGGTGAGGACGCACGGGGTGCCCCGCGACATGTTCAGCACGGCGGCGAGCGACGAGATGATGATGATGCGCTTGACGGTGGACCCGGCGAGGCTCGCGCTCTTCAGGATGCTCGTCGTCCCGTTTACCGCGGGGATGATGAACGCATCTGGGTCCTCTGCGTCGATCCCGATTGGGGACGCGGCGTGGACGATCGCGTCGACCCCGTTCACGGCTTGGTCGAACACCCCGTCCTGTGCGAGATGTTTCGATGAGCGTCCATCAGAGGTGAAATAGGGAATATGCACGAACTGAAATCATGTTGTCCACCACGACCAACTCGAACTTATCACCATGGCTTGCGAAGACCTCTTTGATGGCGTCCCCTTTCCCGGCTGAGCGTACAGTGCCTCTTACTGAATACCCATGTTCGAGTAGGGTCTTGACCACCCACCCTGCGATGAAGCCATTGGCTCCGGTAACGAGCACCTTCCCTGAAGTGACGGTGGGCATTGTGGTTGAAAAGTAAGTGACGGATCTGAACATTGAGCCCTGCCTTTGTACTTATTCAAGTTGGCGCCACGCAGCGTGCCTGTGATCTACAATTCCGTGCAAGAGCGGGGTAGCAGTTAGCTATAGTAGTTAGCAGTTAAGCTGCGCACTCTGGATAATCGAGCCCTGCCCGTGCGCTCAAAGGATACGCCGATGTCTCGGGGTGTATACATACCTACCATTCACTTCGTCGAACTGAGGCAAGCATGCCGTACGTATGCTGTGTACACGAGACGTTGAGCAGAGTTCCCTGTCTTCAACTTAGAGTCGTTGGCCAATCGCAATCAGGTTCGTCTGGGCAAAAATCCATCCAAAGTTGCCATATTATACACTATCGTTCCCGCACCTCTTGAAACTTGAGCCTTCGCCCTCTTTCTCACGCAACGGAACCGCCAGTCGTTCACTCCGGATTGGGCCCCTCGCAGAGCGCGATCATGCTAAAGTGCATGCTCGCCGTGTGAGCGACATACAGGTTCCGCACCAGCTTCGCCACGTCCTAACGTCGGATATATGCGCATCAGTTCAACTCATCCATGGGACAGAACCACCTCTCCCATTCGCACTCACCGCCAAGAAGTCTGTGCACGGGCCCCTGTCGATCGGACCGACACGGCGCCCGTCGAGCTCGATGAGCCGCATGCCGTCCGGGGAGGCAGGCGTACCCTCCTCCCGCGAGGGCGGGTTGGGCGCCCGGACGAAGCAGGTGAAGTGGAGGTCTGTCGCGAGGTCTGCGGGAACGGCCGTCTGGCCCCCCGAGGCTGCGTCCGCGTGGATGTTGGCGAAGAGCGGGGTCGTCTCGAGGATCTTGGCGCGTTCCTCGGGGGTCTTGTCTGAAGTGTGTTACGGTCAGGGCTGTGCATTTAGGATGCTGTAGGCACGCACCCTTGCAGACATCGATGAACTTCTCGATGGGGCTCTCGGGCGCGAATGTGACGTCTGACTGTGGGCGATGAATGAGCATCAAGAACACCTTCAAGGGGGTTCTGCATGTCTTACGTTGACCAACGAGTGCAAGAGCGCCATGGTACCACATGCGTTGGATATCTGATTCGTTATTCCGCGTCAGTGGATACTGCACACGGTGCAAGAGACCATTCGCAGCACAACTTGCCGTCTGCTTCATCCAGAACAGGGTAGGATCAACCGGATGCTGGCCCTCTTCGGCGATCCGGTTGTCTTCCTCACGTCGCTTCTGCTCATACGGCTCCGTGATCGGAAAGAGAAGGATGACTGCCTTGGCAGGCTGCGACACCATCGCAAGCAGCTGATGTAGGCAATGTCAGCACGAGCACAGAGACCAACAAAGAGCATACACGAACTTCGGCGTCGAGGCCATAAATGTCTTCGAAGTGCGCTTGACTCTGTATCAGGCCCGCTTTCACTGCCCACTGGTGTATTCGAGCGTGTCAGCCGCGTCCCCGAATCCATTGCTGAAATCGAAGATGGCTTGCCTTTGTCAAAACCTACAGTACGGCCAATGTGTTAGTCTGTGTAGCATGCTGGGCTGGCTCAGCTCGCATACCTCAGGGTTGCTCTCGAGCGGGATCCAGGGCCCTCCGCCAGATTTGTTCTCGTTGTTTGTTTCTGCCATGCTAGGGATATGTTGCGTTAGGTTACAAATGGAAAGATGCAGCAAGTACAAGTACAAGTGGTACACGCAAGCCCCAAGTAGCCAAGCCACCCGATCTGCCACACACGCGACTGCGGCACAATATCCATCGACGTCATTAATAGGCGCGCTTGTAAACCGTCAGAACAGAACTAAGTAGTTAGTACGTGGGATGTTCAGCGATTTCACTAACTAGACATATGGAAGAGTACATTGCGTTTGAAGCTCTATTCGATACAACTTCTACTACTATCGTACAGTACTTTTTCCCTTATTCCTGCAACTAGTAGTCCGCCTACTAGGATAGCTTATGACGACTTCGTTTTGCCCTCCGGCGCGGCAGATTTCTCTGCTTCCAGCTTCGCGGCCGCGGCCTCCTTCTGCGCGTCCTCCTCGTAGCCCTCGACCTTCATGTCGTTCAGACCGAGTTCCTCATTCTGCTCCCACGTCCGGTCGTACATCTCGATCGTCATGTTCGGGTCCGGGTCGGGCGCATAGATGTTCTGCAGGTACGAGTTCGCGAGCGGGTCGTCGAGGATGAGCGTGAAAGGGTGCTCGGCGTTCTTCACGGCCTTGAGCTTCTTGAGGAAGTCCTCGAACGCGGTGCCGTTGCCCTTCGCGTCGCCGGACGTGTACACCTTCTCCGAGAGCTCCTCGTAGATCTGGTCGAGGATACCCTCGAGTGTGGTGAAACGACCGCCAAGCGTGCCCGCCTGGAGGACGAGCTCGACTTCGGGGATGCTCATACCGCAGCTTTCGCTCTGTTCACAGTAATCGTTAGGATATACGGGCATCTACGAACGCGATGCTACGTGCCTTCAAGATGTCGCGGCTCAGGTCATCGCGGTCCTCAACCTTGAGGATGATGCGCTTGCCTTGCGCGGAGATGGCAGAACCCGACTTGACCTCATTGTCACGGTACCCGCACTTGTCGCAGTTCGTCGACATGATCAGCACGTCCTATTGAAGAGAAGCGATGAGACCGGAGAAATTGCTAGAAGGCAATACATAATACATACCTTGAAGTACGGGATGTTGACCTTCCGCATCAAAGTGCTGCACGGGTGGCCACAACTTGAGCAGGTACCAGGGAACGTGAAGATCTCTTCTTTCCCTATCGGTGTAGGCTCGTGTGCCACCTCCTCGGCCTCCTTCTCCGTCGGCACAACGAGCTCGGGGGGGACCTCGTCCTCCGCGACAAGCCCAAGCTCGACGTTCTGCTGCCGTGTACGGTGGTACGTGCGCAGATTCCACTTCGGGTCGGCCATGCTGCCGACGAACTCGGCCCACGAGTTACCCGTGGGGTCATCCAGACGCACGGTGAACGGCTGCAGGGGCTCGTCGATCTCGGACGCGCGCTTCGAAGTCTTGACTGCGTGTGTCGCGTTCTCTTCCGCGTCTTCCTGCTCCTCGTCATCGCCGACGACGGCCCGACACTTCCGGATGATGCTCTCGATTTTCTCGTAGACCTCCGGGCTCTGTACCCTACGCAGCGGCTGGGCACCGCTCAGGTCGACGATGATATCGCGGATGAGGCCCTCGATGGTGGTGAGTTGACCCCGCCCGGGTGGGATGGTGAGCTCGTATTCGGGGATCACGACTGTACAGTTGTTGGACTTGACGATTTGACGGTCGAGGTCGGATCGGTTAAGGACGTGGATAGTGTACATAGCGCCTTCCGCTGTATGCGGCATATATTGGCATGAGTATTCCGCCCTCTATATGGGAAGCTGTGTGCTTACGTCGAATGGCTCCGGCGGATTGCACTTCGTTATTTGAGAAGCCGCAGTGCTCGCAGCGGAACGACATGACGATGATTTCGCGGAAATATGGGATCGATGTGAGGAGAAGTCTTGTAACTCCCTGCAGAGGCCGTTAGCTAACCGTATCCAACTCTAGACGCACGCTACAGCGACGTACCTGTTCGTGGCACCGCATACACAGCGATTCAATTTCCTGTACCGGCCTCTCTTCGTCGAGTGTGACCTCGACGGTCTGTGCTACTACGGGAAGTTTCTCTGTCTGGTCCGCGACCGACCCGATAGTGGGAAATAGTTCAGCGTTTGACGACATTAGCAAAGGTGGTGGTGGTGCAAAGCAAAAAGTTGGTATCGCAAGCTCGTCGCTCGATTTTATAAACAAATGGGAGTCGAGTCGATTCTTTGCGAGAGGTTTCGAGACAGTGCGAGGGGGCCGAGGAGAGCCGGCTAGAGCCGGTGGCTGAAAACCAGACACGATCGCGATTACATCACGTGTCGCGAGTCTCTCGGTTCGAACCCCGCCCAGCGCGTCCTGTCGTCTTTCTTGCCTCGCGTCTGTGCTGTGGATCCCCCTCTATTCCTCACCATCACCATGTTCCCTAGTAACTCGTACACAAACGGTCAGTCGAGCGGCGGTGGCCAAGAACAGCGTCCACAATTTCAGCACTCGCATTCGCACCCGGTGCAGTTCAATGGTTCCCCCTTTACGGTGGCGGGCATGTCGAACCAAGGAGCGGGAAGCCCTAGCATGCGCGGGAGCTCGCTGGGCATGGGCACATCGCTAGGAATGGGTTCCCCACTGAGTGAGAGCTTGTCTCAGTCGAGGAGTCATTACCAACCTGGATATCTCATGGTAGGTCGTCACAACAAATTCCTATTGTATTCACTGACGCGTCTTCTATCTCGTAGTCAGCCAGTCAAAACAGTGTGAGCCTTTCGTGGGGAAACGTATAATAAGGGCCGGATGTTGAATTGGTTGGATAGTCCTCCCCTCCCAGACACGAGGACCCACCTATGGTGCAAACGAAAGCCAAGCTCAACCACACGTTTTCCGGGGGTGCTATAGCCGACTTTGGTATGGACTCCATGTTCGAGAGCTCTAGGTGAACACCATTTGGTCACCATTCTGAAGAGTTCGAACTCAAGTTACTCCAGACAAAGACCTCGCCAAACGCTCGCGGATGAGGACGCACCACCTACCGCGTCCGTGAACGACCTCGTCAATGAGATTCCTGAGTCAAACTCCAGCCGCTTCACACAAAGGGTGTGTTGAGAAGATGTCTCGCTCATGCCTCACTCTTCTCACTGTCGCGTTCCGCAGGCATCGGCCTTCGAACCATCCCAAAGTCGTGCTTCCCTCTTCCGGTCTTCCCATCCCACCACACCGAAGCCTGCGGCCCCGCCGACACTCAACACGCAACCGCTCTATGTCGTTGTGTTCGGGTACCCACCCGACAAGTACAGCGTCACAGTTGAATACTTCCGCTCACTAGGGCACACCACTGAGCCAGAACAAAGCTCTGACCTCGTAAATGCGTTCCGGATCGGATACCTCAACCCTGCAGAAGCTGTCAGGGCCGTACGCAAGAACGGCGACATAGTTGGCGGCTCCTGGATGATCGGCGCCAAGTGGGCGGTGAGTGTCATTAAGATGGTATCCAGCCTCCCTAGCGCTGGCAGTACTTAATTGACCGATATAGGATCCTGCACAAGCCGACGCTCTCCTCGGCGCATCTCTGGCCAGGAGCACGGCTCAGTCCCCAGACTTCCAGTCCCCTGGCCTCGACACAAACGCAGTCCCGCCCTCAGCCTCGCACATCTTCGGAGGCGCGCCTTCACCCTCGGAACGCATGAGTGCCGACGAGGTGGCACCGCGCCACGGAACGCCCATGCGAGGGGAGCCGTCGACACCCACAGTGGGCACCCCGATCAAACTTGCACCCTCAGCGGCGGCATTCCGCCGCGGGGGTACAGCGACCCCCAGCGCGGCCTCCAGAACGACTGCCGTCGTGCAGCCACTGCAGCACGTAGCGCCCGCTCCCGCCGCGGGGGTCCAGGCATCTCCATCCAAGGGTGTACTTGGCCAGGTTTCGGATCTCATCTTTGGGTGGTAGAGCTTGTATGCAATCTGTTTTCCGGGATATGCTACCCTTCAGGCTTTTATATCATCTAGGTGGTATCTCCAATGCTGCCTGGGCGTCGCCGAACGACTGCCTTCGAAGTTCGAACCGTTTATGTGATCAACTGCCGTAAGTATAGACAGAAGCTATGTTGCTGAAACGGAGCGCGCAGAGAACGTGATCGGTCTCAGGCTGGTGCAGAACGCATCGAGGTGACAGTTGCGAACTGTTACAGTGTAGGTTGCTGGTGCCTTGGTTACAGACTTGCAGTCGCCCAACGCCTCTAGTGTTTCTGGTCCAGACGCACGCCAAACCGTCGACGTTATTCATACGTATGTACAACCCGCTGCAGACGCGCACACACTAACTTATGCGTAGCCCATATCGGAGCTGAATTACGCGGCATTGCCCTGTTTATGCGGCGCTCGTCATTCACTGACTAGCGCATGCAAGGCGGTGATCCGAAAGCGAGGATACGGGGTGCGTCGTGCCCACGGTACAAATGGGGCACTGCATCCGCCACGAGTCCCGCGACAGAAGGATGCGTTGTGAGTCTGAATCCTACTGCTTTACGTCGGAACCAGGGTCTAACAGGTATGTGTACCCGGGTTTCTTGCACTCCCTCGACCAGTATATGCCACATTTTCTGAGGACGTGCTGTCGTAGGCACGCGCTATGTAAGCGCGATCGAAGACGCGTCTACAGTGCTCGCGGCTGGTCGGAGTCCGACTTCCGTCCCGAGACCAAACACGCCCCCGCCGCAGTGATCTCTGCTATGCGAGCCGATTCGACGGTAGATCACCGCGCCAGTGGTGACGCTTGCACAGAGCTGATTCCATCAAAGGTGTGATTTGGCGCCAATCGCCCCGCCGACCATCTCTTTAAAACCATCGAGGCGGGGCAGGACGCGTCTACGGATGGCTGCACGCCTCCACGCCCTCCACTACACCCGCTAGCTGTGTACCATTCTTGAGCTGCTTATTTTATTTCCACGCCCTGCGACTGCAACTGAGCCCTGAAGGAGGTCGGCCGCGAACGACACACAACGACAGTTACGGTCAGATATGCTTCCTGCTGCACGGCACTTTTACAGTACAGAGGTGCTCAACCATCAAGAAGGTCCGCGCACGACATTGTACAACTTCCCACCATCATCGCCGCGCCGTGCAGAGCGACATGCCAGGCCTCTCGCTCCTATCGCCCATTAGGGAGGCGGAAGAGTTCAGTCCCTACCAGAACTCGTTCCGCCGGACACGATCACCTGGCCAGCGGTCACCACGTGAGTTTACCGCTCGATTTCGTCCGGGGCTGCGCTGACAAGGCTTCTACACGCCAGTGGCGAAGGCGCCATACCACCATGTGCGGGACACAGTGGTGGGCACCCCCGTCTCGCCAGAAATGGCTGTGGACGACCTGTGGATATACGACTGTTACGTATCCGAAGACGCGACCTCGCCAGGCGGATATCCGCGCTCACCCTCCACGCCCTCCCACAGCCGCTCTATCAGCGTGCCGTCGACGAATGCGAGCTACTCGCCCGCCACTTACATGCCGGTCGCGAGGGAGCCGAATTCGACTTCTATCAACGCTGCGCCGCGCCCGGATTCCCGTGATACGCAGCGTGTGTTCGTGCACGACGAAGACTCAGGAGAGGCCACCGAGCTGGCGTACGACACTCTCCCCCAGATCACCACGTCCGTATTCAGCCCCGCAACGCCCGCGGAGTTCCCCGAGTACTCGCCGCTAGAGCAGGAGGCGATGTCGATCTGGGAGGTCATCGACGAGCTCGCGGCGGCAGCGGACCAGTTCGCGGGGCTCGAGACGCTGCTGGCCGATGTAGGCGCTTTGGATCCGCCGCCGGAGATGGACGAGGACATGGCGTTTTGGTTCGTCGAGGGCCTGAACCTACTCGTCGGCGACTGCAGCGAGGTTGCGCGGGACCTGCTAAAGTTCAACGAGTACGTTGGGCTGCTGCTGCAGGAGCAGGGGCTTGCGGTGCCGTTGGACACGCGCTCGGTGAAGCATGCGTCGTTCTCGGAGCAGGACATGAAGGAGGTCCTCGAGACGGCGAAGAACATCCCGAAGGTGGAAGTCCAGAAGGCGCTTGCGGCGCTGGAGGTGTCGAGCCCGGTGCGAGGACCAAATAGCCAGCGAAAGTCGTCACGCGACCGGCCGCCGTCGTTGAAGCTCTCGACAGATGACGCCGTCTTGATACAGGCCCTTCGACCACGCTCGAGGCTTGAGAGCGTGGGTGCTATGAGTCGCTTCTCAAATGCGGAGTCAGACTCGAGGAACGAGATATTGAGGAAGCATCGGGCGTATGCGATATACCAAGAGGTACGATCATATGTTCCTCTGCGAGTGTGCTCGGTATTGACACACGCACAGGAAACTCCTATCGAAGACAATTGGTCAACGAAGAGCATAGTGGACTACGATGCTATCGAGCCTATGGCAGAGATCCAGGTGGCGGTGCGTGCTGCTTTTCATGATTGCTTCCCATAGCCAGACTGACGTCTCTTACAGCCCGAGTCTCCCGCTGTTGCACGACCAAGGCCAAATTCGGGCCAAACCGTGATGCCACGACCAATGTCCTCACCAGTTGTTTCCTCGTTCAAAGCGGCCGCTCGACGGCCACCGTCACTTGTGTTAACCGACGGGACCTCTGAGCGGTCGAGCCAGCACTCCTCATCAAGTTCCGTGTCCTCTCTGTTCTCCGGCCTCCCCCGCTCGTCCTTCACAACCAACTCCTCTCCGCGCTCCTCTCCCCGACAATCAATCACCTTTGAAGGCAAGCCAGAGAAACCTCGGTTTCCGGCGGCCTCCGGGAACATCAAGAACATGTTTTCTAAGCTCTTCAAGAAGCGCGAAGGGCGCGAGGCCCCACCGTCGCGCTCTTCAATGCGCCCCTTCTCAAAACGTACAGCGGGTAGTAGCGCCTCGGTCGACGCGACCCTGTCTGCGCTCTCGCTGTCTGCAATGTCTTCTTCGACCACCATCACGCCTCTCGCGCTGGGCACCGAGCGCGATCCCTTCGCCATGTCGCCGCCGCCGCCAATGCGCACACCGCCACCACCGCCGTCGCCGCATGCCCGATCAGCGTCGGAGGCGTCGCCGCTGGACTCGTACTCGAGCATGTTCAACCCCGTGAAGGCGGCCTCGCGGTTCCCTCCACAGCCTCTGTTTGGAGAGCACACCCCTTGATCTGTCTGCGCTATCTATTGCATTTTTCCGCGCGTATTGCTGCATGTTGTATCGCATCCTCGTCATCCCCGTACATACATTACTGACTATCGTCGCTCTTTGCTCGTCTTCCGCATGTTGTAACTCTACCACTGGATTAATTTAACGTCACGACCTTGTTCTTACCTGCATATGTAAGCATGTATAGGATCTGCGCCCAGAGTTATACTGCTAGCGTATGTATGTGACAACACAAACCAGCGCCCATTTGAGAAGGTTCGCGATCGGAAAAGTGAGGACGAGTGAAGCGCCTCCGTGCTGCTCCGTCACCTCCCTTCGTCCCGGACCAATCGCAGTCCCCTCATTCTCCTCCTTTGCCTCCTCCCATCACCTCCGCAATCCTCTGCTCGTCCTCCGAGCCATTCAGCTCAGCCGCCATGGGTCAAGCAGCATCGCAGTCAATGTCAGCGGCGCCCTCTGCGCCCGCGTCATGTCCAATTGACCATTCCGCCGCAAAAGCCTCTGTCTCCTCCGCCTCCTCCGGGCCCGCGAAGTGCCCCATTGACCATACCAAGGTCGCCTCCTCATCCACTGCACCCCAGCCGCCAGCGCAATGCCCAATAAGCCACGACGCGCCCACGGACGGCATCAACCCGCTGAACCAGATGCCGACGCTCTCGCAGGCCCCAGCAGCACACCAGGAGGCAGCGCTGCCGACCGACCGCGAGACATCGACGATCCCGCGCGACGACGGTGCGCGCTGGGAATACCCGTCCCCGCAGCAGTTCTACAACGCGCTCGTGCGTAAGGGCTGGGAGACCCCGGAGGAGCACGTCGAGACCATGGTCCAGATCCACAACTTTCTCAACGAGCAGGCGTGGCTCGAGATCCTCAAGTGGGAGAAGAAGGAGCTGCCGTGAGTCCTCTATGTCGTATTTTCTTTCGCGTGCGGTGTTTGCTGACCCGCTGGCCGTCTGGAGCAGTGAAGCGGAACCGCAGCTGGCGCGCTTCATGGGCCGCCCCGGAGAGCTCTCGCCCAAGGCCCGTTTCTGGCTCTTCGCCGGCTGGCTGCTACCCACCCGCTTCAAGTACGTGCCTTACTCAGCTCTATCCGTATATGCTCGATGTTAACACCCCGTGCAGCAATGAGCCGCCGTTCGACCGGCATGACTGGATCGTTCGGAGGAATGGCGGGCAGGAGGTGCGCTACGTGATCGACTACTACTCTGCGCCGCCGGAGCCGGACGGGTCGCCCGTGTTCTCGCTGGACGTGCGCCCTGCACTTGACAGCGTCGGGAGCATCAAGCAGCGCATACTCGCTGCGACCGAGGACGTGTGGGCGAATTTCCGCGAGGAGAGCAAGCGGAATAGCTCGCAAGGCACGCATTGACACTACGCCTCTCTTCCCGCCTACGTCGCATCCCCTCGAGATTCGTAACCTCTCCGCCTCCCATGCCCGACCCACACCACTCTCCGTCTTGGTTTCACGACACATTCACGACCTTGGACCTGCCCAAAAGTTGTCGCACCCCTAGTATATACATCACACTAGACGCAGCTGTGAGATCTTCCTATAATGCATTAATACGTCGTAAACCCGCGCAAGCACGGCAGAACTCGCTGCCGTCAGTCTATCTTCTATTGCATAGGCCTCAAACCGAAGTATAAGAGCGGAAGCATGCGCTGTCGCGGGGTGGTTTCAACCAGTCGCACACTTGAAATATGTTGTCTAGTGCCTCGCGAACTTCCTTCTAGATGTACGTCCACTGGGCTGGAAGAATCGTCAGGGTGGAATTTACCCGCATGTGTTCACACTGTAGACGTTGATACTGAACGTTCACACTACCAGAGACGCGGCTTTGAGATCCTTCTAAAATGCATTAATTATCGTGATCTCTCTACTCGAGCGTGCGCTCGCGAGCAGATCCCGAGTGTGTACTATGTAACTATACTTATGTGTGAGGGGTGGGGTGTCGTTAATGAGTGGTTCGGTCGTGGACCGAATGTATGCGGTAGATTAGCAGCATCGCGGGGTCAGGCAGCTGAAGGACTAGAGGTACTGGCGAGCCGATCTGCGTCCCATCTACGCACACGTCGTCAGTGTCTGGCATGTTAATAATTTGCCTGAAAATTGGCACACGTACCTCAATGATCTTCCAGCCACCGGTGAGTTCGTTATCGAGGTCCTCCTCAACGCGGGTGATGACGGCGGCGTAATGACACTGCTCGACACGGTCCTCCGCGCCGACGACGATCTCGCCGGTCTTCACATTCCGGAAGATGGGCATCTCCTGTGTCGCAAAGGTGATCACGAACACGGGGACCTCGTTCTCCAGAATCTTGCCTGTTGAGACCTAGGCCGGGAGACGGTGCATGAGTGGAAAAGCGAGGAAGATGAGATGATGGGGACCTACGTCAACTTGCCGGATGTCAAGAACTTTGCTGTCGCTGATCAGGCCCTGCTTCAGATACTGCTCCATGGTCGCCCAGAGAACGTTGTATGTCTAAATATCGAAATTTAGCACTTCGTCTCGATGTATATGGTGAAGGGGCACATACCGCCTCGCCACACCACGCCTGCAAGGCCTCGCGGTCCGCGCTAAGGTATGCATCGACGACCTCGGGCACGATATACTCTCGTAATTCGCGCTCGAAGCTCTCCATTGTGAACGTGGGGTCCAGCGCCTTCATCAGCCGCTGCACTTGGGCGCTCTCGTTCTCGTCGAACCAGCCGCCGATCGTCTGTGTCACACTTCGAAGCGAGGACACGACCGGGTGCTCGCTCTCGTCGTACTGTGCCTTCAGGTCCGAAAGCGAGCGCAAAAGCGGGTTCGTCTCCTTCATCTTCGCCCAGCGCTCTTGTCGTGGCGAGTCCGCGTGTACTACAAGGGCCTGACCGGCTCTGTGCAAGGAGAAGCATACATTTCAGTAAGAGCGTAGCGAAACATCAAGGATGATGCTTACTCAGGATTTGCTTTCGTACGCGCGCTGCCACCGATGCTGTTCTTGCCCGCCTTTTCAAGGCGCAGCTGACGACGCTTTCGTCGCGCCTCCTTCTCTTCGAACCCGGCATGCTTCGCGGTACCGCTGTCGTCCAAGGCGTCAGAGATGGTTTCTGACAGTGTCTTGTACGCAGCGGTATTGCGTATTGGCTCTGTGGTCTTCTCGAGCGTTGATGACACGGCCGCTGACGCGCGAGATATCTAGTAGTATGCCCATGAGTAAGTGAACCGTACACTGAGCGTAAAGTGGGCTTACCGCGCGGGCGAGTTCACTCTCTTCCATCGTCTTAAGAGCTTCGCCGACCGCGTCACCGACCTTGATGCCGGCCTTTCGGAGTTCCTCGGCTGCTGCACGCAAACGAGGGTTCTCTTTTATGCTCGATGTCAACTGTGGTGTGAATCACGTCAGCGCAAAAATCAAGAATTACAGCTTGTAAATAATCGACAGCCCGTTCCCCAGATTACTCGCGCTGAAGCCCTGAATTACCTGCAAGGCTGGACAGATCAGCGGCCCCTCGCAGTGAATCACGCCCCTCGCGCGACAGAATCGAGAAGGACCCGTCGTTTCTTTACTAGCTGTGTTTGTCCGCAAAAAGAACGTACCCTGGCCCGCTCATACGCCTCGCGTGCACGCTTCATGGCCTCAGAGTCCTGGAACTTCTCCACGTCTCCCTGGAGCTGCTTCACGTTGTCCTGCAGCTCTCGGTTCTTGCGCAGCTCATCCTTGAGAACATCCACGAATGTCTGGAATGGCGACCGCGGGGCCTCGTTTTGACGGCGGGCAGAGGAGTGGAATGCCGCGGCATGTGTCCGGGCAGAAACGGCTGGGTGAAGCGCGAGCGGTACAGCCCGAAGTGACTGCCTGTTGAGCAGCATGGCGCGTATCTGAGCAGGGGCTGCTGGGGTAACCACAGCTCTGCGCAAATGACGAGGAAGCATGGCGGATGAGAGGACGAGGATGAGGGTGTGGACCAAGGGACGGACTGCACTCGTAGCAACTTCTCGCAAAGATTCTGGGAGAAGCGCGCGCTGATTGCCACGCGAGAGCGCGCTTACCACTGTCGTCACTTCTCGGCATTCTCCGCGCTCAGCGAGCCCCCACCAGTGGCCATTGGTCAAGGACTGTTGCTCATCAACCACGACGTCTCCCAAACATGCTGCGACGTCCTGCGTGCCCTTCTCTTATGGGAATATTTAGATCTCACCCTCTGTGTCTCTCGACTAGCGCTACTCGAAACGCCTCAAACCGCGCTGTGGTCTTCACTGAGAACGGCAATCCTGCCGAAGTCCTGAGAGTCCAATCCTACGACCCTCCTCCCCAGCCACCTTCGGACTCTGTTCATGTCCGCTTTCGCCTCTCTCCAATCAACCCTTCGGACATCAATGTCGTCCAAGGTGTATACCCCGCCAAACCGATGCAGATGCAGCTCTCTGGCGAGGACGTCTTCGTCGGCGGCAATGAAGGCCTTGCTGAGGTCACAGACATCGGGAGCGGTGTCAAGGGCCTCGAGAAGGGAGACTGGGTCGTGTCTGCGAAGGCGCAGGTTGGCTCGTGGTCATCTTCGCGTGTCCTTCGCGCGGAAGATGTAATCAAGCTTCCCGCAGGGGAGCTGAGCGAAGTGAATGCCGCGACTATCACCGCAAGTACCGCGTCCGTCTTCTATTGAGGCGTATGTTCATGAGGTTGTGTGACCAATAGGTAAACCCGGCAACAGCATATAACATGCTGCGAGATTTCGTAGATCTGAAAGAGGGCGATTGGGTACTCCAGAACGGTTACACATATCTACTTCGACACAAACGCATATAAGGCTGACAACGACTTGCGAAAATTACAGGCGGTAACAGTGCGGTGTGTATGCCACTGCGTGCACGCTGCTCCCGATGTCTGAGCGCAGATGCCTTTTAGGTTGGCCAGGCAGTCATCCAAATAGCTGCACGTATGGGCATCAAGACAATTAACTTCGTCCGCAACAGGTACCGCGACTTTCTTTCATAGTGAGATGCACTCACGAAACCGCACAGGCCCGACTTCGATGGCCTCATTTCCCAGCTTACACAACTGGGCGCAACGCACGTCTTCAAATACGACGCGCTCTCGGACAAGTCGCTCGCAAAACACGTCAAACAATGGACCTCTAACAGCGTGTGTACCACAGCCCACATCGTGTTCACAGTGCTCATTCCAAGTTCGACAGCCGATTCGATTGATGCTCAACTGCGTCGGGGGCCCAGACACGACGGCCATGACACGCCTGCTCGGCGATAACGCGCACCTCGTCTCTTACGGCGCGATGTCGAAGAAACCGCTCTCGCTCCCCACATCGGCGTTCATCTTCAAGAACCTCAGCGCACAGGGGTTCTGGCAGAGCCGCTGGTATAATCAACACACCCGGCAGGAGCGCGAAGCCTTGATGAAGACGCTTGCAGGCTTCAAGGTGCGGTTCCATCAACAAGGCATGCGTCGGTACTGCGAACAGGTTACTGACGTGATTTTCCTCTGCCTGGGAATAGCTGAAAGAACCTGAGCATGAAATACTAGATCTCTCTGGGGAGCCCAGCGACGAGGCCGCGACCCAGAAGCTGCGCGAAGTTCTTACCAGAATGGAGCAAGGATTTGGCAAGAAAGTGCTGTTGCGCTTATAAGGCTAAGCTGACTTTCCGTATGAGATGTATGTACTACACAAACTCGCCCTCGGCGTCTGATGGGCAAGGCGTCCGTCCCAAAGAGATGTGTAACCGCTCCGCGATAGTCGTTAACGTGCGTTCTCGCGCTATGCCAGCAGTCTGTCGGAGGTGGCACCTCAAGGATGGACTGCAAAACTCGGCGGCGAGATCGTATCGTTCGAAAGTAAAGCTTGCGATACATAGCCGGCCGTGGAGAGATGCCTACAAAAAGAACGTCCGCCTCGTAGTCTCCAACTCCGGCTGCAGACCAGATTAGCGTATATCCCTATCCTAATTAAGAAAATACGCACCTTCCATATCCACAAGTATTCATCCTCCGTTGGAGGGACCACCTTCTTCTGCTTCGGCGGCTCCGGCTCCTTCTCCCCTGCCTCGTCCTGCTCTTGCGCGGCCGACTCGCCCATCTCGATGTCTTTGAGCGCGAGCTTCTCCTGCTCGTGCTCCTCCGCGTCGAACTCCAGGTGTTTGCTCGGCGCGCCCAGGTTCTTGACGGCAGGCAAACCCTTCTTCATGTACCGCAACTTTAGCGTGAATCGGGGCCCGATTTCCTGCAGAGCGACCTTCTCTGTCGATCGGAACGCATATCTACAAGTCACGTTTAGCGCGGGCACCCTAAGAAAGATGCGAGTCCAGGAACCGGGCAGGCGGGCCACTTACCGGTGTCTCCTGAAAAATAGGAAGTCCCGCTGGTTGTGGAGGGTGACCACCTGCCGACCCTGGAACTCGGGCATGGGAGGAAAGAAGGTCTGGAAGAGGCGGCCGACAGTGTGACCCAACCGAGTTACGAAGCCGTTCAGGACAAGCTCAGGGTAGTGGGACGTCGCGCGTGCGTGACCCTTTGAAAGATGGAATGAGTATATAGTGGACCTAAGATGCCAAAGGCGGCATACCGAGATTTTCTGTGAGAGCTCTACTGACGAGAGCTTGAAGTAGGCCGTAGGGCCATTAGGTAGGTACACCATGGTAATGGCGTCTGGCACTACTAGTCAGCTTCTGTTGTCAATGTTTCGAGAAGCATCATACACATACTCAATTTTTTCGTATCCTCGTTGACCACCATGAGATGGCTGTAGCCACGGTTCGCTGCCCAACCAGCAATCCTGCCCACCTCGAAGCCCTTTCCCTTCTTCCGCCTGATGAATTCAGCACCGGGGAATACGCCTACGAGTTCGTCGCAGAAGTCAGACGTCGTCCGAGTCGCCTTCGGGGAAGTAGTGACGAGAACCTTGGGAGGGACACTCGGGTCGATGGCGCCAGAGAAGTATGCCGCGAACGGGTCGTTCGCGATGTCTGCTGCGGTCTCGTCCTCCGGCTGCTGTGTCGGCTCAGCTTGAGCATCCGAAGAGGAAGAAGGATCTTGAGACGTGAGGGTCGAAGGGCCCGCCTCGGAATTGGGGTTGGCGGTAAGGATGGAGGGGTCGTACTCGCGAGTGTTGTCGAGCGTGCGGGGCACATTCTGCGCCAGACGTTTCTGCAAAGAAACCACACGCTCAGCCATTGAATCAGCCAAGATACATTATGCACACGACATACTTTCTTCGCTAGAGGATCATTCGCCTCTGCCTTGGCCTGTGCGAGTCTCCTCTGCAGCTTTTCCTGTCCCTTCGCCTTCTTCTGCTTGTTTGCGATCTCCTCGCGCTTGATTTTGTTTTTGATCGTCGACGGCTCGAAGCGAGCAGTAGGCATACTGGGCAGTCTTGCCTAGAGAGTAGCAAAAGACTAGAGTGTGAGAGGCCTGCGGAGGTGGTGGACGCGCGCAAAGTCCAAAAATCTATAGCAGCGATCCGGCAGCAGAAGTGTTCCCACGGTACATCCCTCTTCCTCGTCACGACCACCGACGCCCCCGCCACGCCACGCCTTCCGTCCCTGTCCCTCCATGGCTTTCCCCCGGCGACCACCACTTCTTTCACTATGTCTCCTGCTCGTCTTTGCCGCGGCTGCGAACGCGCTGCACTTCTATTTGGACACCAATGAGAAGCGGTGCTTCATTGAAGAGCTCCCGACGGACACGGTCGTAGAGGGTACGTCCGAGGTGACACCGTGCTGCCACCTACCCGGTCCTAACATACTACATACCCCTTGCAGGACATTACAGGGCCCTTGAGTGGTCCGAGGCAGAACAGAAATACATTGAAAACCCCAACCTAGGCATACTGGTCGAAGTGGACGTGAGTCTGCGCCACCTTTGTCCTGTTCACTCATACTCACCCCACACCACTTCTGCGTTGTGACTACAGGAACTCGAGACGGGCCACAACGTCGTCAAGACTCGCGGGCCGTCAGACAGCCGCTTCACCTTCACGTCGCACGACTCCGGGGACCACTCCATCTGTCTCTCAAGCAACTATGGCACGTCCTGGTTCGCGACCACGCACATCCGGCTCTACCTCGACGTCGTCATCGGAAGCACGAAGCCCGACGCAGACCACGACCGCTCACACGTCTCCGAGCTCTCGCAGAAGCTGCGCGACCTGAACATGAAGCTTGAGGACATCCGCCGCGAGCAGCAGTACCAGCGCGAGCGCGAGGCCGCCTTCCGGGACCTCAGCGAGGACACGAACTCGCGTGCAGTGTGGTACACGCTCGCGCAGATGGGCGTACTCATCGCGACGTGTGTGTGGCAGCTGCGGCATCTCAGGGTGAGTGGTCGGTGTGAGGTGTGAATGCGCTATTTGTTAACGTAACTATACTTGACAGCGGTTCTTCGAGGACAGGAAAATGCATTAATGCGCTAATCTCCCTTGATGTTCACTACGACTATATATATTGGGCTGGTCTTCCTTGTATAGGGTGCCCCGGACGCTTTGGTGGCGGTAATCGGTGCTATTAAACTTTTACAGGTCCGAGTGTCTGCGGCGTTGGAATTCAGAAGTGACTGGTAAGTGAATTTCGCACTCAAAGACAAGCTGAGCGCAAACGTAAGAACGTTTTCTTGCCAAAGCTTCACACCAACCTGGTGAGTACTTCTTCTGGGAATTTCAGTTGTGGCCTCGTCATTAGGCTCCCCAGAGAAGTCGACGAGCTCATGCATCATGTTTGGGCTCTTTCAGTTATTCCGAGGCAGCCGGAGGACACGTCAGTACGTCGTTCGCAGTAGCGATGCAAGCGCTGTGGCTGTGGAACCGCACCTTGAAGTCAGACCCACTCTTGAGCGTGAAACACCGACACAACAGTCGAATGCTTCAACACCCTTGACGAACGGCGGGTATGGACTCTGCAGAGGGGTTAAGCGGGTGCTGGGATCTAGACAAGTCTTGCAGTCCAAGTTGAAGTGCCACATCCGACAGCCATCCGCGAGATGTAAAATGAAAAACGAGCGCTGTTCGCTGCTATGGAGCGGATACATGTCTCTCGGACTGGTAAAGATGTCACGAATCTCTGAACTTTTGGGACGGACTCCTCCCCCTTACAGGCGTCTACACATCACCCTACGGGCGCACTTGTAAGTCAAGAATCGGACAGGAGGACACGACCACTCACTTAGGCGTAGGTAGAGCCGATAGGACCGAACTTGATGTTCGAGAAGGCGACGTTCGCGTTCGCGCTCTGCGACTCGACGTCGGTGGGGACGCCAGAAGAGGCCGGGCACGGGCCGCGAGCGACACCGGGGCTGGACGGGTCAGCGTCGGTGGGGTAGTCGCTGTCGAGCCAGAGCATGTTCGCCTCGTGGTCGTCCCAGATACTCATGACGAGGACCATGCCCTTCTCGAACGCCGCGCCCATCTCCGTGAGGCCGCCGAGCTTCTCGAACGTGTTGGTGTCGCCGAACGCCTGCTTTTGCGCGTTGCAGAAGTCGTCGGTGATGGAGTCGTACGTGTCCATGCCTGCGATGTTGGTCTTCGAGTTCGCGATCACCTTTCCGCCCTGGACGTACAGGCGGCGGATCTCGGAGAGCGCGCCGGACGTGGTGTTGTCCGCGGTCACGAACTGGGTGACGACGGTGAACTTCTGGCTGGTGTCGACCGTCTTGCCGAGGCCGAGGAAGGTCTGGTCACCCATGCGGAAGGAGTTGAAGTCGCAGCCGTCCTTGTCGCAGATGCCGTCGTACCGCTCGTCGCCGTCGCCGCAGTCCGTGCCCTCGCAGCGGGTCTGTTGGTCGACGGAGCAGACGTGCGGCGTGACCGCTGCGCCGTTCTGGTTCGCCTCCCAGATGTCCATCTCGTTGCAGCACGTTCCGTACTGGCCGCTGCCGGCGTTCGGGTCGCTCGCGGAGCCCTCCCAGCCGAGAACATTGGCCTGGCGCACGGAGTCAGCATCGTCCTGCTCATAATGGAGAGTCGCTCTGCCGTACCTCGCCGTTGATGAACTTGATGTCGTGCGGGCACTGGGTGTCGCAGTAGCCGGTTCCGTACTTGGAGCCCGCCTTGTTGGTGGGGAAGCGGGAAGCGCCTCCATCGCTGTCCATCTCCACGAAGTAGAGCGCGCCGTTGAGGCCGCAAGGGAGGTTCGACATGTCGACATCGAAGGTGAACTCCTGGTTCTTGAGGTTGAACATCTCGTACGTGCTGTCGTCGTCGGAGAGGAGGTAGACGCGAGAGCCGATGTTCGTGGAGTACTGGCCGTCCGTGACGAACTTCAGGTTGAGCTCGTTGCCGCTGGTCGTGATACCGTAAGTGCCTGGAGGTCATGGTAAGTACGCAGAAGCAGTTTTGTGAACAAATAAGACGTACCAGTGTAGTCAGCACCGTCGAGCGCGCAGTTGGCGGCACAGGTGGTCGGGTCGGGGCAGAGCGTCGCGTCCCAGGTGTTGCCGGTGTAGCAGTTAGTGCTGCCAGAGACATCGTGGAGCCAACGCCAGTTGGAGTCGAGGACGACGGAGCGCTGCAGGGTTGAGCAGCTACCTCCCGCGGTGCATTGCTGCACGCTAAGCTTGGGGTGCGACTCGGCGGTGAGCGTGCCAACTTGCTGGCCGTAGGCGATCGCCACGAAGGAGAGCGAGAGGAGAGCGGCTGTGGGGAACATGTTGGTCTGCTAAAGCCGAGGACGGAGCTGTGGGTACCGGGGAGCGACTGTTGAGTCAATGAGGTTGACGGTCGTTCGCAGCAGATTTTATACCTCTTGTTGGCGGAATAAACCCGGCGTCGGGAGGCTCAGCTGCAAGATGAGCAGGCGGGACATAGTGATTCTCCCGCCGCCGCCGTCGCGCGGAGACCAATATCGCCCAGTGTACGATGCGCAAACTTGGCCGCAAGTCGGAGGCACCGAAAAGTAACCGAGAGCACGGGTGCGAGCCAGAGGGAGAAACCACTTTACAACGTCCTCTGTTCGAGGTGATGTTGTTGCGCAACCCGAGGAGGATCCGTCGGTTGGGATGCACGTGCACATGAGTGCCGTCAGTGCCGCTTTGCGCTCTTGAGGAGCTTCGCGAACGCCTGCTGCCCGAGCTGAACATGGTGGCCGAAGTGATGACGGTGGAGCTATGAGCTGGTCCGATCCCGAAGAGAGTCCGTCCTAGACGAATGCCCTAGCGAAGGGCCAATCAACGGAACGGCACGGACATCGATGCGAAGACTGACCACGAATTTCTGAACCCCAGAACCGACGGCTTCTCGGGCTCAAATCCGCCTGCACCGCCGTACCCCGCATACGTAGGGCGTCCGCCGGGGAATATCCGGCTAGCGACTCAACGACTGGACGTCATGCCGACTCGTCGGTCTAAGCCGCCCCACATACCAGCTCACTTGACAACCCTTTTCTTGCCCTTCTCTTCTCGACACGCACGCCAAGCGATTCTCCATCAAAGACTGGTGGGAGAGCCTCAGAGAGCGCATCGGGGGACTGAAGAGGCCCATGGACGCTCTGAGCTGGTTGCGAGCGCGGCCAGATGGAACGGATGTCAGGGTAGCTGGTATGTGGAATTATGCAGAATCTGTAACCGTTCACGGTTAGACACTTAGACAGCGTGTTCAATGACCTTCTACGGTACCTTTCGGAGGCTATAGTAACTTCTAGACAGAGGTATAAATAGCACCATTCAGTTCATATCCGCTGCGCCCACAACACCGTATTTAGATCCGTCAAAAGGAGCACAAGACCTGTAGTAGATGCGCTCCCGACATGGGTATGTGCTGGCGGGTCGGGGGTATTCCACGATGGGGCGGGCGGTTATCACTTATTATACTTGGGTCAGTTACCGTGTCAGTTCACCATGCGGTGACAGTGGCTGCAGTAGCAAGCGACGCTCAGTTGTAGTCTCTAAATGCGCAGGTGCCGATGCGCACTTATGAGGCCGGCAGCGCGCCAGATCTGCAAGCAACCCGATTATTATCCCGGCCGACGAAACAGCGGAGAGAGACTCACCTCGGGAGAACGCGAAGGATGGCGGAGCTACATCACACTGCGCAGTGACGTCGCGCATCCGTGGCAAGACTCATCTGGTGACAAGAATGCACTGACTGGGCCCGCAACGTCGTCGGGAGCGGGACCCGTATGAGCGTGATGAAGCCTGATGGAACATCGAGACAAATTCTCCGGTGAACGCACTCAGTCGAGGTGTTGTGAGGCGTCGGGAGCGCTTGACATTCTGCTCCTAGCAGGGTCGTCGTTGCATGCTTTATCGGTTCCGATGTCATGAGGGTATCCAAAATGTTTAACCGTAAAAGATGATGTTTGTGATCGGGTGATATCAGAGACGATGTGTGCTGTGTTGCATGAGACAAATGCGGAATAGCGAAGTGAAGCAAAGCAAGCTTGTTATTGAAATGGGGAGAAGGGTTACGAGGGATATTGCAGCCGAATAGCGCGCCTAGTAGATCGACGTCGTGAGTTCTACAGACTTAGTAAAAGAGACACCAGAACCTCACCACGCAAGTCGCCGCTTACCGCGTAGTCGCGTTAAATTTTCCGTAGTTTGACGGGGCCGTACTTCGGGGACCGTACAAGAACAAAGGTCGAGGATTCCTCTTCGACGGGCAGCAAGATTATCTTCTCTAGCACGGCGCAGTTCCAGAGGAAGGTTTTCTGGTCTTTGAAATGTTGCAAAGCTTGTGCTGCTTTGTGCGAATCCTGCGAGAGGAGCTTATTTGAGTTGGAATCTTCACGCTAGAATCTCAAAGCTCACAGTGAGTCTGAAATGGACAGTCACGGTGCGTATCTTTGGAACAAGGCGAGAGACGTCGTCCAGTGAAAGTGCACCCTCGGTGATCGCATCCATATCGACGTGGAGCGTGTGAACAGCATACAGCATGCAAGGAGGCAGGACTTCAACCGATTCGATACCCCTCATGCCATGGAAACAAGAGATGATGTGGAGAGTTTGCAGCGCAGAACACAGTGTCGGCGACTGTCCGAGGATGATAGCCATGTGGATGCAGGCGCACACACGCTCGGGCTTGCACGGGACGCGTGCGAACAAGGGTGCGGCCTCTGGAGGTAGAGACACCTCAGTGAAAGATATTTCACGAAGTGTGCTTGCGTGACGCGAGAGCAGAGAAGCCAGCGCACGGCCATCCTCGAGGGCCATCGGTAGTCGGATGAGGGTGAAGCTCCGGAGTGCGGGGAAGTGGCATCCATTCCAAAACCCGGAGGTGTCGCGAAGGCGGAACCTGAGGTCCATCGTTAGGCTGACAAGGCACGGGAAGCTCGCTGATAGCGTCGCGGGTAAAGCGCAGTGACCAACGATGTCTTCTAGACCGTAGTGCTCTGTCTTGAGTGTCAAGAGGAGAGACTTGTACGAAGGAAACGTGCGCTAGACACACGCATCAACATGGGACAGAGGGAGCAATTAGGATATACAGGTGGACTCACATCGGTGGGCCACACATGCGAGTCACCGGTGCAGTACATGTTGCCGCTGAGATGCGTCGCGGTAGAAGGCAGGCTGTCGATAACGTGTAGGAGCCCAGCCCATCCTCTCATAGGTGCGTGGCCGAGCGCGTCCAACACACGGAGGTTAGGGAACACCATCAGGATCGATCCGTCACTCAGGACGTCCCATCCAGAGTCACTTTGATATCCTAGCTTCAACTCTTTGACCCAGCGAAGGGCGGGGTCGTCTCGAGCAATCTTGGGAAAGTGGAGGGAGGACAGGTTCTCGTGGGTCAGCACGATCCGGTAGTGCAGCGCCCGCTGGCATAGCTCGTAGTTCTTTCGGCTGGTCAAGCCAAAGTTGAGAATGAAGGGCTGAGGAACGAGCAAGAGGATCTCATGGATGAGCTCGGGCGGCACGTCGTCCAGAGAGACCTTGGCACGAGGCCCATTCGAATTTGCCTTTGCGGCTTGGGGACTAATGTTCTGTGACTTCGTTCAGCTGGATAAGTCCAAGCCATAGTAAGACATACCGTCCACCTTAAGTGCGGTAGCCAGCAATGTTTGCATATGGCTCGTGAGCTTCATGTTGAGTTGTACCTTCGGATTAATGGAGAGTGGCGTGTGTGCCCAGGGGGAAGGGGACTAGTGGCCGGCTTTTCTTCATGGCGTTCACAACGTTGTCATTATTAAGCTGGCTTCGAACAACTGCGAACATGATGAATGTGACGTACAATGTTCCGGCCTTCGTGTTTGACCGGGTCATTCGCGGCGCTTGCCTACGCAAGTGACACTGGCAAGTCGTCTGGCGATGTGCTAGGCCTGGATGTAGGAGGGTTATGTACAGCAAAGCCTCGCGTCTCCAATTACGAGCAGGTATCTCTAACTGGATAATCGAGATGGCATGGGCGACAAAAGAGCGTACCAACTGAGCTGCGTTCGTGCATTCGTCCAAGTGTATTATAGTGAAGACGCTCAGAGGCAGACGCCGATCGCGGAGGCGGTAGTGCATGGGCGCCTATGACCACCCATCTGCCGCAGCGTCAGGGCGTTCTCACTCTCTCCCTCCTCCCTCATCTGTCCTTTCGCGTACCACTTGCTAGTGCTGAACAAGTTTTGCTGTGATGAGTCTCTGGGTACGTTCTCTTGACCAGATGCAGGCGAGCAGCATTCATCGCTGAATAACCTAACAGACCGAGCACCGGAACCCGGAAGGGCGTACATATTGGTTCAACACCCAGACGAGGGAGAGTGTATGGGAGAAACCAGATGGTGCGTGAATAGTAAACGTATGGCGTATATCGATGCTTACAGCATATTACAGACTTGAAGACGCCGTTCGAGGTGTGTCTACATGTCGTGACTGATGAATGTCTAACTGAGATTATCTTGTCACTCAGAAAGCCCTGAACCAGACCAAATGGAAGGAGTACTTCTCCGGCGGGCGGAAATATTACTATAACGTGCGTACCAGAGGTTTTGCATTCGCTGTGGTTGTTGACCCTTCCATACAGACGGAGACGAAGGAGTCGAAGTGGGACATGCCAGACGAGTTGCTCTTGTTGTTAGAAAAAGTCGAAAAGGATGGGCCTGCCGCGCAACCTGCCTCATCACTCGTGTAAGTTCGCCGCTTCCGTCTGCGTCCGCTATGGTCTTGACGCGCCCTAGCCCGACCGGCGCAGGCTTCGCCCCGGTCTCTATGCAAGGTGCCCCCAACGCTCTAGGCGGGACTGACACATCCTCATTCGCCCCCGGTCAACAGCCCCCACTCAACGGACAAAACGGTGCCGTGGGCATGCATACCGGCGGTCTTCCGTTCAGCGCCACCAGCATCCTTCCTGCTCGCCCCAATCTGCCTGATGACCCCGTCATCCCCCACAACGGTTTTGCCACGGTCGAGGAAGGAGAGAAGGCGTTCACTCATCTCTTACGCAAGGCGGGTATAGACGGGAACTGGACGTGGGATATGACGATGAGAGCCATCATCACTGATCCTCTCTATAAAGCGCTGAACACCCTGGCCGAGAAGAAAGCGACATGGCAGAAGGTTAGTTTGATTCATTATATCGGGTATTTTGCTCTAAATTCACGCAAATTAGTATGTGGACGGGCTGCGTGCTAAGGAGCAGGAGGAGCGCGAAGCTCGCCTTACCAAGCTCCGCCCGTCTCTCCGCAACATGCTTAAGGGCAATCCCAACGTCTTCCACTACACCACGTTCGCCACTGCAGACAGACTGTTTGCCCAACATCCCATTTGGCAACAAGGCAAGATTGAGGCCGAGCGAAAGCTCATTTTCGAAGAGTACGTCGATGAGCTGAAACAGCGCGAAGTGGTACGTCCTTCTTGTCTTTTCAAGCACAAGCGGTGGTAGTTCATCATCCACTGCATTTTGTAGCAAGAGACTCGTGCAGCTCGATCACGTAGCATCTTGAAGATCGTGGCGCTCTTCAAGAGGATGGACGTGGACGTCCTCACTCGGTGGCGGCAGGCGTACCACATGGTACTCGAGTCTGAGGAGTGGAAGGAGGATCCCGAGCTCCAGAAGCTTCCTACGCTAGATGTCCTCCTGGCGTTCGAGGACTATAGCCGTGTGCGGGAGCGTGAGTTCGAGGAACAGATGCGCCGGCGTCAGGTCGAGAAGACTCGCAAGGAGCGCAAGGCGCGCGAGGCTTTCAGGGTATGTCCGACAGTGCAATTCAATACATTCTCACAGACTAATCAGCCATGTCTAGGGTTTGCTGAACGGTCTTGTCGAGTCCGGAGAGATCAAGGCGCGCACCAAGTGGAAGGACGTATATCCCAACTTCTCCACGGATGAGCGCTACCTCAACATGCTCGGCAACCCCGGCTCGAACCCCATCGAGCTCTTCTGGGATATCGTCGACGCGCTCGACCAGAAGCTCGATGGAAAGATTGAAATCGCGATGGGTGCTATCAAACGCCACAACAAGGCGCTGGAAGACAGCGCGAAGGTGTCAGAGATGCAGACTGACGAAGGCGCAGAGGCTACTGAAGGCACTGCTCAGGCGGAGGGCTCTTCTGTCGAGTCGCGACCCCAACTTTTCGAGGTCGGCCCGGAGACTACAGGGGAGGACTTCGTCGCCGTTGTCAAGGCCGATGAAGATGAGGGTGTCAAGGCTCTCACCGACGAGGATCTGAAGGAGATCTACGACTCGGTATGTCATTCCCGTCCGCTGAGGAGATATTCGAAAGTAACACTCCTGTTCAGCTGCACCAGGTCGCTCTGAAGAAGCAGGCGGAAGAGAAGCGCCGCGCGGAGAGGAAGCAGAGGCACCTGCAGGATGACCTGCGTTACGCACTGAAGAAGGTCCCCGAGCTTCACGACGCCGCTCTGTCATTTGAAGAGGTGAGTTTTATGCGACGTCGTTTTGAGATATCACAATCTAAGCTTTTTTCGTAGGCGTTGCCGTTCATTCAAGAGCTCGCTGAATTCAAGGCTGTTGATGACGACGAGGGCAGGAAAACTGCGTTCGCCAAGTTCGTAAAGAGGCAGAAGGCAGGTCTGCGGCAACGTCCTGCATGTAAGCGCCCTTACTCATACATCTTTGCGCTCATTGACAGGAACGGCTGCGAGAGCGCGAACGTGAAGCTTCCGAAGACGGCGCCTCGACCACTAGCAGGAAGAGGAAGGAGCCCGTAAAGGAGCGCGAACCCGAGCGTGAGAGGGAACGTGAGCGCGAGCGGGACCGCGACCACCGGGATCGCGACCGAGACAGAGACGTCGACCGGGATCGCCACCATGACCGCGACGGTAAAAGTGAGCGGCGCGAGAGAGACCGTGACAGTCATGGGCGCCATGCTTCGAGGGACCACGGTCGCGAGCGTGAATACACCAAGGACAAGCCGTACTACAAGGACCGCGAGCGCGAGCGCGAACGGGACAGAGACAGGGACCGGGATCGGGACTACTACAGATCATCGAGGCACCGCGACTATGACAGGGACGAACGCCGAAGCGATCGCCGGGGCTCGCGCACTGAGTGGGATGATGCGTACAGCGCTCACGACGCCGCCCCTGCCCCTGCTCCCGCTCCTGCGTTCAGGGAGAGGGCGAGGAGCACGTCGCTCTACAAGGAGGCCGACCCGCGCGAGAAACGTGATCGCGGCGCGTATGAGGATCGGCCGTTTGATGAGAGGGCGGAAAAGGTGCGGGATGCGTTCGTCTTGGCCTCGGACTTTAGCAGTTTTGACGTCTCTGATCTTACGCAGAGGCCACGCTACAGCAACCCGCCGGAAGCACTTCCGGTGGAAAAGGCCGCACCTGTCGAACCGCCACCGCGTGCAGAGACTCCCGAGGAGGGCGAGATATAATGATCGTCACTATTAGTCCTATGCTTGTATGCTATGAGATCCGTGGTGAATGCTAGTTGCAATACTATGACGAGGCGTTCTCTACAATGTCGATAGGACCGATGCGCAAACGCGTGTACGTCTGCTTGTGGTCGACCGTCCTCTCGTAACCCTTTCTCCTCTTCTTCTTGAAGATGTGCTCCATCTTGCCCTTCGTATGTTCGACGACCGTCGCCTCTACTCGGACCTGCTCCGGAGGAATGGTCGGGCTGCCGCGGACGGTGTATTCGCGAGAGCCCAGCTCGTGGATGTCGGACAGCTTGATAACGTCGCCAACTTTTACGTCTTTGAGACGCGGGACGGTGAGGAGGTCGCGAGGCGTGAGGAGGTATTTTCTGCCGGCCACGCTGGCGACGACATAGTGCGAGGGCTGCGAGCGAATTAACGAGAGCGCGCCGGGGGTAGTCGTGGGCACTGTCTGGGTGTGCAGCCCGCGGGTTGCGACCGCACGGAGAGTGGCTGCAGAGAGGGTGAGCGAGGTCATGGAGGAGACGATGAGCACACTTTACTCACGTCTGAGGAGAGATGCCATGGCCGGCAGCGTCGACGGCGACGACCGCGAGCGCAAGGAGGACCTCGGAAGACGGGGGAACAGGATATTGGGGCGGCGCCCGAAAGCGGGTTATGTAAGGCAAACTTTGGGTACCCGGGTCGTCCCTACGGCCGACGACTTCATCCCTCCCTCTTTCCTCCTCCCCCTCGAGCGCACCATGCACAGAGTCGCCCTCAGAAACACTGTCCGCGCAGCTGCGCTGGCCGCCACCAAAGTGCGCCCCGCTTTTCTCCTCATTTTCCCCAGTTTTCGTGTGCTCAACGGGCCTGTCCGCAACCAAGACCGCTGCCCGCAGTACCCCTGCTGTCTCGCGCTCGTACGCGACAGCTAAGGCCGGTATGTGTTGCTGCATTCTGCTTGCCAATGACGGCCGCTCATGCAGTCCTTCTCCTGCTGCGTTGGCATGCGCGCTATGATGTTTTCGTGTGGGGACTCGTGACACGTCACGCGTAGCTGCGTCTGAGGTCTCTTCCATCCTCGAGTCCCGCATAGCTGGCACTTCCGTGGGCGCAAATGTCGAGGAAACCGGTCGCGTTCTTAGTGAGTGCATCGTCTGGCATGACAATACACCCAGGGAGGCTTATGACGTGTCGTACTCAAGGCGTTGGTGACGGTATTGCGCGTGTCTGGGGTCTCAAGAACGTGCAGGGTACGTCGCGTTCTACTCGCCCCTGCATTCGTGCTTACGTCGGAGCTCGCACCGTACAGCCGAGGAGATGGTGGAGTTCTCCTCTGGTATCCGTGGCATGTGCTTGAACTTGGAGGCGGACAACGTCGGTGTCTCTATCTTCGGTAACGATCGTTACATCAAGGAGGGCGACACCGTCAAGCGTACCGGCCAGATTGTCGATGTCCCCGTCGGCCCCGAGTTGCTCGGCCGCGTCGTCGACGCTCTCGGTAACCCCATCGACGGCAAGGGCCCCATCCCCACCACCCTGCGCAGCCGTGCCCAGCTTAAGGCCCCCGGTATTCTGCCGCGTCGCTCGGTCAACCAGCCCATGATGACCGGTATCAAGCCCATCGACGCCATGGTCCCCATTGGACGTGGCCAGCGTGAGCTTATCATCGGTGACCGTCAGACCGGTAAGACCGCCGTCGCTATCGACACCATCCTCAACCAGAAGCGGTGGAACGACAGCAAGGACGAGGACAAGAAGCTCTACTGTGTTTACGTCGCTGTTGGCCAGAAGCGTTCGACCGTCGCCCAGCTCGTCAAGACCCTTGAGGAGAACGACGCGATGAAGTACACTATCATCGTTGCGGCCACCGCCTCCGAGGCTGCCCCCCTCCAGTACCTCGCTCCTTTCTCTGGCTGTGCCATGGGCGAGTGGTTCCGTGACAACGGCAAGCACGGTACGTAGGCAGAAATTTTTGCATGCACAAATCGTCTCACATTCGATTTTTCCAGCTCTCATCATCTACGATGATTTGTCGAAGCAGGCCGTTGCTTACCGTCAGATGTCACTGCTCCTCCGTCGTCCCCCCGGTCGTGAGGCTTACCCCGGTGACGTCTTCTACCTGCACTCTCGTCTCCTCGAGCGTGCGGCGAAGATGAACGAGAAGTTCGGCGGTGGATCCCTTACCGCTCTGCCTATCATTGAGACCCAGGGTGGTGATGTGTCCGCGTACATTCCCACGAACGTGAGTGCTTGCGGACAGCACAGGTCTTCAATTAGTAAATGGTGTTTTTGTTTTGCAGGTCATCTCCATCACCGACGGCCAGATCTTCTTGGAGGCCGAGCTCTTCTTCCGTGGTGTGCGTCCCGCCATCAACGTCGGTCTTTCCGTGTCCCGTGTCGGTTCAGCCGCGCAGACGTAAGCCCACAATTTCATCTTCTATGTTGCGTCTATTCATCGCCCTATTTTATGTTTACAGCAAGATCATGAAGAAGTTCGCCGGTTCGCTCAAGCTGTACCTTGCCCAGTACCGTGAAGTCGCCGCCTTCGCCCAGTTCGGTTCCGACCTCGACGCGTCTACTCGTTTCCTCCTGTCGCGTGGTGCCCGTCTGACTGAGCTGCTCAGTAGGTTTTGTGTGATATTGAGTTGCACATTTTTCTGACATTTCTTTTGCAGAGCAAGGCCAGTACCAGCCCCTGGCGATGGAGATCCAGGTCCCCATCATCTACGCTGGTGTCAACGGTCTCGTACGTGTATTCGGTTATGAAGTGTTATGTCCGTACTAACACCGTTGTGCAGCTTGACCCCATCCCCGTCGACCAGATCACTAAGTGGGAGGCGGAGTTCCGTGGCCACCTCGCTGCGGCGCACTCCGGTCTCCTCACCGAGATCGCCAAGGGCAACATCACCCCTGAGATCGAGGGCCAGATCAAGAAGATCGTCGAGGAGCACGTCGCCTCTTTCACCTCCGCGTAGACGGTAGACCGCGAACAAAATGCTGTTGTTTAGCTCTGCCTATCAGTACTATAACCATGTCGCAATCGAGGACGACTTAGTATGGTCGCGTAATTGTCCAGCTTGTGTCTTCTGTGCATGGGAGCTTAGAGGATCGAAGGTAATGCCAGCTGTTTCGCTGTGACCAAGATTTGCGTGTTTATGTCAATACCAAACAAACTATAGCAATGCATTGTTTGCTCATCACGGAATTGTAGTCCGTTCCCGCATGCAATCCAGGGTATCAACGCTATACAGGCACTGCCTATAGTGCGACACTGTTCCTTGTGTCAGACGACGAACCTGCCGCTTAGATAGGGGTGTTTCGTAGGATGCGACAACCTCCCCGTCACACACGGTGACAGAACGCGACCGCCAGGATCACGTGGGATGACGCGGGGAGTGCGGGGGACTCGGCGAAAGGCGTGAGTGCGGCGGATGAGCAAGAATTACAGCTGGTAAAGAAACGATAGGCCGTTTTTTCGGCGGCTCACCTTTGGGGCCTTGTTTACTGTGTGGGGCCGGACAAACACCCCTCAGCCAATGGCTGAGGCCGTTTGGGCGGTCGCTGTGGCTCTTACCAGCGCTGTCAGAGCCCAACGCCGTAAGCCTGCCTGATTTTGGTGTGCCGACATATGCCGCCTATTTGTACGGCCCCACAGGTAAACAAAATCTCTGAGGCGAGCGATCAGAAAAACGGCCTATCGATTCTTTACCAGCTGTAGTGAGCAGATCATAATGCGATGTCCCCCTCCTTCACTCCCGTCGCCACCCTCGCACGATACGCCTTGTACTCTCGTACCGCCTCACGGGCTGCGAACGGTCGCACGAATAGCCTCGCGACGCACTGCAGGCATATAAACCGACCAGTATTTGGCGGGATTGCACCAAACAGCACCTTCAGCCGACACTTCCACAGCACCCAGCCAACGATGTCCGACCCTAGCAAGAGCAAGAGCGAGAGCGAGTGGAGGGCCATCCTGAACCCTGAGCAGGTGCGCGGACCCGACACCGATGCACCCGTTTCCATCGCTGAACCTCTGTGATAGTTCCGTATCCTCCGAGAGAAGGGTACGGAGCGCGCGGGCACGGGCAAGTACGACAAGTTCTCGGAGGAGGGCGTGTACACCTGTGCGGGGTGTGGCACGCCCCTGTACAAGAGCGCGACCAAGTTCAACAGCGGCTGTGGCTGGCCCGCGTTCTTCGACGGTGAGTGGGATGTATGCGTTCGGTATAGCTTCGCGGGAGCTAAATACTTCCGGTAGCTATCCCTGGAGCGGTCCAACGCCATGAGGACCGCACGTTTGGCATGACGCGCATCGAGATCACCTGCACGGCTTGCGGGGGTCACCTCGGCCATGTCTTCAAGGGAGAGGGCTACCCTACGCCTAGTAGGTCTGTCATATATGCGTCTTAGCACGGGTACTGACTAGACATTGCGCAGCCGATGAGCGTCACTGCGTGAACTCCGTGTCCTTGAACTTCCACGAGGGGAAGTCCGACTAGAGGGTTACGTTGAGCAGATTGAGGTGTATTTGGTGATGATCAGTTTGTCAGGAAGCATGTATCAATATACCGCGTTGGTTGGAATTCACGATGCGGGCGAGCTTCTTACAGTTCGGGAGCCCAATGAAACCATCCTGCCATTGCGATCACTATACACAGCTTGAATGAGGAATGCTTAACCAGTTCGACGACGCGTAGGGTAGATGAGGTGCCAGGTATGAGATCGTGATGACCATCGCGGGAGATCGGCGGGGGAGACGGCAGGCGCGTGGACCGAGAGTGCCCTGCCTGAGATACGAAGGTCTTGTATAGTACATTGACGTATGTTGGGCGATCAGAGACCCTCCATGCTGCTGACGAGCTCGTCGAGCTCTGCCTTGGACGCGCGGTACTTCTCTTGCGCCTCCTGTAAACGCGCAAACATAATGGTGGTCAGTACATCGTGATTGGTGATCGTGCAGTCGCGATACGAGTGCAGTGGGTGGAAAGGGGACACTGCAGACAACTTGGGCGTATCACGTACCTCGTACTTCTTCTCCCACTGGTCGCGCTCTTGCTCGAGACGCGTAACCTGCCGCTCGAAGTGCTCCGCCTTGACATCGACCTGTCTCAGCCTAATGGGGCGGATATTACGCGTCGGCAGGGGGTTAATCGGGTCCCTGATGATTTACGTACTTGTCCATGGCGTCCTTCAGGTTCTTGTCCGCCGCGTCGAGCTCCTCCTCGAGCAGCTGGATCTTCCGCTGGAGGCCCTCGTTCGCGGTCCGGCTCTGCTCCCCGTCCTCCTGCGCGCTCTTGAGATCGGCGAGCTTCTGCTCGGCCTTCTCGAGGTCGCTGTCGAGCACGGAGATCTTGTGCTGGAGCGAGGTGATCTCTTGGTCCTTCTCGAGCAGCGTCTGCTCGTACTTCTTGTTCTTGGCCTCGGCCTCCTCTGCGCGCGCGACTGCGTTGTCTGCCTCAGTGCGGAGGGATTGAAGACGCTGTGTTCGCGATCTGGTGAGTCAATCACGTCCAGTATTGGGCACGTAAATGCCTACACACTTCCTTGATCTTGTCCATCGTCGATGACATACGCTAGGGGGGAGGTTGACGGTGTGTTGGAGGTGGAACGGAGGAAGGCGTAACACGAGCTGCTGTGCTGTTTCGGGTGAGCAGTACTGATAAAGTATCAGCCGTGGGAAACCAGGCCCTTTGCGGTAATACGCACGTGGCCGAGGCCACTCTCGAGAGCCGAGCGCGGAGCTGCTCAGCACAACTCTTCCTGAACTCTCTCGTTCGAGCCACCGTCCTGCTCGTCCCGGAACCCGCCCATCTAGCCCGGACCAACCGCAGAACACGCGCAGGAACACCCCAGCTGGTAGCGACATACCAATCTCGGCTGCGATGTCCGCACCGGTCGCTCAGGAAGGTGGGCACGAGTCCGCGCTGCAGCCACCCGCCAGGCTGATCTCCCCATGTTTCGGCATCGCTCAGAGCTGCCTATCCTGGAGGCGGTCATCAAGTGCGTCTGTCCTTCCCCGCTCACCTCCCCGTCCGAGCGTGTTCTGATGCAAGTTTAGCATCCGGAACCGTCTGACCGCGCTCAAGAAGAACAGAGGCGAGTTCATCAAGTCCGCGGACGTGAACCAATTGTACCAGGCGATCGTGAAGCAAGGTCTGTCTTGCGCTGCTGTTTCTCCATAGTGTCGGTCATACGCGCTGCGCCAATCCACGAACTAACGCAACTGTTTTCCGGCACCTCGCTCGCTCTCATGATCGGCCTCGGCACCCTGGCACACCTCTGGATTACTTCTAGTCACCCGTCTGAATGAAGTCCGCGACGATCACACTACATACAACAACCGCCTAGACACGACCCTTGCCGATGTCTTCAACCTCCTCTCCCTCTTCTACCTCACCATAGGCCGGACGCGCGAATGTCCCGCTACTTACAGCCAAATTGCCAGCATGCGGGTGAGTCACCTTCAGGTTATCATTCACGCCCCTTCTCGGCGGCAATGCGTTGGAATCGCGCACTCAATCGCCGCCGAAAAATATCCAATACCCCAGACAGCATCTCGTAGCCGTCTCTCCTTTCCTGGTGCCAAGCTTCGCGCGCGATGACGCCTGGAAGACGCACAATCTGCCTTCTGCTGTTCACACAGCAGCCTCCTCTGATCTGGGCACCCTTACCTCGTTCCGAGCCTCCGGAGATGGTACCTGCTGCAAGATAAGGTGGCTTGATTGGGCCCAAAGGCCACACTGGGCCTTTGAGAATACAGGCTTGGTTCTCCCAATCACGTCACTCGGAGTTTTTGGGCGCAGCGAAAATCCCATGCGGGAGCACTCCGGAGCGCTACCGATTACTATATTCTTACGATCTGCGCTACGCGAACGACACAACGGGCCAGAATATGTCGCGCGGCTCTTCTGTGGCATTGTGCACCTCGGATGCACGGGCGAGGGGCCGATGCCCTCCCCCGCGCACCCGTAGATGGGCGCGGGATACCGCGGGCTGTCTGGGCGCGAGCGAGTGCATATAAGAAGTGTCACAAAATGGTAGAGTTGGCCGTGATTACCCCCCGCTCTCCGCCATGAACCTCTCCTTTTTTATTACGTTCCCGCGCATTTATGGGACGCCATGCGTGCAGAGCCCTGTTCTAGATAGACTGGTTATGCTGACAGTTTGTTCGCAGCAAATCCTCATCCACATGGACGAGTCTGGCATCTACAACGAATCCGACCTCAACCCCTTCCACCGGCGTCTATCCGAGCTACGGTACGTACATTCCCCCATCACCAACGACTAGTTTCAGGCGTCAGCTGGTGCTCGCTTCTGCCGCGAACGCGTCCGTGATGCGTACGCGCGGTTTCAACCCCTGTCCTGTCTTGGCGTACCCCACGCATAGCGCTTGATGGCTCACTCGCCCCGTAGAAATATCGTGCACCATGACATGGAAAGCGGCAAGCATCCTCCAGCCATGACCAAGCTGCTGGACCGGCAACTCAACGAATGTGGTGAGTGACCCACTTCACGTTGTTACGCAGGCTCGCTTTTCGTGGGCATCCCAACGTGCCGCCCTTCGTTTATGTTCTTCTTCCTGTGCTCGGAGTTCTGATCATAGCCGCCCCCTCGAACTCCCTGCCTGCAGTCTGAGCACATTCCTGCGGCGACTAAGATGGCGATAGTGAACGGTATCCCCAACTCCAGGTCCTCCACCCTTCGACTGGGTTTCTACGTATGCGAGGTGCTCACGTCTCATACTTTTTAGACAACCTGTTGCACAAGCTGCAGGACTCGCTCTCCGTTCTCTCCCCAGAGCTCATCCCCATACACGAACGTCTGGTGAACATTCGACGGCAGCTCGTCGCGCTAGCAGCGAAGGAGACCGCGCGAGAAGTAGACGCCGCGGACGCACACGCGGAAAAACTCGAAGACCTTAAAGGCAACAGCTCGGCATCAAGCCAAGACAGCGAGTCGTCAGAGGCCGAATCGAAAACGCCGACGCGGGAGAGCACGCCAAAGCCGGATGGTCACCGCGAGAAGGAAGGCAAGGACGGCAAGGAAGGCCTGCGGGTAAAGGCCGAATTGAAGCCTATCCAGGAAGAGCTGCGCAGGATTGACTCGTGAGTCGCGACCGATTCTACGCTTGCGATACCAATCGTGGAAGCTTACGCCCCTTGCAGCAAACGCGTGGATGGGAAGTTTTTCGGGCCAGGAGGGACCGTACCCGCGTCGCAAGCAGTATGCTCGTCCTTGCTCGAGGACTGCTTCGACATCGTGCAGGAGATCCGAGCGCAAGACGAGTCGAAGAACGTCGCATCGTCACTGCGGCCGATATATGACCGTCTGAGCGAGATCCGGAAGGAGCTTGAGCAGCTCGTCCTCACGCACCGGTGGAGTCTCCGGGAGACGGACCTGTGGAACTACAGCCTCAGTCTGCAAGAGATCGACAAGATGCGCGTAGACGGCAAGTTCGTCGACGCAGAGGGCAATCGGCCAGAGGGCCAATATGTGAGCACGCCTCTTCTTGCGCGTCCGCCCCCTGATCCACGGTTCTAACGTGCCATCCAGGTTCTCCTGTACCTTCTTCGGCGATGTTACGGTTTAATTTACCGGCTGCTCTCCTCGAGCGAGCCGGTCTCCGAGGAATTGATGCCTATCGTGAGCGATCGTGGCCTTTCGGTAGTTTACGCTGGCGCTAACGCTGCTATTCCTAGGCGAACAAGTTGTCCACTGTGAAGAAATGCCTCAACGAGGTGTTGAAGTACGGCGGCCCCTTTAGCCCTCGGGACCTATACCCGGTACGTGCTCTATCTACCCCTGTCGCCGGTTGTCAAGGGTAAAGACGTTCGGCGGGACTAACATACGCCCGCAGTACCAACTTGCGCTGCATCAGATCGACTCTATGCGGAAGGAGGGCAAGTTCGTCGGCGTGGACGGGACGATCCCCGAGGGACAGGGCATCGTCATGGCCCACCTGAACGAATGCCACGAGCTCCTCGAGATGGTCCGTATCCCGTCCCACTCGCTTATAGTCTAACCAAGCTGACATGACCCGCGCGCACAGCTCAAGGAGTCTATGGAGGACCCCGAAGATGAGGAATACGTCGACGAGGACGACTACGATTTCAACGATCCGTCGGACGAGGACCCGGAGGACGAGGAATAGGAAGTCGCGCGCAGCATCTCTCTGTTAGGAGGCGATCGCGAGCTAGATGCGGTGGATGGCGGGTTTGCCCTAGATGCGGGGACTGCACGTTGCGCGGAGGGGCGTCGGCTAACATATCTGTATGAGTGGTACCGTTATACTAGAGGACCTGGACAGCGCTGGAATTTGCAAAATGAATGCGTCTATAATTCCCCCGTCTTCTCTGTGCCGCAGTGTCCCGGTGTTTTATCGTTGTTCGAGCACGGTGTTCCATATTTATTCAACCTCTGGCGCCGAACCCGAGGGACAAGCATGTCTCTGTACTCAAATCGTAGTATCCAGTGGTCTTGTCGTGATGACCTTGCGACTGAAGGCGCGCAAGTTAAAAAAACTCGCCGTGAGCAGGGGCAGACCATCAAGAGACTCATGCGGGCCGAGTCGAGCGAGGCGGAAGCAAAACCCGCAGACCCAAACTAGATCATTCGACACTACCAGAGCGCGTCCTCACAAACATACAACACTAAGTACAACTACCCTAAGTACGAAATACTGATATGGCAAAATATGTAACGTAGTAGGTCATCGCAGTCATGACTATCATATCAACAAACCGAACAAGAAATACACCATCTTGCCATCCTCGCGGAAACTGCTGGGGTCTATCACGGAGCCCCCGACTCGTCTCCAAACGGTCTAAACGCGCCCGTAGGGATGGCGACCGGGATCGTGGGGGAGGGCTCCGACGACACCCTTCGGGGCTCGCGAATTGAGATGTCGAGTCGCTCGCCCCGTCCGAGCTCGTCTGGAGACCCTAACGCAGGTTTCCACGCAGGTTCCGACCCGAGCCGGGCACTGTCCAGCGCGACGTCGTCATACTCCTCCGCAGGCTCGCCCACGGAGAACACGGGGGTTTCAGGGTACTGCGTTGACGTGCGCGTAGAGACTTTGTACATTGATTCGGAGCCCATGGAGTCGGTGCGGCCAAGCGCGTGCTCGGCGTAGATCATCTTCTCGACGTCGGTGAAGGCGGCGGTGGAGGGGGTGCATATACTTTGCTCGGTGTTCGAGCGGGAGGGGATGCGGAAGCGTTGGCTGATTGACCGGGGGACGACGCTGCCGGCCGGGAGGACGCGCCTAGTTGTGAGGAACAGTGCTACGTTCACGCATCCTGTGAAATGAAGTGTATAGTTCAGCACACCGCCGTCATAACCTGCTGAGATACCGACGCACCTGAAAGGAGGAAAATCGCGTCGCTAAAGCAAACATGAGATGAATCGTCCTTGGATACGAAAGGACGGCATACCAAAATATCGTCACCGCATACGGCACCTCATGCCCCGTCCATTCGACGAATCGAGAGACCGCAATAGGCAACAGCAGTATCGTATACGCCAGCTGCCATGTGACCACGAGTCAGCTTTGACGCAGTATACACTCCCTTCACCCTGCTTACATACCGGGTACCTAGATCGACAGTCCAATGTTAGATTGCCTGAGAGCATGCCAAAAGGTTGAAGCACCCACAGTAGCATACTCTTCGCGACGTTCACAGCATGCGAGTCGACGCTCCTGGTGGAATACTCGGTGCTTCTTCGTCCGAAACGGAACGACACCCTCCAGCCGTGCAGCATGATGTTTCCCCGCAGCCTCAGATATACCAGGATGTACATGATGAAGCTGAGCAGGGCGGATAGGAACATCTGGATCGAATCGGTCGGTACTTTGTGGAAAGACATGTACCCTAATATACTCACAATCATATAGTCCAGTCTACGCAATACACAGTATCAGTGGATCGGCTTATTGACGTGATCAAAGGCACCTACGTGATTCGTTCGGAGGGGTACTCGTCCGAGATCCAGCACCAGTATCCTGAAATGGCGTCTGCAGTATAGCCATAAGCTCCAAGGTCAGTATAGAAAGAAATATATACGCACAGAAAGGGCCCTTCTCGACTTTCTGAAGGAGGCCGGGGCCGACGCTTACGATGAAACCGATGGTAGACCAGCCGCCCACGAAAGCGCTGATGAGGATGACTCTCCGGAGCTTCCAGCGCAGGAACAATATCCAGAAAGTGTTTGTGGCAATGATCTACAAAGTTGGGCCGTCAATGCCGTTATTCGCCGCCAGGTGCAACAGGTGTTTCATACCAAGGACCTAGAAGTGTGCTCGTCAGGCAAAGACTCTGGCACAGTATAGTGAAAAGGCGTACCAGTAGGCCGTGCCGACATCAGCTACGTGTTTCAATACACCTGTAAACCGTTAAATCAGGCGAGGAATGTTGCATGTGGGAAGTCACATTATCAAACCTTGCGTCGTGCAATATGGTCCAAATGTTACCGCCATTTGACTGAACCAGCGGACGTTCATGATGGAGCCAATTGCTAGAGCATATATCAGTACCAGTACGTGTTTGCTCAATAATTTCCTCCGAGACGTACTTTGCACTACCTCGCATGACAGCATGCAGATGAAGTACGCAGCGACGTGACTTCGGACGAAGAGATTACGAGAGGTTGACTTGCGGGTGTTGAACGCAGATATCTGCCTTGACATTAGACACCTCTCCTTGACATTTGGACGGGTGGACATACCGCTATAGCCAGAAGAAGACCTGTGACTGCGGTAGCGGAGATGCAGGAGATTATTGCTAGAATCTGTCAATCATGCCTTCTGTATGCGAACATCACGAATCCTCTTGTTTAAAAGAACGCACCAGTACACCAGTCTCTTCTCCCGGGGCATACGGTCTCCTGAGGGTGAAGAGATCTCCTTCAAGGAGTTTCGCGACCGTGTCGGCGTTGCTCGTCGCGTTCGTCATGCTCGCGTCAAGGTAGCAACCGGCGTCAAAGCAGGACAATCAGAATTAGAAAGCAGTAGAGATATGTACGAAGAGAAAACGGGTAGGTGGGGGTTGGGGAACCAGCCCGCAAGGAAGTATGTATACAGAGCGCGGGCCCGGCAGTGGTGGGGAATCGAGAAGACTCGACCACTCCGTGACGGCGGCGCAGGCGTTGGTATAGCATGCAGTCCACCGGGGACCAGTGCATGTCTCAACAGGCACAATCATCATGCCTCTGCCATTGGCCATCTCACTGGGCGCGCGGGTGTCAGGGCGGCATATGATGATGATGGTCTGCACAGAGTTGCCGCCCCAGGCGCCCATGGCGGATGATATGACCGCCAGAAAAGGCAATTTGAGTGATTCACTCACAAGGCGTCTCCGAGTCCGCACTTTGTGCGTAGCCCACCACCACCCATATCGCTCGGGCGCACGGGTGCGCTGTCCCACTTATCGTGTATCTGTGGAAACGAGATAAGAGGTGCGTGTTTGTTTGCTTGGTGAGATCTCTACTACTGACTTGCTTCATTCTTTGTGGTATAGTGACTTCAGGCATCACTCCTCAGCCACCTCCAGTAGCGCGAGCAGATCTTGGCAGTCAATCAGCCAGTTTCCTTTCATATCTTCCACCCCACAAAAGATAGCATGGACGCAGTAGAGAAAGCAAACGCTGACAGACAGAAAAAATGGTCTGCTCAGCTTTCGTGCACTGCTCGCCGGAAATTAACATCTTTCCCACAGGTCCAAGGACCAGAAGATTGGTGAAGGTGCCTATGCTGTGGTATACAAAGGTAGATGATATTATCCATGTCTATGCGCAGTGGTTTAATATGGACGTCCAGGCAGGGAAATTGCGACGGGAAGGAAAGTGGCCATCAAGAAGATAAAGGTAGGTCAGTTCAAGGATGGCCTCGACATGTCCGCAATCCGCGAGGTCAAGTTCTTGCGAGAACTGAAACACCAGAACGTGATCGAGGTAGGGCCACCCCCGTACCCGTCTTATGATGACACTCAAAATGAATTGTACGCCTCAGCTGCTTGACGTCTTCTCATCGAAGAAGAACCTGAACCTCGTGCTGGAATTCTTGGACACCGACCTCGAGCTGGTCATCAAAGACCGGTCCTTGGTCTTCCTGCCCGCAGATATCAAGAGCTGGATGGCCATGACGTTCCGCGGCCTCGAGTTTTGCCACCGTAATTTCATCCTGCACAGGGTAAGGGCATCGTGCTCGCCACCCTAATTCAAATCACTTCACCTGATCCTCACACCCCTGTTGCAGGATTTGAAGCCAAACAACTTGCTCATCGCCGCCAACGGCCAGCTGAAAATTGCCGATTTCGGTCTCGCGCGCGACTTCGCGGACCCGGGGTACAAGATGACATGCCAGGTCATCACCCGGTCCGTTCCATCTCCCTATCTTGCAGCCATAAGATGCGTCAAACTGATGTGTTGTATCTGTCTCTCGCAGATGGTACCGCCCACCCGAGCTGCTCTTCGGTTGCCGATACTACAGCACGGCCGTCGACATCTGGTCCGTCGGATGCATCTTCGCCGAGCTGATGTTGCGCACGCCCTACCTGCCCGGCGAGACCGACATGGACCAGCTGAAGACGATCTTCCGCGCGCTCGGCACGCCTACCGAGGATGACTGGCCCGTAAGTCTCCCCGCTCTTCTGAATGTTCTCCCCGACATCGGCACTGACAACACCCGAATGCAGGGCCACACGAAACTGCCAGACTACGTCCCCGTGGGACAGTTCGCGAAGACGCCCTTCCGCGACCTCTTCACCGCCGCGAGCTCCGACTGTCTGAACCTCCTCGGCAAGTGCCTCATCTACGACCCCCGCCGGCGCATCAGTGCGAAAGACGTGAGCATCATCCAGCTCTCTGCTGCTATATCGTTGACCATGCTGACGTCGACTGCAGGCCCTCAACCACCCCTACTTCTTCGCCCTCCCGTACCCCACGCACCCCTCCAAGCTCCCCAAGCCGGCTAAGAAGGAGGACGCGGCCCCGCTCGAGGAGGTCGACGGCAACGTCGAGCAGAACGGCTCCGGCCCCGGGGTCAAGGCGAACCCGCCCAACAACAACAAGCTCAAGCGCAAGCACTCCTCCGACGAGCTCGGCAGCCGCCCCGTCGCGCGCCGCCTCGACTTCACAAAATCCTGACGGGCTGACGAGTCTTCACGCAATGGCAATCACACTCGGTGGGTGTGGAGGAGAGATGCGCAGGGCGCGCACAGGACGCCCTGCAACGAGCAAGGGGCGCGCGCGCAACGACGGCAGCACGGCGCCCCTAATCGAATTCTGAGAACGGGCCAGGTCCCTACTGCACCACGGACTGTCTGTACAAGTAGGTAATACCGGATGTACACTAGAAACGATATATAATGGCCTCCCGAGACTGGTAGGTGATTCGCATCGAACACGAGAACAGGGGGTAAAGCAGGAAAGGTACGAGCCATTGAGAGGATACACAACACGTAACTGGAGAATATACGACGAAACCAAGGGACATTGATATCAACAGCGCGGACAGAAAATGGACACTATCACCGGGGCGAGTCGCAGACCGTACACTTGTCCGCACCGCCAGGATTACTGAGCATGCAGACCGAGCACGACCACGTATCGCCCGCAGGTTTCGGCGGCGGCTTCATGCCTGCCTTCGACCAGTCGAAGCCCTGCACCGCCGGCTTCGGCTTGTCTTCTCGCGGGGCGTCGCACACCGTGCACTTCTCCGTGCCCGAGGGGTTGCGCAGCATGCACACCCCGCAGCTCCAGTTGTCCCCAGAGGGCTTCGGAGGCGGCTTCATTCCAGCGGCCTGCCAGTTGAATCCGCCGGAGGACGTCGCGGCGGGTGCGGGCGCGGATGCAGAGGCCTTGGAGAAGTCGAAGGTGGGGAGGGAGGAGACGGGGGCAGCCTTGGCGACCTGGCGAGCGTGAATGGTGCTGGGCCCGGCGCCGGGAGAGGATGTCGGGAGCGTGAAGGTGTACTTCGGGAGCTCGTCCTCGCGCATAGCAGCGACTATGGCGTGGGCATCCTTCGGCTTGCTGGATTCCGCTGCGGGTGTCTTCGCGGGCTGAGGCGCCGCGGTAGCAGGAGACTCAGGTACGACCTCCATCTTCTCGTCCTTTTCGACCTGGATGCTGAAGCGGAGCTTCGACGGAGCCTTGGGAGCGGACGACTTGCCAGGGGCACCGAACCCAGCGCCAGCGCGTTGAGAGCCGAAGCCAGGGAACGAGGATGTAGAGGACGAAGGCGAGGTGGCGCGCTTCTTCTCCGTCTTCTCATCGCTGGGCTCGACGACCTCGGAGGGCAAGGTGAGTGTCGAAGGCTTGGGGGAGCTGTAACCCGTCATTTCGACGTCGTCGATCTCCTCGACTGTGACGGGGTAGGCTTTGGTGGGCTTGGGAGGAGCCACCTGAGAAGTGCGTTGCTTCTTGGGAGAAGGCTGCTCTTCCTCGACCACCTCGTCAGTGGCCGGAGTGGCAGTCTTTGAAACGCCGTTGAAGCCGTTCACGGAGGGTCCCGTGCCGTTGGTCCTCGCACTACGCCGCGTGGACTCGGGAGGTGAGGTGACCCGCTTCGCCGGGGATTTCTGCCCAATGAGCTCCGGAGGCGGGCGAGAACGCTTGCTTCCCTGGATAGTCGGCTCATTAGTTTACATTGCTTCAAAGAGAGTATGGGGCACTTACCTTAGGAACGGTGGCCTCGATGATTGCCTGTGGCGTGAGCTCCAACTCCTTTGTCTTCGCCTTCTCCTTCTCCAACTTCTCGGCTTCGGCCTTGGCAGAGCTACGCGTCTTGCGCGCCGCCTGTTTCTTGGGTGCCGGCCTGACTAGAGGACTCGCAGCCTCGTAAGGGTTGGCGAAATCAGGTTTCTTGGGTGGCGTAATCTCCTTGATGAGCTCCGTCATGAAGCTTGCAGCTCTGGTAGGCTTGGCAGCCTTGGAAGGGGAGGATTGGGGAGGTGAGTCCGACTGGCCCCAGGTCTGACGGAGGGGTGAGGGCACGGCAGGGGCGGTAGGCTTGATTACACCCGATGTGCGGACGCGTGGCGTAGCAGGTGCGGCAGTGGCGTGGACGCCGTTGGGCTTGCCGTTAGTCTGCGAGCCGTTGGCTGCGACGGAACCGTTGGCCATTGTGCTGATGGAAGTTGAGGATGAGGATGAAGCAGCGGAGACGCCGTTAGCCTTGGGGACCCGTTGCGGCGAGGACGATGTGGCATCATCGCCTACACGCCTCCTCTTGCTGTCCGTCTTGGGCCTCTCCGGAGTCAGCTTGATTGTAGGCCGAGCAGCCGTAGAGCCAAATCCGGGCGATTGGTAGCGATTGCGAGGGCGAGCACTTCCGCCACCCTGCCAGCGGTAGACGCCCATAGGGTTCTTCGCCAACGTCTTACGGCCGTTCTGCGCTGCGGACCCAGATGCGCCAACCATCTGCTCCGAGGTGCTGGGAGACAAGAAGTTGATAGTGGGGGTAGTGCCACGGGCGGGTGTGCTTGGACTCTTAGAGAAACGGAAAGGTTCTGCGCGATCATCGTCTTCTGCAAATTTGATGAGTAAGGGAATCCTTTTGTTACCAGTGTACACACCTTCGACGCTATTTTGGAGGAGGGAAACTAGCCCGGCGAACTCAATTTGATTCAAGGGCCTGCCACCTTTCTCATCAAGGAACTCTTGTACCTTCTTGAGGTTGGAGGACGAGGAGACGCGCGAATCATCGCTACGCGGGGATGTGCGCTGGTCGCCGTTCGCAGATTGAGGTGGCGAGCGAACAGGTTGAACTGATACTGATTGCATAAGCTCCTCATGCCGCCGTTCGCGTTCTTCCATGTCGTCGATCTGTTGCTGTATGACCTCCATGGGGGTATTGGCGGGGCAGTACATCCCGAACGGCCGTTCGATTGATCGACCCTCGCCTTCCAGCTGCTCGGGAGATCAGCACACCGAGAACTTAATGGAAGAAGCCGATATGAAACGCACCTCCTCCCCTCGTGCCGTCAGTTTCCGCGCAGCATTGGCGTCCACAGGACCTTCCTGGGAAGTCGACGAGAACGATCGGAGAGGATTTAGATAGCTGAGAAAACCTGTCAGGCTCCATCCCTTGTGAGACGCGACGTCCATCAGTGCACATCCAATGGAGAGATCCGAAGGCACTCACTGAGGGTTTCTTCGCCACCGCAGAACCAGGACGAGAATATGGCGACGCGTTATTGTTGCGGTTATGCCGGCGAGTGCTGTGGTTGCGAACGGCTCCTCCGCTCATCTTGATGTCCAGGGGAGAGGTGTATGCACAAAGGCACAACTAGGGTGGAAGAGAGGGGGAGAAGAGGGGAATGGGGTGCTGTGGTAGAGGAGGACGATGGCTAAGTCTTGCTCGGGCTCAGACCATGCGCGGGCCACATGCGCCACAACAAGGGCCTCGCCCAGGACCTGCCCTAAACACTTCCGGTCACGCCCTGCACGCCTGCCTTACCGGGCCACACGGGCGCTTCATGCAGCAGCCTCTCTCATCGTCGTCCTCGTCGCCGCCGCCGCCGTAGACGACCATGCCGAACAAAGTGGTCGAGACCCCTTTCCCGCTCATCGATGCGGACCCCCATGCCTCTCGTGTAATTCGCTTCATGCGCCCCTCGGACTACGCCGTGTGGGCAGGTGCGACCGGCGCGGCACCTACCGCCTTGTTCTTGTGGGGTACGTCCAAGCGTGGACATCCGGTTCGTGCATGAAGCAATGACCTTGTGACAGACAAGTGGGACCCCTCTACGCTCAAGCTTAGGTCTCAGCTGCGTCTCGGAGGCTTCCTTGGTTTCGTCGGAGGCTTCCTGTTGGCGTATCAGCGGTCAAGTTGTAAGTCCTGCTGTTTCTGGCCTATCGAATGCGTTCATTTAGGTCATCAATAAGTCCGGTTCTGGGGCTGGTCCGAGAACAAGCGGGAGGAGGAGAAGGACTTCGCCGAGCTGAGCGACCGTGCAAGGCGGGGCCTGCCGTTGTACGGCGAGTCCGACCAGCCTGAGTGGATCCAGGGTGTTGCGTACCGCAACTCTGCGTTCTCGCAGCTCAAGTTCCGTACGTCTGCCCCTTTCTTCCATTCATACCTGGTGCTAACATGCTCGTTACAGACATCTTCCCCATGTATGCCTTCACTCTAACTGTTACTCGCGGCTTTATGTGCTGACTGCCCGTAGGTTCAATCTGGTCAACCACCCCCACCACGGAACAGACCCGGAGAAGTACAAGCCCAAGGACGAGTCCTCCTGATTCCTGTGTCGGAATACTATCCATTTTTCACATCGTCTTTGCATCCCGCGGACTGGATCTCTGCACCATCCCACGAGGATGCTGTATACGTGGTGTAGGCCCTACGTCGACATCAAGTACGGTTGCGTTTTCTCCGGCGCCCTCCCTCGCCTTGCTCTGCGCCCTCCTCGCTCGCCCCTGTGCCGTTCTCCCGCCCCTTGTCCTGCCCCTTCTCTTTCCCCTCCGCCACCATGCGCTGCACGACCGTCTCCCACATCACGTCGTTGATGCCCTTCGCCTTGCCCAGCTGCTCACGCAGACGAGTTACCTCACTCTCCAGCTCTGAAACGCGTGATTGCAGCGAGACACCCGTTGCCTCCGGCCCGACCGCAGACGGCTGGACGAAAAACGCGTGGTCTTTGATGAGCTCTTCCCGAGAATATGAGAAGAATGCGCCGGTAGACGTCTAGGAGAGGTTAGCATGCCTCGACGTCATTTTGAATGAGCTCCGTACCGTTTTATGAGGGATAATCAAGGAGACCTCGTGTGCCTCCCGCGCCTTCGCGTCCCTAATTCGTTGGAACGGCGCGACGGGGCGCACTGGGATGTTCTCTCTGGCATCGCCCGCAGTGCCCGCTCCGAGCGTTAAGCTGATGTGCCCTACGAGGTCTGGCGGCCGGAGCATCGTCGATATGTGCGTGACGGTCATGCCCTTATGTGAAGACAATGTCCGGAGGAGCTGATGCGACGCGATGTCGTATATATGAATGAGCCCCGAGGAAGTGCCCGCGAGGAGCATAGATCCGGTCAGGGAAATGACCATTGTCGTGACCGCCTCTCTGCGCAAATGCCTGCGTCAGGTACACGTTAGGCTAGGAGGCGTACGGGACGTACCCGACGGAGATGAGCCGTTTTCTCGCGTCCTTGGGATCAACATCGTTGATCCGTATGACGTCGCTCACACCCGCACCTCCGACAGCTTCCATCGCTGCCCGGCTAAACTTGTCTTCGCGTTGCCGGAACAAGTTCACCTGGTGGACCGACCCGTCTGCAGATGCCGCGAAGAACAGCCGTTCGGTAGGATCCCATGTGATGCATTTTATAGGTTGAGGGAAGTAGAAGGTCGTGAGGAGGGTTTTTGAGGCGGGGTCCCACACCTATGGGTGACGTCTTAAGAGGTGAATAAACAGAGATAAGCATAATAGACATACCTTGACAGTGTGGTCCACCGAGGCAGTGAGAATGCGGCACGAGGGGAATGCGCCGACGCCGCATACGACGTCTGTTACAGGCAATGTGTGGTCCGTGAAGCTGCAGTACGGCGTCGGTAACTCGTTTTGCAGCGTTTCGTCCAGTAACCTAGAAAACATGTCAAGAGTGGTCGGAGCAAAGCTCCTGAAGGTACGCACCTTGGTATTGACCATACGCTAACACCCGAATCCTCACTGCCCGCAACCAGTGCGGCCGCGTCCTGCGTGAAGCGCAGCACGTTTATCTGTCGGTAATGCGCGTCCCAGGAGTTGTACATGATCCCAGACGCAATCTACTATATGGTCGACAAAAGTGAGCCCGAGCCTGCAACTGCGAGAGGCAGAGTACGCGCCTCCCAGAGGAATATCCGCCCTTGCGCGGTCGCCCCGGCACAGTACTTGCCCTTCGGGTCCACCGTGATGGCCGTGAGCTTTTCCGGCAGCACGACCTTCAGCGCGAGCTGGTCCTGTTGTATTTGCATATTGTCAGAATTTTCCGCGTGCGGAGGACAGAGCACGCACTTTTTGGAAGTTATACACATTCAAGATCGACTTGTCCTGCTGGGCTGCGAGCATGAAGCCGCCCTGGCCGTCCCGCGACTGCACCGCAGCGGTACAATGTGCGCCCGCAGATGTTTGCTTCCATGTTGCAAGAGAGGTTCCTGTCTGGATATCATGGAGAGAGAGCGTCCCAGGCCCAGAACCAGAAGTAGAGGGGACGGTAGCGCATAGGATGGATTCGTTGAGGTGCATAGTAGCCTAAGATCGAGGTATGGCTTCCTCGTCAGTCAGAAAGGTCTACCACGGCGTTGCAAGGCAGACGCAGATTACGGGGAGGTCGTGTTGGGGGCGCAGACGAGTGTGAGGTTGATGGCAAGGATCGGTCTGGGGCATTGGCACGGCGGATTCGCGGGCGCTTCAGCAAATCTCTCGACCATAGCCACGTGCTACGGACTACAGAATGAACCCCGGTGGCTGTGTTATCTCGGGGGACCTGCGTGTTTTGCAATTTGCCACTCATGCCAGACTGACTGGGAGAACTTCCCCATCGTTGGTTTGCTCTTCTCGGTCTACACTATACATCTGTGTACTGGCTGGATCTCTGGGTATATCATATCCAAATACACTGAATACGCGAAATAAGCTCTACACCTCCTGCCGGGCCCAACATCATCGTCACGGTGTTGACTATTTCTCCAGACGTACTCCTACGAGTCAAGTTTCTGAACGACCTCCATCGCGATCGCAGCGCTTGCATTCTCTTCATCAGCGGACTCCCCAGTGCGGTCCGTGTGAAAGGTGACCGAACCGCCGCTGACAGTCGAACCGAGCGAACCGATAATGGGTGCGAAGTTGACCCCGCTGATGTTGATGTCCGTGCTCAACCGCATGTCGCTCGCATCGTCGGAGACTACTTGATTGGTCTCCTGGAGATCGAGGAGGAAGCGCGAGACGAGGACGGCGGTTACACTAAGAAAAAGACGTGAGGCGGCGTGGCCCGAGGGCGGTTATTCCAGGCGAGAGAAAAATCACGTACGGTTCGGTGAAGATTGTGACATAGCTCACGTTCACGAACGCTTCGTTGTACTGGTGTGCATTTCTCGTCAATCCCGTGCGAGGCGGGGTGCGTCAATGAAACTTACGGAGAGCATGGCGAAAGTCAGGTGCAAGGTGTTAAGCAGCAATAGCACGCTGCGGAGCGTTAGTCCCAAGGTGTCCGAGTATGCCATGACGCATGTCAACACCTACAAGAAGTACACGGTCCCTTTCGCACCATAATCAGCGATATGATTTGCTACGGAGGTAGGACTCCCCTCACCGTTGCGTAAAAGCGTTTTCGCAAACGACCATCTTTCGACGCCTGACAACCCCCGGGCGGAACGTGTCGCACGCCAAGTTACGATCATGACGAGCAGGTCTGCCGCGATTAGGCAAGTACGGGAGACGATAGTCACTGCGAAAACTCGATCAATATCTCTCAACAGCCGGAGTTGCTATGAAAAATTACGTCTGCAGGGAGGCTGTCAGCTAAGAACAGAGGACATGAATATGAATTAGGGCGCACTTTTGAGCTAGATGACTAGGCAGCGCAAGTTGGTTTACGCAGCCGTAAATAGAGTTGTTGACAGCCGTTAGCCAACGATAACGAGCCTACGGTGGTATCATTAGCAATGCACGGCGTTCAACACCTATACGACCCACATAGTTCACCACTATGGGCACAACAGAGAGCGTGAAGATGAGGAAGGTGGTGAGGAAGCGATGCCTGGCACTAAGCGCAAAGGCGCGCAACGTAGAGAACGCTGTGACGAATGTTAATTTACGGCTAGGCGGTATAGTATACAGGCTGGGCGTTACGAACCTGCCCAAGGAATATACTGCAAGACTGACACGATTGCGGTAAGCTTCACGAAGGACGCGCAACTGTGAATTCGGTCAACGGCGCCAATGCGAACGAAACAGATGTCTGCGTACCTCTATAGCTTTCAATTAGTAAAGTATACGCTATATAGTATCGGGCCTGGTTGAGATAGACTTACGCGGTCGGACATAGGCGTCGATTGCGATAGGTCGAGTATGACGGTGAGCAAGGGCAAGTACCTATTCAAAAGGAATAGTACTGAGGCCCCTGTAAACTTGCGCTTCCAAAACAGCTCGACCTCGCGATCGAAGGTGACCAGGTATTCAAAGCCGAGGAATGCTATCATCAGAGTCAGCTAAGGACTGCGACTGTTTAGCAAGATACATGTGCTTACCAGGTATTGCGATACCGCAGCAGTTGTCTATGAACCTTGACCACACTGTTAATATCAAGGGCGTAGCGGGGTAACGCTCAAAAACTCGTATGCTCACAAGCTTTCGAATAGCGTAATGTATTCGGCCACGAGTGAATCGTCGGTAGTCGCCATTTGATCCTAGACCCAATGTGTGTATGGGGTAATGGAGACAGTGCCCTCGACGGGAGAGTCGTGACGGTGGGACCGGTTTAAGTACAATTTCGAGCGGCAGCGGGTGTTAACCAGGGAGAGCGGGATTCCGTATTCGCAGATGCTATGCTCAACATCTGCTACTTCACCAGTATCACCGTCGATAGTATCTGTTGTAAGAGTGATCAGGCTAGCTGCTGGTGGTACCTACCTTGCCAATATGCACTGACCTTAGATGGCGACCGTTCGGGTCTGTTTGAAAGAGAACCGCGAACTCCGAGAATATCTTGACGAGCTCCTGCCAGCGCCAGCCACAGATACTAAGCTGGCAGATCTGCGTTGAGCATGTCTTCGCGGAAGCGCCACACAACATGGCACTGACCTTGTCGCGGAACAAGCGTTGGACGTAGTTACAGAATTTCTTTGAAGGGTATCCACATCATGATGGTCCGGGTGAACGTTCGGACGCTCGGAAACCTTCTTACATTTCCAGAGGAGTGGCTGACCAGGTATAGAGATTAGGCGCTTCGCGCCTATTATATACGACTTACTCGGCAACGTCCGACTCGCTGAGCGCGACTCGTCGCGATACGAACTGATCCTCCTCCTCCTCTTCTGACTCTTATACTCAGCTGTTGTTCCCCAATGCACGTCGACACCACTAGTACTGTGCACCATGCGTTAGAACATAGGTCTGGGGGCACTATGAGTCATATGCAGCGACACCAGGTAGTGATAATGTATGTCAGTAAGTACAAGACCAGATGAAACCAAGTACCGTCGAGCCCGACCGGGCGTTCTTCTATGCTAACGCCATTGCTTGTCAGGGATGATAGAAGTAATAAGAGTAGAGAATTCGACTGGGACAACTATACTGCTACGAAGCACTAGCAATACCGAAAACCGACACTCACTTCATCACAACATGGTCGGCGTAGCTCGTCTAAACTTCAGCTCACTCGACAGCAGAAATTGCAATACAGACATGATTTTCTGCAGCTAAGTAGTTCCTCGAGCTCCTCATGTAAGTCCAGGTTTGATGTGACCTCCACAACTTGCGCAGCCGAGACGCCGACGTCCTACGCTGCCCGTACCACATGATTCGAGGTGTGCCCCTCGCCGAATACTGTCGATGATTGCCAGTTTCCCACGGTCCTCATTCTACTCTCTATTCTCTTATTCCTGCTCTCGTCCGCAGTTCAATGCGATATTCACACGTGTTCTATCTGCGCTCGGCGCTCACTCGGCTTCAAGCCACCTCTTTTCTCTCCCCACGGCGGGCAAAGCGGTTCATCGCAAGGCGTGAAAGTGGTAGGAAAATCCCGCGAAGTCTTTCTTTTCCCTGGAACGTGACCTAAGCGTCCCGAGCAGGTATCCTTTCCCGTCGTTTTCCAGGGACAGTTTGGATTTCGCGGGATTTTCCCGGGATGCGATTTATCGCTTTGTCCGCCGTGCCCGCTCAACGTCCTTACGGGCGGATTCGCCAGCCTGTTAGAGCTGGACTGTCTGAACTGTGCGCACTCTACACTGCGCGGCTCGGCGCTCTGAAGAGGCTACTCTTGCGAAGCAGATGAAGCATGCGCAGCGGGCGTTCGTGCGCATGAGGCCCGACTGCCCCGCCCTCCCATCTCGGTCCCCACCCCACGTAACTGACTCTTCCCGGTATCCTGGCCCCTCAGAATACAACAAACCAGTCCCTCCCCCACCTACTGAGGCTGTTTTCAATCGTTTCGAAGAAGACCTCATCGCTTGGACATACTATTGCGAGTGCGCGGCGGAAGTTAACAAACGCGCCAGCAGCGGACATCGTGGTACGCTACTGCTATCACACGATGAATGCTGGCCACTAACTCCCCCGCTATAATGGTATCCCTGCTCCTCCGAGGGCAGAGTGACTTCACGTGTGTGATATCCCACTTAGGCTCACGTCAGCCTTAGACGCTTTGTCGGGATTCGCGCCTGCTGAGGCAGCTGGGACGCATTCACGCCACGCCACGCCACGCCACAGCGGTAGCTGAAAGCCTTCCACGCTCGAGGCAGTGATACTCAGCACGCTGCTCGCATCCAGAACGCCGTCCAAAATATATACCGCCCTTGCTGCTCCGATTGCTGATATGCCTCATGCAGGATACGTGTCACTGCTGGATACGCCACTGCCCGGCCTGCCGGGGTTGATCAGAAAGCACCACGATGAAGAGGAGCGCAGTGCGAATATACACCACAACCAGTGCGCGATGGGCGCGTTGAAACGGGCAGCACTCAAGCAGGCGTTGTTGAACTCTGCCGGCCTTCTGCGCAAGGGAGTTTGGTCGCTCGTGTAGCGTGCCTACGCAGCCTATACGCGCTTTTGAGCCAAGCACACCAAGTGGCCCGACTGCACAAACGCTCTCAAGAAGTCGCTCGACGTAGGTCCTCGAGTACTGCTGTGCGTAAGCGTCTTGTGGCTCACCCTTCCCAGACAGACGGTGCTGCCAGCCGGTCAGAGGACGGGCGAAGCTCAGGTTTACATAGCCGTTGCGGCTTTTCCAACTCCGATGTGGCCTGCTCTGACTGTCCGCAGTGCCGAGACGGCTTTGCTGGAAGGGAAAAGTAGATATTTTCTGACTCGATAGCGGACAGCAGAAAGTCAGCGTCATCGCATCCCATCGTCGGAACAGCCCTGCGGCCGTGGCTGTCAGCCGTGCAATGCTGTGTGCCAAAGACCCCCGCCCGACCACATTGGCGGTTCCGAGAACGTCGCGTTTCTGTGGGAGAATCGGAGGGCAGGCTCCGGCGGGCGGGGCAAGGGATACCAGTAACAAATATCTTCCTCCGTTCCGTGGATGATTGGAAACGTTTGCCGCCCAAATATAAAGGTATCAGTTACGACTGCCCCTACTCGTTTTTTACTAGTTGCATCACTGAAACCTTTCTTCCCTAGGTTTCCACGTTCGCGGCATTTTCGTTAGCCACACCTGACTGTGGTGAATAGACTAAATTTGGAGGTAGTCGCCCGAGCGGATCAGGAGCACTCCGGGCTGAACCTACACCTCCGACGAACAATATGGCCTTTCCGCGGATCTCGCCCACTCGCCCCGCCACTCCGCACACCTGAGGGAGCCTGCAGGCGTGCATCAGTGCGCGGGGACAACGAGTCTTCCTCTCGCACTGCAGCTAGGATATCCTCCGACGGACGAGAAATCCAGCGAAGACGGTGCACGCATGCCATGTACCTCGTTGCACGTCGCTCGGTCAGTATAACTTGAGGAGAGTGTGGACTGGCTGAGGCATTCCTGTATCACTCTACCTTACCTCCCTTCCCCCTCCTCCTTGTTCTTACCGACATCTGCCCCCCACTCTTTCGACAGCCAATGGAGGGACAGTCCAACACGCCCTTTCCGGTGAGCATAAGCTTTGATCCCACACGGTCCCTCAGAGCGATCACTCACCATCGCTTGCTAGATGCTTTTGCAGCAGCGGGGTACTCGATTCTACCATCGAGACTTCAACGGAGGCATACCAGTTAAATATATGTCAGGCTTGGTGAGTGCCGGCGAGCTATATCTCCTTCGCCACCCTTCTGATATGTCAAAACGATATTCCTCAAGCTGCCGTTCTACGCAGTGAGTCGCTACGTAGTCAGCCATATGAGGATTATACTGATGACTCGCCTGGAAAAGGACCTAGCAGGTACCCTTGCGGTTACACCCGGCCAAATTGTCTACGTGAAGCTCTGCGGAGACTTGGGCTGGGCCATCGCTGCGTGGTGGATGCTTGCTCATGTCCAGGGACACGAGTGGCACCTCCTTCCGAGTGACGCTCTCGCAGAAAACGCTGGGGGCGGCCTGCATGCACGTCTTCTCCCTGCGGAAAACGTCAAGGGTCGGGCCTGTGGTCCAGGCATGGAGGGTGCCATCGTGGGTTCCAGTCATCCATCTGCCGGGAGCGAGATGGTAACGCGCGCTGGGCAGAATCGTTTCGAGCCGGGGTACGAAGTTGCTGGCCGCCTGCAGCTTGAGGTATGCAATCTCGCGTGTCATTCAGGGACGACACTCACCTCCTCGCAGACGTTGCCACAGCACGACTTTCTGAACCACCCGCGCGCTCAAGCTCCCAGAATGAAACTCAACGTGTCGTACGACTGCGTATCGCTGAGCTCCGCCCTCGCCGGGTGTGGTGTACCCTCTCTGGACGGGCCTATCTTCGCAGCGGACGCTCCGATCGGCGTGAAGATGAGCATCTGCCTATGGGTGAGTATCTTGACCCGCTTCAGAGTTACTGCAGCACCACTGACCCGTAGACTTCAGATAGAGGGTGTTCGATCGCCCCGCCCGCTCGAAGATGGCTTCTCCTCCAAGCAGTACCGCGTACGCACCGGAGATGAGAAGTTCGGCCGACCGATCACTCGCGCGAGGCTGGCCCATATCATAGCTGTTGAGGTTTTCGACTTCATGGTGCGTCTTGCCTTCGCCTATCCGCACATGTCCTGAGTCGTTCGTTGCAGAGACGCCATACAGTGGAACACAACGGCGAGGTCGTCGTGTTCGAGCAACTGTACTTGAAAACGGCGAGCCTGAAGTCGAAGGCGACCATCCAGCCCGTTTTGTGTATCCGCCCTTCAAGTACCGCCGGCATCTCCGGCACCCTCCGCTCGGTTCAGCATCAGGCGATTTAGGCTCGGCACACTCACTCATTCATCTATCCCTTTGTTTGTTTCGAGACTCCGTCGCCCAAGCTGATCGCGAACGCAGTCGGTCCTCATGGGAGCGACTTTCTGGCCAGCACAGGGCGCAGGTGGGAGGACTCTTGATCGTGGTTTTTGGTTTGGATTTGCATATGTATAGACGACGCCCCTCGTCTTCGATCCGACTGCGAGAAGTTAATGTAAGCTTGATATTAATTGCACGAGTCTCTCGCGTGGGCCCTGGGGTGCGCAGGGCCGCAGGCACGCCACGGAACAATCCGACGACACCTCGTGCTTACCTGCAGGATCACTTCCTTGGACCTACGACCGCCCATAGAGTCCGAAGACCCAAATCCGGGACATATCCACAAGGTCACCCCCGCGCCAGGCGAACCGCATGGCTACCGACCTCCGGTGGCGGGTTTGCTGTGATTTCGGCAAATTAATGCGCCACGTTTAGCGCCCAGAACGATGGCAACAACCAGGGGGCAACCAGACGAGCTTTTCGCTACTCCAACCTCGAAAAGTGAAAGCTAAGACCCCGGAAACCAGTTTGACACTACTACTACCTTAGCCGAGATAAGATAGCGATCGCCTACATTACTCCTCTCATGCTTGATGCTCTTGTAGTCTCCTCACCAGCCGCTATGGGGATATGTCCAAGATGGGAGGGGACTGAAAGCATGGAGAGGACTCTAAATGACATATCGGCTCTCTCTTTCCGCACAGCGGTCACGGCAGCCCCACTTGGACGTGCCCGCGAGCAGGCGCGACCATGTAGCGCGAGCAGCTGTACATGTGCTGCCTGGTCCTGTAGGCAAATTTGGTCGCGCGAAGCGTATTCTCGCCGTTGTTCGAAGCTTGCGTGTCGCGAATTTGTTCGCAAGCTGTCTGTGAGCAGATCGCGAGGGCCCTATATTCGAAATAATGCCGCGCTTTATGAGAGCGGGCATCGAAGAGCCATACCCTGCGTGAGACCGACCGACCATGCGCCTGTTTAATAATTCGTCACTGGGGTGGCAGTAGTTGCGATCATCGAGCCAAAGCCTTTCCCAAATGAAGTGAATACGTGCTCGTAGTTGAACGTGATATGCAGCCGCCGACTGGGTGGTGGAGGGTGCTCGTAGTCCGACTGCTCAGAGCACAGTACTTGTCTGCGCGACCTGGTAAGACTCGCGCGATCATGCCTTCTGAGTTCGCGTTTCCGAATTAGTGCAGGCGGATTTAGACGCCCTTTTGGCGCCAGGGCCTATGGTCAAAGTTCCACGAACCGGGCAGCCTGAACTCGGTTTTGACGAACAAAAACCACACCGTCCAACAGGTACGATCTAATGGAAGCTACTGTGGCGCTTTTAAAAACAACGAAGGGAAATTGCAGTCGCAATTGAAAATATTCCTTGCGAGTGCTGAAAAAGTGAAAAGTATACCCCCGGACACCGGTTTCACACTACTACTAACTGGGTCGGAGTCGGCGCTCGCTCGTCTGGTTGCCCCCTGGCAACAACTCACCTCTTCCCGCTACCACATTGGACAGCCTTCTTCGCAGCCTGAGAACGTATTGCGCTTGGGCGTACCGATGACTGATCTCCTGTTGGTTATTGTGCTCGCCAGCGGTTCGAATGAAATGCGGCCAACCCACGATCAAGTCAAGGCTTCGAGGTGCTCGTGGCCGCTTTGCTGTGCGGTCGTATGCGATCGAGTCGGTTTTGGACGGACCGTTCGCCGATGGAGGAAGTCGTACAATGCCGACGCTGGTGGTCGTCATAGAGAGACAATCAGAGGAGGGCGGGATCTAGACGCGGAGAGGGAGGGAAGCTGAGTCGGGGGTGTGAGGGAAAGGGCGCGAGTCTATCGCTGGTCGGCGCATCTATATCCTGCATGCTCCCCTCCTCCCTACAGACCCGCTCCGGTAGCCCATGGACAGCCGTGAGAGCCAGGTGCGCAACGTGCGGACATAGTCGGGTCCTTTCGTAATTCTCAGTCCACCTTCTTGATGCCATAGGTTCCTTAAAAGGCCACCCCGGACCTTTGGACGCATGGGCCTCAGCCTGCAGCTAACGCTCACCCCGGAGCTCGGTCTCGACTCGCCAGCATGAGAGGGACGCAGAGGAGAGCGGGACGTGATTTGGCTGGTCGACACCGACCGAGGCGCTATCATGTTTGTCATCTTTAGATTCTATGCAGTCATAGCCCGAGCTAACGATGACACGACTGTAGAATAGTGCGCGACGGACCAGATGCACTATAAGACCGAGCAATCGCGTCTCCCAATCGCATGGGGGAAGGGATGCCACCCAACTACTAGCCTACACCGTCACATGGGCTGTTGACCCCGGTTACACTCACAGCAGTAGTCCTCTCAACCGCAAGCGGAGCAGAGCGAAGCTGCGCGTGTGATGTTCTTCTTGAGCTCCAGTGAGCCTTGCTCAGGCCGCATCAACGAAGAGGTCTTGCGCGGGAAACGGGAACATCGAGTGTGCTGCTCACACCCAGCAGAGCATGATCGGTGTGCACCCAATATGCTGCGCTCGCTGTCTGGATTACTAATGCCCCTCTTTTTGTAATCCAGGAGTACAACTCTTCGCTGACAATCGACACTAGACATGATATACTCGATTAATAAAGCACCGTGATGCTCGGGGTGCAGTGCTCGTGCGTACCACATCCGATGCCCACTGCGCAAGGGACGGCGCCCGAACAGGCAGCACCCAATCAAGGTGGCGTTCGACTCCTCCACCTTCGGTGCGAGCGCAGTCCCCCCCCTCGTTGCTCTGGGGGGCCTGCACACATTTTGAGCGGAGTGTACCGAGACAGAGCCTGCAGGGTCGCGACGATGTCCTTCGAGGAGTCACTCCAATCAGGTGCGCAGATAATCCTGGGAACATGCAGGTTGTGGCTGATTTTTTTCTCGCATCAGAGCCGCACAACCCTTGAGCCAAAGACCCAGGACGCTTAGTCTTACATCGGGGCCGGTGCGGTTTTTCGCCGAGTAGTCTTGCCCTGCCCTACTGCGTGTGCTGATGCATCACTGCTCTGATAGGACGCGTCACGGGAAGGAAAAAGCCCAACCGCCACTGAGAAAGGTACAGGCTATGAATACCGCCTCTCGCATTCTATGCTGTTGCCTGACCGAAGTCAATCTTTTCCAGATTTATGCGCGTGTGTGGATGGATTTCGCGATGCGTAGTCAGCTGCTCTGCACGCACTCGATTAGAGGGGCTCAAGCCACAGGAAGCGGATCACCAACACTGGCAGGCCCCCGGGCTGCGATTTCAAGCACGATGCTCTCGCGCTAATTATATTCGCTCGCCGGGCCACTCTGTTCATCTGAACTTGGCAGACTGCAGGCCTGTGTCAGCGTGCTCTGACCACAAACCCTTGCCCTGCACTGCAGCACGGGTATCCATCTGCCGAACCAGGGCGGGCAGCACAGCTGCGCGCTGTCTCCCTGGTATAAAACTTCGCGAGTCGCTGGCGCTGATGCACATATCAGCACACTCCTCAATCTCCTCCCCTCCTTTCCCCCCTTTCCCCGTTACAACATCTCTCATATATCCCCATCACACTTACCGACGATGAACGGGCAATCGATCGGCGCATGCCTTCCGGTAAGCCCTAGTTCTGGTCACATATGCGCCTGTAAAATAACACATACCGGTATCGGCGGCTAGGCGTACCTAACGCAGCCAGGGACGCAGTTCTATCTTCTTCCAGACTTCAACGAAGGCATATCAGTTCAATCAATGCTGGCATGGGTGGGTATCGGCGGCCCACGACTCCTCCCCCAGCGAGTCTGACTTCCATAAAGCTGCCCTTTTATTCGGTGAGTTACTGCGCCGTCAGTCATGTGAAGATTATATTGACTTAGCTTTCAGGAGACGGACCTTGCCAGAACAGTTGCGGTTACGCCGTCAAATTCTCTCTACATGAAGCTCTGCGGAGACCCAGGTTGGCGTCTCGTTGCGTTGGGGTGGCTTCCTCGAGGCCTAGAACCCGAGTACCTCCTACCAAGTCCCGTCGGTCGTTGGAACCCTGAGGGCGGCCTGGAGGCGCGTCCGACCCCTGCTGAGGGCGTCATGGGATGGTTCAGTGGGCTAGGCAGAGAAGGTGTCGGTGACACCGCGTGTCCACTCGAATTTGGTCCGGAGACGACCGCGGACGAGAGAGCACGAGAGGGTGAGGAGGGTGCTTGCATGCAGCTGGAGGTATGTGATTTGGCGCGTCACTCGCGACGGACGTCGAATCGACACTCACCATATTGCAGACGCTGCCTCAGCGCGACTATCTGGACCACCCGCGCGCTCAAGCTCCCGAGATGGTGCTTGAGGTGCCGTACGACTGCGTGTCGCTGCCCTCCGCTCTCGCTGAGCGTGATATATCCTCCCCAGACGAGCCCGCCTTCCCAGCGGATGCTCCGATCGGCGTGAAGATTAGCATCTGCCTTTGGGTGAGCATCTTGAACGGCAACAGAGACGAATCGTCACTTACTTATAGACCACAGCTGGAAGGTGTTCAGTCTCCACGCACACTCGAGGGCGGGTTCTCCTCCAAGCAGCATCGCGTGCGCAAGGGGGACAAAAAGGGCCGCCCGATCACCCGCGCGAAGCTGGCTCGTCTGGTAGCCGCCGACGTCTTCGAGTTCATGGTGCGCCGTCTTACCTCGCTCACATCCGCATACTCTCCCAACCATCCTTCACAGACACTCCATAAGGTGGTGCACAAGGGCGAGGTCGTCGCATTCGAGCAGGTTTGCTTGAAGAAGGTGTGCCTGAAGTCGAAGGCCACCATCCAGCCCGTTTTGTGTCTCCGCCCGTCTCCCGTCGACACAGGCCCCACCGCCATTCTGTGCTCGGTCCAGTAGTTTCGGCCAGCGCGTGGGCGCAAGTGGGGGACTTTGCTTTTGGCTACGGTCTTTGGTTTTGATTTGTACGTGCATGGCGTCGCTGCGATCGTTCTTCGGTCCGGCTGCAGAAAATCGGAGTCTATATTAGCTTGTATTAATCGCATCTCTCGCGTGGTGTGTGCAGACATGCCACGGAATAACCCGAGAACGCCTCGTGCATACCTGCAGGATCACTGTTTCTTGGACCTACGGCCACCCATAGCGTCCATATCCACATCTCTTCCACCCGGTCCGAATCTGTCGCATGGCCACCGATCGTTGTTGGCTTTGGCGCCTAAACCGACGGCAAGAACTCACCTCCGCCCACTACCATGCTGGATCTTCTACGTCGCTCCTGAGGGGCATGGGATGATTGATGAGTCCGGATGTCTTGCTTGTGCAACGCCTAGTGCACCATCGACAGGAAGCGTGGGTCCTCCGAGATTCCAGCTCTTTGTGTCGGATTCATCTGCCGCGATATACTCGGGGTTGACGGCTTATTGGATCGTTGAACGATAGTAGAAGTTGACTAACGCCGTTGCGAGTGGAACGGCGGGGCCCTTCATTTAGGCAGGGCTCGAGGGACTGCGGCGTCGACCTGGGTCCAAAGCGCGAGGGGAAAGGTGCATGGGACCTGTGGCCGGCTGATCTATATCCTGAGGGCGGCCCCCATCCCAACATAATCTACCACATCCACCCCGAGACAGTCGTGAGAGCTCGGTGCGCAGCTTCCGGGCATAGAAAGGCCCCTATCGTAACGCTCAGTCCACCTTCCTGATGCCAGACTCTATAGGTGACCACCCCGGACCCGGGCCTCTGGGCAGATTATCCTCACGGAGATATCGTTCACATCGGAACTTGCAATAAGGACGGTATAGCGCAGTAGTAGCACTCGGACACGTTTAGTGAGTCCATTCAGCCTGCTAGTTTTGAGGTCATATTGCGGCCGGTCTGAACGAGCTGGAGCCCATCCGTAGAAACACTCTACGGCCCCGCGCTAGGATAGGCGCGTTGATTGCGCCTTCTGTGAGTGTCTCTCTGGCCAACACGCCCTGGCAATGTAAATAATCGACTCAACCAATGCGTGTACTTGGGTCGCGGCTTGCACCTCGAAGCTTTTAGCGCGTACTAGGCGCTTCTTGAAACATGAGTGGGCGCCTTCATGCGCCACTCGAAGACATGTTAATCACCGACCACCACGTAGAAATATTGCGAAGTCCTCTCCGAACCCCGTTGCATAGTCTCTTGTACGCCGCTTCGCTCCTCACTTGTACCCATGTCCACTCTTCGCCTCCCAGACGAGGTCTGCGAAGAAATCATCGATAACTGCCGCAGCTTCTTGGACGACGGCGACTGGTCACTCGAGGAATCCTACCAAGTCCTGCACGCATGTAGCCTGACATGCCAAGCCTGGCTGCCTCGCAGCCGCCTCCGACTGTACTCCGTGTTGCTTTTTCGACGCCACCGCGACGTAGGATCGTATCTAGAAACCCTGGCGACCTACCCCTTCCTCGGAGATCTCCCCCGAACTATGGTCATCAACTCAACGGAGGAGTGTATTCCGTTCGCAAACGAGGAACTAGCCCAGAGACTGCCAAATATTCGCACGCTGTGGCTCGCCGTCGACATGGCCCTCTACTCGTCGAAGTACCTCGCCATGGCTGGGCAGTATTCGATCACCCAGCTCTACGCCCACTTCCAGCCCACAGCCAAGGATATCGGTCATCTGATCCGGCTCCTGCTCACCCTTCCGAATCTAAGGCAGCTCCACATGGCGTCCGCTTCGCATGGGCGCATCCTCAAGCCTGCGTCGTTTTGCCCGCCTTTGTCCGACGCAGACGTCCTCCGGACGGCCCCTGCGCCTAGACAGCGCCCGATCCGCTCCATCGTGCTCACAACACTTGAGATAGAGGCAAGGAAGCAGCTCGACACGCCCGCGGAAGGGGTGATACTGATATACTTGATGCCTTCTGACAGGCCAGCTGGTACGAAATCTTCAGCATCCCATCACCGATGGTATTTAGCGCATCTGTGGTCCACCTGTCCATTCGCTGCTTGACCACACGATCGCCTCACTATAGGCACCGTGAGCATACCCCCTCATTTTTCCACCCTGCCCCGCTAAACAAGGCCAAGAGTTACTAGGGCTGCAGGGCCTGCAAGTTTACATATCGTTCCTCTCGTCACTCAAGACGTTGGTCTTCATAGTCGAGCCCGAGAGTCTCCACCACAACGCGCTCGGCCACTCGGCCGACGGCACTGTGTTCTACCCATGGATCACTTCCGCTCTCTCCCGAGCACGAACACATACCATGCTAAGCACCGTATGCCTGCGGTTCTGGCGCCCGCTATCAGTCTGGAGGTCCGCCCCGCTGAGCCGCTACGGCTTTCTGGAGATGCTCGCAACGCGTGCCCTGGAAGACGCCCTCCGCGACATACCCAACCTGTCTCAACTCGCCGTGGAGCTCCCGGCAGGCCCGGGGGATCCCCTAGACGTCTGCAGCTGGTGGGAGACGGAGCTGCGCAAACGCTTCGGGCGGCTCAACTTGAAGGCCCAGATTTCGGTAGCAGTGCACCCCAGGTCCGGTGCGCCCTACTTCCAATTCTTGCCGTGAATAACATAGGTGCACTCTTGTCTGACGTTTTCCCGGCGGTGCATAGACGCGCTCTCGCAGGAAGCATGCCGTCCAATATGGGTGGATTTCAGTGAGGAGACTCCCGATGCGTATCGAGTAAGAACCCCCCGCTTGGTGTGCCGGTCTTGAGCAGCAGGGGCTACATCGCTGACAGCGATTCCAGATACTGTCGCAGCGCCGCTACCCGCCGCGTCTCCAAGACTCAACGACGGACATCGTCGTGGCGTTCGACTATGTCCCACTCACCCAAGTCCTCTCCGGGCGTGGGGATGGTGTGTCCTGCCCCCATGAGCCGGCATTTCCCCACGACGCCGCCGTCGGCGAGGAGATAAACATCGTCGTAGCAGTGGGTAGTTCTCGATTGCACCTCCGCGGGCGGCATCGTTCATCATGAGCTGCAGCCCACAGGGCTACAAATACCTCCCGAAGTGCCGCTGGTGCAACAGCGTGTCGGGCGGGACGCGCTGAGCACCCGCGCGGAGCTGGCGCACATCGTATCTGCGGGCCTCCATACGCTCATGGTACGTCTCCGGTGATGCATGTCTTGTTATATGTACCTCATTGACGTCGCGACTTCCCTGTGTGTAGGAAGAGCACCCCTTGGTGCACAAGCGCACGGCTGTCGAGTTCGCGCGACTGTGTCTGATTGAGGTGCACCAGGTGGCGGAAGATGTGCTGCAGGCTCTCTTCGGGATCATCCCCGCTGGACGGCCGTTTTCGGATGCTCGAACAACCATGGGACGGCAACTTCAACTGGAGGCGTGAAGGTAAGCCGGTCACGTAGGTGTTGTAGAAGCGTCTGGACACAATGATACATTTACCCTTGGTTACTACGCCAGCATTGTTCGAGCTACCGCATGAGAAAGGCTTGCCTCTCAGTGCCTTGACCTGGCGCAGTCTCCGTCCAGTAGGTTGTTCCGGACCGTGACGCTCTGCAACGCCATCACAAGCATATAATAAAAGTAGTACACCTCGAAGAACCCGACTGTTGCGAAATGACGTCCAAGCGGTAGCGAACTCGCACCCTAGATCTAACCCTCGCTCAGTCACCCGTGCCGACTCAGCGCTACCGCATCAGCTCGCGCTTCATGCGCTGCCGTGACTGCGTTTCTCACCGTGTTCCCATTAACGACGGCGGGGCGGGCGGAGAAAGCGCAGAGCGTGTGGGTGGCGTGGGCGCGCACGAGGGAGAGGTGCAATGAGAAGCGCGGGAAGCGCGGCCTCGACCGTCGCGGCGAGCACGTCGTTACAGTGCACCGTGCGCGTCGGGAGAGGTACCGCGGGAGCGCTTCGAGCGCGGCGATGGGCTAGCTTTTGAAAGCAGGCTGGCGATCTGTCGTGAGGTGTCGGGCCAGGATCGCGGTTCTGGGTGGACGGGGCGGGACGCACGGGGTTGATCATGATCAACGATCTGCTCGACGGGCTACAGGACGTGTGCGCGGTGCGCGTGGAGGGCGGCGCGTTGCTGTGGCGGTGGGGCGCGTAGAGGATGCTTCAGGCGATCGTCGTCGTCTTCTACATATGCATCCCGTAGTTTAGCTGTGATGAGAAACTCCGTAGCCTCGAGTACAAATCGACCCGCCGTGCTTACCTCCGACGCCGTCGGGCAAGTAGTAGAGGCTCCCCAATCGCCAAGAGTGTCTTCCTGATTTCATTATCAATATTCTGGAGGTGTACCCGCCGTAACTTCCAAGATGTACAAACCCTTGGCGAGATTGAGTAAAGTGTCACTCTCTTCGCCGATCTCTTGCGGAATACGTCCTAATTGAAGCAGCTCCGAGTCGGATACAGAACGCGCGATGGAGCGAGACGAGACCAGATGAGCATTGAAAAAAACGGTAAGTGGATAACAATAAAGAGTGGGGCGGGCCGCGAACAGTGTATAAACGCAGGGCGGGAGGCGGGGACATAAGTAACGAGTCGAGTTGTACAAGATTCATATGCGTGTGAGGGGGATCCGTCCAAAAGGCGGGCAATGCCGGTGGTCGTACAGCACGGGGTGCAAAGTGGGTGTATGCGCGCGCCCAGATAGCAATGAGCAGCGAGCAGCCGAGGGAACGCGTTCGAGGAGACGGAGCGCCTAGACGAGGCGGCGCGGGGGCTCCGCGGCCTTCTCCGCAGCCTCCTTCTCCTGCTGCGCCTGCAACTGGCGCTGCCACTCCTCGAACTGCTTGAACTTGGCCTCGCGCAGCGCCTGGATCTCGCGCTCTTGTTGTTCGCGTTGCATGCGGTGCTCCGCGAGCTTCTACACGCGCCCAATGAGCCGTCTGCAGCGTGGAAAGGGGGAATGGAAAGACGTACAGCTTTGAGGCTCTCGACGGTGACGAGGAGATTGTTGAGCGTCGCCTCAGAGAGCTCCGTGATCTGCATAACGCACGCATGTTCTTGGTCAGTGCTGTGAACTTTACGAAGAGACGCGCGGCGTACCGTGTCCGTCGCCTGCTGCACGATATCCTTCTCGCCCTGCCCCGGCTGCGAACCGGGGATGTGCGTCGCGGGCGGCGGCGGCGGGCCCCACGCGCCCTCACGCGCAGCAGCGTCCCGCCCCCACCCTGGCGCCGCGGAGTCGCGTCCCGCCGGCCCCCATCCTGCCCGCCCGCCGTCCTGCTGCTGCGCGCGCGCATCCCGCTCCCGGCCGCCCCACCAGCCCCAGTGGTCCCACCGGTCCCAGTGCCTGTGCCTGCCGTGGCCGTCGTTCCGCTGCGGTGGGGGGCCCTGCATCTGCGCTTGAGGTTGAGGCTCGGCGGGGTCTTGCGGGCCGTTTGGGAAAGGAGAGGGAGGGAGGGCGGTGCCGGGCGGGGGGTAGGCGCGTTGCGGAATGCGGTCGCGCATGCATTGACGAGCTTCCACCCAGGCGTGGGCGTCGTGGTGACAGTGCCACCAGGTGGCGAAGCCGGCGCCGAAGGCGAACCAGAAGAAGCGGGAGGTGGCGCGGCCGCAGCGATACATGTGGCCCCAGTGGTGCGGATACATCGTGGATAGTGAGTTCGTCTGTTGAAGATGCTAGATGAAAAGAGGTGGACGCTAGATTGAAAGAGAGAGCGATATAAGCTTGGTGTGCTTGGTAAGATGCGGGGTGCAGTCGGTGATGAATGTCGGTGGATGAGTGAGGGCTTACTGACCGGAGGGCGCGATGGTTTTATGTCGCGCGGAGGGAGGGGTGCGCCGCCGGGATGCGTCAACTACGGGGACGCGGCCGTCGGGGTGGTATGAAGCTGCCCGGCGCGGGGGATATACGCAGCTCTGGAACGGGGGAGAGTGGTCTATGGCCTGCGGAAGAACTGGATGTGCCGCCAGGCCGCGGAGGCAAGGCAGGCGCTGGAACTCCGGCCGAGGGTGCGCGTATACGAGTAGACGGATTTGAGATCGGATGCAGCCGAGTGGCTTGTGCAGCTGCGTGCTATGGCCTGCGGATGCGGCGTAGAAATAGAGGCAGGTCGAAGGGCATGGTGGGGGGACGCAAGGCAGGACGGCGTAAGGCAGACGGCATCGAGGGCGGAAGGAGAGCGTGCCGGCGGAGATGACAACGCCCGGCTCGGGCTCTCCCTTGACGCGTTCCCCCGGCTCCGGGCCTGCATCGCTTTGTGACCGCCCGTGACGGTTCGCGTCATCCCCGAGGTTTTCGGACCGTATGTGTACGCGTCCACAGTCGCGGCTGCTGACGACGTTGACGGTGGCCACCATCGTAATCACACACTGACACGCGTCATCCACAGCTTTCGGTCCTTGGATCGTTCAAATGGCCGCTACATCGCGCGTACGTCCACCCTGTATCACCGTTTGCAAGATAACATACTCACAAACAACGCTTGCAAGGACGAGTCCCGGTCGGCATATACCTCAGTACACGCCGATCGGACAGGCAGGTCAGATGGACCGCATCGCAATTACATCCGTCACCAGATCCTCCATCAACACCTTGAGAGCACGCTACGACAAGCGTCGGCCTCGACAAATTCAGTCAGTCCTTATTATATTCTCCACAGCCGCACCTTCCTCAACCGTCATATCCGTCCAGAACGTTTCCCAGAGCCTTGCACTGAGTTCCATACTGCGATCTGGAGAGTCCATGGCTCGCCATGAGGACGTGCGAATGGCAGGCGGGCTGTCCCCGGATGACCTGACCAACATGACGCCAGTCTCCCTTTCAGTAAGCGTCTTTACGCTAACCTCCGAGGAGCCTAATTGTTGGATTTGTATGTGCGCATCGCGAGGACTCTCTCGAAATTGCCCTCGACTCAGCCTCGCCTAGCCCAGCTTACAGCGCGGTACAGGACGATAGACGATCACGAAAAATCCGCGCTCAGGATTGCATAGGCCACCAAATGCCCACCAGAGCGGGGGTGGCTTGCAGCCTGGTGGCGCGGCGAGCATTCAACCAGCCACTGTGAAAGGCAGTAATCGCATTCAAATACTGAACACGCCTCAGTGGCAGGTTTCTTTTGATGTGGCCCATCGTTTTGTACCGCGCTGTAACCCTCGCATCACGCACAAGAGGCATCGTGAGGACAAAAAGATCTCGTGAGGCCTCGCGAGGCATTCCAATTATTTGTCCCACCTCGCGAGACGCCTTTCGAAAAATCCGATTTTTTCGTTACACTCAACGCTGATGGCTCTGTCTTCAGAACTTGAAGCTGCAACCAGCACTCCTCCGAAATCTCGAAAATGAACTCAAGAAGACGCTCCTAGCGGTAGCGGAATACTATGCACCCGGTGCCGTGGGAGGTAAGCACGACGAGTTGCATCGTACCCGGAAGCCATCGAGGTTCTCATCACAATCGTTCTAGCGGATGGAGAAGGCGGTGACGACGACGACCCCCTACAAAGAGCCTCCCAGCTGCCCGAACGCATCCGTGACCAACGCGCCGCCCTGACCCAGCAACACGCCGCCCTCCACGCGCACCGCGCACACGTCCTCCAGCTCATCGAACAGATTAACGCCGTGCGTCGCGCCCTCCCTCCTCTAACGTCTACGTCTCCTTAACTGACCGCCCGATAGGCCCAGCCCGCGCTCGAAAGCCAGTTGGTCACCGCGCTTGAAACTCTCCCTCCGCACCTCCGCGCCACGCGCACCGCACAAGCCGACGTGCTCGCCGCGACCGTCGAAGCCGCGCTCCTCAAGCTCTCCCTCGTGCGCGCCCGCGCCCACCGCGCGCTCTACTCCTTCCCCTCCTCCTCCTCTTCCACCCTCCCCGGCCCCGCGTCTTCCAAACCAAACCCCGCGAAGACGGTCGGCGACGCGGTCGCAGCGGCGCACGGGGCGCTGCGGGCACGGGCGCGCGCGCAGGACGCGGAGATGGGCGCGCTGGACGGGCAGATCGCGGCGTACGAGGGCATGCTGGGGCTCGTCGAGGGCGGGCGCGGGCGCGAGGGCGCGTTTGCGCAGGTTGTAAGGGATATGGCGCGGGTGAAGAGGGAGACGGAGGAGTGTAGGAGGGAGCTGATGCGGTTGGGCTGGACGGGGGACTGAGCGGGGTGCGTGTGTCTGCTTGCCACTGCGAGGGCATACGTCCACGGCACTGCGTTCGATGGAATAGTTGTATTGTATTGTACTGTACGTCCGGGTCCGTATTGCAGAGCGATGGTGAAGGGTTATGGATCATGATGTTCAAGCATCCCCGCGGCATCTACACCCAGTACTTACCTTCGCCCTTCATCCGACAGCTGCTAGCCCACGGCCGTTCAGTCATCTGCGAGCATTCGCCCAAGAGGGATAATCCCGAAGAGAGCCTGCAGCGTGTCGTCCGCTATTTGTTGCACCTCGACCAGACACAGTCGAGCGAACTCGACGGCCGTGCCGTTATGCACCAAGGTGTGCTGTTCCTACACGCGGCGGACGTCATTGAGGTGTATATAGCAAGACGCCACCGCCCGAGACGTACCATGAGCGCATGGAGGTCCGCGGTAACGAGGTGCGCCAGTTCTGCGCGGGTGATCGGCGCATCCTGCCCGCCATTTCCTCCCGAGCCCCGGACACGGTGCCGTTGCGCTATTGGCTCTTCGGGAGGCATTTGAAGTCCTGAGGGCTGCAGACAACGAACGTGAATGGTGATGTCCACGGCGGTACGCCCGAAAAACACCTACTTCTACGACGATGTCCATCTCCTCGCCGACGGCGGCGTCGTGGGGAAACGCCGGCTCATGGGGGCGGGACACACCGCGCCCGCGCCCGTAGAGAACCTGGGTTAGTGGGACGTAGTCGAACGCCACGACGATTTCCGTTTTCAGCACTTGGGCCGGCGGCGGATAGCGGCGCTGCGACAGTATCTGGTGTCACTGTCAGTTATGTGATTTCTACCGCTCAAGACCGGCACAGCTCAATGTTCTCACTCGATACGCATCGGGAGTCTCCTCACTGAAATCCACCCATATTGGACGGCATGCTTCCTGCGAGAGCGCGTCTATGCACCGTCGGGAAAACGTCAGACAAGAGTGCACCTATGTCATTCACGGCAAGAATTGGAAGTAGGGCGCACCGGACCTGGGGTGCACTGCTACCGAAATTTGGGCCTTCAAGTTGAGCCGCCCGAAGCGTTTGCGCAGCTCCGTCTCCCACCAGCTGCAGACGTCTAAGGGATCCCCCGGGCCTGCCGGGAGCTCCACGGCGAGTTGAGACAGGTTGGGTATGTCGCGGAGGGCGTCTTCCAGGGCACGGGTTGCGAGCATCTCCAGAAAGCCGTAGCGGCTCAGCGGGGCGGACCTCCAGACTGATAGCGGGCGCCAGAACCGCAGGCATACGGTGTTTAGCATGGTATGTGTTCGTGCTCGGGAGAGTGCAGAAGTGATCCACGGGTAGAACACAGTACCGTCGGCCGAGTCGCCGAGCGCGTTGTGGTGGAGGCTCTCGGGCTCGACTATGAGGACCAACGTCTTGAGCGACGAGAGGAGCGATATGTAAGTTTGCAGCCCCTGCAGCCCTAGTAACTCTTGGCCTTGTTTAGCGCGGCAGGGTGCAAAAAGAAGGGGGTATGCTCACCGTGCCTATAGTGGGGCGATCGTGTGGTCAAGCAGCGAATGGACAGCTCGACCACAGATGCGCTAAATACCATCGGTGATGGGATGCTGAAGATTTCGTACCAGCTGGCCTGTCAGAGGGCATCAAGTATATCAGTATCACCCCTTCCGCGGGCGTGTCGAGCTGCTTCCTTGCCTCTATTTCAAGTGTTGTCAGCACGATGGAGCGGACCGGGGGCTGTCTAGCCGGAGGGGTCGTCCGGAGGACATCCGCGTCGGACAAGGGCGGGCAAAGCGACGCCGGCTTCAGGATGCGCCCGTGCGAAGTGGACGCCATGTGGAGCTGCCTGAGATTCGGAAGGTTGAGCAGGAGCCGCATCAGATGAGCGATATTCTTGGTTGTGGGCTCGAAGTGGGTGTAGAGCTGGGTGATCGAATACTGCCCAGCCATGGCGAGGTACTTCGACGAGTAGAGGGCCCCGCCGACGGCGAGCCACAGCGTGCGAATATTAGGAAGTCTCTGAGCTAGTTCCTCGCTTGCGAACGGGATATACTCCTCCGTTGAGTTGATGACCATAGTTCGGGGGAGATCTCCGAGGAAGGGGTAGGCCGCGAGGGTCTCCAGATACGATCCCACGTCGCGGTGGCGTCGAAAAAGCAGTACGGAGTACAATCGGAGGCGGCTACGAGGCAGCCAGGCTAGACATGTAAGACTACATGAGCGAAGGACTTGGTAAGACTCCTCGGGCGGCCAGTCGCCGCCGTCGAGGAAGCTGCGGCAGCTGTCGATAATTTCTTCGCAAACCTCATCTGGGAGGCGAAGAGTAGACATGAGCGCAAATCTACAGCAATCTGGTGTGTCCAGCGAGGCATATAACGGGTTTCAAAGAAGACTTGTATGTCTGGTTGCAGTGGTGTCGCAGGCCCACTTATAGATGTTGAGTAGTCCTCCTCCAGCAGCGTTCCGCGAACAGGTTACAGGAGTACAAGGGTAAATCGACGCCCAAATGCTCGCAAACGCGCTTCGCCGATTGCGAGCGGTGAGTCCGATCTCGAATGTTGGAGCAAGCGATAAATCGAGTCGTCGAGAGTGAAAGCGAGTGGATTCCGGTTGTCCCGTACAGTAGCGTCGTGGTACGGAGGCACACGGATAGCATACAAAAACGATCGCGCGCACGATACTGAACGCCTCGGCAAACGCCGGCGAGCAGGCGCTCGCTCGCTTAAATCCAAAATCCAACATGTACATTATCCCCCCCTCGACAAGATCACACATCGTCTGCCTAGGGGAGACAACATGTGCATCGACATGCACAGTCACTCAGCGCATGCAGAGGCCAACGCATGGCCCCTGCGTCCGCAAGATTTGACCGCAGACACGGTCTTCAAAGGGGATACGCCCGACGCACTACGTCGAGATATCATCTGTCTCACCGTCGCCGCTCAATGGCTCAGAGAAGCTCAGAGGTTAGTGTACATGTGATCGTCCTCCCCTCCTGGACAAGATCACACATCGTCTGCCTAGGGGAGACAAGCTCAGAGATGGCCGCCGGGCAACATCCGCCCGCGCTGCTAGCGTGTCTACGCTCGACAAGACAACTTTGAGCTTCCTCGGCCATATCGCTACCCTTCTCACCACCGGCAGCACTGAAGAGGATGATACAGCTGTCGCGGTCACTGGGCACTTGGAACCTGACGGCCGCTGCTCCCTGGTCTGTACCCGGAGCGAGAGGGTGTCGTCAACAGCGGCTGGCGCGACCTCTGCGTTGCCTGAGCTCGAGAAGATCCCCGTTGACTCCCGGGCAGCGCAGAACTTGACGGACGATCGCGAATGGGCCCCCGCAACGAGTGTGTAAGTCATCGCCTTCTGGCATCCGCTACTGTACGTCTGACCCATCCCGCAATTTTCAGTGAGAAGCCCTTTGACGAGCACCTGCGCGACGTTGTCGCCATTGTCGCCTACGTCCTCGGGATGTCGCGCCAAGAACGGCAGAGCGAGCATCTGGCTCTGTTGAGGCTCGACCTCTTCTTCATACGACGCGCGCACCGGAAACTCGCGGCCCGTGTTGACATAATGGACAGGGGGACGCGGTGGCCCGGCCGTCCCCTCGTCCTGATGCGAGAGTGCTACGCCACGTCGCCGCTCAGGTTCAACACGACCGTTCGGCTTATGTGCAAATTAGCCCTACTTGGAAAGCACGGCATCCTCCCGTCCGACCCCGCCTCCGACCGCGCCGTCCCTCACATCTATCCGCTCACGAATCTGAACGTCGGGCAGTGGTTGACTCTCCTGGAAGATCTGCTGTTGCGGCTGAAGGGCGCTCTCTTTGGCGGTCATGGGAAGTTGCACGAGATCAGGGAGGTGCCCACTGTGGATGCTACGAAGGAGATCTACGTCTGTCTTCATACTCTCGACACCATCTTGCGTTCAGATCTGTTCAAGATACTCGATGGACATGGTATGGACGCATGCCTCAGAAGTCGATTTGACCAAGTCCAGCGGAGTGATGAAAGCGGTGAGACGCCTGTGCCGCTCCATATTGCACCTAGCCACTAATAGTATATTGATAGGCGAAATACCGGAGGACGTCGATGAAGGTAGTCCTTCATGTCGTACTGACAAGCTGTTAGGTTACTGACAGTTCTAATCAGCAGCGGCACTCTGGAGCTCAGACGGGAATGAAGGGGCAGTCATGCAGCTCCATCGCTACCTTCAGACAATCACAGCCTGGATCACTGCCCGTCAGAGGCTGGTCGCCTTCAAGGGGACTATAAAGACCTTGGATATCTTTTACCTCAAGAACACCCCTCACATCACGATCACTCATGAAGACGTCAAGACCTTCGTGGACACCTACGTGCAGCGGCTGGAGTTGGCCTTCGACAACTACCCTGCCGAGTACCTGGCTAAAGCTAAGGCTGTGCTGACCGAGCGCAAGCTTCTCAGCAAGAACGGCAACACGTCAGAAGAATTCGCTCAGCTGTGCCAGGGGCAGATGACGATGCATCCAGAGACTTCCCTGATGGCTCTGGCATCTGCTGCAATCCAGGAATCTGAAGATACCCCCTTGAAGAGTCAGATCCCTGACGGTGTCTTCCCTGTAAGTCACCAACTTCGTCGTCGACCTCCTTCTGAACTGTCACCGCAGCGTCAGGGAAATATTGCGATCGGGGTCTGCAGGAAATGCTGCGCATGCTGTGACCTGCTCTCACGAGGATTCACCGCCCTTCCCAATCAAGACTCGTGCCAGGGTTCAGTCGCATTCCTCGTGCCAGGAACTCATGCGACGGTCTTTCCCTGGCTTCCTCCCTCTTTTGGTATACCACTCTCCATCTTGAAGGATATGAGGGGCTCCCTATTCCTAATCTTCCACAAAATGTTGTGCACTTCGGTGGCTGTCCCAACTTCCGACCATAACCGTGACGATGAGGCATTTGATTTTCGAGATTGAATATATGATGTAAGTGACATCTCTCTCTCTATACGCTCCTTCGATGCTGAATCTTTCGAACATGTATCTAGCAAAAAGGTGCAGCTCTTGGAGTAGTTTCAATTTGATTATCACATATATGAATACGCCAGCAGAAGTAATATAGTCTCTTTCTTGTGCAGTCTTCCCACAACTCATGCAGTCATGTCCCCCAGCGAGGCTTGATCATAATGGTTCGACGAGTAATGTTAATGATGGTACGCCGGACACGGTCAAGCACACTAATACTGACACTAACCAGAGGGCACAGCACCGCCAGACCAAGTTCCTGTCCTAATCCACACCACCAGTTCAGAAGAGATTCTCCGGCCTGGACGGCTACCCGAGTTGCGCGAGGTCAACGGCGCGCGCGTTCGTAAAAAATCAGAGCGGAGTTACGGCATTATGCGATAATGGTAGCGACATTGACAGCGAGTTCGTGAGTTAGCAAACACGGCGTATTGTGGGCGGGGGCGGTCGTAAACGCCGATGGAGGTCCATGTCCGTTCGTTCGTAATAAAGCGCGGATCGCAGAAGAGGGGCGGGAGTCAGACGCGGTCGCGGTGCGGGAGCTATTTGCGAGAGGCTCGCCGTATGATGGTGGCGAGCGCGAGCGTGCTGAGCGCCGCGAGACCGCCGACGATCGCCATGCCGATGTACCCCTCTGCGTACGCGAACGGCCGCGACGTGAGCAACCGAGCACTGTACGTGAACACTGCGCAAGAGGGACACACCTCGTGTGACACGCGTGTCGATTAGGGATGCAAGGCTCTGTGCTTGCAGATTTGAAGGCTCCTTGTCTAGGAGCAGTGCTGCGGGACGGAATGCGGGTGGAAGGAGTGCGCGATGAGTACGGCACGCGGTAATTGGATGCCCGCGCGCAATCGCCGGCGGGCGGGACGTACCGTTGAATCTCCTCGCCTCCTCGTAGTTGCCCATCTTGTAGTGGCCGAGCGCAAGGTAGTACAGACATTCCCGGCGCCGCCCAGGCTCCGCGCGATAGATGTCTGCGTTACTCAGTATCAGCATATAGATTTCGCAGTGGCATGCACGCGGTGCGAGTAGGTCATCCAAGACAAAGTGCGCACCTTGTAGCAGGCGCACTCCCTCTACCTGGTGCTCAGCCTGTGGGCTCTTCACCAGACCCCATGCATAGTTGAACTTCGTCTGGACCGTAACATGCGATTGTGCAACCTCCTTCTGGTACTGTAGCTTCAGGACCTGTGAGGAAGGCAGTCAGGCCCACCGCAAGCGCAGTACCGGAGTGTATTTGAGGGTGGTACCTCAAGCTCGTCGAAGGAGAGCGACTCTTCCGCGTCCGCGGCGTACGGCAGTTCTGTAGGCATGTGTGTTCGTGTCCCGGGTGATCTGGGCGTAAGTGGAATGGCGGTAGACGAGGAAGAGCAGGCAGGGCTGAGTGCAGGCTGAGGACGAGAAACGGCAGGATCGGGAGAGGACGCGCGGGGCGAGAGGCGCCCATGGCCGCTGCAGGCACGCGGCGAGGCGCCCGTACGGTGGCTGCTGCTCTCTTCCGCTCATCCACCCACCCGCACCTCTTCCGTACCACGCGTCGCGGCGTACCGCAGCTGGAACGGAACGGAGATGGCCAGTCGCACGACCGAAGGTGTAGACAAGGCTAAGATTACCGAACTCCCCGCCCCGCAGGCGAACGTCGTCCCGGAGTCGTACACAAAGCGCTTTAAGGTCCGTACTGCTCTCTCTTCCAAGCAAAGCAAAAGAATTCAAATTTCCCCCGAAACAGGACAAGCCCGTCTCCAAGTTCGTAGAGTACGTCGCCTTTGTCTGACCATTCCTTGAAAGATGAGGACGGTGCTCACCTGCGCTCGAACGAACGCACCCGTTAGCCCGTGTGCAGAGGCATCAAAGGCGTCGATGGACTGTATGAACCACAACGACTATGACAGGGACCAGTGCCTCGACTACTTCCAGGCGTACCGGGACTGCAAGAAAGCATGGGTAAGCGGCGGACAAGTGTTGCACCGGCACCTGTCGCGCGAGCGGACGCTGACGATGGTGCGCGCGAGCAGCAAACGCAACTGAAGGCGGACCGTCGCGCAGGCAAGATAGCCTAATTGCACTCCCCCATATCTCCCGGATTACCGCATTCGCCCTTGGAGTGGGATGTTCTCACCGGCCTCGACACTTCTGTAGGCGATCTGCCTGGTTCGCTGCGCGTCAAGGCACGACCAGCGACCTACCACAAGTACTACCATGGTCCTGCAGAAGATTCGCCGTGACATTGTGTATATTTTGGTATCCATGATGGTCGAATCTATGCGTTGTGCAGCAACTGTCTTATCCCTAACATCTCCCCGAGTCCCAGTGTTCCAACGTGCACTACATCATGCTGGCCAGTACAAGTACCCGCGTACAGCTAGGCGTAGTGACACGCCGCATCTACTTCCGGTAACCCCAGCGCAGAAACAACGTGGAAGAACAGGGCTCCCACCGCAGATGCAGCCCACTATTTCACCGATATCCGCTGCATGTATCATCTCACTGGCCATCCCGCGACAACCGGCCCTCTAAAGTCGGAGTGTTCTTCGCGCCCTCTTCTCCGTCCTCCTGATTATCCAACAACCCCTCCTCGAGTGATAGGTCCTCCACCCCTGTGGCCTCGTCCGGGTATGCCTTTTCTTTGCCCTTCTGCTTCGTAAGCTGTACGAGTAGCCTGTGGTCAGCGTCCTTTGCGGCCGCGCTCTGGTCAAAAATGGGGACCCACTGCGACGTAGCCGGCGGACGCGAGGATGATGACCGTCCCAACGACCGACAGCAGCGACGGCGTCGTGTGGAAGAACACGAATTCGTCGATCGCGGCGAACACGATCTACAGCACGGACATGTGGTCACCGGTCAGCGCGTGCTGCCCGACAGTTGGGGTCCCCAGCCACACATACCTGGGCATAAATCGCCATCGTGCCGCGCCCCGCCGTCTCGCGCTGCAAGCCCGCCGTCAACAGGAACTGCCCGCGCTGTCAGAACAAACATAAGATCGGACGGGGGAACAGCACACCTGCGCGGTGAAGCCGAACACGCCGATGAGCAGGAGCATCGCAAGCCACTCCCACTGCGTCGGCAGCACCACGGGGATGCGCAGCGCGAGCATCCTGGACGTTAGGTGAGCACATTGAGGAGCCACCGATGGCCGACAGATCGCGGACGCACGCGATGGTGGTGACGACGACGCACTGCGTCGAGTACGAGACGAGGTTGTGCAGCGGGTACGCGCGCTTGCCGATCGCACGGATGGTCGTGTCTGCGTGGTCAACCAGGCTACTCAGTACCGTTGGCACGAGGCCGCGAAATACTCTACTTACAGGCTCCGGTGGCACCTAAGGTGCCTATCAACGCGACACTGGGACGATCGGCTGTCCTTCAGTGACCGGCGGATTCGGGATGTACAGCACACTGCGAGAAGACGCTGCGCCGGCGCTACGACATCCTCATCCGCGATAAACCCCTCCGGCTCAACTCCTGGTAATGTAATGTCCTCTTGCCTGCCGAAAAGGATTTCTGGGCGCGCGATGAGGGCAACACCCACTAAGCTGGCGACTGCGAAACATTGGTTGCGGCAATTTCAGCACACGGAGCACAACAGAGGAATCAGACGGAAGAATGGTACTGACTGCCCGCAGCGGCCTCGCGCCAGGAGAGCGGCTCGCGCAGGAGGACGGCGCCAGAAATCGCAGTAAAGATTGGCGCGAGGAACTGCAGGACCGTCGCGTCGGAGAGCGAGAGGTACTGCAGCGAGTAGTACAGGCTGAAGATGCCAACGAAGCCGAAGCATCCCCGCAGGACGAGGAGGAGGCGCACCTCTTTGGGGCCCATGATTGGGTCCGGGACCTTGGTGATGGTCCTGCAGACGTGTTAGGGACTCTTGAAGGCGCAGACCCTTGTGCCATGAGCTCACATGTAAGCCACGCAGCATACCCAAGTGATACCCTGTGTACCATGATCATCAGCTAATCGGGACGATCGGCTTTCGAGGCGACTAGCAGACGACCCGCCGCCTCAGATCCCCTGACACCTACCATGCGGACACAAATCAACTGGGAGACCACAAAAAGCCTTTAGTCTACCATCGCAGGTCACAGCACTAAGATCGTGGCACGGAGGCCAGAGCATACCTCCAATGCAGGCACTGCAGCCAACGTGTTGAGTTTCTTGACCCAAACATTCATCAACGCAAAGAAGAATTGGGCGGCCCCGACGAGCAGGAGGCCGGTGTTGCTCGCGGCAACCTCGCGCGCGCCGCGCGTCCATATGCGCCATGCGGTTTCTTGCAAGTGGCTCTGGTATTGAGGGGGCGGGTAATGACCGTCGTCGTCGCCGCTTGGAGACGATCCCCCCGTAAGAGGGTGTCTCGGCAACGAACGGCTCGGGCTAACCGTGTGGATAGACGAGAAAGCGGTGTCCCTGTCCGGGGGAAAATCCGTATGGTCGGGCGTGTGCTCGGCGCGGTACGGCGTCCTGTTCGTCGACGCCATGAACGTTTGTTACCACGATGCACAGAGGTACCCAGCGGATGCGTATTTTTGCGAATCGTGCCAGTGGACCGACGGGGCACGACAACAAGCCGACTCGACGGGCGGCACATCGACATCCTTCTTTTGCGGAGTTAGGATTTGTGGGCGTCTGACGGCGCCGCCACCAGTAGATCGATATCCCAAAGCGTCGAAGTCGTTCAAGTTGGACGAATCGTTGCAGTCTGACCACAACATGGACTTCGCGGGTGACCTTCACAGATGTCGTTATTTGCGGGGGTAGTTATGGTCTTACGACTGGATTACTATCCGTTTCAACCTCAATATTCAGTGGAAAACGTTTTTGTGGTTCATTGAATGCGTTCCGCCGTCCGTTTGGGGAGGATACTTGGAAGTATCGTATAGGAGACACATCTGCTTATGTTTGCGTGATACAGAATGGATGAGGTGTGATGCAGTGATTTATGTGATGGTCTCTAACTCTGACAACAATCTGAGCGAACATTAGCTACTACTCAGGAACAGGCTCATTATATGCATTCTTCTATACAGTGGTAAGGTAAGCATCCGAATCGCTGATACAACTAGACTGTTTCGCTGATAGCACCACATCGAATGGCCGCAGAAAGACCGACAGCGACACATCGCTCACTTGCCCTGGCCCTTCCACACCCCAGGCCCGAACTCGCGCGGCCCGAGCGCAGCGTCGACGACGCGCATCAACTCGATCACCTTCTCGTCCTCCCACCGCCGCCCGATGATCTGCACGCCCACAGGCAGACCCGCCATCTTGGCCGCATCGTAAAAGCCTGTCGCGCACCGGCTCTTGTCCTTCGGATCCTTCTCCGCGCCCGCCGTGGTGCCATAGAGCAAGCCCTCGACGAATGCAGACCCGTGCCCGCGCCCGACGCGGGCGTCCGTCCACTCGGGGGTCGGGACGTCCGTGGGGCGCACACGCGTAACCGGGACCGTGCCGACGGGAGAGTCGACAACGTTGTACACGAGGTCGACACATGCGAGCGCCGCGAGGTATTGCACGGAGCTATAAACGTGAAATATGTCAGCCGATACGAGCACAGGTGCGAGCGCGGTACTCACCCATGCGGGAGACCGGGCATCGCGAGCGAGGGGGCGATGATTCCGTCGAAGCCGTGCTTGTCCCAGACCTTATCGACGAACGGGAGAACACGCACGGTCAGCTCCGAGTGGCCAAGCAAGCGCGGAGATGAGAGGGGGCGCGCACCTCGCGGCAGAACATGCGCGTGTATTCGTCGCGCTGGAGCACCCACTTGTGGTACTCCTCGACGTCCTTGCCGCACCCCGCGCGCAGGACGCCCGGCACGACGTCGTCCTTGTACAGCTTCCCCACGGCCCACGCGGCTCCGTTCCGCAGCCAGGCTTTTGCGTGCGCACATGCATGGGCGTGTGGGCGTATGCGAGGGAATCGCGAATTGCCGTGCCAATGGGCGGTCGCCGATCCGATCGGGCGGAGGAGGGGGAGCAGAGCGGGGGACGTGTCAGCTCGGGAGCGGATGTGGAGAAGGAGCTCTGCACGCACCTGGGAGCCGCGGGCCCATGACAAGTGGTGCCACTCCAGGTTCCTGCGCAAAACCGAGAGGCGTCAGTTTCTAGATACGAGCACGGAGCGGCGATGGTAAGCGAAGACATTGCCGCGCGGTGGTGCTCACCAAGGGGTCATCGCCGAGGTCCGCGGAGAGCGTCTTGTACTTGTCTGCAGCCGTGATCCCGATGAATATCTCCATCGCTCGCCGGGCTACGACACCACACGGGATTGGGACCAGCATGAGATGGCGCTCCCTGTGGCGGCGAAGAGGAGGCGGAGAACGTACCCTGCGGGAGCTCGAACTCTATACATTCGTGGCCGGCCTTACGCAGCGCATCCACAGCCTCGCGCACGGCCCTCTGGCACGCGGGAGATGGCTTGACGAAATTGTCTGCAAGATGGGCGCGTGTCAGTTGGTTCCTGCAGGGAATGACGTAGTCGCCCAACGACAAAAAACTCCGGACAGCGAAGGGCACACTAACGCCAGCAAGATTCAGAGGCCCTAAGGGATATCACGAAGAGCGATGGGGAACGGACGAGACGCATGGGCGGCAGCACAGTTATGAGCAAGGTACACACCGGAGAGGTAGAACCCAAATCGCAGCTTCGCCGGCATCTGCGGGTCGCGGTACGGTAGCGGTGCGGGATCGAAGTCGTCGCCCATCTTCCCGAAGACGAGGCGCGCTCCGAGCTCGATATCGTCCACGGATCTGTACACGCCGTTGCGTAAGAGCACGCGGAGACGGAGATTATGTGCCGCTCATCAGCGCAAACTCAAAGTGAGGTCGCGATTTAGAGCACGCACCGCCCCATCGGACCTGCCACGGTGTGGATACCTTCAAACCCTGGCCAGGTGCCTGCAGGTACGGGGTGGAGATGTCAGCATGGGCACCTCATGAGCAGGCCTGCCACCTCGAAACGCGCGCACCTTGTATACCTGTCATGCTAATGCGACCCCAACCCGGTTTGAGTGAGAAAACGCCGCAGAAGGAGGCAGGTATCCTTTAGGAGGCAAGCGTGGCGGCTACTGTCAGCTTCAAGTCGGCGGGAGCAAAGCCCACTGTGCTCGTGACGACGCCCCCAGCGACACTAGCTCAGAGGCGCGTCCTAATGGCGCAGGGGCTACATCTTAGCTCACCTGAGCGAACCGCCAATGTCAGTTCCCCACCCAAGCGCAGCGCCGTCCATAGCGAGCAGCGCCGCCTCGCCTCCGCTCGTGCCGCCGGACGAGTACGATTTGCTATACGGATTGAGGGTACAACCCCACACGGGGTTCACGCATTCGAAGAAGAAGATGAGCTGGGGGACGTTGGTCTTGCAGATGGGTATGCCGCCCGCAGCGCGCACGAGGGCGACGACCTAGAAAGGCACGCGAAGCCGCGGGGTTAGCGCGTCTCGCACCAGCCAGCTTCTCCGGTTCCGCTTCCCAGGCCGCGAAAGGCTGCATTAATTGCGTCGAGGCCCAGGACGGGCACGCGGAAGCAGACGCGCACGCTGAGTGGCCCGGTAAAGTGCCCGCGGTTCTCAGCGGTGCGGAATTCACGGCGGGTGCTCCCGGCCGCTTCGGTCTGACGCAATGCGCCGGTAACCGAGCCAATGCGGAGCAGCAGCGAATGGGGGACGTCCGCGGGGACCGCAGCCACCGCTTGCAGCGTTCCACGAGGTGCGAGCCGCACACTTCCAGACACTCACCAGCGAATCCTCGGGGCGGGGGTCGTCTGCATGGGAGGAGAAGCCAAGGGTCGTATCATAACCCTTGATATCGTCTAGCCGAGGGGCGCGTGAGTGACCAATTCATTATGCATTTCATCAATTTGGGTAGGGGCAGACCTACTACTCACAAGTGTCTTTGAAGCTCACGGGAACCCCATGGAGAGGCCCGCGCACTTTCCCCGTTCGGGTGAACTCGTCGTCTAGCGCCTTTGCCTGCGCACGCGCCTCAGTGAAGAGCACTAGAAGCGCAACTTGATTAGCGTCGGAGTTGCAGAGGTTGCCGCAATGGGCCGAATAAGACACAGATTGCGGCTGACCTTCCGTCAGACAGTTGGTCACGTCCTGGGCGAGGACAGCGCGCGCGAGGTAGGCGTCGAGGACGTCGGACGCGGTCCAGTCGCCCTTCGCGATGCGCTGCACGATCTCCTTTGCTGTGGGTCCGGGGGAAGGTCAGCGAAGATCGCGCGGGCTTCGTGAGCAGGGAAGAAGGAAGACGAACCTGTTGCGCGCAGGTACGGCTCCGCGTCTGGCGCGGAGAGCGAGCGCGCGATGCGCAGAGCGTCTTCGCGGCGCGCCTGTTTCTTGCGGGCAATCTCCACGTAGGCGGCTGGGGAGAAGGGCCACATGGCTGGTGGCTGATGGCTCGGTATCGCTGAGGAGGAGGGGTGGCCGGGAGACGGAAACGGGGAGCGGTGGCGGATTGGGGAGTCGTATATGTACGGGGGGAGAAGGCGCCGAGTCTGCGAGATGTCCGCGGAGGCGGGAGGGAGGACGGGAGCCGACCAGGCAGTTCCTATCCCCGAACAGCTCAGTGCGTGCTGCTCCCCAAACGCCCCCGCCCTAGGGCATTTGACTGCACCCGCGCCGCGCCGTAAGCAACGCCCACTCTGAGCTCATTTTCACCCCAGGGGACCAAGGGGAGCACGGAGATCGGCGAGCAATGCTCACGCTCGCCCGCGCGCGATCGTGGCACGCACAGCGCGCGCTACGAGAGCTGTCCAGTTAGCACCCCCAGATCCCGAACTTGCTCTTCTCGCCCGAAACGGCACAGGCGCGGTCAACACGAGTCCTGTCCCGTCGGAGCACGCACACACGCACCCCCTCGGAGGGACGGACGGGCACACGCCAGCTCCATCCGTTGACGGCCTCCGCTGTGTGCCCTCCGTCCCGACGACGCGCGTGGCGGCAGCACTGCACCTCTTGCGCACGCCATGGCCACCGCCAATGCATTGATCGCTCGCCCCGTACTTCGCGTCCGAGCCCGCAGGATCAGCCCTTCACAGACACGCAGCGGTAAATCCCACCCAGCCAGTCGGAGGGCCTCCCTACCGCCGCTGCTAGAAGCAGCTTCATTTCCTGTCCAATCGCGTGCGTCCATCGCCCGCGAGGGCTCACAGGCGCCCATCTCTCGGCGAAGACTGTGCTTAGACATGGGCACCGGAGAACACACTCATCGCGATTCGATGGACGTAAGCCCAGAGCGGCTGCAGGCCTTGCGCTGTATGGTTCGTATGGGTATGAATCTGGAGAACCTGAGAATGCATCTCGGCTTGCTTGTCTCAACATCTTCGAGCAGCTCCCTTGCCTGTCCCCGCGGTCCGTCCACGCCACGCCCTTCTCGGGGTGTCCGTGGTAAGCGTTCGACCAAACGCGCGCAGTCCTGCCCCGGCCCCATCTTCCGAGCGTCCTGGGCTCGCCGCAGCCCAGTGGTTCGCGCCGCGCGATCTCGCCCACAGCGCTCGCGCAAACAAGTGTACCTGACGCTAGCACTCACAGTGTTCGAGTTTCCCCGCTGCAGGACAGCATCGGACACATGGCGTCATGGCCAATGGCGAGAGGGAGAGCCAATAGCAAGGAGGGCTAGGGACGCACGCGGGCCGCGCGCGGTTAAGCAGGCCAGACAGACACGCTACACAGAGCACCTATCAGAGCGAGAGCCAGGGATAGACTCAGACGTACCAATCCCAGGGCAGCGCAGACAGGCAGGGCCCACACCTCCAGCGCGGGCGGCAGCCCCCGCGCCGCGCGACGCACACGCTGCAGCGGCCAGGTGGGCGGTGGGAGCCTTCGCGCGGCGCGCGCCGGGACGCCCATGGGCTAACTCTGTCCTCGCTTGCGCCCCGCCCACCCAGCGCGATTCCGAACGGACATTGGGCGATGGGGCCCAACCGCGTTCGGAGCGCCGCACGCCAAGCGCGAGCGAGAACCCCCCGCGTGCGGGTGCGGGCGCGGATGCAGAGGCGTTCGCGGGGCTTCGCCCGGTCTTCTCTCTTCATGTGTCCTCTTCCGGCCTAGGTCTCCCGCGAGCTTCTCCTGCAGCGCGGGCCCAGCACCGTTCGGGACGCTTCCGAGTCTCCGGGCGGGCGGGGGCGTGAGCGTCCATCGCGATATCGACATCATAGGACGTCGACGTCGACCCACGTCCGGCTTGACGGGACGCATGGAGGGATCAAGTCAGCGGTGTGTTCTGCCTGATAGATCGCTGCTGCGTGTGGCAGGTGTATTCAGTAAATCGTCCCTTTGCTCCTGCGCCCTGATTGTGATATCGAGTTGTGCCGGAAGATTGCTGCTTGGAGCAAGTTCAATCCGCGTTGCAGCTCGCGCGCTTGGGTCTCGAGACAATCTTCACGGGCGGCTGCCGTCGCTGTCAGACAGCACTTCGCGGGTCTCAACCGGTTGCAGAGTGGACGTTGGAACGTGAGGGAGAAAAGCGCTGAGTGAGATAGCAGTAAGCGGGAACAACGTACATACACGCAACACACCGGACAAATACGCAACATTCAGCAAAACGCACTCCATAACCTCGAGGCCGGCAACCAAACGGACGGTGCACACACCTGCGCACGCGTCCATGCCCCGCCTCCGATCAAGTAGCCGACGATCGACACTAGCATTGGCCCGCCCCGCTCCGCTCGCTGCCGTCCCGGGCCACCAACCGGATGCGCACATCCATTTTGGCATTGGCATCGACCAGAGAAACCGAGGACCGAGGAGGCCGGGTGTGTTCGGGGCTCAATCCTGCGGGAGGGGCGGAGGGGCGTCCGGCTGGGGGGCGAAGATGAGATTGAGCGGCGGGGTCGTGTTCGCGTCGTCCGTGAGGAGCGTCGCAATGATGCTCCTGCCGGCGAAGCTGCGCCCAGCGAGCGCCTTCAGCGCGTTCGCGGCCGCACGCGGGTCGTGGAACTTGACGTAGACGCGTCCGACGCCCGCCGCCTCGTCCGCACGCTGCGCAGCGATTGCGCTCTCGCGGCCCTCGCCCCACTTCGCCTTGTCCTTCTTCACCGGGCGCGGGATACGGAGGTCCTCGACTGTGCCGTACTTCTCGCACTCCTCTTTCACATCCTCGTAGAGGTCCCCGTACTCCTGGTCGTCCGAGAGCTCCTCAGGTACGACCATGTTCAGCATCAGCAGGATCCGGTCCTGCATGGCCTCAAGGTCGCGCTCCCCTACGGGCATGATCGGCTTGGGGATCTCAGGCGCCATGTCGAACATGCCCATGCCAGGGATCGGCGACTGTCCCGGCTTCGCGCCGACCGAGGCACGCTGGACGACAAGGTATTTGTCCCCGAGTTCCATCCCGCTCAGGGATGGAATCGCCACGTCCGTCACACTAGGGTCGACGTACTCGAAGAACGCGAAGCCCTGTGGCGCAAACCATCAGTGCCTGGTGCATATGGACCGACCATTCAATGCGTACCTTCGACGGCCCATTCCCGTTTTCTCTCACCAGGTTGAACGCCTTCAGCTCGCCGAAGCTGCTGAGCAATTCCATCACCTGCTCCTCGTTGAGATAGGTCGGCAACCCGCCGACGAAGATTTTGTTTGCGGAGTCGGGAACGTTCGTGGACACCACACCTGGGACGTGCATGTTGGCCAACATATCAGGACCGCCGTAGTCCTTCGGTCGACGAATCTTCAGCGGGCCGTTCAAGAAGATGATACCGTCAAAGGCCATCGCCGCAGTGGCGTCTTCTGCGCTGCGGAACTATACAAACCAAAATCATCAGACGATCCAGAATATCGAACATGGCGTAAAACCGCGTGCACACCTCGACAAATGCATAATTCTTCTCATAATTGCACTGAACAGCCAAGACCGGGTTGCCCGGCGCGCCGGTCCCCAGGTTCATCTCCTTCATTTTGGAGTTGAAGAAGTCTGTCAAGTTTTGCTCGTTGATATCGGGCGTGATGCTCCCGATGTACAAACGGCGAGACTGTCTCGACAGGTTAGGATTGACCCCGGTTCCCATGCCGAATGTGTTGACAGGCATGGGGGGAGGCAGGCCAGGGATGGCGAGGATGGGTGGAATCTGCGTTCGGTTCGCTCCAGGCAAGTTGAATAGTCCTGATGGGAAGAAGCATAACTGATTAGCACTCTCGGAAAGCTTGTGCGTCATTGCTCGCTCCATCCAGCCAAGCCGCTGCTCAGATTCATATGGCAATGCTGGACATGCCCATGACATATCCTTGTTCAGGACGGCTAGCGTTTCAGGGAACACTTAGCCAGTGGCAATAACGTAACCGCTTCCGGACAGATTGCACGTCATCAGCCGACGGGTTGTGTCCAACTCAGGAAGTGCAGTTGTGCCCAAGTCGGGCAACCGAAGCGAGAGCAGCTCGGCCGGAAAGAACGGGAGCTTCATGGTGGACTACCGGCTCACCTGTCTGTTTAGCTTGCATGGCAGTATACTGCTCGTAGCCAGGGGCGTGTACATCCCAACCACTGGCCTTCCTCTTTCGCTGCGACAGCGGCGTTGCGTCCGATGGCGTCGGGGACCTCCTCTCGGGTGTGCCTAGTGCATCCCGGCCCCTCCCCCTCCCCCGCCCTCCACGGTCGTCATCACGCGGTGGCCTACGGTGTGAGTGGTCGTCGTCTCCCCCTCCTCCGCGGCGTTCGCGGCGGCGATCGTCATCGCGGTGACGCCGTGCATATTCTTCGTAATCCTCGCGACCAGTACCGCCACCCGCGCCTGCGCCTCCACTACCTGCGCCTCCACCGCCGCGGCCGTAGCGTTCGCGGCCGTGATCTCTTTCGCGCGGGTCTCGGTCGCGCTCCGAATGGCGGCGTGATTCATAGCGTTCGCGGTCGCGGTCGCGGTCACGAGGGGCCTCGCGGTGCCTGCGGTCGCCGCCGCCGCGTTCATAGTCTCTGGAGGAATGGGCACGGTCGCCGTAACGCGCTATGGGGGAAAACAAGGCATGAGTATATGCGCAGGTGGGGCGGGCGTGGGTCTGTCAGCGGCCGATGGTGATCCAGAGGCAATAGCGCGCTCTGAACGACGAACGGGGACGGTGGGCTAGCTAGCTGCAAAAAAGGAAGCTGTGGATGATACACGCGTACAAGGCGAGGCTGCAGGTCAGCAGCCGAACGCATACACTCTTCCTGGAGGCTGGAAGACGGAAGTTGTTCGACGACACGTTCTCGTATTGACGACGTCGACGGCGACGACACGGGACGCTAGCTAGCTGCAAAAAACACGTCTGAAGAGGAAGGGGCCATCCACCTGCGGAGTCCTCAACGCTGCCTGCCTCCGAAAGGGAATGGGAAGGACGAAAACGAGAGAAAATGGTCGTACTCACCACTGTCCTCGGGGGCGGTGGCCATTTGTCCAGTTGTCGGAGGTGAGTGTGCGAGTGTGAGTGCCGTTCGAGCCCAGACGCCCACCACCGCCCCAATGCGTGGGAAACATAAATAACATTCACATTTGGATCTTAAATGTCATATTAAATTTATTCCCGCGGGGGCAAGCTAACTGATAACAAATTGCAGATAGGCGCTGAGTCGATCGTTCCCCGATCATCCAAATGCTGCATATGGCGGGTCTGCGCCGGCTCAGTGTGGGTTGAGTTCTGTCTCCCTCCTCCCTCAGAGAGTTTTCTGGGCCCTGTTGCTCTCGTAAATACGTCGTGCTAGCCCCCGCCACAGGCCCCGACCTCCTTGCTTATCACGACCACCCCGGAGCTCTCAAGCACTCCGCACGATCCTCCCTTCCATCATGTCGACCCCGTACGCAGAGGACATCAAAACCGCTCGCGCCGAGAGCCCCTTCGACGTCCCCTCTCTCCACGACTCTCCAGAGGCCACCCATGCGCAGATACAGCCCTCTGCACGGCCGCCGCTTGACTACTCGTCCGCCTTAGCTCTCGTGCGAAGCGTATGGAGACGCTTCGTGAGCCTGTGGACCAAGCGGTTCATCCTCTCCCTCCTCGCTGGCCAGGTCGTCTCGCTCTGCATAACGTGTACGAACGTGACGACAACAGAGCTCCAGAACCGCAACTGGAAGCTGCCTACTACGCAGACCTTCTTCCTGTGAGTCCACACCCGAATGTCCAAAGCCCGGGCCATTGCTGATCGGCCGCACAGGTACTTCTCTCTATGCTTAATTTATACGCCGTACACGATATACCAGTGTAAGCTACTTTAAAACTCCTGGTGTACAAGCCCACTTACCTGGTACGTAGACGGATTCGTAGGATGGCTCAAGATGATCTATAAGGATGGCTGGAAATGTGCGCACTTATAGAACTTGGGTCCGTCCGGAGACTCATCCAACTAACACTTCTGTAGACATTATTCTGGCCGCATGCGACGTCGAGGGCAACTTCCTCGTTGTGAAGGCGTATCAGTACACGACACTGCTATCGTGCATGCTCCTCGACGCATGGGCGATCCCTGTCTGTCTCCTCTTCTCTTGGATATACATGCGCCCGAAGTACCACTGGACGCAGATCCTGGTATGTGCAGCCCCGGTACCATATATTCGCGGGAGAACCGACCAGCTGATTCCTTGGCGTAGGGTGTGGTGATATGTATAGGCGGCCTGGGCATGTTAGTTGCCTCGGACGAGATTACCGACAAGGACTGGCCGGAACTCAATCGCGCTAAGGGCGACGTCTTCATGCTCATCGGCGCATCACTTTATGGATTCAGTGCGTTTTCTCTCCCGTCTCTCTCAGTCTCGACGAATGAACGCTAACGGGCCCGTGCGCACACAGCCAACGCAACGGAGGAGTTCTTCGTGCGGCGCTCGCCGCTGTACGAAGTCGTCGGGCAGCTTGGCATGTGGGGCATGATCATCAACGGCATTCAGGCCGCAGGGCTTGAGCACCACGACATGACACAAGCCAGCTGGAACGGCAAGACGAGTGAGTCGCCTTCGTCCTCTATCCCTCGCGCGCGCTGACAGCACCGGGGCAGTCGGGCTGCTCGTCGCATACACCGCGGCGATGTTCATCCTGTACACGGTTGCGCCGATCCTGTACCGCATGGCATCCTCCGCGTACTACAACCTTTCCCTGCTCTCGAGCGATTTCTACGGGCTGCTCTTCGGGCTCTTCCTCTACGTGCGTCGCTGCTCTTTCTCCTTCGCTCATTGCTGTATGCTAACGTTGTATGCTTGGGCTGCAGCATTTCTCCGTGTACTGGTTGTACTTCCCCGCCTTCGCCGTCGTCCTGCTCGGGCTCATCATCTACTTCTGGCACGCGACGCGTACGTCCCGCTCTCGCTGTCTTCCCTTACGCCGTGCTCACCCACCTATCTGCCCCATCTTAGCGGAGGAACAGGGTAAGCTGGAGCCCCGCGCGCCCGAGTACGTCGTTCAGCGCAACGGCGCAAACACCCGCATCGCGGGACAGGTGTAGGCGCACTCACATCTTGCTGGACGGGTCTGTACTTGTACTTCCTCTGATCCTATCAATGGGGTCCACGACTGGGCGCGATCGCTACAAAGTTGTGTCCCGATCTGTCGGCGAAGACCGAAATGCACCAGAGTCAAGCTGTACAAGACAGGTTGCGCCGGGTGTTTTGCTCGTGGGCTCTGTGACGCGGACGGCAAGTCGTTCAGTTATAACCCACTCCTTGACACAAACCGCGATTGCACAAGTTGCACTGTATAAATCTTCAATAAATCATGTTGTATAGTGCTTCTATACTTATTGTGAATGCACAGGTTCCGAGGGTAGAACGCACAGTTCAACTCCTTACACCTTGATGTCTTTCGAAAACCGCCCACCGAAACATATTTTCCTGTTGCTCATCGGTCAATTTCGTTGGGGCCATCGGTGCTACTCTAATATGCTGACACATATATGGGCGATGTTCGGATAGTCTCTATGTTGCTGCAGAGATATGAAACGACTTACCAGATAGCCGTGGTAAGAGGCTCGGCGAGTGCAAGTGCTCAAACCTACGCTTTCATAATAGGGAGAGACCTCAGGCACACCTGCCTAATACAAAGCGTACACCATGTCAACATAGGGTGTCCGAACCACTGGCACAATAGACACATGCTCGCAGATGCACTTTCGATGTAGGATGACCGCAGTTGCATAGGATGGGGGCATAAGGCTAATATCCCTGCAGTCGATGCACACCAAGGGTTGCGATCATAATACACGGCATGGTAGAATCATTAAGAGACACATACGACAAAGTACAATTACAGTTCCCAACAGGATACGAGATAGACGAGACGAAGCGGAGAAAGGAGCATCTACACCTCCTGGGAGGCGCCCTCCTTCTTGCCCTTGTTGGATTTTGAGGGTAGGAGCTCGGGGTTGATGAAGGGGACGACACCACCCTGGGAGATGACGACATCGCCGAGGAGCTTGTTCAGTCTAAGTGACGGTCAATATCAGAACGTATATCAAACACTGATAAGACACATACTCCTCGTCGTTCCGGATGGCGAGCTGCAGGTGACGGGGCACGATACGCTGCTTCTTGTTGTCGCGAGCCGCGTTACCAGCGAGCTCGAGGATCTCAGCCGCAAGGTACTCGAGGACCGCAGCAAGGTAGACTACGTGACAAATGCGTGAGAAAGGGCTCAGATATGGGCCCTTGGGCATCCAGAACAATATCACGTACCAGGGGCACCAGCACCAACACGCTGGGCGTAGTTGCCCTTCTTCAAGAGACGGTGAACACGACCGACGGGGAACTGGAGACCCGCCTTGGCGGAACGCGACTGCGACTTTCCGGCCTCACCACCAGCCTTGCCAGAGGAAGACTTGCCACTGTCGAGGGTTGAGAGATAAGTATGGAACGTGTATTCCAGAGTTGGAGGTCGCGTACGCTTTTCCCTTGCCAGACTGAGGATTTTGGTCAGTATGCGAGGTATAACTGAGGTAACCAGCGTATGCGTACCATTTGTGCGAGATAGAGGTGGTAGAGGGTGAGTGGGGCGTGCGGGTAGTGGTGGAGAGGAAGAAGGACTTTGGGCTGGCGGACGCGAAGGCGTCCAGGGCTTATATAGCGCGTGTCGAGTTGGAACTCCGCCGGCGAGTAAACAAAGGTCGCGTGCGCACGTGACGGACGCGTCTGTGAACATGGGCGCTTGAAGCACGCGCGAGAACGGCATGTGGCTGTGGCTGTGGCACTCCCCCGCACTCGGCTGGAGCCTCTGCAGCACTCGTCCACGCACTGCAGAGGCGTGCATGCTCTCGCTGGGCTGCCCCCGCACGTTTGCTCTATTAAAACTGTGCACACCCTGCTCGCCATGTCCCTCCCTCCGTACTCTCCCCGCCCGCCCATCGCTCCCCCCATCCCCATCCACCACATGAGCCCTGTCGCGCCCACCCACGACCAGGCACGTCTCGCTTCTTCCATTCCTCTTACTCGCTTGCTGATACGCCCTTTGCTGATCTCTCTAGGTTCCAGTGCTCTACGTCGTAGGTTACCTGCCCTTTCTGTCCTTTGTCGGTCGCTCCAATATCATTCCTGCAGATCGTGGTCTATGCCGTCGTCATATTCGCCTTCTGGAATATCCCCGGAGCCAGGGTAATCATCAACCCTCTCAAGCTCTTTACCATCGGATGGCATGAGCTATGCCACATATCCTTAGTGCGTTATTCTACTCCTCTGGCACATAAATGTCGTCCTAGACGTCCCCAAGGCCATCTTAACAGGCGGCTCTGTCATGAAAGTCTGCATAGACCCCGACATGGGTGGCTGCACCATCGTTTCCGGCGGACACCCGCCCACCATTCTCGCCGCAGGCTACGTCGGCTCCACCATCTTCGGCGGCCTCTTCATCATGGCCGGCTTCGACACCCTCGTCTCCAAGATCATGAGCTTCGTCCTCGGCGTCGGTCTCATTGCGCCCCTCGCCCTCGTCCGCAATAAACTGTACGTCTACCTACCTCTTCAACCTCATACTGTGCTCGCCAGCTCACCAGATATCGTCTCATGGATGCTTGTCTTTTTTCACGCCGGTGTGAACTTTGCCTCGTGGCCATACCTTGATGGACATCCGATTACGGCCCACCCATATACGCACTGCCTTTTCGCGCTCCGTTGCCCCGGGACAGCACAATCCTCCTGACTGTGGTATACGAAGGCCTCCTCGTCGGGTTCTGGTTTATCGACCATGCGTTCGTATCCTCGTATCTTTACGAGAGAGCGAGTGTTGACGAAGCGTACAAGTACAGACAGGCGCTCCGGTGGTACTGCTTATTCGTGGGTGTCATGAAGTACGTCCAGCCATTTACGTGCGCGTCAATACGGTACGTATTCTGATCGTACTCTCTCTAGCGCTTTGTATGTCGTCTGTGAGTGCCTGGCGCGCGTTTAGCCCAACAGCCACACTACAACGGTTCTGACATTTGACGCAGGGGACATTGCGGACGACAAATACTTCCGCAAAGCGAACGACTCGGATGCGACACAGTGGGGCATCCTCTACCCTCGTATCCCTGCCCATGGTACGTCTTTTTCTCGTCTCTCGCGTTCGCGTCCGTTGACGGCCTTGTAACACAGTCTGGGCCACGCTGTGGATACTGTTCGAAATCGCCGTTCTGACCGGGTTCGTCCTCCTCGGCATCGCCGCGTTCAAGCGCACGCCACAGGAAATGTACACCGAAGCGGGTGAGCATCTTTCCCCTTACCTATACGCCTCAGTGCTCTCCGTTATGATTTGTGCACTGACCACCCCCCCCTTGGTAGCACAATTTCTGCCGACATGACGCAGGCCGTCGCGTTCCCCACCCCGCCTCATCTTCCGTCTATCGTCCGAGTTCTTCGCATCGCTCTGCTCTCTCCGTATCATCGCACCGTCTGTATAAGTTGCTCTACTGTAGGTTATCCGTCCACATCTCTCCATCTCCCCATCTTGCTCCAACTGTATCCCCCACCCAAACACACGCGAGCGCAAGCTCTGCAACACACGACCCGCACCCCTACCTAGAATGTGCTCCCGTTTTCCACTGGTTGACCCACATTGACTGCTCTATCTGGGATACGCGTACCTACTGTCTCGTACGCGCATGGACGGTCTGGAATTGGAAGGAATGTCTGCGCGCTGCCGTCGTGTCCTGTACCATACTTGCGCACGGCCTGTATTGATCATATCTGGTACCATTTTTTTCGCGAGGGGACAAAGTCCGGAAGTGAGAAAGTCAAGATGCCCGTCCTGTAGCAAAATATGCGCGTGTACCCAGTGCAACGCGGTACGGCTCGACCCGCAATTGCCTTGGGTATGTTGGGATGAGCTACGCCTACATAGTGATCATGAGGGCATTTTTGTATAGTATCGGACGTCCAGGATTAATAGGCTGCATTGATTAGCCAATGTATCTCTGAAGTTGCAACGATGCGAGGAACAAGTATGCCAGTGCCCTTCGCTTTGATTGAACCTACAGATGCGAAAATTGCGTTTAGCACGCAATCCAAGCATGTAGAACGCCCACAATCAGCCTTGCTAGCTTGCTCGTTGGTTCAAGTATGGTCTTTCCCGGACTCTGACTGAGGGCGTTGGCAACCGAGTGTGTCGAGTGAGGCGTAGAGGGGCCAGACTGAAAGACGCCGGTCGGGGGCGTCGGCGCGGCGCGGGGGTGGCCGGGGTCCTATGAGGTGACCGCGGCGGGCTCTGGGTCCCAATTTTTTGGCGAGCGCGGAGAACGTCTTGAACATTGAGCGCGTGCTGGCGGAGGACGACGACAACATCCATGGGCTATGCGCAACGGAAGGTCGCGAACACGGCTGCTAAACTCGCCCATGTGTCCTCGCAGCATCTAAAAGCTCTCCCAAAACACACTCTCGGCCAGGGGACCAGCAAGCCTGCCAACGCGGCACCCACCGTCTTCGACGCACACTCCTGGGCATCCTCCCAACCGCCTCCGCGTTCCACCCTCACCGCCTTCGCGCATCGTATAGGGCTTGCGACGGTCGTGCCGTCGACAGACGTCATCGAGCAGGCGTGCACACACCCATCCTTCATCCAGCTGCACACACAGCAACATCCAGACCGCCCGCTCCCTACCACCAATGCCTCGCTCGCGACTCTTGGCAACTCCCTCCTGGGCCTCTTTGCGACGGAGTACGTTAACTCGTCCTTCCCGCACCTTCCGACCCGCGTCATGAAGGCCGCCGTGAGCGCACACGTCGGCCCGACGACGTGTGCCAACCTCGCGCGCGAAATCGGCGTGACGCCCATTCTGCGCTGGCAGCGGACAGTACGTGTGTTTTCCTCGTGTGTACAGTCTTTTGCTTACCCACCGTACAGCCCTCAACGACGGCGAACGCTGCAGTCCTGCACGCGGACGCGCTGGCCTCCGTTCCAAGAGCGCTTACCGCATTGGTGTACCAGTATAGGTCACTACGTTCGGCACGGAGATTTGTGGAGAAGTTCTTCTTCAGCCGGGAGGTTGACTTGCGGGGCATGATCAAGTTCCGGGATCCAAAGCAGACGCTGCTGGAGACGGTCGCGAAGTATGGGCGGGAACGGCCGATCTCAAGGTACGCTGTCGTTTTCGTGCATGCTGTGCTTTGTCACGGTCCTTTCGCGTTTTCCACATTTCAAACTGCCTACAACACGGCGTCGACGCGTTTGCGTGCTGTGCATCTGCGTGACGGGCCAGCGACGGAACGGCTGTCGGCTAAGTGCGACCTGGTTGTGGCATCAGCGAACATTTGCAAACCTGCGGTGTTCTGCTCATGCTTCTACTGGCGATCCGAACAGCTACGGCTGCTTAGAAAACGATAGGCCGTTTTGTGATCGTCTCGCGTTCGGGGCTTCGTTTACCGCATGGGGCTGGGCAGGTCACACTAAGCCAATGACTGAGGCAACTCGGGCGGTCGATATGGCTCTCACCAGCGCCGACACGTACCGCCTGTTTGTTAAGCTCCGCAGGTAAACAAGAACTCCAGCGCAAGCGATCTGAGAAACAACTCTTCGTGTTCTAGTGCGATGTGCGGCATGCTTCGGACTCCGTAGTGTTTTTCAGATGGTCCTTGGTGTGCGGTATCCCACCTTTGGGTCATACACTCCGCTGTTTACGGCGAGTGCCTGCCTTGTGCGCCGTTAATTTCGAGCCCGGCTTCCGGATCCGCGCATATGATCGACCGAGCGCATTATAGAAGACGCTGACAATTGCATTCATAGACTGCTCAAAGAGACCGGTCGATACTCAAATTCGCCGGTCTTTGTTGTTGGCATCTTCTCAGGGGCGGACCAGTTGGGTGAGGGTTTCGGTAGCTCATTGAAAATGGCCGAATACCGCGTAAGTGCAGTCCATTGAACCAGCATCGATTCACGCTGACCGGTCCGCATACAGGCGGCAGAGGACTCGTTGCTGAGGCTCTATCTCACGCGGCAGCCCCCACACTTGCTGCAGCTACCGACGTCAACGTTCCCCGATGTGAAGGAGGGTCTATTCGATGCGTCAGCCCCGGAGAGCGCGTATGCGCCGGTGTCGATGGGAGACTCGGAGGTGTTGTATGGCAGTGCTGGTCGGGCGGGCATACGCGTGCCTGGCGCGCGCTCGTCGGCTGCTCAGGATGATTTAGAGGACTACGTATAGCTAGTAATGCGAACATGCCTTAATTTTGCAGGACCACCTCTCGTTCCAATACGTTGTGTGTTGTTTCTACTGGTGCTCTGAAGGATGTGTGTGGCCATGTGCCTGGCCGGGCGGGAGCGTCTCAGGTCGTCTTCTTTGGTAGTGGCGGTGAACTCGGGTACGCTCCTGTCCAGTGTCTCGCCGCCAGCCTGTGCGCCAGTGCAGCACCGCTCCCGCACGGTTGTCTCAATACCACCACCTCGCTGGCACCCATCTGCCGCCAGACGTCTTCCACGCACATCCAACGCCCCGCTGCGCCTCCGGACGCAGGCTCCACGGTGCTTATAACCTCTCCCGGCCAGTTGACGCCTCACGGACACGCCTCTCCGGTTGACCCTGTTCGACCACCCTGCTGGCCGCCGATTTTGAATAGCTTGCATACGTATACCTGGCGCGACGCCCGCCCGACGACACTCGACTAACGACTACTACGGACCGCGCAACTCGCCATGGCTGTGCTCTCGCTCCCGACCACATTCTCGAACTCGTTCTGGACGCAGGATTACCGGAAGGGCCTAGAGGTGCTGTATGGACAGCTGGAACAGAGCATTGGGGAGAACACTGAGATTGCGGCGTTCATTCGGGTACGTGCAGCTATTGTGCTGCGTTACGACCGTGCTAACTAGGGTGCTCAGACGCGTGCCGCGGCAGAGCTTGCCATCGCTGCTCAACTGAATGCGCCCCCGCCTGCTCGTATGTTATGGCCTTCCAGAGTACTATATGCACGTCTGACGCGCTCACTTTATAGGCTCTGTGTTTGACGTCGACGATGGCGCGTCATTACTCATGGCGTTCAGAGGCCTGCGCGCGGAGGCTGCTACTGAGGGTGCTCTCCACGAGAGCGTCGCGAAGGAGCTTCAGACTGCAGTGGCTGAGCCCTTTGAGAAGTGGGCCGAGGGGTATAAGGTTTGTTCATCTGTCGGTGGGCGGGCACGAATGTGATCACTCAACACCTCACGGTTGACAGGAGCGCCTTCATGGAAGCAAGGCAAACCTGCTCGATGGCTGGATGTACTCTTATGAGGTTGCACAGACCGAGGTGCGTAAATCACTTCACGCACATAAGCGAAGAACGCGTCCTAACTGCTG